TCCTGGAATTGAGTAAAAAAAAAAGAAGAGTATTTATACATTTGCAACTAGCTTGTAGAATTAGTGATGTTAGAGAGCAATAGGTGCTGCGACTGCGATATCTGGCAAATGTTGTTGACGTTTGATTTAAAGTGGTAATCAATGCAAGAGCGCTGGCCATAAGGGTCGATTTGAGTAACGTTGATGGGCTTGGGTGAGCTATCGTCACAGCATGATTTAATGTAACCTTGATGGTTTAAAGTGTGATGTTTGTTATTGAAGTATGGAATTATTTATCTGGGATATTTTGCAACTATGGCAGCAGGGCATAGTTGTCATATTTGAATATGCTTGTTGGTAAGCACAAAGAATAAAAGGATTATTATTTGTAGCTTATAAAAAATGTTCAATATTATAAAAACAAGAAAAGACTTATTTGAATAAGATCAGACACAAAAAACTAAAGATTTATTGATGAAGACCAGAGTTATTCTATTTATACTAAGTTCTGAATGCCAAAGTAGCAATTTATCTTGTACAACGCTTATCACATCTGGTGAACCTCAGTATTTAGATAGCTGAGATGCACTTCACTTATCATAGCTTGTCCATGTTGTTGCACAACACAGACATATCTACCCATCAAGAATACCTTAATCTTTATAGACAGTTGTAGCCCTTCTGGCACAGCACTTGTTATTGATTTGATTCTATTTGGATAAAGATAATATCTCTCTTATTACGACCATCATGGGTGTGATTGAATGCACTGTGGTCAGGAGTGATTCATTCAGAGGATGTGCGATATAAGAATGCATCTTTACTATTTTGTTATGTTCAAGTGGTTGTTGATGTATATTTGAGCGCTTTATTAATAGGCTCAAATAGCATGAATTTGAATGAGTGATATTTAACGAAGCTCGGTTTTCAACCAACTAACGTTTGTGTTCCTATTTCATTACAACAATGACTCAGCGTGTCAGGTATCAGTTATTTCTCCTGAATTATGAGTTTCCAATATTGTGAATAGACTATAATAAGTTCAGTTTTACGGCTAGATATTGTATCTTTGTTGTGGACGACCATCAACAATATACTGCTAACCTGATGAGCATCTTATTCAATCCGAGCAAGTTATTAGCTTCCAATTTGCATAATATTATTGACGCTCAAGTGTCAAGATCACTGTAATCGCACATCTCAAGAAGCAAGACTTCAGCCTTGGAATTGCAATAAAAGCGCCTGTTACTCGAAAATTGGGTTTTATACAATGCAGAACATTTGAATCATCAGACAGAAGTGTAACTTACTCTTTTGGCAATGCAACCCACTACACCGTCGTTTTAGATCAAATTCTGTTCAAACCTAGCCATTTTTAGGCACGAATAACTCATGCCACAAAGCGTTTTGAACGCTTAGAATATCACCACACGCCTTCTCTTGGCCACGCTTTACTTACTGATGCTTTATCTCAATTTTTTTGGGTCATTGCAAATTTAATGAAAATCGTCATTTTCACATGAGTACTAGCAAGGGAAAATTTTTGAAAATCAAACGATCGCGTTTTTCACCCCAGAAATGGAGACTTTTCCTATAATACATATCAGACCAAATTGGTCGTAAAGGTCAAATGCAATACTGGAAGCTTTTTCTATGAGACTTGTATATGCTAAATTATGACATATTCGCAAAAAACCGGTTTTGAAATGTTTGCAAATTGCTCATTATTTTCGGTCTGAAAGCTGAGTGCAACCAGTATCATTCGATGCGCCTTCATTGACTCTTCATAAATGCATTAGAAAGTAAAGTATAACAACGACAATTTCCATAGTCAAATTGAGCAAAAACATTTAAAGAATGTGAGATCAAGTCAAATTTGAACATGAAAATACTTACTGCACAATTGCAAATTAAAGTGCAGCAGTTACGGCTGCCACCACGGCAGAAGACCGAAACCAAATCTACTGGCCGTGACGTCGGGTAGGTCGCCCTCTCATTTTTCCATACCACCGTTTTTTTTTTTTTTTTTTTTTTTTTTTAGCATTTTTGCAAGACGCGTTTAGTATCAAACCATATTGGTTTTGGAACTCTTTTGATTGAAAATAACACTCTAACTTCTGATAACACGGCCTTGCATTCTTAAAAGTACTTGATACTGCTTCTTTGAAGTGGAATATAGTAGGTGCCATTCAATAACGAGCACAGAAAGATGTAGAACAAGCATTAATCGAATTTGTTTATTAGGTTTCGATAATTTTTTGCCTGCTGTTTGATGTCGGTGCTGCTGCCATTACTTCTTTGCTATCTCTGCTGCTTGCTTCTTTGGTTTATTATGTCTGGTAGCTGCTTCTTTGGTCTCTGTCTCTGATGGTTGCTTCGTTAATCTTTGTCTGCTGGTCTCTGGTGTCACCCGCTCTTCGGTTATTCTACGATGATGGTGTTGCTGATGGTGTTGCTGCTGCTGCTAGTCTGGTCTTTCCTGGTCTACTGTCTTTGGTGCATGCTCGTTCTCTGACTTATATCCGGTGATTGCGTATTCTCTGGTCTATCTGTGTCTGTGGTAAGTGGTAAGTATATTTTTTCTTCTGGTCGCAATGATATAAAACCTCTTTGAACGTTTGTATTGTTGCTTCCTTTCTCATGATATTGCATTCATGATGTTTATTTTGTTGCGCTTTCTTTTTCTTTCGTTGGCTGTGATATGATCAGCTCAATGGATGCTTGCAATGTTGTTGCTTCGTATGTAGAAACAATAAGCATGATGTGCAGCTATATATCTGTATTGCCTTTGTAATATTACTTTGTTATATGGCCGTGGGTTGTTGTTTATGTTGCCTTTGTCGCTTCACATGAAACAACGTTAGTCACTATGTTGTACTGCACACTTATAATACTGCTGTTGCTCCTGCAATTGTGCGTGTTTTTGTTGCTTACATCCGACTATTATTACCATGTACATTGCTCATGTATGCATTTTTGTTGCAACAACAGCCAGCTGTTCTGAACATCTTTGATGCTGTATTTGTTGTTATGGCTTTCTTATGACTCACCTTTTTTGTGTGAGTGTTCCTTTTTTGCCTACATACTACTATACTCCTATAGTAGTATGTTCTTTTCCTCTTTCTTTTATTCTTATTATGTTTCTTTGAAGCATACCTTTTTTTTTACGTTGTGTGGATGTGCCTATCCCTGAAGCTCAACAAGACTCTATCCGAGGCTAGGAGGTAGATAGGCTGCCTTCACTTGGTTATCACTACTTACTTTAGTGATGATTGAGGGTCTCAATGCCAGAATTTAAAGCTAGGTGATGTAAGTAAGGCATGCTCTAGCGCCTGGGGGAAGTTTGATGATAGCAGTGGCTATATTGCTATTATAGCGGCGCTTAAAATTTTGCCTCACCTCAAAACAGGGGGAAACCCTCGCAAAATTTTTTTAGGTCAGCGGAGTTTTCAAGCAATTTGATTGGCCCAGATGTTGAAGTACCGAAGGACTTTAGCTAGTTGATTTTCTATTGATCCCCTATTGATTTGCCATTTACCATGACTATATGTTTCTAATAAAAAGCTATCGAAATAAACAGAATTCAAATCTCTCTTTGTTCTAAATTAAGATAAGATGCAATCATTTGACCTAGCATCCACTAAACAGTTCCATGTGAGTGATGTCGTTTAAATTTAATAACATCATTTGAGAAATATACATTAAGACTGTGGAATACATCCACTATGATCTGCGTTCCGACAGTTCATCCGGTTACCAGATTTAGATATAAACTGTATGTACACTGGATTAGTTGTACGATATCGATTTATACTATAAGATGATATGGACTTCAGATACGCTAGTACTATAAGATTCATACTATATAAGATATAGGTTATAGATGGCACCACGGACATGAATGGCGCTATAGACTTATACTTGTATTCCGACATTGACTACGGATGTTTACCATATCTGGATAGGCACCAAGATTAATGCAATATGAGCTTGTTGCTTCAGATGTGCACTTCATGATCCACGCTATAAGACACATGCTTATATCCGTGATACTAGCTACAGATACTTCATGTACTACAGACTTGTACTATATATGAGACATGCTATAGACATGCATACGATATGCTATAGACATGCCATATATCCAGATACATGCTAAAGATGTATGCTTAGCGATATACACTCAGATATGTACTATTAATATAGACTAAGGAGACTGTACCTATCGGATACATGCTACTAGATCGATATTAATTATCCTTATAGAAAGGATAGATCAGGGTACTTTGGATGAGAGTCTAATTATTCATCCAGACAGAGCTAAATCATGATTAGCTTGCTGGAGTTGTCTTTTAGCATGATTAGACATTAGTTGATCTGAGTTGACTTATTTGTCAATCTAATTAATAGAACTTTTATCCATTGTTATAGTATATAAGAAGGATCATCTACCTGGCCAGTAGAGAGACTTCAGTTTACTTTACACCTATCAGTTTGATAATAAAACATACCTTTATCAAGTTGACTTTACTGTTTTTTTTTATTCTTTTTTTTCCGTGAATTTTAGTCTATAAAGCCTCAAATTCCAAAAAGACATTTGAGATAGTTGTTATGTATTCTCGTTCGAATTATGCAGCAGTTTTATCTAAGCGTGAAGAAGCGGATATTACCAAGATCAGGCCATTTGAAGTTGGGCGATTTCAGAGTTTTGTGAATCCTCATTCGTCGTATAAACTAAGGCCATTTAACCAAATCTGTTTGTAAAAACGTTTTTGAGCACCAGGAATCCACAATTTGCAAGTGAGTTGTAATGGGAGTAAATCTTTCTTTTGGTATCAGGTTAAGAACAGCAAAAGGCTATGTAGTTATGCCTTTTTAAGCACTTATAACATCAATAGTATGAATAAACCAACTACCGAAAGCTGAATGAACGCATTACAAACAAGTCTGCGGAAATACTTTGATCACTGTTGCCTCCAAGATCGTTTATTAGTCATTAGAAAAAGAAATTCAGCAATATCCTAAGCATATTCTGTGAATCGAGTATGCCCTGTTGCCTGACCATGCATAAATTTCGTTAGCTTTGGTACTTTTTGGTTGAAACGTTTAACGACAACTTACTGCAGCATGATTCTGTGCATCTATTGATTGATTTGTAAAGGTGGAGTTAGTCATGAATGTGCACCCATTGATCCAAATCAGCCTTACCTTTCTCTCCCTTCAAACCCGTGCTACATTGCTCACACTTCAGAGTAAAGTTAGCAATGTCAGTAAATTTGTGGCTCTATATTACCATGCAAAGAGGTGATGAATACACGCCACATACAATCCACTTTCGAGACACTTACTTTTCTGAGTCCATCGACCAATTGTTTAGCAGCATCGAGTACAAAGTCCTCGCTAACTGGAAATCTAGTCTGATCAAAATCAGGAGGGCTATCGGCTGTGGGTGTTAATGCTAGCGCATCGTAATCTATACAAACCAATCAGCCCTCTTGGTCTTTCAATAACATCACAACATGTAGGCCAACATACGAATACCGCTGTAGACGATCAAAACTCGTTCATCAAAAGATCCCTCGCCAAACTTGTCTATGCGGCCAGTTTGAACATCAATGCTATCGATTTCTGAAGCAGGAACATCAGTCTCAAATGCCTCATTCGGAACAGAGATCAAATTACTTACCAACACCAAAATAAGCAGAAAAAATCGCAAGTTCTAGTAGATTTTCAGTCATGGTCAGATGAAGCATTGATTGTTTTTCATACCAATTCCTCCTCCCCAAGAGTTTGATTTCTGGATCCATTCCATGTATTTGTCTATTGGGTAGATCTATCAATCTATTGAAGCTCACGAGTACATGTTGCAAGGCTTACCTCTTGGTTGCCCCAGAGTGACATCAGAGTACATGACTGGATCGTTCTTGATGCCGTTCACAATGACTAGAAATACTCGCTCAGTGGTGAAATCACACAGTTAACAAATGACGTATCGTACCTTGCCTAAGCTCTGGGGATATGGTTGTGTCTCTTCGCAATACATAGCTTCAAGATGGTCTTTAATATATACACAAAGCATCTCAATACTGCATCTGGATTTACCCTACATAGTAAACGAGGGATTATGAGTCACTGTAACTATTGCCATACATTAAACATTACCTATTGATCTGAATAAGCATGAATTGTCATCTTCCATGACCTAATTTAATAGATTTAATCAGTTACTCTAGCAACATGGCTTGATAGAAACATACTCTCAACTGCAAAATTCCATTGACTGTTTGCACAGAGCCCTCTTTAAGAGCCTTCAAGGTACGCAATGGTGCATTGCTGCTTGCTGTACTAGATGGCTGTTGTTGCTGCTGCTGCTGCTGCTGTTGAGAGATCGGTGTATCTACCAATTTGATGTTCAATGTATCTCCATCCCTTAATCCAGCATCCTTCAACTCTGTATTCATATCATTCAATGGCTTTGGCGGATATCCTCCTGAGACTACACAATTTCAAATATGCATTAACAATAGAAATTTAGAGTGATGGCCCATGATGTTTTACTCTGAATGTCCCGAGTAGCGTCAAGAGAGATTGCATTCCTGATAGCGTCTTTCAGTATGGAAACAGTGTCCTCTTGCCTCACATCCGAGAGGGTTGTCATGCCTTCCGCGTGCCTTATACGTAATCTCATAATATAAACAAAAGAGAAAGTGTCTTTTAATTGCACAGAACACATTCTTCCGCGTTGTGTTTATATTGTGGTGTTACAAATAGCAGGTCGCCGGAACTCGCTCAAGTTCTCGTGAATCGCTCTTCTGAGTCTCAGTGACGAGTAGTAGGAAAAAGAACATGCCTTTCCAAACAAGTGCTCACTTTTATTTTTTTCTCTCTCTTTTCTTCCACAGTTCATATAATCTGCTAATATGGATAATATCGACGACCTTATTCTTTCATTAACTGATAAACAAGCTGAAGATGCCAGAAGAAGAGATCACGCGTCAAACAGATCATCCAAGAAATCTAAGAAATAGTGAGTTGTATATCTCGCAAATCTGTTCTGGTATTGATTGTGTATATGGCAACAGCTTATCAGAATCTGAAGACGATGAAGGTGCTTATTCAGATGAGGACGATGTAGGCATTGACGACGACGAGGATATGGAGGACATTGATGAATATGGTCCTGATTTGTACAAAGACGAAGACGATCGCAGAAGGTTTACGATACATTGAACGAGAAAAAGGACTACGCACTGACAATGTCTCGACAGATTACAGGCACTTCCTGAAGTTGAAAGAGAAAGAATTCTTGCTGAGCGTTCAGAAGAAAGACAGAGAAATTTGGAGCGTCTTGAAGTCAGAAAATTGCTTAAAGATGGACGCAGAGATGATGCCACCAGACGTAAGCCTTGCACATTCCTTGACAAGGTTGCAATAGCGCTAATGAGTGTCCATCGTTGTAGGTTCCACCCGTTCAAAAGGGAGCGGCACATCCAGCGCACTCTCAGAATTGACGAGACGCAGAGAGGAAAAGAATAAAGTGAGAAGCAAACGCCATCGCCGTGATTCACCCAGCCCAGACAGAAAGAGACGTAGAAGATATGGCGATCAGAGCGATTACGAGTACAGTGGAGAGGAATACAATGATTCAGAGGAAGAGACTGAAAAGAAGGTATTATGGCGGCTGTTGCTTTCCACACGTCGCGGCATGATTCTAAATGACATTTGCTACAGGCGAAAAAAAGAACACCCAATTTGGAAGAGATTCAGTCAGTCTCTGTCTCAAGAAACATGATTGAGAAATGGATCTTTGCCCCCTTTTTTGAGAATACAGTCATTGGTATAATATCAGGATGCTTACCATTGCAGTAATTTCAATTACTTATGTCTTGAACAGGCTGTTTTGTACGTTTATACATTGGCCCTGATCCACAAAAGAAGGTGCCCGTTTATAGACTGTGTCAAATCATCGATGTTGTCCCATGGCACAAGACATACAAAATAGGCGAGAGCACCCATAGCAACAAGGCCCTCAAAGTCAAGCACGGTAAAGCAGAGAAGGATTTCCCCATGGATATTGTGTCAAATCAACCCGTCACACAGCAAGAATTTACTCGCTTCCTAACAACACTGGAGAGTGATCGTGTCCGTGTGCCTACCATTGATCAAATCGAGCAAAAGGCAGCAGACCTGAAGCAAGCCAAGGAGTATGTATTGAATGACAAGGAGGTGAATGAAATGATTGAAAAGAAGAAGGCTGTCAAGGGTTCATCTGTCAATGCAGCCATGGAGAAGGCTCAATTGCTTGCTCGTTTGGAACACGCCAAAGCACACAACGAAGTTGAAAAAGTACTTAAATTGTCAAGAGACTTGAAGGAATTGGAAGAGAGAATTGCGCTTGCTGAAGGTGCGCATCAAAATGTGTGGGCTGATATCAATAGCAGAAACAGAAACAGAGATAGAATTGAAGTCCATGAAGCTGAGCGTCGTGCAACTGAAGCTAGAAGAAGAGCACTGTTGGAGAATACGAAGGCTGCTGCTGCTGCTGCTGCTGCTGCCGCTGCCTCCAGTCAACCTGAAGGTGTCTCCTCAGCGACCACAACCGCATCCACTATCAAAGAAACGTAAGTACTTATGAGATGTTGAGTTATCTACTTGACTGACACACTTCGTTATCACTCAGAGCTACTGATTCATCTTTAATGCCAATGGAGAAAACCGGCAGACCTTTAGCCAAGTTGATCACATTGAGCAAGCATGCATTAAATGTTGGTGAGGCTACATCTTATCAGACTGAATACGAAAAGCTTGTTAGTAAGGTAGCCATGGAGGTTCGTATTGAGCTTTTGGAAGATAGCCCGGCATGATACATCTGTAACATATATATATATATATATATATATCGTGAATAAAGCTTATTCAAATTATCATGATGGATGGCATTCCTCAAAAATGTAGACATTTGATTGCGACATGCTCTTTCTTGAAAGGGTGGATTCCATGTACAGAAACAATTAAACTGGCTGATTATACAGTTTAATATTATTTCTGTGTCTCGACATGTACGCTTGTATTTTGTGGTTCTCATGTTTGTGTATTGAAGCATGACACTATGATTTCAATCCATTCAAAGCATGTGTGACTTTATTGGCGACTCAAATAAATAGATTGTCATTCACTCTGTCTGTTGTATTTCATGTTTATATCACTTTAATACTACCTCTTCCATTTCACCTCCACCTCTTTTGCATTACACTGTACTAACTCAATGGTAAAACTCATCATTTACATACACGCTTGAGCCAACGCACATCTCACATCTGAACACAGGCTGTAGTTACTCAAGACATCAAAATATCATGTCATAACAGTGTTATCAAGGGCCATGGTGCCAAGTCCAACGACGGCCATCCATGGAGAAACTGGAAAATAACGCTGGTTGCCATGGATGGAGAACGAGAGGTCAAGGGCAAACTGGCCTTGATTCTGGACCACGTTGAGTACATTCTTCATCCCACATTCGAAGAGCCACGCAGAGGTGTGTCTTTTCTACATCAGTGAAAAAGTGCTGGATACTCATAGTCATTTGTTTCTAGTCAAGAAAGAGGAACCTTACGTTTTGCAGGAAAAGGGATGGGGAGAATTCGACATGCGAGTCGTCTTGTACTTTACAGACAACATCACTGATCCGCAGGTGCTCTTGTTTGACTTGAACTTTGCATTAGCATCTTATTCCATTACACACAGCATCGAGTTTCCCAATGCATCGCCAGAGCTCGTTAAATTACTGTCCAGAGACCCTTCTTCAGCATCTGCTTCCGCCGCAGCGTCAGTAGCATCAACGCCTCGTAAAGGAGGAAAGAAACCTGCTCCCAGCACTTGCACCAGTGAAATCAGACAAGCGAAAAAGAAGCCCCTCAGTTCCAGTCCACACAGCAAAACTGCCAAAAAGGCGAAACCAGACACCAAATACACCGCATCTGTTTCGTCCAAGAAATCAAGGAAATCCTCTACATCCTCCTCTTCACCTGCACCTGTGTTTGCCCATGTAGGGGCAGCAGCAGCTACACCACAATCTCCTGTCTATGACCAACCATCCCCCTCCGATTACTCTACCCATTCTTCACCGTCCCTCATTGCCACATCCACACCGGATCGTCCCCCTGAAGAAGAAGAAGAAGAAGAAGAAGAAGAAGAAGAAGAAGAAGTTGAAGAAGAGCCGACGAAAGCAATGCACAGCCGGCCTTCCTCAGACAGTTCTTCCAATCGACTCATTGATCACACGTACAAAATAGCAGATGTCTACAACCTAAATCCGATTCATCATGCCAAATTAGACAAGCTGTTACGAGATAAATGGGATATTCCAGATGTAAGTCAGGCTGACCCCTTTGCGTGTCATGTTGAAACTGAATGATTTTTGTGTGTGTGTGTGTGTGTGTAGATTAATATGATGGAATTAGCGAAAAGAATATATAGAATGTCACCAGAACAGACGACAGAATTTAGAAGCTTAATATTTGACAATACACCAGAGGGCATGAAGACGGTGATTGATCCAGGTGTGTACCAGTAGCAATGAGCATTTCATAGGATAGAATGGCTAATGTATACTGTGTTAGATGGCAATGTAGGCATCGACCTCTATTCACTGGGAAAACCGCTGTTGGAGAAATTGTGGGATTTTTTAGCAGACATGGCATCCGATGACAATGAATCGTTTACATCACAAGATCACCATGAAAGCGACCTGGAATTTGACAGCGATGTTGAGTTGGGAGAATACAAAAGCGACGACAATGGCAACAGCCATTACACAGACATGAATGAGCCTGGCTATTTTCATCAAAGTGACATGGAAAGCGATTACACGGATCCACATACCAACCACAAACAAACCAATGGGTATCACCCTTATGCACACCCTGCTGCTGCTACTGAGAATGGATACCACGATAATTCAGACATGGATATACAGGACGATGATGATTACTGATCCGCATCTTTTTTTTTTTATTTATGGCAGAAGGACAGATGCGTATAATAAAGAACAAAGGTACCAGCCCTCGCTTAGGTTGACATCGATTTCCAACTGTTCTTTATGCTGTTGCGAGCATAATAGTAGGACGATGGTAGCATGAGCTCTTTTTTGCTGATTGTTTGCTGATGCAGAAAGAGTTCCTTTTCAGTGAGCGGTATGCTAGTGAGGTATGCAGACGATGGTGGAGCTGATCCGAGCGAGCCAAGTGTGGATGAGGATGATGTCGAGTAGGATGATTTGTCACTGTTGATTGATCCGGATCGGCTTAGTGTAGATGATCGCTGTTGTTGCTGTAGCGCCACCTCCAAATCACTGATTCTTGATTTGGCTGCTGTTAGTTGCTTTTGAAGCTCACAGTAACAAGTCAGAGTGTTGTTGGATGGCGCACCACTGCAACTGTAAGCATGCCATGATGGATTTGGCTTGATTTGTTGATGTTGCTGCTGCTGCTGCTGCTGCTGCTGTGTTAAATGCTCAATCTGTTCTTTTAGCAGTGTGTTGTCCTTTTGCACATGTGATAATGCCAATACCAGATCCTCGATCTGCTGATGTAGTACCCGTGTTTCATCGCCCTTTGTTTGTTGCTCCTGTAGATCCATAGCAGATGTTGCTGGCTTTGATCTTTTGATTGTACCAAACCAGCCTTTAGGTCGCTTGCGTGATTTGCCATCAGTGGATGGCTTGGGTATATGTTGCTTCTTGCTTATGCTGTTATTCCTCAGAATAGTGTACTGTTCCTCCAATGCGTCTAGTTTGCTCCTTGTCACAATGTCTCTGTACTCGACTGAATGTTGGATAACGGCATCAAAGCTATTTAGAAAAGGTGTCATCAATTGTGTCGATAGATAATTCATGACGTCTTCAAATTCGGTGAGGGCGACAATAGGATGCGTTGATTTCTTGAGCAAAGCGAGTGCTATCCGCATGACAGTTTCAGTAACACCTTCAGCCAACATGATGTCGTATATGCGAAAGATGAGCGGAAGCGGTAATATGTAAGCAAAGACAGTAAGAAACCATTGTGAGGCATACATTTGAGGATGGATGCCCTGAGCGCTCAAGAAGGCATGTAGCTCAGGTATTTGCTCCAGTAACAGCACATCGAATTGGAACAAGCAGAGGTGAAGCCCTTCCATTCTCAGCGTGAAAAGTGTTCTCAGTCCGTAGGTCTCCATCAGACTGCATGTTGCGCGTTAGTATCCATAAATCAGGCATAAATCAATTTCATGAGCCATTACCGTACAAACACACAAAACGCATCTTCCTCGGACATCTACAGAATAGATGAGACCACGGCGATACACAGGCCATCCACCCTATATGTACTTACTTGAAGTAGTAAGGGACCCACCAAGAATGCAAGGCCCTGACAATAACCCACATCCGCATCATACAGACTATAAGCACGCAATACACGTTCCAGTGCCCTTTGTCCGCTCTCTTGACCAAACATGTCTGAATGTGGAAACGTCCTTGATACATCTCGCTGGATCAGCTTTTCATACGGTGAGGGTTCATTCTTCAATTGACGATACAAGGGCTCCAAATGTAAGGCGTGGGCGCTGGATAGCGCTTTCCATACAGCGCCTCGCATGTGGGTAGGTTGAATGCCTGCCCTGAGTTTTGTTATCAACAAGACATTGAAAGATGGTTCTCTATTGGGGTAGGTGTCAGCCACAGCTAACCAAAAGGTCTCGTCTTGCTGCTGTTGCTGTTGATCACAACTCGCATCTCGTTTTTTGCATGGATCCACTGTAAGTGCATGATTTACTCCTTGAATATCATCATCATAGACAAGTAGATCAAGGGGATTCCTGTCATTGTGAAGCTAAATGGCATTACAAATGTCAATGATTGCATCAAGAAGAGCAGAGATTCATATGGGCTGAATATACCTGATACTCTCTAGGTTGCAATGAGAGTGTGGCAAGTGTAGAATGCAACTGATTCATATCATTGGCGGTGGGATAAATACCAAGTGTGTCAAATGATTTTGCTGCCATGTCTCTATTGTATTCAAATGTCCTGCCCCTGGTTTTGGAATTCATGTTGTATAGTGATAAAATAGCAAAAAGATAAAACTGGTTCAATCAAAAACACATACAGATACTGTATTTATATTAGAAAAAAAAAAAGGTTCATTTGTATGATGGCATATCATTTGAGTTGCCATGGGTACCGTCGACAGCATGAAGTGACCCAATGCTGGTTCAATCTCAGTGCTGTTTTAGTGTGTAATGCAATGTTTGGATCGTACAAAATGTTACCATATTTGTATGCAACTTGGAAAGAAAAAAAAAAGCTCCTTTATGAAAAATTTCTTCTAGTATAAAGGGGATTCTATCCCCAAGGAGACGCAGCGTGTGTAAGGGAGAGGATTGCAAGTGAGGAGTTCGTAGACGGGATTAGTATAAATACCACCTCTTGCTTGGTTTAATCATTTCAGACATACTGTAACGATGAGACGAATCAGTGTATACGGTCTCTGTGTGCTTCTACTTACTGCTCTTTTGACATGGAGCACACTTGTCCAAGCAGCCATAGCGATACCCAGATCATACATAGTAGAATACAGCACCAACGGCCAGCATAACACCGTTGATTCAGAGCTCGCACCTTACAAAGACTTGTATCAAATTCACCATGTATACTCATCACGACTATTCCATGGCATGTCGTTTACATTGAAAGATGATCCAGCTGTTACTGCGACTTTTGTTGGTGCTGGTATCAACCCAGTATCGTATACTCAAGTCGACAAACTTCATCCAGTGTACACGCATCTGGAGCAACATCCAGTGATCAAGAACATTTACCCTATTTACGAGGTGCCTCGGCCTCAATGGCAGCCAAACCAACGCAATGTCACTTTTCCCTATAGCAATAACGATGTACAGATATACGATATTCATCAAAAGCTCGGCATCCAAGGTCAAGATGTGTTAATTGGTGTTTTGGATTCAGGTAATTTAGATGAGCAGTTTATACCTCCCCTATTTTTTTTTTTTAAATAATCGAGGGATATTTGGTATTATGTTTTTTCCTTATTCATCACCTTTTTTTTTTTCTCTCTAAAAAAAAATACAGGCATCGATTACAATCATCCTGCACTAGGCAAAGGGTTTGGACCAGGTCATAAAGTCAAGGTGGGTAAAAATCTGGTGGAGCCCTCCAATGATGAGAAATTCGGGATTGAATCCTTGGGTGAAGATGATCCGTTTGATCCTTGCACGATAGCCGATTCAGGTAAACCCTAGAGCGTATTCCACACCTTTTCGTGTAGATTAAATGGTGATGCTGATAGGCCATGGCACTCATGTTTCGGGTATCATTGCAGGATATGACCCTGAAAAGGTAGCATCATAATAAACCAATGCAGTGTGATTTGTTGACTCACAGGGTGGTAGAACTTTACTGGCATTGCCCCCAAAGCAAATCTGGCTATATTCCGCGTATTTGGCTGTGAAGGTGGTGCTGGGGAAGATACCATTATTAAAGCCATGGAAATGGCCTACGAAGCCGGTAAGTGATGTATGATTTCAATCTAAAGTTGATGCTCAATTCTTCCTTGCAGGTTGCCAGGTCATCAATCTCAGTCTTGGTATAGAAAATAGTTGGCCTGAAGATGCCATGGCTGTCGTTGCAGAACGTCTAACCAGACAAGGCGTCATTGGTAAGTGTGGTTTAGTGTGCCTGGGTGGATCCTCGATGTACTTATACGGCATCAAACAAACAACACAGTGGTCGGAGTGGCCGGTAATCAAGGCAGTGATGGCATCTACTCTCAGAATTCGCCTGCTTCTGGAAAGCATGTTGTTTCAGCAGCGTCCATTGACAACTCGTTCTATCTCTCCAATGTCGTGCAATTCAGTATCATCACTGATATATATTTCCGTAAGTCTTAGGCAGTTGTCTATTCAACAGGATACTAAACTAGTCAACACCAACAGCCTATGTTCCATCGTCTACCACCACAAGCTTTCCTAATGGCACGATTGCGCCTATTTTATCCGAGGACAGTTCCATTCCCTTTGGCTGCCAGAACGATACGTCCATCACACCAGACAATGCCAAGGGTCAAGTACTGTTTTTAAAGCGAGGCAAATGTACATTCAGTGAGAAACTGGAGAAAGCCAAGCAAATGGGTGCCATTGCCGTTCTTTTTTACGATCCCGATGTTTCATCCAAGGCGGTGGTGGTCGCTAAAACAGAAGAGGGCAATTTACCATGTGCTGGTATCGAGCTCAAGGCAGCCACTCGTCTCATTCAATACATGCAAGAAAACGGCACAGCCAAGCCTATACACATTGGATTCCCAGACGAGCAAAAGATCATCTTTCCTGAAACAGCAGGTCGCATCTCTGAATTCTCCAGCACAGGCCCTAATTACGAGTTGGATCTAAAGCCTTCAGTTACTGGCATTGGAGGCGATGTCTACTCTACTCTACCGTTGCACGTTACTGGTGGCTGGGGTGTCAGATCAGGCACGTCCATGGCCTCTCCGCATGTAGCTGGTGCTGCTGCCCTGTTGGTCAATTACTATGCTCAGCAAAAGATCAAGACGACACCAACGTACATTATGGAACAGTTGCAAAACCACGGTCGACTTATCTTGTCTGATAATGGCAGAATAGAGAATCCAGTGGTGCAAGGAGCAGGGTTGATTCAACGTACGTATGAATATGATCTTTTTTTTTTTTTTTTTTTTTTTTTTTTTTTTTTTTTTTTTTTAGCGTATCTCATGCTCAACCTATCGGTATATTTTACCATACTAGCTTACGATTCCATCATGAGCAAATTGCATATTTCTCCTGCTCAGATCAGTTTCAATGACACCGCGTCCACCACCTACAAGGCACACACAATGGTCATTGTCAATTCAGGAGATGCACTTATCGGCATTGCACTGAGCAACATTCCATCGCAGTCCATTCAATCGTACGCCAACACATCCAGTTTCATTCCAACGGAGCCAGTGATTAAAAACGGCTCTGTCACGGTGGATCTCGACTTTTCATCTACCACCATAAACGTTCCTGCCAACTCTCAAATCGAGGTTACTATCCGAGTCGTTTTACCGGATCCCAACAGCCAGACATACCACTATCAAATGTATGGCGGGTTCATTGCCTTGACCCAGGTCGACACGCAGGAGCGCTTAGCAACTGTGCCTTACTTTGGAATTCTAGGAAGAATGATTGACGTACCTGTTTTTGATCGAGGATACCCTTATCTGGCTGTTTCCAAAGAATCCGATGCCAAGCTGGATCCCATCCACTCCTACGTCTACGACATGAATAGAAAAGTCAGTACCAAGCCAGCTGTCGTGATACGCTTACTGTCTGGCACAGCTCAGATGAACATGGATGTGTATCATTCCAATGGCACATGGATGGGCGCCATGGACGGCGGACCCTGGGTTTATAATCAGCGAAACAAGTTATCGCAGGAGAATTATGACACCAGCATTGCTTGGAATGGAAAGATCGTCGCATCCGATAAGACGATACAAGTGCCAGATGGCGACTACTACATTCAACTAAGGGCATTGAAGCATTTTGGCAACGCTGACAATGCAGTGGATTGGCATGAATGGAAATCAGGATTGATTCAAGTCAAGTCTTGATGCAACGCATTTCGATCGGAATTTTCTATTTTCCATGTCTCTTGTAAATGATAAGGTTAGGCCTTTCCCGAGGAAATAAAGGCTGCATTGCTAGATCCAAAGCGATGCTTCTTTTTTTCGTTTTTCTTTCTCCCTCGTTATATCAATAAACACATCATGAAGATATCCCTACTATCCATTGCTGTACTACTATGTCTGTCCAGTATTCATGCAGAATCACAAGATCAGCAACAAGATGCCTATCTGGCATCCATCATGGCCAACCCCAAATTCAAGCCAAATACACTGGGCAATGTAATTCCCGGCCGATTCATCATTGAATTTGAGCAAGACTACAGAGGATCCTCGCTTGAATTTGTAAACGACATTGAATCAGAAATCGACATCAGTCCTCGCATCAAGATGAACATTGCGCAAGACTACAGCTCATCGCCCTCGCTGTTTCGGGGCGTCTCCATCTCCATTGATCAGCCTAGCAGCACCTTGCAAAAGAGATCCGAGCAAGAGCAGGAACTGCACATGCAGTCTATCCATAACACGGTGCTACGGAAAATATTAGAGCAAAACCGCGTGAAGCACATCTATCCTGTCACTGAGATCCCAAGACCCAATGTCCAACAAATGTCACCCACTATAGACGCCTACGCTATCGATCAAGACAGCCAGATTATTCCAGGGGCACCCACGCTGGAGCTTCCAGACAACGGGCTACCACTGCCATTCTCACATGCCATGACCCAGGTAGACAAAGTGCATGACAAATACAAGGGAAACGGTGTATTGGTCGGAATTATTGATTCTGGTATTGACTATCGTCATCCTGCGTTTGGAAGTGGATTTGGCCCAGGCTATCAGGTGCGATTTGGCTATGATTTGGTGGGCAATCAGTTCAATTCAAGAGATCCGCTTTCGAGAAAACAACAAGAGACTCCTTTAGATACTTGTCTAGATGGAAACGGTAAGAGTTGTCGTCTTTGCTGTAAATGAATTGCAAATCTGATGGACAAATCAACAGGTCATGGAACGCATGTAGCTGGTATTATTGCCGCTAATGACAAGATGTTTGTAAGTATCCTCGCCAATTGAGTAGCTATATGTAGCACCCTATGTTGACCCCACACATGACAGAACTTTACAGGCGTAGCTCCAGAGGTTACGTTGGGTGCTTGGAGAATTTTTGGTTGTGATGGCGCCACTTCAAATGATTTGGTGATTCAAGCGTTGATCAGTGCGCATGAAGCCGGTTGTGATATCATTAATCTCAGTCTGGGAAGCTCCAGTAATTGGGCAGATGATCCCACTGCTATCATTGCAAATCGAGTGGCAGAGAGAGGTTCCATTGGTGAGTGTATTACTGAAAAGAGCGAGGTTTATTGCGTACTAACACACAGGCTACAGTGATTGCTGCTGCTGGTAATGATGGCTTTGAAGGCGCATTTTTCATTTCATCGCCTGCTAGTGGCACTGGGTCTGTGGCAGTTGCATCCATGGATAACGAGTACAACCTTCAACAAGCAGTGCAAGCAGACAACGGTGCAGAGTACCGTAAGTTATCGCATGCAGCAATGTACTCAACCAATAACTAATGCATGCGTATAGCCTATCTATTGTCCAGCACAACCAAGGAATTTCCATCAGGAAAACTAGTCAACTATATCAACTCTGAATCAGCCGAAGACGCCTGTCCAGGCACCAGACCCAACAACTCTCTCAAAGACAAAATTGTGCTTGTTCAACGAGGTAAATGTACATTTGATGAAAAAGCTGACATGGTGGAGCAATACGGCGGTGCTGGTATTGTGGTGTACGATAACCAAGAAGAACCTGGCTTCAAACCACAAACACTGACATCCAAGCTGCCCCTGGCGTCCATCTCGATGAGCGCAGGCAAGGAATTGAAACAAAGGCTCAATACCAACACAACACTGGCCACGGAGGGCATCCAACTTACCTTCAAGACAGCACTGGCGCCTCAGAAAGTACCTACAGCGAGAAAGGTGTCCAAGTTCTCCAGTGTAGGTCCATTGTATGACATGAGCTTGAAACCTGATCTGGGTGGCCCTGGTGGCTACATTTTCTCTACATTGCCCATCCCCAACGGTGGCTATGGTCTGCTATCGGGTACATCTATGGCTGCCCCTTATATTGCAGGCGCATACGCCTTGTTTTTGGAGGCACATGGCAAGAATGTCACTGCTCAGTATCTCAAAGAGCACTTTCAAAACTATGCAAAACCTTCCACAACTACTCATGGCATCTATCTCGATAATCCAGCTCGCCAAGGCGCAGGCTTGATTCAATGTAAGTGTTCCTCATTTGATTTAAAGCACGGCAATTCTAACGCTTGCCATCACAGTGCTGGATACAATTCACCAATCTGTGCATGTCTCTCCTGGATCCCTCAGTTTCAACGACACTGCCAACATCAAGCCTCAAACACTCAAAATCACTAACCCATCGAACCGCTCAGTCACCTACAGTGTCAGCCATCATCCCAGCCTCGCCATTTCACCTTACAATACAACACTGCAAGGCTTTGCACCTCTGAATCCTCCTCAATACGCTGCTGAAAAGGTCAAGGCAGATATCGAGCTCTCATTCACACATGTCACATTACGACCTGGACAATCGGCTAACTTGAACCTAACCGTTAAACGCATTGGAGGCAATCATGTAGATCAGCCCTACCCCATCTATGGTGGATTCGTTGAATTCTCTCCTGTCAACAATTCTGCGCTGAGATCTATCCATGTGCCTTACGTCGGTATCCGAGGCTCCCTTGCTGAACTTCCCATCTTTGATAACGGATTCCCTCGACTCTTGTTAACCAACAGCACGCTCTTGTTTGAGAAAGAGGTGGGCAATGGAAAGACCATTGTTGGTTTTGTCATTGAGCGATCCAGCTTTCTCTCGTCGTTTGTCACATCCACTTTCCGTTTACTCACGGGTACATCTTATATCGTCACTGAAGTGTTGGATGCCAATATGACCGAGATTGGTGTGTTCTCAGAAGACAGTTACTTGTCGAGAAATACATTGCAAGAGCAAGATTTCATCTTTACACAACGTTGGAATGGTACTGTCATCCCCACGGGATCGGATAGCAATGTCGTAGAGGCAGAGGCAGTGAAGCCTGGGCTTTACTTTTTGAGATGGAAGGCATTGAAGCTCATGTCAGATGCTTCTCGTCCTGAGAGCTGGTTTACAAAGGTGTCTCCACCTATCTTGATTAGAAACTAGACAGATTAGATTGTTAATAAAATTACTGAATACAATGTACAGACAGATTCTTTGCCCGAGACTCATGCGATCAGCACTTTAATCAGGGGAGTTTGTATTGATGAGTTGAGCTAAAGGCTAATCATTAGAAGCGTTTAGAGAGACGGTTAGGAGGAGGATTAGGCTGTAGAAAAAAACAAGTCCATGACATTAGCAACAGGTAAATGTTTGATCTGCTATACAGTCAAAAGAGAAAAGCTTACATCAATGTGTATTATATAGTGAAAAGAAGAGAAAGAGAGAAAACACCAACAGTGGTTACATACATGATCAGATTCAGCATACAAAACCTTCAAGTGACATTGACTTTGGCAAAGACAACATGCGTTTCATTATAAAAGTGCCTATCGTTTAAAACGATACTCATCAAAGATCAATCTTGTGAGACATAGCCTACCAAGCCGGATTGATCACTCAGTTTGACAATGAGAGAAAGTTGCAAATCCTAAATGAATCTCTCACTTCAACCTCGTTTTGTGAGCATGCATTTGAAGATAAAACTGCTTATCGAGCAGAAGAAGGAAAGCACAAGGTTGATTTACAAGCGATGCTGGTGCAGGCACTGTCGATATTGCCTCATTCGTAGCCACCAAAGCCTTGGAAGAGAACAAAAGTTTCCCACGATGCCAACTGACTACTGATACTGGTGAACGATGTGGATCAACGTATCTTGACGAGAGGATGAAAGAGCTGCTCATGAGAGTCTTGTTCAGGCCCAATGACAAGACCATTTACCACTCGGAAGAACAGAAACAAGAGTTTGGTAAGCTTGGATTCATTGACTACACTGCTGAGGAAAGAAAGGAGCTTGATATCATCGTCGCTGATGTATTGAAGCAATTCAAAGAGGAACAGGGTTTGAAGGTAGAAATCAGCACTATCAGGACATTCACCAGACTTCATTTAACAAGTCGAACTTGTTTTTTTTTTGTAGTACAGTTTTCCTGCTTCAGCCTCTTGTGAGAACATTGATCAAACGCCAACTAAAAGCAGTAGTGATAATGATACTGAGTCAGAGGGCTCTTATTCTTCTTCTGATAAAAAACGATGGAGACAAGAGCGAGAAAGAGGTGGAGGAGGAGGAGGGATAAGGCAAAAAAGAAAATAACCCTCACCGAGAAAGCGGTAAAACACGCAACAACTATAGTAAGATTCTTTACTACTAGAGCCAAATTTTAGTTACCACCTTATAATTTCGTACCTCAACGTTGTTCAAAAAGATGGTATTCCAAGCTATTAGCGAGGCCATATACGTAGAACATCCAACTTCTGAGACTGGTCAGAAGCTTCTTCAAGTTCCCTATGAAACAATGCGAAATCTAGTCCTTGCCCGTAGCAAAGCGAAGGTGCAAAACCATAGTGTTCAACAAGTAGCAAATTCGGCTTTCATTTCCATTATTAATAAGCTTACCAACAACAAAACGCATCAAAATTTGCATGAATTAACCTTACCAAAATCAGTATGCCTTCTATTCAAACTAGAAATTGCACAGGTTGCAGACCCCCCCCCCTCCCAGAATATTCCAACTGCCAAAGATGTGATACATAATACCGTCTATAAAGCAATACATAACCAAATTTGACAGCTTTCAAGCCTTCATACCTTGAAATGTAGACCATTCTGAGCCACCGGAATCACGCCAAACAGTTGTACTTGAGTAGTAGTAACTTCTCGACACCTTTGCTCAACTTTTTGGGACCAAAAAAAACATGATGAAAAATCGACCAAAAAGCATGTGGTACCCCTCATGGTTTTCATCGAAACTCAAACGATCGCATTTTTCACCTTGAAAATGAAGACTTTTACTATGGTATATATTAAATCAAAATGTTTCTCTCAATTCAAAGCAATCTCTGAAACCACTTTTGTGAGGCCTTCATATGCAAAATTTCGACGTTTTTGGCCAAAAACCTCATTTCGTATTTTCTAAAATTGCTCAAAAAGTTCAGTCAAAACATCTATTTTACTTGGCACCATTGGAAACGCCTTGAAACGTACTCCAAGAATGTGTTAGGAAGCGTTGGATGTTCACCTCAATTTATATAGTCGAATCATTCAGAATAGATTTTAGAAGTCGAAAAAAGCCAATGTTGAGCAGAAAAGTTTTTTTGAGTTTTAATTCATCCTTGCCCTGCTGGCTAACCAAAATGCCTTTTTGATGATAACAATGGTGGTTGGGATGCTGATTAAATGAGGGTCATGAATTTAAAATAACAATCGCTTAGCTTGAATACTTTACTTTGCTTTTGTTTGTAGTTTCTCTCTATAAAGATGTCTTTGCAATGACATTCTCTCAAAAAAAAAAAAAAAAGTCTCTATAGACCTTGAAGTCCTGTATTTTCGCATGGTCTGCTTTCTATCGCCATCTCAGAGGCACCATCAACGAACGATATGTCAATTCTACTATCAGAAAACGTGGCACAAAGGGAGAATGTGGGGTACCAATGCTGCAAAGACATAGGTTCGAGATATATCTCAGAGATACCACCAAATCAAAAACTTCTCGACGAATCTATTTTGATATCCACTTGTGTACGAAGAGCAGCGAGATTCTTTTTAACGCTCAAATGAAGCCCAAAGTTACTGGCAATTATCTCTAATTTTGCCTTCCTGACAGCCTTTTAGTATCAAATGTTCTTGGAGACAATGCCATGTTGATGATTCCGGAAAGCTTAGTTAATTATGTTTTTGCTTGAGATCCACAATAAGTATGCCTTGAATTGCTCCACACAGGTACAATACCTATTCGATGTTCAACAGCAGCCATCGCAACGCATTTACACATCCTTATCCACCTTTTTTTTTTTTTTTTTTTTTTTTTTTGCTTGGTCTGATGATTTGATACTTGCTCTGCTTAATCTCGCGATTTGCTGATATTGTTGAGACTCTCCTGGCATGATATCTTGCATGAAAAGGCTTGAATGACATTTGGGAGACGTTCAAAAATGTGTATTCATCAGCCTTCATGCTTTGGTAGCACATGCATCAAATGTTGGATTTAAGGTTTAGTAACAAGGACAGCAAGAAATGTCAGCAGACATAAAATGAAGAAAAGGATCAGCTCATTAAGCATCTTGAATAAATTGATATCAAATATAATAACTCATCATTGAAATTGGATTACATAACAAAAAAGTACCTGAATCAATTTGTCGATCCCTTACATTATTATGACCATGGCTCGTGCGGATGAAAAATAGAGGTTACCCTTGCCTGCTTGATAATTGCCTGTTTGTGAATCGACAAGAAAAGGGTCTTTGTCTCTCTCTCTCTCTCTCTCTCTCTCCATCATGTCATTTGCCAAGCTCTACTAGTATACAAATCTATAAATAAAAAAAGAGGCTCGTATTCAATGCCAACCAACAACAAGGTAGACACAAAACATTGCTCCAAAAATAGTATCAGTATCTGTCCAATTTCGACCATGATTCGTACATTTAGTCAAGATGAATGCTTTGATGTATAATTCAAATGAAAACAAGCAGTACACTCTGCATTCAGGAGAGAGAGAGAGAACTGTATGTGTGCGTGTGTCAGATTAAAAGGGTGAACTTTATGCATGAATCGCACGTTTGTGTTTTCATTCTTATGTGTGTATACAGCAACAACAACATGGTTTCTTATAGAAATATTGCTGATAGCCAGCAGTGATGTCACATTGAGCTTCAAGGTGTATGTGTTTATATGCTATTATAAGCTTTGATCCAATCCGGCTTTACACTTTGATTTGGATAAACCCATTTGTCAATAGGATGTGCGATAAATGTACTGTACACATGGAAGAAAGATGCGATCGGAAGTCAATGCTTAAAAATATCATCAGAAGGGTTAAAAAAAAAAAAAAGGAGATATCCTTACCCTTCCTTCTTTCTTTAGATGCTCTACTCTGAAATTGGCTTAGATGATGAAATATGCATAAAGAAATGTTAGGTTAGAATCATTTGATATGATTGTATGCTACACAAGAAAAAGACGCTTTATTTCAACTCAGTGATATTTTGAATGGATTCTTTTGAGCAAAAGGGAGAACTGGAAAAGCGGCAGAATCAACAACAAGAGAGAGAGAGAGAGAGAGAGAAAGAGAAGCTATTCCAAAACAGACGTATTGCCCCTCTCCATCCATCTTGTATCGTGGAGAAAAGCTTCTCCCCTTGCTTTGCTCCTCCCCTAAATTTGGTGCAAAATGTATGGTTCTCCTTGATTCTAATTCCCAGCCTTTTGTTTATATGCTGCTTTTACTATAAAAGCATAAAACTAATTAGCATTTGATTCTCTCGTTCTTTTTTCTCTCTTTCTTTACCAAAACTCTCTTTTCAAATCTTTCGTGCTGGCTCACGTTACCGTATATATATACATACTCACATAAAACCAAACCCTTTCCCATTCCAAAATCCTTTATTCTTCCTAGCAAAACACAATACAAATGATGAGCATTACCATGAATAAACCTTATCCTACTTCAACAAGCGCAACCAGAAGAAGAACACACCTCAAACCAAGTCAAGTTGCTGTATTACAAGAGACATTTGTTACAAATACGCTGCCTGACGCTGCTGTTCGATCTCAATTAGCTCATGAGTTGGATGTCAGTGAACGTACTGTTCAAATATGGTTCCAAAATCGACGAGCAAAGGCTCGCAAATTGGAAGCAAGTAGTGGTGGTTCCATGTCTTCACTTGTGCCCAATGTTCGCACTGGTTGGATTGAACTACCAAAGCCAATTCAGCAACAACAACAACAACAACAACAACAACAACAACAGCACCACCATCATCATGACCGTCATCCACGTCAATCCGAACATCCATCATCAGATCAACCCAACCCCTTCCGCTCTTTCATGACAACTGACACTTTTGAAAATGAGCCAACCATCAAACGTAGACCAAGATCATGTTCCAAGCCTGAAAAGACGACCACTTTTTTACTATCAACGCCACCTCAAAGAGCCATGTCGGAAGGCATGGGCCGAGTTGAAACAAATCAAGGTACATCTCTCTCTCTCTCTCATTTTACCCCTTAAACTCGTCTCTTTTTTGATGCTAATCTTTTTCACATTTCAGATGCTAAACCAATCGTTTCATTTCCTGTTCAGGGCATCCGCATTGGTACCTGGGCAAGATTTGCAAGACAAATTAGCAGCAAGGAATGGGATCTATTCTGCTTTAGTGATCCTTCTGTACGCCAGTTGATCTGGCAAGTTCAAGACGGTGGCCATCAATTCAGAATCGAGGTTGATTTCGAGAATATCCATCAAATCAGATTGGGTCAAATCCAAAATGACATTGGCCAACTTGATATCGAGATTGAGCCTAAATCCATCATTTCATTCTCTATGCGTAGAAATAGCATTGATCAAGATTGGGTGCGTTGCAATGATTTCACTGAAAACCAACAGGCAAGCAGCTTTGAAGCCGGCTCTCATGCTCTCCAGGGTTCCCATGATAATCTCCGACAATCTCTTTTGGAACTGATCTCTCAAGCTCCTGACCTGGCTGCCAAGCTTGTCATCGTTCCAGACAACAACTATCTTTGTCGCGACTTGACAATATCCCCGTCAGCTACGCCTGAACCATCCTTCAGCAACATGAATTCAGTTGCTGCTGCTACTGCGGCTGCGGCTGCTGCTGCATCGTGGTTGGTTGATCCTGCCAAGATCTCTTGGAACCCCTATCCCCAACAACAGCAGTATGAGCAACAACAACAACAACAACAACAACAATATCAACAGCAATATCAGCAGCAACCGTCATCTTATGATGCATCCTTCTCGTGGCCACATTGGAACATGCTCCAGCAACAACAGCAAGATCCAGACCACGCACAGCATCACTTGCTGGCCAGTCAGCAACATGATCCCAGTAGTGTTGATATAAACAATTTCTTGTAACTCATGGTAAAATTGCTCTTGATAGTGTAGTACTGTTTCAAAATTCTCTCGAAATAAAATATGAATTTAGCCAGTTGTTTAAATTGCTGTTTGTTTGTTTGCGTCTGCTTTGCTTTGCTTTGCTCTGCTTTGCTTTCATTAGTGAAAGGCACCCAATCACACAATGATCACAACAGTCCGCGCGACATGATCCGTGTCTCCTTTGAGCGTGTTGCAGGCGCGCAATTGAAAATTCTTTCTTTCCATAACGTCTTTTGCAAGCATGTCTCAATTCAATGATTCGCACCGACTATTCATGCAATCCATGCTATCAAAGAAGATGGTAACCGAGCAAGAGGCCATGCATATCTATGCAAAGGTATGCGATGCCACATCCCGTAAGTAACAAGCTACACTTTCCATACAAATGTCATGCTAAATGCCCCTTTTCCTCATCCTTTTTGCAGGACCAGCAGACGTAGATTTTTCTTCATTCGTTTCTGTCCTGAACAAAGAATTGGACAAATTGGATTACTCTCTCAGATTATCTCGAAATGAACAGAATGGCATCATGTATGTGATCATGGTCAACACAAATCAAGATTCAGCAACAGAGCTCGCCACACAATACACTGCCATTGAGATGGCATATATCCGCGAACTGGTACACAATTGACATCTAGCACACAAGCAGAACACTGTGATTAATGCTGTAGCATAGTTTGATCTGATCATCAATGCAGACGACGAGAATTTCGGCACATCTTCCAGAACAGCTTTGCAGTTAGGCGGTAAAATGACACCAAAACTAGCTTCCAGAGACGTTCAGACATTGCTCGACAAACTACTAGACGATGGATGGATCGGCTTGCAGAAGGGCTGCTACTTTTTAACCACACGTTCCATTGCAGAGCTACAGGACTATTTCAAGCAACTGTATGGCGAGCGTATTCTGGAATGTATCTTTTGCTTAGACATGGTGACTATGGGCGAACATTGCGCCAATGCTCAATGCAGTGTCCGACTTCACAAGCACTGTGCAGACAGTCAATTCAACAACTCTGCTGATCCCAGATGTCCCAGTTGCAGTAGTAGATGGTCTAGAGAAAACACATTTGGTCTTGGTTTACCAGATAACGAGGAAGATGCTTGAGTATTTATTATATCCCTCTCTCTCTCTCTCTCTCTCTCTCTCTCTCTCTCTTAGCTGTATTTTTAGATGAAACTCAAACTATTATCAAGCATAAAAGATTACAATAAAACCAATATGTGTATAGATTGCTCTCATTGTATATACGTTTTTCTGTTGAGCTCTAAAATAAGATGCAAATGAAAAGCGCATGACACACAAACCATACTCTCCCACTTTATATGCAAATGTCAGTTTTATTCAACTTTAAATTTCATTGCATCTACTTCTACTCTTTACTGGCATTGCTGTCATTATTATTGTTGTTATTGGAAGGTGTAGAGGCCTCCGTATTGGCATTGGCATTAGCAGCATTATTGTGGAAATCATGAGCAAACTTTCTAACGTAATTATCCACGCATTCTCTCACATTCAAGTTGGGAATCAAGCCATCTAATCCGTTTTGAATTGTCTGCTGACAATCTTGACAAGCAAAATTATTCTCCATCAAGTGCACGCGAATACATTCATCACAAAAACTAGCACCGCAACAAGGAGTAATGGTGGCCTCTCTCAAAATACCGTTGCAGATGGGACACTGCAAGTGTTTGGGTACCGGGATAGAGTCGTACCAATCCATCAAATCGCCTGCGGATGAAACACCGAGTCCAATGGTGGTGGCTGTCTTGGCAACATGCTTATCCCAAGACGAGGAATCTGCTTGTGCCACAACAATGTCACCTTTGGGCGTTACCATCAAGCCTCCAGTACCTGCTTTCACTGCGTCCTTGGGCTCTTCAATCACTTTGAGGAAACTGCGAGGAATACCTGTGGTACGCTTGATTCTAGGATGTTTATCATAATCCTTGTCGCCATTGGTGGGACATTGGTTGATGTAGTGACCTATATGTCTATTGTCAGACACTGATGGACAGGACATTGATCATACCTGCTCACCTTTTTGACCACAACGATAGCACACATACGTCGGAGGAGGCACTCGCTGTGGCATTTGACCGTCTTTGTTGTCTGATGAATCTCTATGCGTTAATCCGCCGGGAGAACCTTGAAAACCGCCTCTTCCACCACGTCTAGCATCACCACCACGTGCATTATAAGGGATATATTGTTGTCTAATCCGTTCAAATAGATATATAAGATACAAGGCATACAACACACATAAATCAACAGAGCAAGAGAGTAATAGACAAATTTCATTTTTAATTCAATAAAATACATTACTGCTACAGCTATCTTTTCGCTCCCTTTCCCACCTCTCTCTCTCTCTCTGCCATAAAAAATGAAAAACCAGTACTTACTCTGCTAATCTCTCTTGCATTGCGCCCCATTGATCTGTTGTTTGCTGAAACATGGCTTGGATTCTAGCCTCCTCTGAATCGTCTTTGGGCTCATCGCCCTCGTTTTTGCTGCCCTCGTCTCCAGATGCAGACAGTTGCGATGATGGCTTATTCGCTGGGTGAGGTCGTTGTGCATTTAGCACCATGTTTCGGCCTCCACTCAAATGGGGAGGGCCACCTGAATTGCCACTGCCACTGCCGCCTGGTGCGTTGGATGGCCCTCCCTTCATGATCCCAAATCCTCCTGCCCCCTTTCCATCCGTCGGTAACACGCCCAATACATATCGCTGTGCTGTTCCTTTACCAGGCCGTGCTGCTGGCAATCGTCTCACAATGACAGATGTGTTTCTGGGCACAACAAACACATCGTCCTTGTATTCTGTAGCCCCTCAAGTTAGTGGACTGCGCATGTGTGTCATCTCAAGCTGACTCACCTTCGTCTGTCTGTGCATTGTAAACAGCAATGTCGAATTCAGTGCCTTTTCCAAACTTCTTTGCTCGAATGATCTCGCGTTTTAAATCAAAGACAGTAGCTCCTGGTCCATCAAATGTGAATACATCGTAATCCGAGTCTTTGGCTGATCTAAGCTTATAGTAAATAACAGACATGCTTTGCTGTAAAAGTGGTGGGGGGGAAGAAAAGAAAAAAGAAGCAAGCAAAGATTTACTCCGGACTTGGGTCTTTTTTAAAATAGCTTCCCTCTGTCAGTCATCAGTCTTTTTCTGACGGCTTCTTTCTTAATTTTCTTGTAGATTCACCATGGCAAACTACGATACTGTCATTCTCGATATTGAGGGAACAATCACCCCCATCACGTTTGTTAAGGAGGCTTTGGTAATGTCATATAGACGCTGCTTTGAAATGGGACATTAACATTTGAGTAGTTTCCCTACGTTACCTCTGGTTTATCCGCCTTTTTAGACAGAACCTGGAAGACGGATGAACTCAAAAAGCAAATTGAGCTGTTGCGTGAACAGGTAAGCAGTGCGTATGTAATCTTTCAACTTGGATATTGAAAGCCTCGCTTGATTTACTAGGCCAAGAAGGATGTGGATGCCAAGATGGAGCAAGCTGTCAACATTCCTACTGAGTCAGAAGCGTATGTAAGTTGAAATGCATGGAGGCACACGAGATTGACATTTATAATAGATCTGCAGAGCAGATCAAATTTGCCGTGATTGAAACCATCTCTTGGCAAATGAAGGCAGATCGCAAGATTGGTGCTCTTAAATCCTTCCAAGGCTACATGTGGAAGGAAGGCTATGAATCCGGTGTGCTACGTGGTGTGTAAGTGTTGTATTGGCTCATGCTGTACGCAATCATGACTTACAATCTCATCAGTGTCTACGATGATGTCGTGCCTGCATTAGATCAATGGAAGGTAGCTGGAAAGAAGATCTACATTTACTCATCTGGCAGTGTTCCAGCTCAAAAACTATTGGTTGGGTATTCAACAAAGGGTGATTTAATGAGTGTAAGTTGGCGTGAATGGATCAGTAACGGAATATGTGTGTATTGACATGTGCATGTGCGTGTTTGGCAGTACTTTTCTGGCTACTTTGACACTGCTGTCGGATTGAAGACAGAAAGCGCATCTTACAAGAACATTGCTCAACAAATTGGAAAGGAGAATGATACCAAGAGCATTTTGTTTGTCACTGATAACATCAATGGTAAGACTAAATGACAAAAAAAAAAAAAAAAAAAAAAAAAAAAAAAAAAAAAAAGCTAACGGAAGGCTCATACTCATGGCATTTGCAATAGAAATCTTTGCTGCTACTGAGGCTGGTTATCAAGTGGTGATTTCAGATCGTCCGGGCAATGCTCCATTAGGCCCTGAAAGTAAGCAATTCAAGATTGTCACATCATTTGACCAGATCTAGACTGCATCGAATCTTGTAAAAACCTTGGATGGCGTACTACGCCTTTTGATAAATAATAAGCATTCTTTGCACTTCCAAAAGTATTCTACTTGAGCGTATTATAGCCTTCTTACAGGGAGCTGGAAATCCATTTCATTTATATCTCATTAATGGCAGATCAACATCACATACTGAAAACAAAATGCTCACAACGAATACCATTCGAGGTGTTCATTTCTTGCATTGGGAGAAATTCAATGCCGCGGTATTTTGCAAGCAACGGAGCGTGCCTTGCTTTGGTTGATCAAAAGCCTCTTCTGTTTCATGCTTCAAACGTTTACCATAATTTAGTTGTACCCGAATATTACACACGGATGTTCTTTGGTGCAACTCTACGCTGGGCGTTGATTCCTTTAGCCTTCGAGCAGCCAGGTAGATTGTAGAGCTGGGTAACTGCTCATCCAGTCCATCTACCTAGCAAAACACTCTCTTATTTGATCTATGATTTCCAGTTCGCTGTTGACAGATCACCAAAATGCCATGGACAGTGTGCTGTCTCTGACTTAAAGCTGTATCGGCTGATACTATTGTGGGTCACCGTGCGATGGCTGAACTGTTTGTGGCACTGTTTGTATAAAGAAGCAGGCTTACACAAGGCTTAATGTTGTGCAATATAATTCAACCACTTGCTCTGATTCTCTTCCCCTTTCTTCTCTTTGTCCAAAATCCCGTCCCATCCAAAATGGGCTCATTTGCGTACGATGCGTACGGTTGTATCATCAGTATTGGTAAAGATCTTTCTTAAGCACCTGTCAAAATTATAAGGCGCTCACATCATATAGACTTTGGTACAACGTTCTCCGGCAGCTGTTATGCTACTATCTATGATAAAGAGACAAAAGACTTGAACGTGATCAAGAACGACACTAAATTCATCCAAACTGCAGATTTGTAAGTAGCTACATGTGTGACGAACTGGTGTAGCTTTGACACCACACGCTAGGGACCGAGACGATATTATTAACATTGAGCAATGGAACGAGACCAAGGGAAATAAGACGCCAACAGTAGTCGTCTATGATGAGCATATGCACTTGTCGCATTGGGGAAAAGCAGCTACAAAACACATTGCAACAAAGAGGAGCCCCCATGATATCGTCCTGGAGAAATTCAAGCTGAAACTGCCCAAGTCTGTCTCGCAAAAGGGCGCTGTTCTTGTCTCTGGCAACCTGGAGCAAGATGACGAGGAAGCCAACATGCGAGCCACTATTGATTTCTTCCGTGTGGTGTATGACCACATTTTCAACCAAATCCATACTCATAGACCAAGCTCAAAGATTGAATTCACCAAGGATGATATTCGTTTTGTAATTACAGTGCCTGCAATTTGGAACGATGTAGAGCGTACTATTATGAGAAATGTTGCCGTATCCGCTGGTCTCATCTCTGAAAAGGACCATGAAAACAGACTGATCATCATCAATGAATCTCTCGCTGCAACATTGTACTGTGAGCGTGAAACAGCCGAAAATGATATTCAAGTAGGCACCAACTACATTATATGCGATGCTGGTGGAGGCACTGTCGATATTGCCTCATTCGTAGCCACCAAAGCCTTGGAAGAGAACAAAAGTTTCCCACGATGCCAACTGACTACTGATACTGGTGAACGATGTGGATCAACGTATCTTGACGAGAGGATGAAAGAGCTGCTCATGAGAGTCTTGTTCAGGCCCAATGATAAGACCATTTACCACTCGGAAGAACAGAAACAAGAGTTTGGTAAGCTTGGATTCATTGACTACACTGCTGAGGAAAGAAAGGAGCTTGATATCATCGTCGCTGATTTATTGAAGCAATTCAACGAGGAACAGGGTTTGAAGGTAGAAATCAGCACAATCAGGACATTCACCAGACTTCATTTAACAAGTCGAACTTGTTTTTTTCTGTAGTACAATTTTTCTGCTCCAGTCTCTTGTGAGATCATTGACCAAGAGTCATCCGCTGAAAGCAGTAGTGACGATGATACCGAGTCAGAAGACGAGGAAGACGAGGAAGACGATGAAGACGATGAAGACGATGACGAGGAGGAAGATGAAACAGGAGAAAATGACCCTTACCGAGAAAACGGTAAAGCATGTAAAAACTATAGTAAGCTTCTTACCTAATCCCAAACTTCAGTTACTAGCTTTAGAATTTCGCATCTCAACGCCATCAAAAAGATCAGATACCAACCTGTTAGTGAGGCAAAATACGAAGTAGATCCAACATCAGATATTGGTACGATGCTTCTTAAAGTTTCCTATGAAACGATGCGAAATCTAGTCTTTGACCCAGTAATCAACACAACCATCAAACTATTGGACAAGCAAATTGACAAGATCAAGGACACTGTTGTTGCCACGTTCCTTGTTGGTGGTTTCGGAAGAAATCCATATTTGCATTATAGAATCAAAGACAAGTTCAAGATCGCCGACGAGAATGGCAATATTACTGGCTACAGATGTGGTAAATTATATGATGATGATAAAGGAGATCTGGCCGCTATGAGAGGTGCTTTATATTATGGTTTAGATGGCAGCCGCAAGCCGACTCAAACTGATGTTATTGAAAGGCCTTACGATGATGATAAAGACGCCTCAGGTACCGATCACGACGGCTTTGTTGCAGACACTTACAACATGGTGATATGCTATGGTAACTCTAGATTCCTGTGCTGTTAAGTCATTCTTTAACTAACGCTTGCTTTCCAGACATTGGCTATGATTTTACATCTTGCTCATACCTCGACTTGAGTGACAGAAACAACGAAGACGATCAAGAGTTTGTTTTCATTGACGAATGGCCTGGTGCTGCAGAAAATACCACCCGTATACCCACAGCATACAGATCTGCCAGTGAATGGGGCGCTCAGGTCCTCAATCCTACTGAAACAAAACCCGAAGAATTTGTGGTGCCTACCAAGCTCATGTCCATTGTCAAAGGCGATTGTAGACGCTACTTTGCTAATTTGATCAGTGCTATGCAAGATCATGTTTGTGGTGTTATTGAAAAGAACGGAACAAGCGTCAACCGTGACAAGATCAGATACTGCATTACCATGGAAAACAGCTATAAATTCTTCTTCCGTAAATCAGATATGCGTCAAGCCGCCATCAAGGCTGGATTGATTAGTAGTGAAGATAGCACCAAACGTCTATTGCTCATCAAACGGGAAGATGCATCTGCCATGCATTTCGAGGAGGAACATTTTAGACCAGATGATAAAGAAAAGAAGGCTTTCAATTCCAAATTTTTGCAAATTTTCTTCCGCCATGATACCTGCCATTTATCATTACAAGAGGCTACCAAATTGAGCGGCTACAATGACAAGAGAATGGCCATTTTGCAAGAGGTACAAGAGGCGAGAGGGAAATCCGCAGAGACCAAAAGCAAGGAGAGTGACACCACCACCGTAGCTTCAGAAAGCGAAGAGGAGCCTGTCAAAGAACCATACTTTAGAAATGTTCGTGGTATTCGATCCGCTACTCTGCCTTTTGACTTTATACAAAAACTGGTCCTCAACTTCAAGATTTATGTGGACAAAAACATGCAAAACTGTATTAATTGCTCCAACCGTGCGCTGTCAAACGAGCATGAAACTAATTATGACCCATTCAGCCCGGACTTCAAGAAAGGCTTTCTTGCATATGTCAAGGTAACGTATTTCTCTTGTCAAGCTTTCGTTTTTATAACACCTTATTCACTTTGCTACAGACTGAACTAGATTTCAGCAGTAATGAGCACATTCAGAAGATTAGCATTAGAAAGGAAGGATGCTGTGAAGTATACATTTCGGTCTACGATCTTTTGGAACATGTCTTTAGACCTGCCATTCGCGACCTAGTGTCTGATATTAGCCGATACGCTACCCAAGTCGATATCGTCAATTTCCGTATGGACAAGATCTTTTTGATTGGAAAGCTGGTTGAGGCACAAGAAGCAACTTACTCCTTCTTGGAAAGAATCATTACCAAGAACATATCTGAGGTTTTGAATATTGGCAATGATTTTATCACTACATCTGATAAGATCGAAGAAGAAAACCATATCTTGGGCGCTCAAATCTACGCAAGGGATCCTACTACCTACACTGAACGAGTTGCAAGAAAAACCTATGTCATTGGCATCCAATCATACACTGTCCAGCAGTTTAAGGGTGACATCAAGAAGCAGATCCAAGCGCTAGAAAACGCAAATGAGGATAACAAGGACAAAATATACGATTTGGAAGCTGAATACGCTCTACGAGGCGTAGAAGGACCGGAATTATTCTACCAGCCTGAATTTAACCCATCTTTGTGTGTGCCAAAGGGACCAGGGGACTCAACCCTGCTAATTGAAAGAGGAAAAAAAGTATTAGAGAAGGATCAAGAGGCAGGCATTGAAAGAAAATTCTTTGCCCACGAAGAATGCCTTATTTATGCCAGTGAGTAGTGTTCAGAGTATCATAATCATTCGTAATGTTGATGGTTTGCATATAGGTATCTATGTCACTGAAGAATATGACTCTGATGAAACACTGAGACAAAACAAACTGGACAAGGAAAGATACCAAAGAATTCACCAATTTGAGATCTATTTAAAGAAGGACAAGGACGATCCAATGGCAAATTTCAAGGACAATCGTCTTCACTTCACTGTGCGAATGATACCAGATAACAACGAAGTTATATTCGAAGCCAACGTCTCTTCTAGAATTGGTAGAAAGATTCCAGAATTCCGTTTCCGTGATGAAATTTTGGTCGCTCAAATCTACAATGATGTGAACAGAATTCCAAAGTTCGAATCTCAACGCAAGGAAGAGCCAAAGCAACAAATCGACAAATAAGTGATACTTACGTTCTCATAAGTGCAGCTATTCATTCGCATTTTCTTTATACCTATATCTGCAAACCCTATTAAAGCATTTTTTTTTGCTGGAATACACACAAGTATAACATCTGACTCTAAAACAAGTGTAACTGATTGCTTGATTTGATGGTCTTTCTATACCTCCCTATTTTCTGTCTAAACCAAATGCTTACCAGCCCACATCTCTTTTAGTTTAAATTCATCATCTATTCATTCAGCTGGACGATAATAGTACTTAATTCATCGTCTACATCATCTCGGAACCAGAAGAATAGTTTCCATGCCTCAAATCATGCATTCAAATTAAGAAAAAAAAAATCAACACTTTACAAGACAAAGTATAGATAGGATCAATTTGAATAATATCACGGTAGCGGTAGCTCTTTTGCGTAAAACAAACTTTTGAGGCTCGCTGCAAATAAATTCTACAGCTAGCTTCGAATTAAAGCAAAACCCAGTGCCTATTCTACTCTAAAACCAAGAAATTGAGTTTTACAGATCGAAAAACTCTCAGTGCAAAGGATCAATGAGGATGATTGACAAGTCTTTGATTAACTAGTGAAGAATTGGCAGCCATTGAATCCACCAAATAATTAAATATTTGGCAAAAGCAGAAAAAACTGTTGGTTAAGCTATGCCACTCTTCGAGTTGCAATTCCCACCTTTTGGCTTTGCAAACATTGATTACATTTATCAGAAAGGCGCTTTCCAGCCAAAACTGATTAAATTTCTGTTTGCCCGATTCGTTAATTTTTGAGCTTTTTGAACATGATTCGACTTATTTTGCCTCAATCGACTATATAAAAGGTGATGATCATCCAATAGACCCTTAAGCTCTTCTGAGGTGCTTTTCAAGGCGTATCTAATGGTACCAGTTATAAAAAAAAAATGAACAAACCTCAAAAGCAATTTATAAAAATATGAAATAAGGCTTTTGCCCAAAACGATGAGGTTATATCAGGGTTTCATAAAAATATTTCAAGGGTTGCCTCGAATTGATAGAAACATTTTGATTTAATATATGCCATAAAAAAGTCTTCGTTTTCAAGATGTAAAACTTTTTTTTTAAAAAAATTTTGTTCATTGATGGAGCCGCGTACACTAGGAGTAATGGGTCGAAGTGAAGAGGCGGGTGCAATTGAAAAGAAAATAATAAAAAGAAGGTAAAATATTAACTAAACTAAACTAAACAGAACTATCGAAACTATCTAAACTACAAGAGGGAAGATGAAAAACACGATTGTTTGATTTTCGGCAAAATCTGAGTGAATTTAAGCCGCGTTTTCTCGTGTTCAAGGTTATTTTAGATCGTTGAATAGCACCAAACAGTTTCTCTCATCTGGCAGTTACTTTCTAATATCTTTGTTCAGCTTTTTGGGGATCAAAAATACATGGCCAAAAATCGACCAAAAAGCGAGGTACCCCTTATGGTTTTCATCCAAAATCAAATGATCGCGTTTTTCACGTCAAAAGTGAAGACTTTTTCTATGATACATATTAGATCAAATTGATCGTAAAAATGAAACACAACACTGGAAACTCTTTCTATGAGACTTTAATATGCTAAATTTTAACATAATCACAGAAAACCTATTTTCATATTTCTGCAAATTGCTCATTATTTTCGGTCTATAAGCTGGATGTAATTAGCACCATTCGGTGTGGCTTTTTTAGTTCTCTAGAGATGTGTTAGAAAGTTGGGTGTGATAACGATAGTTTTCATAGTCAAATTTAGCAAAAACGTTTAAATGATGTGAGATCAAGTCAATTTTGAACACGAAAATACCACTGCACAGTTTCAAATTAAGTTGCCGCAATTACGGCTACTACGGTACAAAACTGAGACTAAATTTACTGGTCGTGACGTCGAATAGGGTGCCCTCTCATTTTTCCATGCCCTCCCTTTTTGCAAAACGCGTTTTAGTATCAAACCATGATGGTTTTGGACACCGTTTGATTAATAATAACACTCTAGCATCCGATAACTCTGTCTTGTACTGTTGGAAGAACTTGATATTGCTTCTTTAAAGTGGAATATATTAGGTATAATTCGATAACGAGCACTGGAAGGCGTAGAATTGACACTAATTGAGTTTGTTTATTAGGTTTTAATAATTTTTTGCTTGTTTGAGTGAGTGTTGCTGCCATTACTTCTCTACCGTCTCTGCTGCCTGCTTCTTGGGTCTTTGTCTGGTCTCTCCTGGTGGCGTTCGTACTTTGGTTTGTCTATGGTGCTGGCGTTGCTGCTACTGCTACAGCTAATATGTTCGTTTCTGGTCTACTGTGTTTGGTGCATGCTCATTCTCTATCTGGTGTCGCTCGTTCTTTGGTTTGTCTATGGTGCTGGTGTTGCTACTAGTACTGCAATTACGGTCTTTCCTGGTCTACTGTGTTTGGTGCATACTCGTTCTCTGGTCTATATTCGGTGATTGCGTATACTCTGGTCTATCTACGGTGATGGTTGTTGTAACTGTCTGAAATACGTGAGAATGGATATGTCTTTTTATTTTCAGTAAAATCAGATAGAGAGAAAAGGGAAGGGTGAATGTCTACTGCTATTTATATGTATGATTTATGGATTGCTTACACACCCCTCTAGAATGGTGTTCTCATGCTAAGTTTTAGTGTCAATCCTCACTTATGCTAAATGGTAATTATTTCAGATATAGATGATCAGTCTAAATATCTTTAGTAGCTCTTGGCAACGTTAATTACTTACATTCCTTATCTGCTATCTTTTGACATATAGAGAATAGCTTATCGAAACTTAGCTTATGTGAATATCATGATTATCGTTTACATGTTGAACAGCTTATTTACATATGCTCCATATGTGCATAGTTTATTGCTCAATTCAATCTACGACATTATGATTCAGGAACAGTTATATGTGTGAATACAACAATGGTAAGTGGTAAGTATCTTTTCTTTTTTGGTCGCAATGATATAAAACTTCTTTGAAAGATTGTATTATTGCTTTTTTTTCTCATGATAATGCATTCATGATGTTTTCCTTGTTGCATTTTTCTTATTATTCTTTTGTTGATTGTGTTGCTTTACATCCGACTATTACCATGCATGTTGCTCATGTATGCATTTTTGTTGCAACAACAACGAGCTGTTTTGAACGTCTCTGATGTTGTACTTGTTATACTTTTCTTTTGAGTACTCACTTTGTGTGAGTATCCATTTTTTGCCTACATACTACTATACTCCTATAATAGTATGTTCTTTTCTTCTTTCTTTTATTATTATTATGTTTCTTTGAAGCATACCTTTTTTTTTTATGTTGTGTGGATGTGCCTATCCCTGAAGCTCAACAAGACTCTATCCGAGGCTAGGAGGTAGATAGGCTGCCTTCACTTGGTTATCACTACTTACTTTAGTGATGATTGAGGGTCTCAATGCCAGAATTTAAAGCTAGGTGATGTAAGTAAGGCATGCTCTAGCGCCTGGGGGAAGTTTGATGATAGCAGCGGCTATATTGCTATTATAGCGGCGCTTAAAATTTTGCCTCACCTCAAAACAGGGGGAAACCCTCGCAAAATTTTTTTTAGGTCAGCGGAGTTTTTAAGCAATCTGATTGGCTAAGAGGTTGAAGCAGCGAAGGGTTACAACTAGTTGATTTCCTATTGATTGTTGCATACAAGCATGCATCTTAGGCTACATTCACTTTCTCCTCAAGCCACCTTTTACAGTGTAGCAGCATAGATGATGTTTATCGTATCACATCACATCTATGTTTACAAATCCAGTCAATTGTGTGTGCACGGGTGCCTCAAGAACTACAATACATTCAATCTCCCTGATGTCAATATGTCGAGATCCACCTACACTACATGAAACATATCGACTTAGGTGGCCTCTCAACAAGCTATACCAACAATCCATAAGGCCCCAGTGGCCTGCTATTTATATACCATCTCAACGTAGTAGTCATTGACCAGGGATCTACCATATTTAAGCTAGTTAGATACCCTGTAATAAAGAAGCTTTTTGCTTTTTGTTTTAGATACAGTTGACAACTGATTATTATCATCGACTTATTATTACGAATTCATCATTGATCCCCTATTGATCTGTCATTTATCATAATATAGTGTTTGTAATAAAAGGATATCCAAATAGTTAAAGTTTACATTCTTTTTTAAATCTAAATGAAGATAAGATGCAATCATTTGATGCAATCATTTGATGTAACAACAGCTAAACAGTTTCATGTGCGTGGTGATGTCTTTTAAATTTAATATATGGTGAAAGCTGTATGATCGGTATTAACGTAGTGCACTAGGTACTATCCAAGTTTTTACCTTGTTATTACTTCCAAAAACTGATGATTTTGCACAATGACATTTTTGGTTATATATTAGGAAAGACAAACCTTGTACAAATAAAATAAAAGCCATTCAGAAGCTTTACTTTGAATCTATCATGCTGTAAACGTCTTGGGTCCAAAATATACGACGTCCCCTTCATGATTTGGTCAGAATCTTGTGTACTCTATACATTCCAGTAGCCAGGGAGACCGTCTAAAGATTCATAATACTGGAGAAACCAGGTCGAATTGACAGTTGCTGACCAAATGACAGCCAGCGATTTAACTAATTTTGAATGTTGGCCAAGTCTACGCGATATTTCCATGATTAGCATTGATGATCTTGGAAGCTTACAACAAGAAGAAGGAGCTGTGGATTGAAGCGTGTTACCATATATAATGGCCTGGCTATGTCATTTGAGTTTCGATGAGTAATTTTGAATATGAAGCACAGGCTCAATCGGCGTAAATTGTTCATTATATTCTAATGATAAATCTCAATACCAGTCTTTCTAATCGGCATTGCCCATGACACTTGGAGTGTTGGTTGCGGATTGCTGAAAGACACACTATACATTGAGTCCGCATGAGTTAATGATATGTGAAGAATTGCCACCGCTCACTTGCACCTGAGATGCGGTATCCTTTGACCAATTGTGCCCTCAATCCAATAAAAAGATTGCCGTTGCTGTAAAAGTTTTAATAATGATTTTTGTATTGCTATATTACACTGTAAACGTATATAAATTTATAATATTCAAGAAATTTCTACCCATCTGCGCATACAAGAATTTGGGGTCAAATCTGAATTTTAATTGAATGAGTCCAACATGTATGAGTGATAAATCTGATAGCTTCCTTACCAAAATTGTCGTCTGCATTGCAATGGCACTTTTTCTGCAACTCACGAGCAACAGGACAGTGCATGAAAGGCTCATGCTTGTAGCCGATGTCATTGAAAAAGTGTACTTCTGATTTGTTTAAAAAGATACCCACAGCAATGGAATGCACAGGCGCATCTCCCCATCTACAACACAGCAGACATTAACCTCTCTCTTTTGCCTTCAATTGCAGAGTTTCCCAATTACCTTTCATAGAAGAATCCTCCAGATTTGTCGAGATAATCAAAAAATGCTGTATATTCAGGGCTTCTCAGGAACTTAAGATCGGCAATCTCAAAGTTGCTCCAAAAGTGACACAAGTTGTAGTTCTTTCCATTATCATTTGAAACAAAGTTCATCAAATTGTTCTTTGGAATCATATCAGGATGCTCCTTCATAAATGCCTTTGTCGTTTCCCACAGAGTAGGAATAGTAGCTTCGAATTCAATGAGGGAAATTGTCCATCCATATTTCTTGTTGTTTTCCTTCATGTACAAGAATGGGTCGTAATCAATATCGCAAAAAAATTCCACACTAGGCTCTACGCGCCAGTAAAATTCGTATTCCTCCATCAAGGGATGTCTGAAAAAGAACCCACTTTCGAATCTACCCAGAATGTCTTGCGTTAGTTTTCGAACCCTTTCTCTCTCTCTCTCTCTTTTGCTCTCGCTCTCTCTATCTCACTAGATGACTTGCCTGCACATGTGTCTATAAGAAAGGTTATCGCCGTAAATGATACCCTCATCGCCCATCTTTTTACGTAATCTATCTGCCTTTTCAACATCAATCCAATCCGGATAACGCCAATGTTCCTGTGGGATAACGCCTAATGTTTATAATTAGTGACACTTGCTTGTTCCAGTATGAAGCGCCACTTATTGATGCTGCCATGACACACATACCATACTTTGTTTCTGCGTTGGTTAAGCTCGAAGTGAGGTCCTTGAACTCTTGTGTGAACTCGACATCATTCAGAAACACATATGGATAGTTGAACTTGTGATTGAATCTTGCTTCCAATTGTTGAATGGTCTTTCTCAAGGCATCCAATTCATTGTTTCTGGTCAAGATAACAAACGCAGCCTTCACACGAGTTGTATTGTGCCAAGCAGGTGGTAGAGACGGGTCTGGTAGATTTGGATGGTTGATGAGAGATGAATGTGAGGTTGTTGCTTTCTGATTGTTCGGCGCTTTTAGGGGCCAAAAGAAGAAGAAGATGCAGAATAACAGACAGCCAGCTGTTAATAGCAGAGGCTTTCTTTGATTTGAGTTGATCACAATCATCGTAAAGAGATACGAATGAATAGAAAGAGTAATAGAGGAAAAAGAGAGAGAGAGAGAAAATCCCAAAAAGAAAAAGTCCAACTTTATTAACCCCTTCTACTACTCCTCAACAAAAATTACAGATTGAAACATACGCAGATTTCTTGTTCCACTTGGCAGATTACACAAAACTTTATTAGGTGAATTAGGTCGATCCTTGAGCACTGGGATTCTGACTAGGATATTTCTGTGTTTCTTTGCCAGACATGCTTGGTGGAGCAGGTGGCTGCATCTTGTTGAAATCTATAGGTTCTACCCACGCAGGTTAGTGATTATACATTGGCTGACTGAACAATCTCACTTACTGCTGCTGTTGCTCTTGCCGGAGTGAGGTTTGGGTTTAGCCCAGACCACCTTGAGTGCGTGCCCCTTCAATTTCAATCCAACTTCGGCCACTTTATCTGCTGCCAGTTCTGCTGATGTTCTTGTAGAGAAATTGATGAAAGCACACTTTGTTTTGTGGGCAACGATAATTGATTTGATATCACCAAAAACATAAAAGAAGCCCCTAGTTATATTGTTCATCAATATATGTTCTCCCTTTTGCTAATCATCTCCCTCTCCTTACTGTAAATCGTCTTGAGTGATCTCTGATTCGACGCCCGTAACAAATAGTGTAGTCTACATTGGCATGTTATTGGGCTGAGCATTGTCACCAAAATCCAAACAACTTACCACAGTCTTATCGGCGGGTGGTGTTAAACCACTATTGCTACCACGAACTCTATTCAGCATCTTGCTTGCAACTGGATCATTCACACCATTGTAACGATCTGTGATGTTTTGTTTCACGGTCGATTGATTCTCCCCAGGAAGCTCGTGTCTATATGGACATCCTTCTCCACGCTTACATTCACCCTTGAGAAAGAAGGAACAGATATGAGCTCTGTTGCGTTTATAATAAGGTTCGCTTCTTGCTAATTTGCTCAGGATATCACGGCTCTCTGGTGTCAATTTGGCAGCATCGTAGATTCCCTCTCCATCGCCACCATCCTCTACCTAGGTTGATTCAATAATAGCATCAGCCTCATGCCTCCACATCCTATGTTGCAGATCAAATTACCTTTGAGGCGAGGTTTTGTGCAAAATACTGTCGATTGATATCTGTGGAAGGGGCTTCTGATTTGAGGTTCAGTGCTTTGTCTCTGACTTCGACAGGCAAACCTGGTTCAAGACATGATGATTAGTAATGTGATTGACAGTTACTGCGTGGAAACTCGTTACCGTATTGTAAATCCAAAACACAGGTCTGACAAACGTTCTTTACTTTGGCGCAGGTCTGGCAGATTTCAGTCTTTTTATATCTAGCATTGGTACCAGGTAACCAGCGGAAAACAGTGTAAGGACGTTGACAAATCTATGAAATGTGAGTAAACGCGCGTAGTCCAGCAATCGCTTGATGAGGTATACCTTGCACTCTTTTCCAAATGGCTGCTTGGTCTGTAAATTTAATCATTGTCAGCATTGGGTCTATAGTCGAGTATCTCTACACATATCAACCATACCATGCGAACATAGGGATTATCACCTAAACAAGTTTCACAAACGATGGGGAATTCCTGAAGAGTCAATGTTAAGAGGGAGGATCATTGAAGCTGCGATCATAGTGATGCTTACAGAGTCTTCCCAGCCTTGCTTATTGGGATCTGCCTTAGTTAAACTCATTGCGAATATAGAATAAAAGATGAAAGAAGGTTGAAGCCTATAAATTTTTTGCAACTTGAGTTGTAAATTTTGATAGTTGCAATCAAAGGATTTCAATTGGAGCATACTTGACAACCACGTCATTACAACAGCAGCGGTTCAAATGCCAGATGTTCATCAGAACGCTTGATCCTATCAGCTATGTCTTGTAGAAACAAGTTGTTTAATAACATACCGTTGACATGATGCATGGATAGCTATATCAGCAAAAATAATGGGTTTAGGAACCACATTTCATATTCTCAATGTCTCGAAAGGCCGCCAAATGTCAATTGCAATTGTCCTCATAGCATTCGCATCGCCAATAAGGCTTTTGATTACCAGTAGCCGGCCCTATCTGAATATGAGTGATAGACCAGACGTGTCTGGCAGACTTGCAATACGCTCGCTTCTGTATTACTGCCACCCAATGTGATGGGCATTTCATTTCTCGACATTGCACTCTAGACCAACATTACTGCGGTCATAATTGCTCATGACTCTGAGCGAGTCAATGTTACACTTCTAGTGTGATACTATATCCATTTTCTAAAGTAAATTGCTTTACGAATGTAACAAGTAAACAACACTTGTTCCTCTCTGACTCATATTCCTTTTTCAAAAGTATACACATCATTAGAACCCAGTCAGGGTGGTATAAATACGAAAAACTTTTTTCATCATGGCAGCTTCTTTCTTACATCAAAAGTAACAACAACATTAGAGCATCATGGCTACTCAACAACAAGAAGCAGGTCTCAAAGAGCAGCTTGCTCAAAGCATCGAAGCACAAGGACTCAAAGTGCGTCAATTAAAGTCTGCCAAAGCTGACAAGGCTGAAATCGATCAAGAGGTTCAAAATTTACTCGCTCTCAAAAAGGAATTGGCTCTGCTTGAAGGTGCCGACCCTGCCAAAAAGTCTAGCAAGCCTGCCAAATCCAGCTTTACATTAAAGACTGCCAAGGTAAGCCTTGTGGTGGAGTGTTTGCTATAGCAGATCACTGATGATGCCATATGTAGGGTACCAAAGATTATAACGACAAAGACATGGCCATCCGTGAAAAGGTATTCAGCACCATTACCAAAGTCTTCAAGAAGCACGGTGCTGTCACTATCGATACTCCTGTCTTTGAACTCAAGGTAAGCACAAGCATCGAGACACTCGCACGCGGCGACATGTCGAGTAACAGAAAGACATAGGAAATTCTTGCTGGCAAATACGGTGAAGACAGTAAATTGATTTACGATTTGGCAGATCAAGGTGGTGAGGAGTGCTCTCTTCGTTACGATTTGACCGTTCCCTTTGCCCGTTTCTTGGCTATGAACGGCAAAGAATACCAAAACATCAAGCGTTACCAGATTGCCAAGGTGTACCGTCGTGATCAACCAGCCATGACCAAGGGCCGTATGAGAGAATTCTATCAATGTGATTTTGACATTGCTGGTTCTTATGACAGCATGATTCCTGATGCAGAAATCTTGAGAATTTTGGTGGAAGCTCTTACTAACTTGGAGGTCGGCAAGTTCACTGTCAAGTTGAATCATCGCAAGATTTTGGACGGTATCTTTGAAGTGTGCGGTGTGCCTGAAGACAACATTCGTCCCATTTCATCTGCTGTCGATAAGCTCGATAAATTGCCTTGGGCCGATGTCAAGAAGGAGATGGTGGAAGAGAAGGGATTAGCAGTTGAGGCAGCTGACAAGATTGGCGAGTACGTCAAGCACAAGGGCGGTCGTGATTTACTAGACATGTTGAAGAAGGATGAGGTATTGATGGCCAATGCCAGTGCTGCTGCTGGTCTCAAGGACATGGAGACCTTGTTTGACTACTTGGAAGTTTTTGAGGTCTTGGATAGAATGTCCTTTGATCTCAGTTTGGCCAGAGGTTTAGATTATTATACCGGTATCATCTACGAAGCTGTTACTGAAAAGTCTGCTCCTCCCAAGCTTGCTGAAGGTGTCTTGCCCAAGAAGAAGGAGAACGGAGAGTTGGATGAATCTACTGTGGGTGTTGGCTCCATCGCTGCTGGTGGTCGTTACGATAACTTGGTCGGTATGTTCTCGGGTAAGAACAAGAAGGGTCAACCCAACCTTCAAATCCCCTGTGTCGGTGTCTCCATTGGTGTTGAGCGTGTCTTTTCCATCCTGATGTCCAAGCAAAAGGCCGAGGAAATCAAGAGTAACGAAACCGAGGTGTTGGTTATTGCTGTAGGTGATGGTCTTTTGAAGGAGAGAATGGCTATTGCCAAGACACTCTGGGATGCCGATATCAAGGCCTCTTACATGTTCAAGAACAAGCCTAGATTAGATAAGCAGTTTGATGTCTGTGAGAAGGATATGATCCCCTTGGCCATTATCATTGGTAAAGATGAATTAGAAAAGGGTGAGGTGCGTATCAAGGACATGAGATCCAAGAACGAAGCTCAAGGTGGCGGTGTCACTATCCAGCAAGCTGATATGGTCAAGGAAGTCAAAGCAAGACTCGAGCAATTGTAAATTTTTTGAATAAACACGAAAAGCATGTCATTTATAGAAGTGTACGACATGCGTGAAGCACAATTTCGTGATGGATCCTTGTTCATCGGGCTCATTTTAACGTTCAAGATTGGTTCGCCAGCCATGGCAGCTAAATCCATTTCCATGCTAAGATAGTAGTGCTTTAATTCCCAGTTTTGGTGCGACATACTGCAACCGAAAAGTGCATCATTTGTGGTTCTCCTTTCGATTCTGTGTGACTCCAAACATGCAAACAAAAGTTTTCTCTTTTTTCCATTCGACCCTTCTTTTCTCTTCTTTTCACTCATCTTTCGTTTTCGGGTAATTTCAAGAGCACGATGAATATACCTATAGTCGCATTAAACGACGACACCATGCCCGAACATCCACTCACAACAGAGGACCCTGCCATCAAGAATCCAGAGCTCCTCCAAGGATTCAAAGAGATCAATGACGTAGATCCTCAAGATAACCGAGTGCCACCCGCTATCATCATAGACAAGGAGGATCCCAACAAAATCAGTGCGCATCATGGAGAAGATTCATGTCTCCAGGACGAAGAATGTCAAAATGTAAAGCATGAGGGCGTGGAGAACGAGGACGACGAAGATGAAGTGGAGGAGCAGCAGCAAATCATCATTGACGACAGCCCTCCTTGTAAGACACCTCCCAAGAGCCTCACGCTCAACCACGCACCTGCTACCACTGAAACTACCACAACCACGGCAAAAGGCGCTCTGGACATCTCCCCGATGGTGAGCCCAACATCTGTGCCAAAAGAGATGGAGGAGGACTCAGATACAGATGACGAATTGATGCGAATCACCGAAGCCAATCGCTTTATTCCTGCAAATACAGAACCACCACAACCTGCTCAACAACAGCGGCCCCGTTCAAAATCACTCAGAAGCCAAAGCGTCTCCACGCGTCGTCAGCTGCTAGTGTTTGCTGATAAACCCACTGTTACAAAAAAACCCGATCGTATTGTAGTGTCAAACCATTACGGTGCTGGACCCGAAGGCGCATTAAGCAGCGATTTAAAGCCAAACAGAAGATGTAGATCCTATCTGGTCGCCTGTGATTTTAGTGACGAGAGTTATCATGCCATTGAATGGACAATGGGTACCATGATGCGTGATGGAGACAAGCTGTACGTGGTTACAGCTGTGAATCGAGAGGACAACCCGGAAGCTGTCAAGGAGGCCGGATTGTCCCTATCCAAAGAGGTATGTTTTGCTGTCAAGCTGCGTGATACATTATGGGGTGATTGAATGGTTTGTTTGAAATAGCTGAAGAAGGCATCGGATACTGTAACAGAAGAGGCAAAAAAGACATTGGGCCAGATGCTGCTATTTGATGTAGAATTGATCACTTATGCCATCTGTGGAAGAGTAAAGGACATTTTATTTAGTCTGGTAAGAGAGCAATAAGGATGCAAAGCAGTAAACAAGGCGAGTAACGTATTGCATAGATTGAGGAGCTGCCATTAACCATGGTTGTCTGTGGAAGTCGAGGTAGAGGCACTATGAAAGGGTAAGCATCATGCGGTGGTACAAGATTCACTATTTTTCATGCCAAAATAACATAGATTACTGATGGGCTCCATCTCCACCTATCTTGTGCATAAATCTCCTGTCCCTGTCACTGTTATTCGACCTCAAAAGAAAAAGAAGGCCGCACACAAAAGACCGGTACATGCTGTGCCTCTCAGCCAAAGTAAAGTGTGATTTTATCGACAGTCGCGCATGAATGAAATTAACCCGACTTGTTGTAGGTGTCCAAACAGGACAGCTGGCTGTGGATGAAGTCAGCAAGGCAGCCACTGCCACCGGCACAGACAAAAAGACATCTACTACTAGCAGCACATCTACAGCCGCAACTGCCACTGACAAAAAATAATAGCTTATTATATACATATAGATTTTATTTCCCTTTATTTATCCTATATTTTGTATTACTCAAGAGAAAGCCTTATTGTCATCATCCACTGAAATGTCGAAATCTTCATCATACGAAGCAGAAGCTAATTGACCACCGTTGGCACTGAGCGTCATGTACTATAGATGAGTACATTAGTCTGCTGCAACATAACTTTGTCAACATCCAATAAAGGTTACCTTTGTCTGGAAATCTCGATTCAAGCCTTCCAATTTGTTCATGATAGACACACGCTCATTGATGGCAGCAATGCTGAATATGCGATCCTCCAAGTTGATCTCCTTCTTGTCGGGTTGATCAATGAAATGGACCATCTTGACATGCTGCTCAGTGATGGACATGGTAGCCGATACTTGCTTTTGGTTAATCATCTCGATCAGAATCAGCTCCAATTCTCGAGCTGTAACACCTCCAATTTTCTCTGCCATTTCGTTCAATCCAACTGTAATATACACGTTTGTCAGCTCCTTGATGATTTTGCGACGCAGCGACTGTAAACACTGCTTCACTAGCCCCATGTGCTTGTTCTGTTGTATCGTTAGCATGCAAAGATCACAAGCAGAGGCCCTACTCCCTACTTACTGCTTCAAAAATGCCTGAATGCTTGGATGCCACATCATGAAACATGGCGAGATCGGTGTCTGTGAATGCCTTGACCAAGCTCAAATAAGCGCTGGCATGCGTTCTACAGACCTTCTCTACCCCCTGAGCTGTATATTTAGGCAGTGTGCGCACTTGTCCATCCACAATCAATGAAGCGAGCACAAAGTACCTGTAGGCTGCTACTTGAATAGCACTGATCGCTTTTTGAGTGGGTACTGAGATGGCGATGGATAAAAAGTCCAAGGCACGATCATAGTTCAAGTTGCCTATGTAGACGAGAGCTCCATAATAGTAGTATTCCAGGAAGCGTTGGATATTGATGTCGTTTTTCTGCCACATACAGCTGTGAATCAGGATGCCTACTGTGAGTGCTGTGATAGATTACTTACTGTGGTATCCAAAATTTCAATGTCTCGATTCAATAAATCCAGAGGAAATCTATATTGTTTCGCTGAAATGCAGGCCTACCGCTCGTTCGTTAGTGTTGTTCGTCCTATCGACATGTGGGAATGCTTACTCGAATGAAGGGTGCATGAAGCGATGTCAATGTGGGTTGGTTTAATGAAAATCGCTCAATGGCAGTTTTGAATGATTGCAGCGGTAAAAGAGGCTACAGACAGATACACATTTAAATTGTGATCGAGTGCAAACAAGCCTAAGCCTACCTGTTTCAGGACTTTGGTAAGATGCAATAAAGCCTTTCCAATGATGGTGACTGAAGAAATCGGTCAGTTGCACATGCTGATGATGCGATCCAAATGAAAAACTCACATCGAGTAGGTGCTGCTTGAATCTGCTCAGGATCAAATACCTGGATAAAGTGACTAAGCATCTCAAACAAATGCTTTCCATTACTTGCTGTGGCATCCTTGCTTCTTGCTCCACTACCGATTCATATACGTCAGTACCCAAGGCATTCGTCATTCAATGTTCTCTCCAGTGTACACATTACATGAAATACAAATAGGCCAAAGAGTGTGTTACTGGATTCAACACAGTTAAAGGATCGAGGCCGTCAGACGTATAGGAGAGTAATTGAGCTGTTGTCAACGTGTCTAAGGTAGCTACGTTTTCTGCGTTTGTCTGACCAGAGATAATGAGAGCAATGGCTTCATCGATAGGCGGATGCTCTTTATTCTTTGGTGATCTTTCTGCTGCGGATGATGGTTCTCCTCTTTCCATTTGAAACGATGCCAGAGGTAGATGGTGGTGATCGAAAAAAGAAATTTGACAAAAGGGAGTGTTGAGGAACAACCAAATTCAAAATGGCATTGCCAAATGTCCACACACTATCGCGCTGGGTGTGAATCACTGTTCCAAACCATGGAAGGTGGTATCTCATTTCTCGATTTCGGTTGATGATAGAACAAACAGTTGAAGACGATGGCTATTGAAAGAGCACCATACTGGCTTCACCATCTCTTACAGAGGCTCTACAGAGTCTATTCTGGCTCTATACTATGCATTCCACTGTAGGGGCATCACGCTGGATGAGTGGTGGATGCTAACACCAGTCCCATGTTTGATTGAATAATACACTTTTTTTGCATTTTCATCGCTTGATTGATATTTCCTTCTCAATTGGTTGACAAGATTCAGACATGTCCAAACAACCCTTGGAAGGATTAACTGTGAGAATCTTTGATCCCCCTGCCGATGATACGCAAAAAGCTACTACTGGTAGCAGAGGTTATCGTGAATATACAGAGATTGCTGGTAAACTTACCGGGTGTTTGGCACTGAGAGTGCATCTACTACGCACAGCAGCAACTAACTCGCTTGCATAACAACAGGCACTGACCGCTTGAGAAACATAAACTATAATTGGAACAAGGGTCAATGTAAGCAATTGAAAACGGGTTTGACCATTGCAAAATGTACTGATTTGGTGCTGTAGCTATCACGCCTGAAGGCTTGAAAAAAACTACCCGTGATTGGGACAAAGACTCTCAAACCAAGCGAAGCGAAAACGTTCAAGACTTGTCCCTGGTGAGCCGGTCGAATGCAAACGACGACAAAAGGTGCGATAAGCAAGACACTGCATAGCAAAGTAGTTGATTATAACATTTAATAAACATTGCACTTTATATAGCTTGAGAAATGTCCAGTTGCAACATGAATTATGGTCGCATATTCAGGTAAAGTTGGCAGAAATTGCAGGAACACAAGACAAAAACAAGTGGGAAGCCATTGTAGATCTCTTCCGAAAACTGCGAGAAGGCATCTTTTCTAGCCAATGGAGTCGTGGAGACTTCAAATTTGCCAATCAAGGTAAGCTGAGGGTTGTGCCGTGGATTGCAAGCCAAAAGGATGTGCAGCGAGCTGATCAGCATGTGCAGTCTATGAGGCATCCATCGATTGCTGTATCAAGGCATCAAATAACCAGGAATTAGTCAAAAGCCTCTCGGGATTGATGGAATTGTATGAGCTTCAGGTAAGTCAAGGCAGAAAAGGGTTAAATTTAAGAGTTTTGCTTATATGGTAACTGAATATTCTGTCTAGGATTACACAAACGCCAAAATTTATTATACCACCTTGAATATCGTATTCGAATGTTGCTATAATGAGAACCTTATCAAGGCAGCACAACGTATCGCCTGTCTTGAGACAAACACGCATGAGTATCGTTTCGTTAAGAAGTTAATTAAGTCTATTTCTTCACAAAACTCGCTCTTATTCTTTCGACTGTATCATCACAACCCATACCCCGCATTTCGATCACTTATGGACCATTATTCAGATCGCATCCGAATCCAAGCCATCGCACGAATGCGAAAGGTATATTTATCAGCCTCCATTTCATGGGTTGGCATTTGGTTGGGTATCTACCATGATAATAATGTCGTCTTGAGTGTGCTGGACAAATTGGTGAAGCCTTCTTGCGTCAAAACGGTCGATTATGAGCGACAACTGGTGTATTTTTTAAAGCGTTAAATGTAGTCTTCCCAAAAACAACTATGAATGTATGGATTGGGATTGACTTTTTTTTTTTTAATGATAGTATATAATTGAATAAAATGAATGATTGAATTGATATATAGTGAGAAATATGATAATTGTGAATGAGAGTGATGAGATGCATGTTAAGCAATGATGTCCATTTAGTCTTTACTGACGACGAACATAAGAACATGAATATCATTTCGATGGCCAATACGCAGTTTCTTATTGCTAGAGAAAGATGAATAAGAAGAGGCCATTACAACATTATCATTGTTCTTAGATGAGGTCTGCATATTATAAAAGGATGAGTACATACGGTTGGTAATTGTATTAGTCGACTTGATTTCATACCTGATCTGGAAGCGATTGAGCTTTGGTTGCATAGACGACAGCACTGGCAGCAGCGCCTACAGCACCGATAGTTGAAAACAGAGTAACAGGCCCAGGCATTGAATAAGATGGATGAGACGAATTGAAAGTAGAAAGAAAAACGACCTCAAATGATGCATGTATTTATATAGTTTCTCTAGGTTGTTAACCATCTTGTAATTGGTAAATCGAAATATTCACACCTTCATCAAAAGCAAAAATACATATGATATTTCAAAGATGTTGCACAAGATTCTTTGCCCAAACACTCAAATCCTGCAAACTAATTTGATCATTTGACAAGCAAGGCGACGAACGAATCCGCCCACATCAATCATTGCCGGATACTTCCAATCAAAGAGTTGGCAGTTATATAGTTCTAACTGTATATCAAACAGTAATAATGCCATGAGCCAGGAATCGAGCTTATTACAAGTAATACTAACAATATTAACATGCACGGTAGAAAATAGGTAGCCATACTTCGCAATAGTACATTTCGATTTGCAATTCCGTGTTTATGAACTCTCTAGAGCATCAATTTGCCATCAATACAGGCATAGCTTTGACTTTGCCCGGCCAGCAATATTTCAATCTCCGTTATGTTCTTTTCGCTCGAATTGGCAATTTTTTTGCTCTAGAATCGATTTCGATGATCTATTTTGCCAGATTTGACTATATAAATTGTCATGATCACCTCACACTTCCTTAATGTCTCCTAAAGTCCTTTTCAAGGCGCATTCAATGGTGCTAATTAATACAGATGCTTTGAATAAACTTATTGAATAATTTACAAAATTATGAAAAGAGGTTTCTGGCCAAAAAGTCGAAATTTTACATATCAAAGTCCCACAAAGATGATTTCAGGAGTTCCGTTAGATCGATAGAAACATGTTGATTCAAGATGTACCATAGTAAAAGTCTTCATTATCAAGGTCAAACACGCGATCGTTTGATTTTCGATGGAAACCATGAGGGGGGTACCTCATGCGTTTTGGTCAAATGTTGGTGATCTCAAAAAAAAATGGAACAAAGATGCCAGGAAGCAAGTGCTAGATGAAAGCAATCGTTTGGTGCTATTCTGACAATTTAAAACGGTGTATAACACGAGAAAACACGGCTCGAATGCTTCCAAATTTCGCTGTGTTTTGCACATTTTTGAGTCTTGAGAGCTAATACAAGTAAGTTGTCTGCCTGTGTGTTATGTTTCTATTATTGCTGACAATTAGAAGATAGCCTCTTGGCCTAGATGGTTCATGGGCACCTCCAATGCTTTGATCCTAAAACCTAACAATTCTTAATAGCAGCCACCACTTCTTGTTGATTATTCCACGATGCAGCTGTTGATTTCAAAGACGTCCCGACTGATTACAGGATTGTTGAAGCTGACAATGCCTGACAAGCACAGGCCCAAGCTAGCAGTAGTAAATCGAAGCGAACCTCTGATACTCTCGCCCTATATCATAACATTTTGCTCAAATACAGCATGCTCCTCGTTCTTCAGTCCTTCTTTTTTGAAACAATGACAAATGAATGGGGGTTGCTTATCGAAAGTCGCTAGGGGTTTTCACTCTCTGACTGATTGGTGGTGCTTGGTAACGTTTAGATGTTCCTACGTTGTTGAATCGTGTTGAAAATCTGGGAGCCTGAGATTCGTGAAGCTTCACTCACGACCTGAATTGTAGCGGCCCGAATCTTCGGCTCTGAAATTAAGATTTACATTGCTAGCCAAGCATTGGCTGCATCTTTCATCTCTTTTTCTTTACTTGCACGTTGTTTCAAGATGACACAATTATATAAATGGTCTACTGATGAGCAAATAGATCAGTTGAAGCAGTTTCTCGCTCACAATGGCCCAACAACCGCCTCTTTGCTCGGCTACATTCTCAGCACAGGTCATTGTGAGTCAGATGCACCAGGCAAAAGTGTGATATGGACTAGCCACATCGACCCCTTTCATACGACAGACATTGTTGTTTGGATCATTGACAGTGATCATCGCATCCGATTTTTCGTCACTTCAGAAATCGAATTGAATTTTAAGGAAATGACACCAGATGCCGCAATTTTGGCACATAGAGCATCATATCCTGACGAATTGCCTGCTTATTTTACTCACGCTGAAGATGAGGCATTGTATAAACGCAGTCTGCAAGTAGTTGAGTCATTTTTGAAAATGTACATGGATAAAAGATATGGAGCAGACAAGGGTAAGGTTCTTGTTATTCGTAATTTATCTTCATACGACTCATATTGTGCTAACAAAGGTGTGTTGTATCATGATACATGTCTCTTATGGGCTCCGATCTTTCACAAATTGTTCACGATCAACATTGATGCACCATGCTATGTCTTTACTCGACAGGCATCCAAGCCTTTGGATCCCATCGAGCTACCAGAAAATTACACCATCGGCTCTTTGAAGCCGTCTGATGTGGAAACAGTCGTGACAAAGAACAAGATCTCTTATGAATCGAAATATGTCCTTGATTGCTTCCGCATCTCTAGTGCTATTCGAACTGGCGATGGGAAATTAGTTGCGTGGGGGATGACGCACAGAGATAGTAAAGTATAAAGGCTATTGAAGCAATTTACATACTATTGACACTCTTTCGGTAGTGTACGTCGGCGCATTGCATGTCTTGCCAGAATACCGTCGTCAAGGACTAGCAGAGATTTTGGTCATGGATTTGTGCAGACAATATGTTGATTTCTTCAGGGCTCAAGTACCAAATGTGTCTTTGGATCAGCTCTATGCTGGTGCGTGCGTCGAGACATTCAATGATGCTAGTGCTGGATTGTTTAGAAAGACAGGATTCAACACACATGGATTGGGCACTACATGGATCCATTGCTGTAGAAAATAAAAAGAGTATAATACAAATTGTTTAATTTTTAACTTTCTATGATACAGCCAAGCTATTTTATCGTCTATTGCCACCCTTCTTGCGTTTACTAGCTTCCAGATTTGGAGCTGACACCTTGACTTTACCCATCATTGTATTAATGCCTTCCATTTCAGGCACACTCTTGATCAATTCCTTCTCGCGAGCAGTGGCTTCATTCAGATTGAAAAAGACAGATTGAGCTTGTTTGATAGCTTTGCCACGCTTCAGTGATCCAGGTGTGAGTTTGACCTTGTACTTGTACTTTTGAATGGCTGTGTAAGGGGCACACACAGGAATAGCAAAGTGGATGATATCTTCAGGCAGTGGGTTGGGAGTAAATGAGTCGAGCACAGACAAGTTGGCAATCTCATCTGCTTCCAGCATGGTGATATTTTCTTCTTTGAGCATTTGGCGGATGGTCTCGGTGTCTTTGGCATCAACGCCTTCTGTCTCAATAGGATGTTCCTTCTCTTGCTGCTCCTCTTCTTGTTGCTTCTTTAGTAATCGTGCCTTTTCATCGGCCTCCTTCTTTGCTGCTCTTTCCTTCTCCAAAGCTGCCTTGTCTTCCTTGGCCTTAGCATCGCGCTTTGCCTTTTTACCCTTGGGTTGAGGACCCTTATTAGGCTATAGACAGTGATGGTTAGATGAGAAACAGCTTTCAACATACTTATTACTTACGGCCAAAAGCTCCATACGAAGCTGTCTTTCTTCTTCATCTTGATCGGCATACTTGTCCTTCATCTTCTTGGCTTTACCCTTCTTTCCTCGAGTGGAAGCAGGAGGAGCAGCGATCGCCTTGGGTTTAGCAGGGGCTTGCTTTGGCTTGGCTTGCTTCTGCTTTGCCTGTTGCTGCTGCAATTGTTGTTGCTCTTTGATGGCATCTGTGATTTCGGTAAGATTATTCTTCTTCATCAATCTACGTTCTTTGGCAGTGATGAACTTCTTTGCAGGCGTATTGGACCCATTCGTCGAGGGACTACCAGCAACGTTTTGCTCATCAGAATCATGGCCATAGTCATCCAAATCGTATTTATCAGCCTTGGCATCTTTTTCTTGTGCCTTTTCGACGTTGACGGGAAGCGATTCAAGTTGTGTATCAGGGAAGGCATGTTCATCGTCGCTACTTTCGTCTGAATCAGAGTCTGATTCAGAAGCACTCTCATCATTAGGCTCATTTGCAGCAGGTGTTGATGCGCCTGTTCTATGTTAGCAACACGGAAAATATAGAAATGCTTGTATTTAACGTACCTGATGTAGTAGCAGATGCCTCCACTGTCTCATTTTCAATTGATTTAGCATCATCAGTTTGGTCTTCTCTCGGCTTCTTTTCCTCAATGGAGTCAAGGAAATCAGCCTTGCCAGATGGAGCATCAGTTTCCTCAGCAGTTGCATCCTCTCCTTCACCGTCTTCTTGTTGAGCTTGGCTCTTGACATGATTACCAATAGAGGACTCATCCAGTTTAAAGACATAACCAAAGCCATATACCAATTGCACGGGAGGCAAAAAATTCTTCTTGCCACGAATCATAAAACTACCCGTCGTAAGGTACTCACCTGATGGAGCAGACTTTGATACTTGATCAGGGTACACCCAGTAAGCACTAGTGACAATCTTGGAATCCCAAGCCTTACTCTGGCAGACAGACATAATGCCAGCTTGATACAAGGTGCTGGGAGGAATAGGCTGACCGTTAGCATTGGGCTTGTTCTTGACAATCACCGAAGCAGCACCGTGAAGATCAGCATGTACATAGGCATCGTCTTTCAAGAGGTAGCGCTTAACCAGCATTTCATTTTGTTGCATATCACGACCAGCGATTACAAGATGTCCATCAGTTGAAATGAACCACAAGAACTTTTCAAACCAGAAAGGCTTTCTAATCTTATTGATAGTGGCTGTAATCTTAGTTTCCTTCAAATCTTGTCGAATCTTGCGTTCCGCAGACTTGAGAGCCTTGGAGGTGGCCTCAATGGTTTTTTCATGCTTGGTGGCAGTGGTTTTTTTCTGTTCGTAGTACTTTCTGGCATTGGCAAAAGCTGTCAATCCAATGTCAACATCGACCTTGTATGATTTCTGTTCGTTCGCGTCTTCATCCTCGCTGTCGTCGCTGTCCTCATATTCTTCAGGATCGCTGTAAAGAAGATAGTTAGCATCCGCTTCTTCACATCAAGCACTAGGCACCTACGTCAAAACCAAAGTTAATTGATTTGTGGCCAGTTTGAGATTATCAATGATCATAGCAATGGGGTTTTCTCGTCTTTTTTCCTCCTTGACCAAGTCATTTAAATCTTGCCAATCCATTTGACTAGCAACAGCATTGCGAATAATCGTAATAGCAGCATCCACCATTTGAAGATTCAATTCAATCAATTGAGCCTTGCGAACATTGGTAATTTGCTGGTTCAAGAGACTCTGAACTCTGCTCTCCTGCTCCTTACGAACTGCCTCAAGCTTCTTCAATGCAGCCTCTTCTTGACGTCTTGACTTTAATTCAAGCTTTTGAGATTCGATGGCGGAAAAGAACTCATCGACCGCTTTATCAAACGTAGGGTATTCCTTGAATTGACGGTTGGCAAATTGCTTGTACAAAAAGGGATGGAATTCGTCATAACTAAGAAGTTGGTATCTATAAGTATGATTGCAGCATTACAACACACATATACACCAGTGCACTCACATTTCCACCTGCTCCTCGCTCTCAGTTTTGGGCTTATTCTTCTCATCCAACAAAACAATGTAGCCGTTGGGCACAACATTCTTGGTGGATTCAATCAATTCATCGCCCTTACTGAAGCCCTCCAACAACGCTTGCATCATGGGTGAGTCTACAGACAATCAGATCAGCAAGTGATTCTGCTCATTGTCTAAAGCAACTTACTCTCAGAGGTATCAAAATCGGTAGCAACCTTCATATTGGGGTCCAAATCTGCCTCCAAAACCATATGCTCAATCATAGCAGGACCATACTCTATGAGCTGGATCAGCTTCTCCCCTCCCTTGCACTCTGTTATAACAACTTCTTACCGAATTTAATATTTAGTAACTTCTTCAGCGTATCCTTAGGTCCAGCAGATCTCAAGGCAGTTCTCAATTGATCCACTTGCACCTTTTCAAAATCGGTCAATACTGTCTGAACATTGTAAATCTCTCCAACAGCAATGTTCAAGGTATCGGTGGGTGGAACATTACGCAACAAGGCCAGAATACGGTATTCATGATCTGTGAAGATGATATTGCCCTAGTTGCTCAATATTGAATACCAAGTTTATCCACCCATTGTATCAGCTACACTTACTGAGGAGTAAAATTCACAAATGATGTGATATCCAATGCCCATTTCGCCACCAGCAAACTCGAAATCAACAATACGATCAACGCCCAATTGACGAACATTAGTGACACGTCTCGTACGAAGATGTTTACGAAGCTAGTTTCGATTGATTAGCTCTCGAATGATATTTGCTCATGGATTGTGTCGTTTACCTTCGCACAGAATGGAGTAGGTGTAACTGATTTATCTCTACTGAACTGAGTGGTATGGATACGGATACCAGATTCGACCAAAACAAGCTCCTTGTCATCAGGCTGTACACTATCAATTAATACTAGAGGAATTGCGCTCGTAATTTGTGTTTACCTTGGCAAACTTGAAGAGGAAGGTCTTGTTGTTTACATCATAAATGTTTTGCAAACGAATGCCAATAAGTCTAAATACAAGGCGTGTTTGCAATGTAAGATGGTTGGAGCATGCTCTTAATGAGTTCCATTTACCTTTCTCGAAGATTGATGACAGTAGCACGGACATCCAAAGCGTTAAAACGTTGCTTCATTGCTGTTTCTGATGATTTACAGTAATGAACAAGAAAGAGGAATAAAGAAAATGTGTCTGTTGAAGCTATTTAATGCCTTTTTTCATTTGGACAGTTTTCACGAATTTCAACTTACGCTACCGTAGTAGTTGATCTAAACCGCAGCAATACATCATAGCCTGTTGGGCTTTGTAATTGCCTTAATCAGTTCGAAATACCGAAAAGAATGTATCCCAAAGCTCAAAGATCGCTCAAAAGAAACATAATAAATGCGGCAGTGGAGGCCCTTCAACTATCATAAACAGGACTAATACATATGACATGAAATCTTTCAATCTACATTAGACTGCTTGTCTAAAGAGATTGGCACCTTGATTGCATAGCTTGTCATCACTATGTGCATTTCATTTTAACATTTGAGTCAACATGGAGCAATTGATACGAGCGAAATCTCTTGATATTTCATAATGAAATGAGGAAAACGCTCAGAGTAGATGTCAGATTTGGTTCTGTGGAATTAATCCTGCAATATTGGGTAATCCTATACATACTTTCTGTCAGGCATCTCAATTGAATGATCCAAAAATGTCATTTTCTACTCAAATGTGCATATAGTACTAGCCGATCTATCTCGCTGCACTCGATGACGGCGTTGCGCTGCAAGCCTTTGGCAAAGGCGTTTCAAATCAAAGATATTAAGTAGACTGTAAACAATCAATTAATAGAAAAAGAAAGGATATATATAAGCGTCAGTAGGGAAGGTGTCCATTCACTGATGTTGCTCTTGGGATGATGACATAAAGCTAGCCATAAATAAATACAGGACTTGTGTAAGATCTACAGCGACTTTTTTGAGATATTGTCATTGCAAAAGACATCTTCATGAAGCAAGGCTCCCCAGAAAAAGTATTTGCTCTTTCAATTCCATGGTCCCCATTTAATCAGCATCGCAATCATCATTGTCATCAACAGAAAGGCATTTAGGTCAGCCAGCAGCAATGCCACTGCCAAAATTGATTCAAACTCAGTCCATCTTTTTTTTTTTGTTAAAGATTGGACAGATTTCGTCCTTTTTCGACTTCTTTAATTTATTTTGTAATATTCGACTATATAAATTGTGATGATCACCCTACGCTTCCTAATACATTCTTGAATTATTTTTCGAGGCGCTTCCTATGGTACTAACTGTAATAGGTGTTTTGACTGAAACTACTGAGCAATTTAATATAAATTGAAATGAGGTTTTTAGCGAAAATAGCCATATTTCGCATATGAAAACCTCATAAAAGTGATTTCAGAGGTTGCTTTGGATCGAGAGAAACATTTTGATTTGATATATACCATAGTAAAAGTCTTCATTTTCAAGGTGAAAAATGCGATCGTTTGATTTTCGATGAAAAGCATGAGGGGTACCTCATGCTTTTTGGTCGATTTTTGGCCATGTTTTTTTTGATCCAAACAGTTGAGCGAAGGTGTCAGAAAGTTGCTGTTACTCGAGCACAATTGTTTGGCGTCATTCCGGTGGCTCAGAAGGGTCTAAATATCAAGATATGAAGGTTTGAAAGCTGTCAATTTGGTTATGTTTTTACTGTATAGCTTTTTTTTACACAGCATGAATCACAGCTTTGGTAGCTGAAATCTTCTGGAAGGACAGTTCTGCAGCCTGTGCAACTTCTAATTCGAATAGGAGGCATATTGATAGTGGTAAAGCTAATTCATGTATATTTTGATGCGTTATGTTGTTGGTAAGCTTATTAATAATGAAAATGAGAAGCCGAATTTACTACTTGATTACTATGGTTTAGCACGTTTGCTTCGCTACGGTAAAACCCTCTCAAGGCCAATGTTACTAAGTGTTGCCTTGAAACCACAAACCACTCAATCCACAGTCAGACAGCAAGCAAGAAATCACTTGAATTAGGTGTGTTGTTTTCTTGAGAGAGGAGCTTTTAATCTCTGACTGGCTACGACAACGCTTTTGTGTTCACGTTTTCCAGCATATATAATGATCTATAGCTCAAAGTTCAGCCGCTCGTACCGAGAAAATTACTGCATATTTAGAGGTCCCATGCAAGATTTCCAATCACATCCAAATCATAGAGACTAATGATGATCTGATCTGATAAGAATGGCTTGTTCATTGACTGATGCCTCGACACATTAACGTGCAAATTCAGTCCAATGTTCATGCCTGGAGGCGCACCCCGCTGACGCTGATTTGGAAGACATCTCCAGAGATGTTGACATGCCTTTGACTATGACTTGCTTCATAGAAAGACGACGACGATTGCACACAGCCACCAACCCACGTGACTTGAAAATTTTTGTCCAATTTTTTTTTTATTCCTATTGAATTGACGTGCTTCCCCTTACGATAGAGGCCTTCTTTTTTTAATTTTCGCGAGCGAACCCTTATAGATATCAACCATGTCTCGTTTCTTCCGTAGTTCAGATACTGAATCTGATTCTGATACTTCCTCTGACAACGACTCTCAATACTCTCAATCTGATTCCGAGTACGATTCCGATGCTGAGAGTTATCACTCTGAAGTCGAAGAAGAACAACCCAAGAACCGTTTCTTGAAGGGTGGAAGTGATTCTGAAGATTCTGACGATGAATCCAACAAGAAGCGTCAAGCCAAATCTCAAAAAGACAAGAGAATTGAGGAAATGGAAACTGCAGTAAAGGCTATCGAAAATGGCCAAAAGAACAATGATTGGAATTTGATTTCTACTGGTAAATGACTATAACAACACACCCACACAATCTCGATGTTTGTTGATGGATATTAACAATCACTTGTAGAGTTCGACAAACTTACTGTCACCATCTCAAGAGCCACCACTGGCTTTAACGCCATTCCCATGCCCAAGTTCTATATCAAGACTATGGTTGAACTCGAAGATCATTTAGCTGATAGCCTTCAAAAGGACAAGGCCAACAAAAAGAAGAGCACTGGCAACAGCAAGGCCATGAACAACTTGAAGCAAAAGCTCAGAAAGCTCGCCAAACAATTCGATGAATCCATCACTGCTTATAGAAAGGCAAGTTTTTTTTAATAGCGAAAATTTTTTTAACCCAAATGCTAATGCCAATTGACAAATTATAGGATCCTGAGGAATTCATGAAGGAAGAGGAAGTGGAGGAGGAGCCCGCTGCTCCTGTTAGTAAGCAAAGAGAGATTCCTGCCCAAGCTGCAGCTGCAGGTGATGATGATGGTTTCTCTTCTGTCGGTAAGGGCGGTAAGACTCTTGTCTCTGTTACCAGCGAGAACCTTTTGGCTCGTTTGAGAGAAGTTTTGGAAAGTCGTGGCAAAAAGGTAAATTGGCAGATTTGCTCGAGCAAGACAAAATGGATACACGAAATTAAACACACATGTAGAACACCAACCGTGATGAACAAATTGCTACCTTGGAAACCTTGTTGGAAAATGCCCAATCTCCTTTCCAAAAGATCTCCGTTTTGTTAGCTCTCATCGCCTCTCGTTTCGATATCACTGCCTCCAAAGCACCTTACATGGATCTTGCTGTGTGGAAGTCCTCTGCCAAGGAGTTTAACCAACTTCTCGAAGTGCTCGAAACCAACAAATCCTTCGTTGTTACCGAAGATGCTGAAGATCTCGACAATGAAGACAGAGATGTTAAGCCCAAGGATGGTGAAGTGATCAAGGTCCGTGGTTCTATTCTCAGTTTTGTTGAACGTTTGGATGATGAATTCAACAAGTCTCTTCAAAACATTGATCCTCATGCTACTGATTACATTGATCGTCTCAGAGATGAACCTGCTCTTTACGCCATGTTGGACCGTGCACAATTCTACTGTGAAGTCAACAGCATTGACTTTGCTCTTCCCAGAATCATCTCTCGCAAGTTGGATCATGTCTACTACAAGCCTGAGCAAGTCATTGGCTCTCTTCAAGCTGCCAGCAAGCAACTCTTGCCCAACTATGTTGTCTCCAAGATCACCAACTCTCAAGATCCCGCCGAGTTTGTCAACCAGCTCTGTAACTACCTCTACAAGGATACCTCCACTGTCTTCCGCACTCGTGCTATCCTCTGTCATATCTATCACTATGCTCTCCACAAGAAGTTTCACACTGCCCGTGATTTGTTGTTGATGTCTCATGTTCAAGACTCTATCCACCAAGCTGATATTGCCACCCAAATTTTGTATAACCGTGCCATGGTTCAAATTGGTATCTGCGCTTTCCGCGATGGTTTGATCAAGGAATCTCATGCTGCTCTCTCCGAGATCCAAGGCTCTGGCCGTGTCAAAGAGCTTTTGGCCCAAGGTGTTCAAGCACAACGTTTCGGCCAACCCGCCAACCCTGAAGCCGATGCCATTGAGCGTCAACGTCAATTACCTTTCCACATGCACATCAACTTGGAACTTCTTGAATGTATTTTCTTGACATCTTCCATGCTCTTGGAAATCCCTGCTCAAGCACAGGCTGGACCTAACAACAAGAAATTCATCTCCAGACCTTTCCGTCGATTGCTCGACTACAATGAACGTCAAGCCTTCTGTGGTCCTCCTGAGAACACCAGGGATCACATCATGAGTGCTGCCAAGGCTTTGGCTTCTGGTGAATGGGAAAAGGCCAAGGACTTTATTTTAGCTATCAAGGTTTGGGATTTGATGACTGAAACTCAAGAGATCAAGGACATGCTCGTCCGCAAGATCCAAGAAGAAGGTCTCCGCACCTATTTGTTCACTTACTGCTCTTACTACACCACATTGGGATTGGCACAATTGTCCAGCATGTTTGATTTATCTGTCAACAGTGTTTCCGCTATTGTTGCTAAGATGATCTTTAACGAGGAATTATCAGCATCACTAGACCAAGTTACTCAATGCATTGTTCTCCACCAAGTTGAGCTTTCTAGACTCCAAGTTTTGTCCTTGCAATACTCTGAAAAGGTTGCTAACCTCGTTGACCAAAACGAGCGTTTAACATCCAATGGTAGAGATAACAACAATAACAGCAGCAGCAACAACACAAATAATAACAACAGCAGTAGCCATAGCCATACTCACAACAGAAATCATTAATTAGAAGACCATTACAGCTGACAATATCTAATTTCCTCTCCCTCTCTTTTTTTTTTCCCTCTTTCCCCTTTATCCAACTCTTTTTTCTTTATTTTTTGTCTATTTTTTAAGCGGTTTGAAAAAAATATATACAAAGGCTTTTTTCCATGTATTCTAGTGCTTGTTTGGTCGACTTCTTCTTGTTTGTGTTGACCTTAATTTTGGCTGTTTGTAGGATTTCCTGGTAATTGTGGAATTGACAATGGCCTTGAAAAGGTAGAATAAACCTATTAGTCCAGCAATCATGGTAATGTAGAGAGATGTGGTTTACGAGTCCAATAGAGATGGTTTGATTCATTCTTAGCATTCTCAAGTGGGTATTGTTCTGATTGCGACAAAATGTTAGCTGTATAGCATCAAAGTGCTCATTTTTTTTTACCTACTACCTTTCCAATTGACATTCAATATGCATTACCATTCCATATTCTCCAGCTTCATATTCAGTGAAAAACCTTGTAGTCAAATTGGCTCTATGACTTGGCGGAATATGGTGGCCATCTCCTTTGAATTTGTTTGCAGTCATCTATCAACATTGATATGAATAATAGCTGAATCAAACTGGATCTACTACCAACCTTTCTGATAGCTCGAGTAAAATTGGTGACATCCACTAGACAAGAATCAATGGATTGAATATAGACCTCTGAATCGCCCACATTCTTGATGCTCAGCATAATCTTGTTCTTATCGCCATTAACAAGAACTGCAGAAGGTTGAGTGCACAGACTAACCTATCAATGATGATTTACCTCCAAATGGGCTTGTTTTGAACGATGAGACTATACGCAACTGAGGCACTACTCCTTCCATGTGATCCGCTGCTATTAGTTCAAGGACACGTCAATTACTCTGATACAACGTGACACCAACGTCCTTGTCAAAACCTCCAATTACCACATCATTGCAAAAAATGGACACGAAGCAGCAGCAGAAAAAAGACTGTGTGCTTTGATATATGCATTGGAAAAATGCGTATGAAAAGGAAAAGGCAATGCTGCAAATGTGTGCTGGGTGAATCCTTTAATTGAAATGAGACAAAGGCTGGTTTTAGAAGGCGATGTTGATGATATACATGTACACACTAATTTCCTTTATTATGAAACTATACAGCACGCTTGACTTCGAAAAAGTGCTTGAGGTAATGAACTTGCCAGAAGCAAACAACGATTAATAATGCGATTTGAGCGACAGACCACCATTTGACACGAGTGTTGGTGCTCTCGGCAGCTAAACATCATACTCATTAATACCGCACTTGAATATCATCACGGCCACACTTACTGTCTCTGTGTCTACGCTCACGAGCAACAATGTATTCTTGCTCTGCCTTGACAGCCAAGATACTATCGGCCAACTCTTCAATTTCGTTCTTGAGAGGATCTTCTTCATCTACAAATCAGCATCCATCAGCCTACTCACATTTCCAGACAATACTCTCTAGCTGTGTCTTACTCTTTTCATTGACTTCGTTCTTCAAGTTGATGTTGGCATTGAAATTCACAGATTTAGCAGAGACGGTAGAGATCTTGTTGGAGAAACAGTAGGTATATCTACCAGCTGTATTGGCAGTGACCCTCTTTGATGATTGCGTCTTTTTGGTGGTGCTGACGAGCACATTGTCATCTGGGTCAGAGATCTGAAAACATGTCAATACAATCAGTTACTCTTATATGTGTGTCTTCTATTGCTTACCCAGAAATCAATATCTAAATTTCCACCTTGTCCAACCTGGGATTGCTCATGTCAATACCAATCTCTGTTATAGCTGTATCCATTACTTACTTGGAAGGTTACTGTTAATTTGTCGCCTCTACCAAGCTCCTCGTAAAAGCATTCGTTTTCATGAGGTTGAATGTCAATACTCATGGCCAAGGTAGTCTTCAAGAGACACACCATGGCAAGAAATAATACCACAAGTCGAGTGTACATTTGCTCTTGCTGTGTTAGTATGATTATATATCTAAAGAAAAAGGTTCTTGCTCGGAACTCACGCGTTCAGCTTAAACTCCTGTTTTTGCTGTGTTTGTCGAATGTCATTGGCTTGTTCAGACAGTTAAATGAAAGCAAGATTGTGAATCCCGAATTCAGCAAGTGTTCCTGACATTTGCCCTTGCTCTGGTAAACATACTGAAGCCTATGACTAGGCTACTATAGCGCATAATGGATGGCATTCAATTATACAAAGTGGCATGTTTGCTATGATTGTTGGCTATCCTTTCTCTTGCAATGTGGATGCCAGGAGAGAAGCTCACATGTGGATCCTTTCAACCACCAAGACGTTTGAACAGATAATAGCTATTAGCTTTGGTCTGGAAGTGGCGATATCAATAAGCTGCTCTGTTGCAATCTTGATGCTCGATATATAGATATACTTCTGCTGAAGACTCAAGTGATCAGAGGTGCTATAGCTGAGCACAATGCAATGGATTTGTCAGCAGTCCTGACAGAACCTTAGCAAGGAAACATATTTGAGATTAAGCCCCTTTCTTTCTTCTACTCATCCACTACTGAAACAATGGAGCACATGCGGGAAACAACCAGAGGCCCTCTTGAAGGCAAAAACATCATACTACAACGTTTGGATCCAGAAAACGACTACATGGCCCTGTATGAAGCATCGCATGGATCACCTGAAAAGGAAGCCATCTTCAAATACCTCTATTCACACGATTTGAAAGAGTTGCCACCTTATGACAACCCCACGAAATACAAAGAATATCTTACTACCATCAACAGTGATCCGACCTGGATACAGTTTGTTGCCATTGACAAAAAGAGCAACAAGAAGATTGGACAGATCAACTACCTCAATGTGGTGCCTACTCATGAGCGTGCTGAAATTGGCGGTTTGTGGTTTACTCCCGAGTTTCATGGGACCTATGCCAACAAAGAGAGTACATTGTTATTGCTGTCTTATATGTTTGATTATCTTCAATGGAGAAGAATGGAATGGAAGTGTAATGCAGACAACCTGCCGTCTTTTAAAGCAGCACAGAAGCTAGGCTTTCAATTTGAAGGCATCTTTAGAAACCACATGCTTGTCAGAGGTGTAGACAGCAATGATCGAAACAAACTCGTCAATAGAAACACAGCTTGGTTCTCCATCGTTGATTCTGAATGGGAGGAGAAGAGAGAGGCTCTTTTTGATATGCTCAACTATAGCAAGCAAGATAAGGAGGAATTTTTGAACAAGATGCGCAGTAACAAGTAGTTTGGCATGTCTCTATTGAATAAACGTAATTTTGATCCACCATGACAAATGCATACTTCAGCCTATAGCCGTACCAATTGAGCGCCTGGATGCCACAGCTCTCAGCAATTTAAGTATGAGCCAAAGTAAGATCAGTCTTCAAGACATTTAGTTACTTATTGCCTTGTTACATCAATCTCTTCCAGTTCTAAAAAGGTAATGGGAAAAAGTAGGCGGATATTCATTGCATGACTAAATCGACTTGACCTTGTACAACTTGACGAGGTGAAAAAAAGGGGTTATCAGAGGGGTAGCTCAATCACAGACATTCAGTCCCTCTCTCTCTTTCGTTCTCTTTTTCGTCAAACAATGCTTCCCAGCTCACTTTTACATTTTAGCAGCAAGCACAAGAACAATGACAGCATCAGCAACTACTCAGCTTACATAGATACCATTGAAGATGCACTGAGAGCATTGTCGTTGCTGTTGCCTGGTATGTGTATATTACTTTTTGTGGAGTATAAGCTTGTATCAACAACCCATTATTGCAGGCAGATTTGAAGATAGCGATCTTTGCTCACAGGCAGGTAAATGCTCTTTCATGTGTATTACATGATAATCACATGGTTTTAATAATTCGCTCTTGATTGTGTACAGTTCTGGCAGGATTGAATTTGGTGTCACTCTATCATACAAATTTTTTGGTGCGAAAATCAAATCACCTCAAATCAAAGAATAGCAGCAAAGATGACACTGTAGTGGAGTCATTTAATGCACAATTCTCCAGAAACAACGGTTCAAATTGGTCAAGCAAGACAGCGTCTTCGGTGCTGAGTGTAATAGCGTATACCGAAGTGCTGGTCGAGATGTTGCTGAATAGAAAAGTGTCAAAAAGCTCAAAATGGAAGTTTATTGCAAGTCTAGAGGGACTCAAGTAAGTTGGCATGCCCACAATTACCAAGGATGAAAATTGATGGGGCAGTGTTTAATAGAGGTATACTACGACTTGTCATCTTTTACGGCACAAGACGAAAGATGATTTTGCATCCAACACACTTCATCCGAAATGTCGATACGGTATCATTGGAAGTAGCAAATGATGAAAAGTTTGAGCTGACGTTCCTTGACCCTCGAACGGGCACTGCACTATCATCAACGCAAGCAGCTATAGAGCAGATTAACAGTAGTCGTAATAGCCGTATACGAGGATGGGCTCATTTGAGCGAAGTGTTGTGGATTGTAAGACCTTTTGTGTATGGTAAGTCATGTCAACTTGTTGATAAATTTGTGTATTGATCATACATTTATAGCTTGGATGATATATTGGCGACAGAAGCGTGCACAAAAGCATGATTTGATCCGACTGAAAGCCAAAATAGAGGACGAAATAGAGGAGAGTGAGGAAGAGGCGGATGGGAGCATAGAAAAAGATGATGAAGGATCATGGAAACCATGGCTCGTTTCTCTCAGCATTGATATAGCATCTCGCGTCGCTCGACATATGCAGCCCATGTCGCCCTTGGAGCGCGAGGAGTCAAAGCGAAGGGATTACTTGTTCATTTACTACCTGTTTCGAGGGCCATTATATCTGAAATTTACAAGGTATACACATGGGACGGGATTGTAATATGTAAAATACTGAACTTAACATTGCCAGACTTGTCTTGGATGCCTTTTGTGATGCTACAGAGCATAGACCGCTCATATCTATTATTACCGCCGCTATCAATGATTATCGACCATTTTGGGAAGATTCGTACTTTTACACTGCTGGTTCCTAAGCCCTATACAAAGTGTGGTTTGACATCATAAATATATACACTGCATGGCCCCAAAATCCCAGATGCGCTTTGACTTCATACTTACCTCATTGTTGTTTGCATTGTAATAAATAAGCATTTTTTTTTTCCTTTTTCTTTTAAACATCCCATCCAATTTCATTTAAATATACACATAACAACATGTCTGCATTGCATCCCAAGAACGATCAAGAAGCCAAGGCATTGCAAGAAGAAGGCGTCAAGAAACAATTAGCACAATCCACAGATGCTCAAGAACGCATTGTGCATGATTTGAAATCCGATGGAAACACTAAAAAACAAGATGTGGAAAAGGCAACACAGACCTTGGATAGTTTGAAGAAGGAGCAAGAGTTGTTAGGACAAAACAACAAGGATTAAGCTAAATTAATAAATAAATCATTGTACTTGAGACCATCTTGCATCATACGCTTCAAAATATTGATACTAAGAATAACCAAATGAGCTACACCTTTAATGAGCGTAGTCAGGGTGGTTGCTTTATTATGAAGTATGAGCGTTTATGCTTCGGATGGCTCTCTACCTTCGCTTCGCTTCGGCGAGGACCCTCCACTTGCACATGAAACCCCTTCATAATATCTGGAGATCTAATTCTTATGTAATGTTTCACATTTGTATACTCGTAGATACTTCATATACGGGCAAGTAGCATACAGATATTATCCCTTTTTAGTCGATAGTGTGCCTAATACAGCAAAATATGAGTGCATTTGAGCTGCGTTTGAGTTGCGTTTTCTCGCGTTCAAGGCCGTTTTAGATCGTCAGAATAGCACCAAACAGTTGCTCTCATCTGGCAATTACTTTCTGATACCTTTGCTCAACTTTTTGGGGATCAAAAAAACATGGCTGAAATCCGGTCAAAAAGCATGAGGTACCCCTTATGGTTTTCATCGAATATCAAACAATCGCGTTTTTGACCTTGTTAATGAAGACTTTTACTATGGTATATCGTGAATCAAAATGATTCTCTCGATCTAACGTAACTCCTGAAATCATCTTTGTGAGACTTTGATATCTAAAATTTCTACATTTTGACCCAAATCGTCACTTCAAACTTTCAGAAATTGATCAACAATCTTATTCATAATGCTCCTTTCAATGAGCACCGTTGGTTGCGCCGTGTTAAGTTCTCCAAGAAAAATTAAGAGTGCAAGGCCAAGTCATTACGACTCATATAGTCATATTTTGCAAAATAGGTTAAAATTGTCAAATCAAGTCGAATTTTGCTCATCAGCAAGCCAATGAGAAATAGTCCAATTGCCTTTTTTGGAAGGTCTACTTTATTATAGTGTGAAGCCCACTTTAAAAGTAAATGTTGTATCTTCCCCAAATACAACATCTTAATTACAAGCGCCAGATCAATAGATACTATGTTATAAACTACTTTAGATAAAGCCGCCTGATTATATATTGTTTCGTTGTTGTGTGGCATAGGCGTAAACTTCTGCTGCGCACTGTACAGCAAAGAGCTTCGGCTTTTTTAGGCGTTGTTTTGATGTTAGGGCCTTCACTTCTAGACCATTTTATGCTAACTTTGGGGTTTCAATAGAGTTGTAAAGTGTCAATAACATAACAAACTTATAGTTTCTAGACATTTCCAAAGTCTCAAAAAAGAAAGAAGTCGATCTAACATATATTTTGATAGACTGGCGTTATTAAATATAGAATGCAAGGAAAGTATCATAACTAACAGTAATACTACGTAACTTGCCACCTACTTTCCATACACTTCAAAAGCAACTATTACTGTATTGCCTTCATGATTAAAAGAACATTGAGGTTGCCAGCCGGCAACCACCAGAAGCCAAATTCAATTCAAACTCCGAGTAATTTGTTCTGCTCCAGATTGGCCAGACTCTAATAATATTTCGACTTGACTGATCTATTTTATGAGATTCGACTATATAAATTGTGATGATCGGCTTGTACTTTCTAATACACTCTTGGAGTACTTTTTAAGGCGTATCCAATGGTACCAAGTAAGATAGATGTTTTGAATAGACTTATTGAGAAATTTATAAAAATATGAAAAGAGTTTTCTGGCCAAAAAGTCGAAATTTTAGATATCAAAGTCTCACAAAGATGATTTCAGGAGTTACGTTAGATCGAGAGAATCATTTTGATTCACGATATACCATAGTAAAAGTCTTCATTAACAAGGTCAAAAACGCGATTGTTTGATGTTCGATGAAAACCATAAGGGGTACCTCATGCTTTTTGACCGGATTTCAGCCATGTTTTTTTGATTTCCAAAAAGTCGAGCAAAAGTATCAAAAAGTAATTGCCAGATGAGAGCAACTGTTTGGTGCTATTCTGGCGGTCTAAAACGGGCTCTAACACAAGAAATTGCTGCTGGAATCCACTCAATTTTCGATGTAATTTGTATACAGTCAATTATTAGGAGGTAATGAAAGTATGCTGTCTACCAGATTATGAATTTTTCCGTCTGTGTAGACATAGAGCTAGAGTTTATAGCAATTTGGTTGGACCTGTGGCACTTGGGTTACTGTATGACAGCACATGGATGCTTCTTGCGAGAGTGTAGCCCGGTACATCGTATGCTTCAGATCAAGTTGGATTGCACAACTCGTATAGAGTAAAAAGAAAAAAAAAAGAGACAAATCAAACAAGCTTCAAAGCTACAGTCATGTTGAAATGCGCTGTGCTAGCTATTGACAAGCTAATGATTTGCGAGAAGGTTCGCTGTGATGATATTTTACTATGTCTACTGCCAGAGCAGAGCCAGCATGAAAAATGGCCTGATATACAATTATCCAGAGGTGTCAAGCATTAAAACTCAATCAATTAGTGCCTGCGTTAATGATATTTCTATGATCTCAAACATGTTTTAGTCTGATTTATAGTTCATGACTTACTTCATAAAATGTCATTATGAATTCATTGCATGAATTGAATTTTATATAAATAGGCTGCGAACGATCAAGGATTTTTCTCTTCATTATCATCATAAACTACAACGATACATATTAAAATGTCCTCCAGCAAGCAACAAACTCAATCTGTCCAAGATCAAGCTGACAGGATCCAATTGTCCCAAGTCCTCGAAACTCAACAAACCAAGGTCAACGCTTTGAAGTCTGACAAGAATGCCAATCAAGCAGATGTTAATGCTGCTGTCGAAACATTAGAGGAAATCAAGAGAGAATTAAACAAGTTGGAGAACGGTAGAGGCGGTGTCTCTCAATTGAAGGATATGTAAATAGCTTTAGCATAAATGACAATGTAAATAAAACCTATATTTTCTGTGATGAGTTTCACAGAAAAAAATCGTAATCATCCTTGATGTACATTTGACATGTTCTACAATGAAAGGGATTTCGAGGACAGAGATGTTGTAATATGTATTCTGCATGTACATATAAGCTAGCTACTGAATGCCACTGTTAGTCATTTTATATCAAAGCCATCCTATTTTCTGTTCTGGGGCATCTTTCTGTTGGTGATCTCTAAGCAGAATTGCCTTTCGAGTCACATTCATTCAGCTTGGGAAAAAACTCCATGTTGCAGGGCAATTCATTTTATGTAATGCGAAATATCAAATCAGTTGAATAAATAGACCTGGCGTAAAACTCCTTTTGAATGCTTTCTTTCCTGTTTGCTTAAACAATCTTCACAAGTCATGTCTCCTTTGCCTTATCCTATCACCTTGCCTGCTTTGGCCGATTCTCAAATCACCCGTGTCGGTGTCAAATCCCCTGAAGATGTCGTTGTTGTCTCTGCTGTCAGAACCGCCCTCGCTAAGGGCAAGAAGGGTGGCTTCAAGGACGTCTTGGCTGATGGTAATTTTGATCATAAACCCTTCATACTTTATTTGAATCTAATACATTGCATAGAGCTCTTGTGTCATGTCTTCAAAGCTACCATCGAAAGAACCGGTATTGATCCTGCTTTGGTTCAAGACATCACTGTAGGCAATGTCAGTGGTAAGGGTGGCCTCGCCACTGCTTCAAGGTAAGAAACTGCAATGACCACAACCATCAGTGCATGGCAAACGTTAAATGTCTGCATTGTAGAATGGCCTCTCTTGCTGCTGGTTTCCCTGAAACTACATCTGTCAGCACCTTGAATCGTCAATGTTCATCTGGTCTTCAAGCATGTGTTCAGATTGCCTCCGCCATTCAATGTGGTCTTATCGACATTGGTGTTGGTGCCGGTGTTGAATCCATGAGCTCTGATTACTTTGGCCGTGTCATTCCTCTTTCCGACAAGTTGGCAGAGAAGCCCGTTGTCAATGACTGTAAGATTCCTATGGGGTAAGTGCTGTAAGATGATTGAAATAAAAGAGCATGGCGTTAATGAGTTGTTGTAGTATTACATCTGAGAACGTAGCTGCTCAATACGGTATTACTCGTGAGGAACAAGACAGCTTCTCTGTTGATTCTCACAAGAAGGCTGCCGCTGCTCAAAAGGCTGGTTTGTTCAAAGAAGAAATTGTTCCCTGTACTGTTACTACCATTGACAAGGACGGTAAGGAGAAGACTATTGTTGTTGATCAAGATGAGGGTATTCGTGCCTCCTCTACTGTTGAAGGTCTCGGTAAATTGAAGCCTGCTTTCACTCCTACTGGTAGCACCACTGCTGGTAATGCCTCTCAAATTTCTGATGGTGCTGCCGCTGTCTTGTTGATGAAGCGTAAGACTGCACACAAGTTGAACTTGCCCATCCTTGGTAAATATGTCACCTCTGCCTCTGTTGGTGTGCCACCCTCTATTATGGGTGTTGGTCCTGCTTATGCCATTCCTGTTGTCGTTGAGCGTGCTGGCTTGAAGATTTCTGATGTTGACATTTACGAAATCAACGAAGCTTTCGCCTCTCAAGCCCTCTACACTGTCAAGGTCCTTGATATCCCTATGGAGAAGGTCAACCCTAAGGGTGGTGCTATTGCTATTGGTCATCCTTTGGGTTGTACTGGTGCTCGTCAAGTTGCTACCTTATTCCCTGAATTGAAGCGTCAAAACAAGCGTATTGGTGTCACTTCCATGTGTATTGGTTCAGGCATGGGCATGGCTGCTCTCTGGGAAAGAGAATAGTTTTGTTGCTCTATACCAGCTTAAATATTGCAGTTCAATCAATAAAATTCCATGTAAATAGATGATTTCAATATAACCATTGTGATATTAACCTCTTGGTTGCCATCTTTTTCAATGCAAGCGTACAAAGCTCATGTCACTCTCGTCAGAATAGCAACTGAACTAAATCTCAATTCGTCGAGAATCAAGACATTGCTTATGGAGTAACATCCAAAGCTCCCTGTATTTATAAACCAACTTGTAATAGACGTTAATATCCAGAAACGGAATACAAGAGATCAGGGAGGTATTAAGTGTTTTATTTTAATCCTGAACTGGTTGCAAATCTTGAATCTGCTTGATGAGAAATGCCTTTTCATCGTTAAACTGTTCATCATCTGATAACAAAGAAATAGCAAATTAGCTCAATCTACAGACAGACATGATGCATTTCCCTCCTTCTACTCTTACCTTGTCTATCGTTATGAAAGTTTCCAAGAAAGTGAATGAGTTTCTCTTGGTTTTTCACCAAGATATCGACAATAGGTCTTGTCTTGTGAGGATTAGCCACAAACACTTTAAACACATGAAACGCTTCGAATTGGATATTTCTACTACGATCTCGAAGCAAATTCATCATTAATTTCAAATTGTCTGCACTGCTAATGTAACGGGTCATGACAGTAAAATTGGATCTGTCCAGCAAGATCTCACCCAACAACTGCACCGCATCATGTCAGCATCTTTCCCTCTCATCCATCGAAAATTCAAATGCTTACCTTTAATGACTGCCTCTTTGTAACGTAATTCTCTGATTGTAGCAATCGCTTGTAGTGATCAAAGAACTAAAAATGACAATGAAATCAAGGGTCAGAAAGGAGTTTCGGGAGAGCAAGTGGTAATAAGGGGAGATGTTGCTTTTTACCTCATCATAATTCAATTCCAAGAAATCGGCTACCATGGGCTTGTGTTTTGTCAAAATCTCCTTGAACGAGGCAAAGGCATCAGAGGCGATATCAAAAGTGCTCATTTCAACATAGTCAAAGAATTGATAGAATTTGCTCGAATACAGCAATATTTTGGCTAGAGCTTCATGACGAATGCATTCACGTAGAATCAAACCGCAATTTAACGCAACTTCGGGTTGTTCGTATCTATAAAGTAAATTAGATGTTGATATTGTAATTTAAAACATTAAATTTACCCATTCAACAGATTAAAAAGGATGTCTTCGCGGGCACACAAATGCTCGACAGTGGGCCATCGAGATCCAATTTGTCTTCTCAATAGATTGTTAAATATCTGAGCAACGTCTTTTTTCGCCTAATGGGATGTAAATATCCTCCAACTCACGCGTGTACATCCACACATTCTCTCTCTCTCTCACTATACCTCAAACTCAAATTTTTGGATATTTAAAACTAGCAATTGCAACAAATCTGTTCGGTATACTTCTGATGCCAATTGAGCGACAAGATCTGGACTTGGCTCATGATCTTTCCAATGTGTTTAATACCAGAATACGCGCGCACCTTCCAGCAACTTACCATCTTCGCCGTATAGTATATTCTTCATCAACACTAAATATTTCGATATTTCCTCTGTTGCCTAATATAGTCATCCGGGTCAACAAAAAAAAAACTAGCAATTCACTGCTAGCCTCGACTCACTTTGCGTTTATCTGGCCCGTCTAATTTCTGAATGGAGTCTTTGACATGCTTCACAAGATCATGTGGCGTCTTTTGCTTGGTCTTGAAGATATTGAAGTTCATTTTCTCGTATTGGAAAAGAAACAAGGGGAAAAACGAAAGAAAAAGAGAAAAATAGAACGAAAAGAAAAAAGCACACACGCAACAAACAACATCACAGTAGGAAAAAATTGAGCCGGATCATTATTTAACCAAACACAGGTGTAAGGAGAGGGCTATTACACCATCCATCTACTGGGTTTTTATTGAAATCTTAAGAGGATTGCTTCTTCTTGCCCTTCTTGGTGACAACAACCTTGAAATCGTCTTCGTCTTCATCCTCAAGTCCAGCTGTGACAATGTCTAATCTACCAGCAATGTCGGCCTTTCTACGCTTCATGAATTCCTGTGCAAATCGCTTGCCATCAATACGCACTGAGTTGGCATAAATCACATCTTCAATGATCTCGGCTGATCCAGAGTCAGCAGGGAATGAGAGCAGCATGCTGACAATCTCTTCTTGGTTAACACCAGAGTTCAAGCCTCTTAATGCCTTTCTGCACCAGCGACGGAAATCTTCACTAGGTCCACTAGTACGAGCAGTGGTGGCAGCAGCACGAGCGGGAGCCTTAACTGGAGTCCATTGAGTGGGTTGGGGAGGTGGAGCAGCAATGACAGCAGGTGCGGGAGCTGGAGATGGTTTAGCAGCACGAGTGTTGGTGACAGTAGTCCAGGCACCACCAGCAGAGGGAGTAGCCGCATAAGTCTTGGAAGGGGAGGATGAATTAGCAGCGCTTGCATTGGCAGCAGCGATAGCAGCAGCAGTCTTGGTAGCCTTTGCGTTTTTCTTCTTCATTGCCAATTCCTCTTCTTGCTGAATCTCTCTCAGTGTCTTCTTGGGGCCAGTAGGTGCAGTCCAAGCAGCAGCATTGTTGGCGGAAGGTGAAGCGCTAGGAGTATTGGAGGAACTCGACTTACTATTAGGCACAACAACTCCCCAAGACAAGGTGCTAGGAGTAGCATTAGCGAGCTGTTCTTGATGAGCCAAGTATTGGGCGGCAGATGCCTTTTTGCTTTCAGTAGCTTGCTTGGCCTCCATCTCTTGAATTTCACGGAGAGAAAGGGGCTTGTGAGCAGGTTGAGGCCAAGTACCAGAAGTAGTGGAGCTCAAGGGAGTGTTGTTCGAGGCAGCCCATGAAGGTGTGGTGATAGCGGCTTGCTTGGCTTTGGCCTTTTTCAGATTAGCGATGCGAAGTTCCTCTTCTTGGATTTCACGCAATGAAACAACAGGCTTAGCAACTGCAGCAGGAGTAACAGGAGTAGCTTTGGGTGACACATCCGTGTTGGTAGACGCAGCAGCAGCGGCCGCAGCAGCAGCGGCAGTGGCAGCTTTTTCAGCGTTGGTAGCAGCCACCTTTGCTTCGGCAGCAAGCTTGGCATCAGCAATAGCTTTAGCGTCGGCAGCCTTCTTTTGTTCAGCGAGTTGGATGTCAGCAAAGGATTCAACTAGAGTCTTTGTCTTGACAGGCTTCTCAATTGGTTTCTTGGTAGGAGATGATGGAGCGCGAGGAGATTGAGCGCCAGGAGCCTTGGATTGCAGTTCCTCAGAGACTTTGTTAGGGATTGCGGTGGAGACAATGGAGCCCCATGGACTTGAAGGAGCATCGCCACCAAGAGGAGTGCCAGGAGCAGAGCCCCAACCACCCGTTAAAATGTTTGATCTCATTACAGGAGATGCATGATTGCTGCCAATGATACCCGTGTTGATGCTTGAGAGATTTTCTAGCGGGGTATTCTTGAATGTGTTTTGTTGAGCAGGAGGAGACTGTCCTTGAGGTATTTGAGGTTGTTGTTGTTGAGCAGGCTGTTGTTGTTGAGGTTGCTGTTGCAATGCCTCCTGTTGCTGTTGTTGTTGCTGTTGGTGCTGTTGAGATGGAGAGGCAGATTGCTGTTGCTGCTGCGTCTGTTGCTGTGGGCCCTGCTGGAACTGCATTTGATGAAATTGCTGTTGGAACTGCATAGACTGCTGTTGCTGCTTTTGTTGCAACATCAAGTTGTACTGCTGATGCTGATCCATGGGGTCCATCATAGATCGCTGGTAATCAAACAAGCTAGGCGAGTTCATGTTGGAGCCGCCAAACATAGGATTCAAAGTCGATTGCTGCTGACTCATGAATGGTGATGACAGTGAGCTGTTGCCAAATAGTTCAGGCGTTGTTGGGTTCAGCCAAGAGGGAGATGCTTGAGGTTGATTATCCGTGTTCCAGCGATTGTCTCTCAGCAAAGGGTTTCCAAAATTGTTGTTGTATGGGCTTTGATACATTGGATTGGACATGCTGCTACCCAAGAAGCTATCCATGATACTTCCGCCTGGAGTCGTGGGGGCAGCAGATGCACTTCCAAAAGGCATATACTTGGATTGCAAATCAGGGCCGCTTCTAAATAAGTTGGAGCCCTTCTCGACAGGCGATCCAAACATGTCTACACCGTTCAACCCAGCAGGAGGAGCGCGAGTTGGACGAGGTGTCAAGAAGGGCTGATCCTCATTGCCAACCTTTTGCGTTAACACCATCAATGGTTCAAAGAGGGTTTCATCATCACGTCGAAGCATTAACGTAGGGATAAAGAACCCAGCCTTATACCAATCCTGCATTTCCTGAGCTGCAAAGGGGCCCTGCACTTGACCAGAGGGATCACGATAAAACCACTTGATGTCTTCAGGCTTTCGAGCACTGGATGATGAAGACAAGCCACTCAAATCAGAAGATGGAGGGGCAGCAGGAGCACTTCCAGAGAGGCCATTGCTGCCACTAAAAAGCGCATCCGGCTTGAATGCAGACACATCACTGCCAAGTCCACCACCAAAGGTACCGAGACCGGAACCCTCGTTGATGGCCCAACTTGGCTGCCCCTTATGTTCCTCGTCCACCTTACCCAATGATAAATTCATATCCTCGCTGTGATCGCGTCTTCTGAGCAAATCGCTGCTATCACCACGCTTGATGGGTTGATCCTTTGCAAAGTAATCGCTGCGCCCTAACCAAGCATACACATCAATTCGACACATTCCCGGCCCTTTTGTATGGTCTCTTACCTTTACGCTGACCCAATCTGCTTCCACCAGGTGTTAAAGGGCCATTTTCCGAAGCAGGACTTTGCATTGGGCTAGCATACAAGTCGTTACCCCCGCGATGTCTTTGATTCTTGCGAGAAGACACTTCAGAGTGCACAGGGCCTGAAAGAAGCTATAGACCATGATATCAATGAAAGCTAGCAATAATTCATCACTCGTTATCGTACCTTTTTCTCAGTCTCTGTCAGCTCTTCGAAGGCTAATGGAGCGTTACAAGCGTCAGTGGTCACGTATTCATGTTGCTTGAAATCAGAAGGTAGCTGTAAAGCAGGCTTGAATAAACTAAGCATGAATTCTTTGGAGTATTTGAAAGGATTCTCTTGCTGATGTTGTTGTTGGAATTGGAGATGGCTGCTGCTGCCGTTGTCTTCAAAAGGCATGAGAGAATCTAAAATATCATGAGACGCGAAATGAGTGCCATTGTTACTATTATGCTTGGAGAGTTTACCACGCATCCTACGGATTTGAACTGACATTAGCACGCATGGAACAGGCGCACGCACGCACACAAACAAACACACACTTACCATTCGGGGCCAAAGTTCATGTTGGTGGTCATTTTTTGTGATTGAGTGAGATACAAGTTATTGAGAGTGTGGGGTGAGAGTATTATCAAGCGATAGAATTTCTTCTTTGGTGGTTTGATCGAAGGAAAAGAAGAAAGAAAAAATATTTTTTTTCCCTTTATTGCAAGCCAGAAAATAATCATATCTTGCCATGATTGGTTTAAAAACTTGATGGTTTATTGTTCATATTTCGTTATCGAAGCCAATGGGCACATTTCATTATACGAAAACTGCTTCTAGCAGCTCAGATGCTTGTAGCTATATCGCAATTTCATTGATCTACACTATGAAATGGCATGTCAAACTGCTCCAAAAATGTCAATAGTTGGACTGTTGTTGTCTCTTCTTTCGTATTAGTAAATCAACTAAGGGTTCGCAAAGGCCAATGAAATTCTGTAATTGCATTTAGAAAGAGCTGAATATGGAAATGTGGGCGTTGGATCTACCCTATCCAGCGAGCAATCATGGTAATAACGTTATCATGCCATAACAATAGTTCACATCTATAATGCCATGCTGGAGATTGAGCGTTTCAAACAAGAGCAAGCACTGCTTCGATAGGAAGAGACTAATGCTGGCTCCATGTAGTTTACATTGGAGAAGGGGTTTTTTCCTGATTCTACATTCCACAACGTCGCCTACAAAGCAGTAATTAACTACTGCTGCTTCTGATGAACAAAAATCTCGTATGTTTATTTGATAAATTTTCGCACGTATTCTGTGAGATAATGAAATGGTTCTGGTATGTAATGCTACTGCTAGGACGAGCATTTGGGTGAGTAGCTTGCACTAATTATATCAATGCACATTAATCCAAATTCGAACTTCGCACCAAAGAAGCGAAGCCAAACTACGCGATAGTACCTTCCAACTCTCAATCCCCTTCTCATGAGCTCCCAAGAGCATCAATTACCATCAATAATAGCATGGCATTGATTTTGCCAGCCAGAACTTTTTTATGCGTCAGTCTATTTTTTTCTTCTCGAAATGGCAGATTTTGATCAAAAATCGATGATTTTGCATGATACCTTTTTTTGGCCATACTTCGATAAACACTCAACGGATTTGCATAAGACATAAATAATTCAATAGCTCTACGTTATATCTATTATACTGTGAGGGTGCCAAGTACCAGATGCATCTTCCCTTTATAAATTCGCTCAAAATCTTATATTTTATGAGCTATAACAAGCAGAGGATTTTCAAAAGTCAAAAGTAAATCTATACAAACCATACCATCGTATAGAGAATTGAAAAAGAAACAAACGTTACTAAGCTTTAGGCTCAAGTTGACTTAATAAAATTCAGCGGTGGTACAGCTCTTAGAAAATTGACCATTTTCTATATTTTTCCTCAGTACTCATCCATTATTACCCCACATAAAACAGGCCCTAGTCAATCAAAGTGCCCTCTACAACTTTTACTACACATACATTTCACATCATCACCAAACTCCTAAAATAATACATTTTATTCTGCCGTCACATAGTAAAAAGTTAATTACAAGAGTGCCCGTAGGGAAATCAGCCATTACTGTCAGCATGGCAGAAGCCTAACAATATTCTTGGAAAATAAAGCATTTACGTAATCCTTTTCTCTTCATATTCACAAGTTTTACCCAACAATCCAAATGCCTCGAAGTTTGAGAAGTCGTTTAAACCGCTCTGATTCTTTGGATACTCCAGTTGAGCTATATACTGTAAATTTTGTCTTTCACAACTTTGCTGAAACTGCAAATCCTGTTGTTCCTGAACCTATTGAAGGTAAGATTCCAGTAACAACTTCCCCAACGTACATGAGTCCAATTTTGGAATTAGGAGCTACCATCAACGAGAATATAGTAAGGTGTAATTGGTGTGGCCGCACTGGACACCAAAGGCGTTTGCATAAGGATTGTGGAATGAGGATACTTCGAAATACTTCTGACAGGAGAGCAACTTGCCCATGGTGCCATAGAGAAGGACATACACGCAGAAACCATCTTGACTGTGCGCTAAATCCAATCAATCAGCCATCTAAGCAACCGTCTCCAACACCAATTGTACAAGGCTTTCCAAATGCCTCTCAATCTGAGGCCACAGCTGAAACTCTGGACCCCAATGTCATCGTAACAGCAGTTGTATGTCCCTTTTGTGGAATAGAAGGACACCAACGCCGATCTCATTATAATTGTGCCGAAAATCCTCTACGTACAGGTGCAATAGATTCTTTTTTGATGGTGCGAAACCCTGAAGCACCTGAGGCTAACCGAAATGATTTGGGAGGCATGAATGCTTTGTGCTCAAAATGTGGAGCCTACATGTGGATTGATGAAAGAAAGCAAAGAACAACAAGAGCTTCTCCAACGTTTCAAATCTGCTGTCAAGATGGCCAGGCAATCTTGAAGCCAGTACACCATTTTCCAGAGCTTATTGTCAATCTTTTGAGTGGCAATGACGATGTTAGCAAAGAGTTCAAATCGAATATTAGAACGTACAATTCTGCTCTCAGCTTTACCTCCATGAATGCAACTTTAGATCAATCAGTTGCGAATAATCAAAATGGTGCCTACGCATTCCGTATTCACGGTAGCGTCTATCATCTCATGAGCTCTGCACTTATGCCAGCAAATGATACACGCCCAAAATTTGCTCAAATATATATATATATATATGTTCGATGGGGAAAATGAGCTCCAAAACCGACTGAATGTTGCTGGAAACCCCAACGTTGAGAGAACCACTATGCGTCTCCTCCAAAATATGATGCACGAAGTCAATCCTTTTGTTGACTTATTTAAAACCATGGAGGAGCTATCAGTTGAGCAACCTGGAGGAATTCAGAATATACGAATGATATTTCGTTCAGAGGATTCTCCTGATCCAAGAAGGTACAATAGACCTAGAGTTCCAGAAATTGGTATACTATTGTTTGATGGCGACGATGAAAGCAGCAACGAACAGCCAAAGAATCGTGATATCGTCTTAAGATTGAAAGGTTCTGGTGATAACCTAACAAGGATTAATGAAACCAATCAATTCTTTGATCCTCTTCAATACGTTTTGATTGATGACTGATCGTACAATTTCCAGGCATAGTGGAAGAATCACTATTGATAATCGTTGGGTCGTGCCTCATAATCTTTATTTGGTTGCTAAATACAACGCACACATCAACGTGGAGATTTGCAGCCAGGTCAACTCGGTCAAATATATATACAAATATGTATACAAGGGCCATGACAGAGCACAGGTACACGTGGGTTCATCTGCTCAAGATGATCATCAGGATGAGATCAAAAAGCTTCTTGATGCAAGATATGTCTCGGCATCTGAAGCCTGTTGGAGAATCATGTCTTTCCCTATGCATAAGGAATACCCCTCTACACAGCGCCTGGATATCCATTTGGAGAACGATAGTAGGGTGTACTTTAACGAGAACGAAAGTTCTGACCAGGTCTTGAGTCGCACACTTCCAGAAACAACCCTGACAGCTTGGTTCAAGTACAATCTCGAAAATCCTGAAGACAACGAAGCTAAGCAAACTTTGTATCCGGACTTCTGTGAAAAAGTACGTTTTTCATAAACAACAGAACCCAAGAGTTTGGAGACCTAGACGTTCAGGTTTTGGTGGAGCCATTGGCAGAGTCTACCCTGTATCTCCAAAAGATATTGAAAAGTATCATTTAAGAATTCTGCTGTATCGAATTCCAGGAGCAACATCCTTTACCTACTGGGAAAACCTTCATCATCAATGCTTTGTTAGATGCCGTTCGCAAACAAAATCATATTGCAATTGCAGTTGCTTCAACAGGAACGGCGGCTCTGCTGCTGAAAGGAGGTCGAACTGCCCACACTACCTTTAAAATCCCCATCGACACCTCATCTACAACAATGTGTGATTTTACACCATCCTCTGAAATAGCTCAATTCTACCAACTTGCTGGATTTGCTAGCTGTTGTGTTTCCAAACATCAGCAATAGCTCAACGATTGACCAATATTTTGCGAAGCGTGTTATATTGACCCCAAAGAATCAAGATGTCTCAGTCATAAACAATCTGCTACTTGACAACTTGCCGGGAAGAAAGTTCACTTATTACAGCTATGATCAAGTCTGTGATCCTCAATTTCGAATGCAGGTGCCTTTCGGGCTTCTCAACTCCATAGAATATGGCTCTCTGCCTCCACATGAATTGGTTTTGAGAGTTGGGTCTCCAATAATGATCTTGAGAAACTTAGAACCTTCAGCTGGATTATGCAATGGAACCAGGCTAATCGTGAAATCTTTGGGTGTTGGAATAATTGAAACCACCATTGCCACAGGGCCAAAAGCAGGTGACGTTGTGTATATCCCAAGGATCAAGTTTATTACAGAAGCCAACGGAAGAATTTCCTTCGACTTCAGTCGCACCCAGTTTCCTGTGAGATTGGCCTTTGCCATGACTATAAACAAATCGCAGGGCCAAACATTATCTAACGTTGGATTATATCTTCCCTCTCACGTCTTCTCACATGGTCAGCTGTACGTCGCAATGTCAAGGGTCAGTAAGCCATCATCGATAAGAATCATGGTTGATCCTGACATTTCTGTACTGGAAAACCTACCTGGCCACTATACACACAATATAGTATACTCTGAGGTCTTTCAATAAAGCTTTTATATATTTATATCTCAAATTACACCCATTTTTTATTGCCAGGCCATTAGTCTCATCATTTCTCAACAGATATAAAGCTTTGTTTAATGGTGCAACTAGTTCATATAATAATTTTAAAACTTTTACTAGTGGCATCAATTCAAAATTAACTATTTTCCAAAATCTCCCTTTTCTCAACAACTATGCTACCTACGCAAATTTCAGTTGCACCATCGTTTAGAGCGCAAAAAACTGGTATAGGAACATGCTAGTCTCAAGGCTCTAGCATCAATATTTAGAAAATCGATTTTCGATCGTCCAAAAGTTGAAAACCTCAAAATCAAAAAACATTTTGTACATCCAGGTCTTCATAGGTAAAAAAAATTAGAGTCTCATCAAACTTAAATATGTTGTAGAATAATAATATTGGAGCAACTTCCAAGTGGGAACATTATATCGGAAATGCTTACTTCTTGAAATAATCGACATTGGAGATGCTATTTTTAAGCGGGGGGAATATGCATGCATTAAATTGCTAATCTTATTATTCTTGAATAAAGTAAGCTACAGCTACCTAACCTTAAAAGCAAGATTTTCCATCATGTCAAGTATCTATTGATAACTTAAAACCAGCAGGTTAATATGGCCCTTTTCGTACGCTCCGGTTTTTAAAGTGCTTGGCCAAATTCGTACTTGTGTGGTGTACATATGCGGAAAGTCAACGGAGCTTCAATTTCTATTGTTCTGAATGATGATCTATGGGATTCCTAAATCTATCGACCTTAAAATTACGCGTTTACTGATAGTAACCATTCCTTCAAGCTTATATAAAACTTGTAGAGAATTCAAAGGAAAATACAATGGTGTTTGTTTCAAGTCTCTGTTGTACATTGTTCACCTGATAATTGGTACGATTGTTTCTGCCATTTTTTGACTGTTTTCAAAAGATTAATCAGTATCTGTCATCAAAGCATTTTGTAAAGCATTACTAAATATTGTAGACCAAACGATTTCCTATCGAATGAGCTATTGCTTGAAGCTCTTGCATAACTCTATCATGAAATATTGAAAATCTTGTCCTGACCAAAAAAAGGTCATCGGATTTTTTGCTTGCTATCACAGGCAGATTTTGAACAAAAATTGATGATTTTGCATGATACCCTTTTTTGGCCGTATTTCGACAAATACTTATTGGATTTGTATAAAACTAAAGCAGTTCGATAGCTTTAAATCAAATCGAACATGTTGTGTGGTTTTGACGTACCAAATATATCTTCCCTTTATGAATTTATTCAAAATCGTATTCATTATAGGGCTCTTCTTTTATATCAAATGTTCTAGCAAAGTCTCACACCAGGGGTCCTAGGCTATTATTCTTAGGTCCTTTGGTTAATCATCATGCTGGAAACCTTAGCATAATGAAGAGTATATAAATGTATTCTCTGGATGCATTCTCAATAAAGTGTAATTCTTTGGCAGATTCAATTTTACATCGTATTTTGACATAATACTTCTCGCCCAAATCAAGCTTAGTTTCCTTGCTCATGTTCCTGTTATGTAATTACAACTATCACACAGTGGTACATACATCATTTCTCGACATCTAGATCGCTCGTATCAAAATTCATTGCATCATGGGCTGGCATTTTATTTAGAAACGTGCTCTTTCACTAGCCCGATTCCAAACAGTTATACATTGGTGATGAAGCAATTTTTATAGAGCACACATATGTTCTGATTGATTTTTGGGCGGGAAGGGCTTGCTCGAAGCAGTGTAACGTTTCTGTAGATATCACCTGTGATGATTCAGGGTTCCGGTGCAAATTCATTTCAGGCAATCTGATGTTTAGGTGATCAACTAGTATAGAAGATGACTAATCAGTCTCAATTTGGTTTATATAAAAGCTTTAAAAGTGAAAAGCACCTGTATCATTGATGTCTATTTCTGCGCATAACTTTGTACCAAGCTCTAGAATATGCAGAGCACGCTGATATCACGGCAGGTATCCTCAAAATAGGGTACACTTTCGGTATTAATTGAATAACGCAATTATAATGCATTGCATTTCATTTCGTTGAGAGAAAACACCTACTCTGCACATGCGCGCACGCAGCCTATTAATAACAAATTTCGATCAATTTGTGTAATGATATTAATACAAATTGGACGGCAGTGGTTACATATATACAAGGATCTTATGTGAATTTGAAACTGGTGATTTTCCCGTCTGTGAACCCTTATTTTGGAGACGGGATAGCGGGAGGCTCTTAGAAACAGAAGCTTCTGATATGCATGATCCTACAAATCTAAAGTGCTATCGGTATGGTTCTGGTATGTCTCAGCATATGCTCAATACAGTGTTTGCATTAGTTTTTTTTTTTTTGAAATGTCAAGAAGCCAGTATGAATACAATTGCACATATATATACAGCCAGTAGGATTTACCCGAGTGGTTAAAAAGGTGGAAAAGCAATTTGCAGATTGTGTACAAAGCTAAATAGAATGGCATTACAGTACTACTTACACACGCCATGCAGGCATCATTTATTTCATTATTCATTGATTAAAATGATGGGAATTGATGTCGATAACTCTGGCCGATTCCCGAGTGGTTCAGATCATTATTGAATGACACCGACACAGTAATAGATCACTACATGTAATGCCTATTACTTTGTGCAAGGTTACTCTTGGTGAGATGTTATATATAAAGGGTCCTTTTTTGAACCCTTTTTCGATCATTCAAACAACCAAGATGGTCTCTTCCAAATTAACTATCCTCTCTGCCCTGAGCTTACTGTCTACTGCTGCCGTTGTTGTCGAGGGATGGACGTTGGCATCCACCTCCCAAGGAGCCTCATTCTTTGATGCTTTCACCTTCTTTACTAATAGCGATCCAACTCACGGATTTGTGCAATATGTTGACAAGGCTACAGCTACTAATAAGGGGCTAATCTACACCCAAAACAATCAGACCATCATCAAGACCGATAATACCACGACCACAACTTCTGGAAGACAGTCTGTTCGCTTGGTTTCAACTGCCTCCTATAACACAGGCCTCTTCATTCTTGATTTAGAACATATGCCAACTGGCTGTGGTACCTGGCCAGCTTTCTGGATGGTTGGACCCAATTGGCCAAACAGTGGCGAGATTGATGTGAGACACTCATAATGCTTAATTTTGATTGTTGTGTCATAGGACTAATTGGGTGTTGTCTTAGATCATCGAAGGCGTCAATAAGCAAGCTCAAAATCAAGCTACATTGCACACATCCGCAGGCTGTACAATGGAAGGTGTAAACCGTTCTCAATCATCCACTGTATTGGCCAACAATTGTGATGTCAATGCAACTGGCCAAGGCGGCAATGTTGGTTGTGGTGTCTCGTCTCCAGATACGCAAACCTATGGCGCCGGATTCAACAGTAACAAAGGCGGCGTCTACGCTACTCAATGGTTGAACGATGGCATCTACATCTGGTTCTTCCCTCGCAATTCTATTCCATCTGATATCAAATCAAACGCACCCAACCCAAATAATTGGGGTATAGTAACTCATGCAACAATGTGAAATCAACATGAATCTGACTAAACTTCTTCTCTTAGGAACTCCTATGGCAGCCTTCCCCTTTGTCAGCGGCAAGTGCACACCAAACAAATTCGCTAATCTTCAGATTGTCATCAATTTAACCTTTTGCGGCGACTGGGCTGGCTCTGTCTACTCCTCATCTGGCTGTCCATCTGACTGTAATACCTATGTTGGTCAAACGCCAAGTGCTTTTACAGAAGCTTATTGGCGAATCAACTCACTTAAAGTCTATCATTAATCGACTACTGAAACAATATTCATGCCGGAATTTATAAATGCATATTTTCCAGCATGAATTTTCTTGGTTTAAAGACCCCTTCAATAAATGCGATTCGCTTTTTCCTCTTTTTTTTTTTTTTTTTTTTTTTTTTTCTCCTTCATACTTTCTTTCCTCACGTAGCATTAAGCAAAAGCTCGCAATTCGCACCATCATGGCAAGCACTAATAGCACAAGTCAACATCATTCACCACCATGCTCGCCACATACACAATGCAATATCCCTAGTATGTGATGGAAAACTCAAAACAGATGTGGATGTGTAATAATGTTCAAATTTAGTTGGCCCCACTGATAAAGCCAAACGATGTAGAGACTCAGATGAGGATTCCAAAGAAACTTGTCTGAAATTTGGTAAGGATCACGCTTGATCGAGTGCGTCATGTATATGCTGGCACACATATACACATCGATTTCTCTGCTTTTCTTTCTTCTATGGAAAAGAAAAAGAAAAAAATAGTGACCACTTATAGTGGACTGACCTGACGTAAACTCATCCTATCCTTATTATAGAACAACTGACCTGCGAATCACTACCACATTCGCCACCACAGACACCATTGGGATCAGTTTCCAAGAGCAAAGATGACATCTGTGAACTATCGACCCACGTTGATTTATCAGACAAGCAAGAGAATCTACAAGACATTGAACGAAAACCAAAAAGGCGATCATCCGTAGAATTAAACCTTAAAAACTTCACCTTGATTCGAACACTGGGGACAGGCTCATTTGGTAGAGTGCACCTAGCAAAGTCAAACATGAACCAACGGTTTTATGCAATCAAGGTCTTGCGAAAAACGGATATTGTCAAATTGAAGCAAGTCGAGCACACCAAGAACGAAAGAGCCATCTTGTCAGCCGTCAAATACACATTTATTGTCAATTTATGGGGAACCTTTCAAGATGACGCCAATCTATACATGGTCATGGATTACGTACCGGGTGGCGAGTTGTTCACATTCATGAGAAAGAGCATTGTATGTACAAGTGGACTGATTTTGAATCGATTGTTAATGAGACCATTTTACAGAGATTGCAAGAAGATGTTGCCAAGTTCTACGGGGCAGAAGTTTTACTGACAATAGCTTATCTTCATTCGCAAGACGTAATTTATCGGGACCTGAAGCCAGAGAACATACTGCTGGATTCTGAGGGCCACATCAAGATCACTGACTTTGGTTTCGCAAAGGTAGTGCCTGACATTACATGGACATTGTGTGGTACTCCTGATTATTTAGGTAAAGGATCTCGCTCTTTTTTCTTTTATCTGGTGAGAAAAATGTTCATTAACATGCTGTGCATACATTTATATATATAGCACCCGAAATTATTCAATCCAAGGGCTACGGAAAGCCTGTTGATTATTGGGCATTAGGCGTGTTGATATTTGAAATGTTGTCTGGGTAACTACAGTATAAATTTTAGACTATTCATCAAATAACACTAACATGATTTCAACATCTTCCCACTTTTTCCCAGTGTCGCACCATTCTACGACGATAATCAATTTAAATTATATGAAAAAATCGTAGCTTGCAAACCAGTTTATCCGAAATACTTTAGCGAACAAGTGATTGACCTTTTAAAACACCTGCTAACTCCGGATCTCAGTAGCCGCTATGGTAACCTGAAAAATGGTTGCCAGGATGTGATCCAACACCCCTGGTTCCAGTCCATCGACTTTGACAAACTGGCACAACGTCAAGTCAAGGCTCCATATATTCCAAATGTCAAAGGCGAAGACGATACAAGCAATTTTGATATGTACGATGAAGAATCGACTCCTTACGGACTACCTGAACCCGATCCATATCGCAAGTACTTTACTGAGTTCTAAGCTAAATGTCGTATAGGGACAAATTCTACATGCCATTTTTGTTGTTTCCTGCCTTCTTCTTTGTAGTCAAGTCCCATCCATCATCTGCAATTTCTATATACTCTTTGAACGTTATCATCATTATGATCCCAATGTAAATTTTATTTTATTTTTCTTTTTTTGGATAATCCGAACCACATCTAGGGCCCCTTTTTTTTTTATTTGATTAACATGAATCATATAGAATAAAAGCCATTATATGATGTATTAGAAAATTACATCTTAAACAACAAATGAAAAATATAGAAATGGGTCCAATGACATCAACTATGATATAAAAGGAAATGAATGTGGGTTAAGTACGTCCAGAAATCCGCTTTGACTAACGAATCAGTCTTTGAAGTTACCCAATATAGACTAGTAAATAAAAAAATAGCTTAGATCCAGAAAAAATGACCATTACAGCATCTCATACGCAAGCGGTTAATTGGGGAGTCGTACAAAAGCTTATGCTGTGATCCCTTTCCATATCTTTTGACGTTTATTATGGAAAGCGTATCACCATGACAACCTCAAAAGGTCATCTCCATGAGGAACACATTCAGCATGTAAGAGCTGCAGATCTACCACATTTTGCAATCTTGCAGAAAACCGAAATTGAAAAAGTTTTTCTAAAATGAAACAGGCTAGCAGGCCTTATGTCTCATCAGTTTTTTTTTTTTTTTTTTTTTTTTTTTACGAAAACGTTGTGGTTACCAACCATCTTAAGGCGGTGTTTCATTGATTTAGATGCCAATGTATATAAATAAGGGTCCTTTGATCATCTCGATCTCATTACAAAACACTTTTTTCTTTTACTTTCATATTATTATGGATTCTCGTGATTTGAATTTACCAAAGTACATGGTATACTGTGGCTTGATCGCAGGTATCGGTGCTTTCTCTAACGGTTGGACTATTGGTTCTCCCAATGTTCCCGGTGATATCACCCACAACTGTCCTACTGGCAGTGCTCACACTGTGAATCCTGCTTTTCCTGATTGTTTGCCCATGGATACTGCTCTATGGTAATATTAGATGCTTGGAGAAAATCACACGTTGTATACTAACTCTACAGCGCTTAGGGGTTTCGCCGTATCATCCTTCTGTGTTGGCGGTTTGATTGGTAGTGCTGTTGGTGGTGCTATCCAGACTAGATTGGGTCGTAGATTGACAATTATCGTCAACAATGCTGGTTTTATTTCCGGTGCTATTTTGATCGGCTGCGCTGTTCACACTGCCATGTTCATCATTGGCCGTATTCTCTGTGGTTTATCATGTGGTCTCGGTTCTCTTGTTATTCCCACTTATCTTGGTGAGATCTCCACTCGTAAAGGCAGAGGTTTGATAGGTTTCTTCAACCAGTAAGTTGCATGGATTTAGTGATGTTGATCATCTGAAACATTTTTTTTTCTCACATCCGTCTTTTTGATTTTAGGTTTTTTGTCGTAACCGGTATTCTATTGTCATCCGTCATTGGCTTGCCTACCTCCAATGTTCCACTCTGGCGTCTTAACTATGCTATTGTTGCTATTCCATCCATCTTCCAAATTTTCATGATGGGTACCTGTGTCGAGTCTCCTCGTTATTTGATCTCTGTTGGTCGCATCGAAGATGCTCTCATTTCTCTTCAAAAGCTTCGTGGCTCTGCTGATGTTTCCGAGGAATTCTTTGATATCGTTGCTGGCCAAGTCGGTAGAAAGAAGGCTGTTCGTCTCTTGAAGGAGAACTCCCACGAAAAGAATGTCAAGAATGCCAACAACTCTCTTGACGAAGGCTTTGACAATACTGACAACAACTCTCTTGATCGCAATGCAGGTAGCAACAAGGAAGAATACAATGCCGCTGGTGCTGGTCCTGGTGCTGTTAGTGGTAATGGCGATATCGAAAACGATGACTCTGATGAGCAACGCCCTCCTATGAGCATTATCGAAATTTTCAGAGACCCTGTCATCCGCAAGATTACCTTGATCGTCCTTTTCCATCACACTATCCAACAACTCTCTGGTATGAACGCCGTCATGTACTACTCTACCACCATCTTTGAACAAGCCGTTGACAAGCAAAACGCTCAGTACATGGCCATCTACACGACTGTTGTCAACTTTGGTATGTCTATTGTTGCCATGGCCTTCATTGATCGTTCCGGCCGTCGTTTGTTGCTGATCATGTCTGAAATGGGTACATTTATCTTCTCTGTTCTCCTTGTTGTCGGTTACAGATACAACATTTCGAATCTTCTTGTTGCCTCTGTCTTTGTCTATGTCGCCTCCTTTGCTATTGGTATTGGACCAGTTCCTTGGATGATTACCTCTGAAATGACCCCCATCTATGCTAGTTCCTCTGTCGGTGCTGTTGCCACTGCCATGAACTGGGCCATGAACTTCTTGATCGGTCAAGTCTTCCCTGTTATTTTCGCTGCAATTCAAGGCTGGTCTTTCCTTATCTTTGCCATCATCTGTCTCATTTCTGCCATTGTTACCTTCTTCTTTTTGCCTGAAACCAAGAACAGAGCTATTGAAGACATTGTCGACGGCTTCAGAAAGAAGTAAATTGAATCTTACCTCTTTTGTATTGTAAATTAGTTATCCCCACTCTTTATCTTAATCAGACTTTTTCCCTTTCTCTATAGAAATAATTGATATTTTATATGTAATTCTCTTTTCCTATACAACACGTGTAAATAATTAAAATTCTGAAAATTGAATGTATACTATACATATGAAGCGTATGGGTTTGCAAGCGAATAAGGTTGTCTGAGAGTAACGGTGTGGGGTTTGCATTAAGCTTTTGATCTGAAACCAGCACGATCGCATGTTTCAACGAACGCACTTTGGATCCATAACATGGCAGGGAAACCTATTAATGGATAGGCAAAATGAATGCTATGGACGGGCAGCTGTGTACCTGTATAGAAGGTTCTGCTGAATGCCCTTTCACGACTTACATGCAACGGAATTTCGCTTGATTCGCTTTAAGTAACCTGTTTTTCGATAGACTTTTAACTGTATGAATCACAGCGTACGTCTGGCCATGTGTCACTGCCAATTGCCATTGCAAATAGCACATGAAATCATGCTTGACATGTTACATTTAGCTAATTGGGAAGCTTAAAGTATTGAAAATATAATACATGAATGCTATTATTGTTTGGACAAAGAAAGAAAAAGGAGCAATAAAAAGAGTTCCTGACAGATTTATATAGATTGCTCAGATGCAGGTGCAGGTACGTCATCCATGTACATGAGAGCAAGAAACTGTGGCATGTACACCACTAGCAGCATACAGTCGTTGTATTGGTACTCACGACTATGAACGCATGATACGAGAACATTATGGGGGCGCAAGAGCTAAGCGCGCTACCATAAGTACAGCTTTCAGTGCTTGCCTTGGCGTGCTCATGCTTTGACGAAGTATGCAAAATGCAAAGGTTTGAACAGAATATCAACTGTGTAATTGTATTGAGGTAACTAGAGATTTATGTTTATTAAATGTATGTAGAGATGAAAGGATGATGAAATGAAGAGTGGGTAAATTAAAAGAAATTAGAAATCGGCATCCAAAGAGAAGCTACGATCCTCCTTGGTAGACATGACACCAGCACGTTGATAGTCAGAGACACGCTTCTCAAAAAAGTTGGTCTTGCCTTGAAGAGAGATCAATTCCATAAAATCGAAAGGGTTATTAACATTGTAATGCTTGGGGAAACCAAGCGATACCAAGAGACGATCGGCCACAAATCTAACATATTGACACATCAACTTGTCATTCATGCCAATCAGACGAACAGGGAGAGAATCATTAAAGTAAGACTCCTCGATTTCAACGGCTTCGGTGATGATTTGCAGAACGGTTTCATGAGAGGGCTGATTGACCAAATGGTGGAACAAGAGGCAGCCAAAATCAGCATGGAGACCTTCGTCACGAGTAATAAATTCATTGGAAAGTGTCAAGCCAGGCATCAACCCACGCTTTTTGAGCCAAAAGATGGAAGCAAAGGAACCAGAAAAGAAGATACCCTCAACAGCAGCAAAAGCAACGATACGGACACCAAAAGGCTGGTTTGACTCATTAGAGATCCACTTGAAAGCCCAATTAGCCTTATCCTTGATGACAGGAATGGTTTCAATAGCGTTGAACAAGAATTCCTTCTCAACGGAATCCTTAATGTAGGTATCGATCAAGAGAGAATACATTTCAGAGTGAATGTTTTCAATCATGATTTGGAAACCGTAGAAACACTTCGCCTCTGCTACCTTGACCTCATCGCAGAAATTCTTCACCAAATTCTCATTGACAATACCATCGGAAGTGGCAAAGAAAGCCAATACTCGAGAGATGAAGAAACGCTCATCATCGTTCAACTTTTCCTCCCAGTCAATCAAATCCTTTGACAAATCAACCTCCTCGACTGTCCAAAAAGAGGCCTCAGCCTTCTTGTAAAACTCCCAAACCTAGTGTCATAGGATATATGTATATATATATATAAGTATCTGTTGCTCACCCGTAACTGACCAAACTCAAATTACCTCGTGGTACTTGACAGGGAAAAGACAAAAACGTCTGGTATTCTCCTTCAAGATGATCTCCTCCCCGGCCTCCAAGTCAACCTTCAATTCTGCCAAACGCTTCAAGATGGTGCTTCTTAGGCCTTGAGCTGCAAGTTCAGATTGGGCATCGAATACGGTCATTTTGTTTGATAAAGATGGGTTTGTTGTAATGATGAAATCTGATAAACGTTTGTTGTTCTTTTTATATGTTTTCTCATTTTGTTTTACGGAACCGAGAATCCGCTGTTTTGAGGAGGAGGTTGGATTCAAGATTGTGTAAAATTATCATGCCATTTGGATGCTTGAGTTGCGCAAGTATCTTTGGGCTATCTAAGGTGTAAAATGATTACACTAATCGCCGCCTGTTAAACTATTACACTGAGACATTGTGTTGTAGATTCATTTCCAGGTTGCCATGACAACCATGATGGCTTGCAAGAAAAGTGCTTTTATGATATAATTTTCAACACTTCTTGCCGTGCACATAAATTAATCCAAGTTGACACTAGTTATTCGTCATTCCGTTTCTTTTATAATGTATTCCTCTCGGTGAGCCTGTTATCAAACACCATCAAAATGAGCAGTGAGTACACTTCTGTTTAGATAATTGAATCGGCAGTCTAATATTAAGGTTTCTGATCATCATCAGAAGCTCTTGACGAAAAATTTTAATACATTGACTGGACGGATAAATATGCGGCGAGGTAAGACTGACCTTGTCCTCCAGCTGCTGAAGCAGCTCAAAGCTGTACCTTCAGGACATAATGACAGATGGGGCAATGGCCATTAGAGTCGAGTCTGTTTAAGCCATCTCCTCGAAAAGATTGTCAAGATCAGCTATACGTATACTCAATCTAGGCTTTGCTCACCAGTCAGCAAGGTGATCAGCCCTTGATTGCATACAAATGTGGTTCATGCAGTGAGTTAAATCGACGAAATGCCAGCTGATTCGAGGAAGACCGCATTCGAGTTCGTTTCAGGATTATCCAACACACAACAAATGACAAACACACCACAGACAGCGATCTCATTGTAGCCTGATCTGTGCCATTTTGCGTAGCTACTGTTGCACAAATGTCGACACGTGTGGTGCCACACACGCACATCTGATTAAGCGAAAGATATGTTTATTTACAAAAGTAAGAATAAAGAGTTGAATGAACATGAGATGAATGTTGCAACGATTTTCCTTAAAAATCAGCATCAAGAGTAAAGCTACGGTCTTCTTTGGCATTCATGACACCAGCACGTTGGTAATCAGACACACGCTTTTCAAAGAAATTAGTCTTGCCCTGCAGTGAGATCAAATCCATGAAATCAAAGGGATTGGAGACGTTGTAATGCTTGGGGAAACCCAGAGAGACCATCAAGCGATCAGCAACAAATTCGACGTATTGACACATCAATTCTTCATTCATACCAATCAATCTGACGGGCAATGCTTCCCTAAAGAAGCTTTGCTCAATCTCGACAGCTTCAGTTAATATTTGAAGGACAGTTTCATGAGGAGGTTGGTTGATCATGTGGTGGAATAAAAGACAGCCAAAATCAGCATGGAGACCTTCATCACGAGTAATAAATTCATTGGAAAGCGTCAAGCCAGGCATCAACCCACGCTTTTTGAGCCAAAAGATGGAAGCAAAGGAACCAGAAAAGAAGATGCCTTCAATAATGGCAAAAGCAACAATACGAACTGCAAAAGGCTGCTTGGATTCGTTGGCAATCCACCTGAAAGCCCAGTCAGCCTTGGTCTTGATTTGAGGGATGGTCTCGATTGCATTGAACAAGAACTCTTTTTCGACAGGATCCTTGATGTATGTGTCAATCAAGAGAGAGTACATTTCAGAATGGATGTTCTCAATCATGATCTGAAAACCATAAAAGCATTTAGCCTCACCAATCTTGACCTCATCACAAAAGTTGGCAACCAGGTTCTCATTGACAATACCATCTGAAGTAGCAAAAAATGCCAACACGCGACCGATGAAATGGCGTTCGTCCTTGTTGAGCTTCTCCTCCCAGTCAAGAACATCTTTTGATAAATCAACCTCTTCAGCGGTCCAAAAGGAAGCTTCGGCTTTCTTGTAGAATTCCCAAATTTCGTGGTACTTGATAGGGAAAAGACAGAAACGACGAGGATTTTCCTTGAGAATGATTTCCTCTCCAGGCTCAATATCTACCTTCATTTCTGTCAAACGCTTCAGGATGGTTTGTCTTAAGCCTTGGGCGGCAAGTTCGGATTGTGCATCGAATACAGTCATTATAGGTTGAAAAGATATAAAAAGTGCGGTGATGGAGATAAAGAATAACAATAGCTGCTATTGTTCATATATGTGCTTTATATACTAGTCGAATTTTTTTTGTTGATAGGTTTCATATGGCAAAATTACGAAACAGACAATCGAGCACTCAAGATAAGCCAATCAGCCTACTGTTAGTAAAATGCACGGATTGAGGAGTTTAGGCACATTGTATTAATCAGTGCCATTCGAGTAGGGTTGCTTCATGTTTCAAAGGCTAAAAAGCATCTTTGCATACCTGATATACTGCACAATCTATCTAAAAGGCTACTTTTACCTCTTTCATTCATTACTGAGGTACAACAGCTTTATGAATAGTTGCATGATTTTTCTTTGGTGTGAGTGACAGATGTTTTTTACCATACATTCAAGCTCAAAGATGAATCAAATCATCGAAATTCAAAAGGAACCCTATTTCTCGTTCTTTTTTTTTTTTTTTTTTTTTTTTTTTTTTTGCTGATAGTATGGCTAAATTGTACATGTCTGAAAACAAGTTTGTGTCTCAATTTACAGTTACGGAAGCAGTTGCTGTCCAGCAGTTGAAAGATGCTTTGCCAGACATCCTGACAGAGGCATTTGGTGCAAGCGATGTACAAGCTTTGTGGGGTGTTCCATTGGACAACGCTTCTGATGATGAACGTATCAAAGTGGTCTTGGTCAAGTTTTTGAGGGCAAGGTAAATTCATGACTACTACCAGCCTGTTTCATATAGACTGACCATGTGTATAGAAATATGGAGATACCAGTGGCCAAAGACATGCTGATTAATACACTGAAATGGAGAAAAGAGTTTTCTGCCGACACTGTTCTTGATGAGCAATTTGATGAAAGCACATATGGTGATAAGGTTGGATTCTTGTACAAGACTGACAAGGAAGGTAGACCTGTTACCTACAACTTTTACGGTGATATCGATCAGAACAAGGTGTTTGGAGATGTCGACAAGTTTATTCGCTGGAGAGTGGCATTGATGGAGAATGGCGTAAAGCAGATTGATTTCATCAACACGGATGCCATGGTCCAAGTTCATGATTACACTGGCGCTTCACTTTGGGGTCGTACAGCAAACACCAAAGAAGCAACGAATAAGTTGATCAAATTGATGCAGGACAACTATCCAGAATTCCTTTCAAACAAAATCTTTGGCATACCAAAATGGGGCAGGTAAGATCAATATCGATTGCCATACAGGCTGTTTCTGATTTGCCGTGTATAGTATGATCTTTAAAGTGCTGCGTCCGTTGCTCCCCGAAGCTACATTGAAGAAATTTGTCATTTGCTCATGGTAAGTCTCTGATTTTATTCGTTGTGGATATATACAAGTTGACCACCATGCTGATAGTGACGAGCTCAAGACCACATTGCTAGACTACATCAACAAGGAAGATCTACCACCTATCTACGCCTAATGCCATTACAGAATAAATTTCTTTTTTTTTTTTATTAATATTACCACTTGAATCTAATATCTTTCTGTGATGAGGAAATCAGTCCTTTGCTTGCCAACAAGCTTTAAGAATTCAGGTGTGCAACTCCACCAATGGTCATCTATGGAGCATCAAGTCAGGTCAGTGTATACAAGACAACATCATACCATCAACTTACCCATACTGTCTGCTGGATCACAGCTACACTTTTCAGCTGCAAGCCATCCCGGTTCACTAGGGCAATTCTTGAAGGGATTATGGAAATAGCCCATATCATAAAAGAAATGCACCTCAGACTTCTTGAGCATTAGAGCGGCAGCAATACTGTGCACTGGAGCATCACCCCATCTCTCATAGAAGAAACCGCCCGCCTTGTCCAGGTAATTGAAATAGTCCAAGTAAGCCTGAGATCTCAAGAATGCCAAGGAGGCAATCTCAAAGTTACTCCAAAAGTGACACAAGTTATACGTGTTCCCTCCATCATTGGTGACCCAACTCATTAAGCTCTCAGAATCATTTGCAGGTATAATATGTTGAGGATATTTTGCCATGAATTGCTTGGTGGTCTCCCATAAGGTGGGGATGGTGTTTTCATATTCGTGCAGTGAGATGGCAAACCCGTATTTTAGATCCTTTTCTCGCATCACTTTGAAAGGATCATAGTCAATGTCACAAGTGAATTTGACATCAGGTTCTACACGCCAATAGTAATCAAATTGTTCCATCAAAGGGTGTCGGAAAAAGAAGCCACTTTGGAATCTATCAACACGTATCAATCAGCAATGCTTCCATAGGATACCATACACAACAGCACATACCGACACATGTGGCGATAGGATTCAAGTCCACCGTAAATCACCTCTGCTGCCTGCATAGCATCTCTTGATTCCTTTGCCTTTTGCTGATCTATCCAATCAGGGTATCCCCACATTTCTTGCGTTAATTCACCATAATAGGTTTTACCAGAAGCCAACCCAGTAGTCCACTCTTTGAATTTATCGTCAAAGGGTTCATTGTTCAAAAAGACCCAGGGATAGTTGAATTTCTTGTTGAACCTGTCTTCCATCATCTGCATCGACTCTCGGAGTCCATTCAGATCTGCATTTCGTGCCAACACCACAAAAGCAGCGTTTTCTCTTGCAGTCTGATTCTTGTCTTGCTGACTCTTGTAGTCGTATTTGTAAGGCGGATATCTGTTTTGACTGTTGTAGTATCCATAATACACCATTAAAAGCACGCAAAATGGCAGCAATATCAGTAAGCCAATTCTGCCATATCTTGCTGTAATCATGTTGTGGGTGTGAAAAACAGAAAAAGAGAAAAAAGAAAGAATAGCTAATTCGAGCTAGGCAAATAATTTATAAATAGGGTCCTTTTATTCTGGTTTAAGGTTCAAAGCAATTAGAAATGGAGTTTCAACCATCCCGTGTTAAAGAGTATACGCAGGTGGCGGCAACTCGGTTGCTGTAGTGCTGGTGGTGCTTTGTGGCCGTTGCTCATCAGCGTAAGACGGCAGGTTCATCATATCGCATTGAACAGCATTATTGGGTATATCGGGTTGCGGATGGCTGGCATGGCTGCTGTTGCTGCTGTCGCTTGTTGTACTGGAATTATCGCTGTGCTGTTCGTATTCTGGTAACACGCCGTGATCCGATGCGGATGCTATTTCCAACACATCATCCACTGTAACTCTGCCACTGACTTCAGAGGCCACTGCTGCTATAGCTGCTCTGGATCCCATCCTCAAACGGCTGATTTCAACATCTAAATTTTCGTTTACCAAGCAGCCATTTGTGCGTAAATAGGCTTCCAATGTAATAATCTGATGATCAATCCATTCAATCACTCTCTGTTCATAGTGGTACTTGGCAGTCGACAGCTGGTTTTCGAATCCGTGCAAGCGTGGGTTCACTTGTGTGCGCAAAGTGTATTCAATCTTGAGTCGATAGCCTCTGTAATTTGTCAAGATGTACACGACATTTGATTCGCCCTTTTGAACGGTGCTAGTGGGTATATTGGGTACATCATCGCAGATATCATGTGCTTCTTGCACCAACTGATAAGATTGTTGAGCTATCTTTTCCGCATTTTTTATAGGATCGGCTATGGTAGAAGAAATGGCAACGGCTGATTTCCCAAAGATACTGCTGCTGTGGTTGTTGTTTTGACTTGCTACAATGGCCTGTCGATCCATAAACGTAGATGCGCCTGGCAGCGACTTCATGGCGGTTTCAATGAGCTCTCTCGCTTGATACAGCTTGGCTTGCGCTTGTGTATATGTCTTTATGTTCTCTTTCATAGTGGGTATATCAGCGGCTAATTGTTGGACATCTCGTTTCAAATGTTGCTCAAATATAAAGGAAGCATCTTCAGCATCAGGAATGATAACTTGATCGTACAGCTGATGCAGTTGGTTGCATAAATTGTCTAGTTTCTGCTTTTCTCCGTTGAGATCATCCATCATAATCTTGGCTTGATCAATCTGGGCCTGTAGCTGTTGTATGGCATTCTCATAGAACTTTACAGATTCAATGATATTACTGAAGGATTTGGTATGGTTGTTCGTCTGCTGACTAAATAAGGTGCGTTTTGATGTGGAGCTAGTGTGGTCCCTCTCCTTTTGATAGTTGACTCTATGAAACAGGTTAATAATGCATCGTCATGAGCCATCCCATCACCTACAATTCTTTCTCGGAAAAGGACTTGAGATGCATCTGCTTTTCCAGCTTCTTTTTCAAGCCTTCATAGTACTTTGAATGGGAGGGCAGGGACTCTCTGACCCATTGCAACTGAGTGATGTCTTTCACCAACTGAATATAGCGTGCTTGTATTTCAGTCATGAGTTGGTGTGTATGTGTGTGAATAATAGACATAAAAAGGGAAAACTACGAAAAATCACTCACAACCCTTTTTATTTTCAACAAGAGGTGTAGCTGATAACCCAATCAGGTTTTCTTTCCCCATTTCCTCCTTTTTGTTCTATTTGATGGTTTATTATAAATAAAACAATTGCGCGAAAAGATGACAAATCAATAAAACACTCTTTTTATTTTCTGTCCAATGTTGCTTACAAAATCACTACTCTGTGCTGTCTTGCTCCTCACTATTCATATTCAGAACGCATTGCTATTTGGAGATGCCGAATTGGTTCTCGATGCATTGGACGTAACGAAGGAGCGTGTACATCATATAATCAATACAATTCCTGCAATTCATCATGACTAAAGGCAGCACTTCCGGGAACAACAAGAAGAATCTATATATAGTGGACATCTTCATATGACCTAAGGTAGCAATATGTAATGGCCATGCATTTTACAAATAAACCATACATGGAATAAAGCAGAGCGAATAAAATTTGTATTGTGTATACATCTACTGCCAATATTCCCCTTTCAATCCTTAAAAGAAGTCTTCTGATTGCACAAGTAGATAGTAAATGGTAAAATTAACCTTTTTTGAATGAATGCTAATGGTCGAAAGGGGGTTATCAAGCATTGCAAGCAAATGTTGCTTCATGCCATCCAGCCTTAGCTTTACATCGGAGTTTGAATAAAATAGCCATGGCAACATTTGCATAAAACATGTCTTGTTTTCATCATTTACATTTCGCCAAAGGATCGTTTACAGAGAAAGAAAACTACAATAAACGTATATCAACAAACTTTGCTCCAGGATGGCTCAAAATCTAGGCTGATCTCATGAAAAACCCCTCTAAAATTAGTACAGTGTACTGCTTTTGCGGGGAATTCTCATTCTGTGGATTTTCTCATCCTCAGAAGATTGTACTCCACCTGTCAAATCAAGCAAACAGTAACGGATCGTAGGTGTAAACTGAATAAAAAAAAAGAGCCATTTCATCTCATACCCCCACCAACTTGTATATAGTAAGCCACCCAATGCTCTACCATACCATGTATCCAATCTCTTTCATCCCTAACGTCAAATGCCAAGCTAATCATCTCGACAATTGAAACAAGAAAGCATCAGCCATCATAGAGCAGAATGAACTTGTAGCAAGCAAAAACGTCACAAAAAAATTTTCACATTTTATATATTTCACTCAAGGATGCACTTTATAGCTCTCTCTCTTTCAGATACTGTCTATTTTTGACCATGAAGTACCTCGCCTCATACCTTCTTCTCGTTGCTGGTGGTAAGACCGCCCCTACTGCTGATGATGTCAAGGCCCTTATGGCCTCCGTTGGTGTCGAAGCCGAGGAGGAACGTTTGACCTCTTTGATCTCTGCCCTCGAGGGTAAGAACGTTGATGAGGTAAATTCTTCTAGAAATCCTTCATTGTGGCAACAAATCACTCACAATTTACATGTAGCTCACTGCTGAAGGTTTGGAGAAGATGTCCTCTGTCCCTACTGGTGGTGCCGCTGCTGCTTCCGGTGCTGCTGCCGCTTCCACTGATGCCCCCGCTGCTGAAGAGAAGGAAGAAGAGAAGGAAGAATCTGATGATGTAAGTTGAGTTTGTTGGCAAATGTGTGAAACTTTGTATTGATTTGGATCATATAGGATATGGGTTTCGGTCTCTTCGATTAAACAACTAACTTATCCATCGATTAATCATACTTCGTTTACCAATAAATCTTCTGTTTTATACGTTCCTGTTGTAGAAAACGAAACCACAAATATTTTGAAACGATTTATTGCACTCGATTATGCATTGCTCCACTGGAAAAGCGACCTTATATCGGCTGCACCTGCTGTTTGCTTTATCAAGATTTGGGATTGATGTCGACATCATTTGCTTGACGTGACAGCCTCAACGCTTTTTAGCAAATATGGCAATGAGAATGATTGATAAACTCAAAAGAGTTGAGTATGGTGACCAGCTTACATTTCGGATTTGGGCTCGCAATTTGAATCGACTAAATCTAACCGATATGAAAACCTGTACCGAAAACAAACTGAAGGAGTAGCCATACTAAGCTATTGTAGCTTTCGATTCGCAATACCCTTTTTACAAACTTTCAGCAGCATTGATTACCTTTATAATGAGTATGGCACTGATTTCGCCAGCCAAAATTGATTGAAATTCAGATTGTCATTTCTCACTCGAAATGGCAATTTTTAGGCCTTGAATCGATTTGAAAATCTATTTTGCCAGAATAAAACCTGGAGCTCGTCTTCCCTACAAAAAAAAAAAAAAAAAAAAATTGCCAGAATCGACTATATAAGTCGTCATGATCATCCCATACTCCCTTATGCTTTCTCAAAGTACTTTTCAAGGCGCATCGAATGGTGCTACTTGAAAGAGGTGTTTTGAACAAATTCACTGAGTAATCCTGGAAAATATGAAATAACGTTTTTGGTCAAAATATAGAGATTTTACATATAAAGATTGCACAAACAAGATTTCAGGAGTTGTCTTGGATTGAGAGAAACATTTTGGCTTAATACATATTATAGTAAAAGTCTTTATTATCAAGGTCAAAAACGCGATCGTTTGATTTTCGATGAAAAGCATGAGGGGTACCTTATGCTTTTTGGTCGATTTTTCACCATGTTTTTTTGGTCCCCAAAAAGTTGAGCAATGGTATTAGTAATCAAGTGCTAGCTCAGGACAACTGTGATGTTACTCTAGCGGTCTAAAGAGGCTTCTAACAAGAGAGATTGCTGCTTAAATTCATTATTTTATGAAGATAATCAATATTTGTGAAGCTAATAAGAGAAAGATTGAGAGTTGAAAAGTACTGCAGCTTAGCTTGGCTACCATTTAGTTGCTTCTGATGTTTATTTCTATAATTGATAAATTTATTCGCTATAAATTGGTCAAATACAAAATTGCCCACCTCATTCAAGTCCCATACTTTGAGTGTGAGCCTCAATAATAACATACATACTCTTATGTATACGAACGTTTATGTTTCAGATGTCTCTCTACCTTCGCTTCGCTTCACTGAGAACCAACCTGCGCAGCTGCAGCTCGCGCCACCGATTGCCCTTGCATATCTTATCAAAACACTACTACTTTTATTTAACCCTCCACTTATACGCGAAAATTCTTCATATTATCTGTGGATCTGACTCTTATGTGATGCTCTACATCCATATACACGTAGCTACTTCATATACAGGCAAGTAGTATACTGGTATAACCCTTTTCTAATCAAGAGTATGCCTTATACAGCAAAATCTGAGTGCATTTGGGCTGCGTTTTCTAGCGTTCAAAACCATTTAAGATTGCCAGAATAGCACCAAACAGTTGCCCTGAGCTAGTACTTAATTACTAATACCATTGCTCAACTTTTTGTGGACCAAAAAAAAACATGGTGAAAAATCGACCAAAAAGCATAAGATGCCCCTCATGCTTTTCATCGAAAATCAAACGATCGCGTTTTTGACCTTGATAATAAAGACTTTTACTATAATATGTATTAAGTCAAAATGTTTCTCTCGATCCAAAGCAACCTCTGAAACTACTTTTATGAGGCTTTTATATGCAAAATATGGCTATTTTGGCCAAAAACCTCATTTCAAATTTTACCGAATTGCTCAATAGTTTCAGTCAGAACACTTATTACAGTTAGCGCAATTAAAAGCGCCTTGAAAAGTACTTCAAGAATGTACTAGGAAGCGTAGGATGATCATTACAGTTTATATAGTCGGATATTACAAAATAGATTAAAGAAGTCGAAAAAAACACGAAACCTGTTCAATCTTGAGCAGAAAAAATAAACTGAGTTTGAATCAATTTTAGCGATGGCGTTGCTGCTGGCTGACCTAAATGCCTTTCTTTTGATGACAATGATGATTGCGATGCTGATTAAATGGGGATCATGGAACAGAAACGACAATCGTTTAACGCAAATACTTTTTTTTGAGGTGCTTTGTCTTGTGAAGATGTATTTTGCAATGGCAATGTCTCAGAAAAGTCGCTGTAGATCTTACGCAAGTTCAGTATTTACTTATGACCAGCTTTATGTCGCCATCTTATTAAGAGCATCAGCAGCAGCGAATGATATGACAATTCTATCACCAGAAATTGGTGATTGTGATGTACAAGTGCTGCATAAAATTTGAACTTTCTTTCACATTGTCCCAATAATAGGCTTCGTTTGGTATCAGTGTAAGCAAAAAGGATGCTGAGGGAGATACATCCTCTCCTCCTCCTGGTTCTGATATAAGCTTTCTTTTACTAACTAATTATACATTGTTTAAAGTCTATTTGATATACCAAAATTCTATTATATCTGATTTAAATGTCTTTGGCGAGAGCCCGCAGGGCGACGCTGACATCGAGCGTAGCGAGATAGATCGGCCAGTATTACATATATTAAACTAGCCATGAGTTTTTATTTTATAAATGAGATCATGAAATAGCAGGGCTTTGTGTGCCAAAGAAGCATTAAGGTGCCTAGAAAATGTTCCAAATGAGCTGAACGAAAACTTCAACCCCTCAACAACCATGCAAATTAGGTAGGATTCAGGTCAGTCCTGACATTGAGAAGAACACCTTTCACCCCTCCAAAAGAGATAGCTACATTCTCTAATGAAAAGGTTCTCGCCCGAAGATAGTAAAGAGGAACGTAATGGCAGCTATCCTCAATAACGCTAAAGAGCTCTATCTTCTCAAAAAGAATTGCAAACCTTTTTGAATACCTAAATAGGAATAAGCGAGCGGTTCTTCGTAAAGTGCATCTATTGCAGACTGAGACAAGGTGGTACGCAATCTCGTACATTGCCAGCCATTTAAATTGTCAAAGGAATTAGTTATACAGCATTTAAAATAAGCGAACAATATATACCTTCCAAAGTTACTACCTCAACCAAATAGAGAAGAACACCTTTCACCCTTTCAAAAGAGATAGCCACACTCTCTAATGAAAAGGTTCTCGCCCGAAGATAGTAAAGAGGAACGTAATGGCAGCTATCCTCAATAACGCTAAAGAGCTCTACCTTCTCAAAAAGAATTGCAAACCTTTTTGAATACCTAAATAGGAATAAGCGAGTGGTTCTTCGTAAAGTGCATCTATTGCAGACTGAGACAAGGTGGTACGCAATCTCGTACATTGCCAGCCATTTAAATTGTCAAAGGAATTAGTTATACAGCATTTAAAATAAGCGAACAATATATACCTTCCAAAGTTACTACCTCAACCAAATAGAGAAGAACACCTTTCACCCTTTCAAAAGAGATAGCTACATTCTCTAATGAAAAGGTTCTCGCCTGAAGATAGTAAAGAGGAACGTAATGGCAGCTATCCTCAATAACGCTAAAGAGCTCTACCTTCTCAAAAAGAATTGCAAACCTTTTTGAATACCTAAATAGGAATAAGCGAGTGGTTCTTCGTAAAGTGCATCTATTGCAGACTGAGATAAGACGACACACAATCTCATATGTTGCCAGTTGTTTAAATTGTCAAGTAAATTAGTTATGAAGCTTTTGAATTGAGCAAAAGCGACCTTGCCACAACTTAGGATATTTATTGCCATGCAGTAAATACGTCACGTTTTTCCGCTACTGAGATTGGCTTACGGATATACTCACATTCTCGCGTGTATCAAAAGGTGAACACGCTTTAGACACAATCCGCCTCTTCAATCATGGCAGAAGCAACTAAAAAAAAGGGAACACTTACATCCATTATTAAAGATAATATCTCCAGTCCTATTTTCGACGTTAAGATCTTGCGCGATTTTGATATCCGTACGAAACTGCAAGCGGAGCATGCTTTAAAAGCAGCATTTGCAAATGCACGAAACTCCAAGAAAATCAACAATATCGAAAATTTGGTCGCTCAGTATGAAAAGTTTGCCTACAGTGTAAGATGCGTTGAAATGTGTTTTGTGCCAATGTACTTAGTGCATGCTAGTTTATCAACTCGAGCACTGCTGCTGTATACTTTGGGACATTCAATGCTGAACAAGAAATTATACAAGAGGAACAAGAGCGCGATTCTTATCATTCGAGCGTCAAAAGACAATATTACCAACAGCAGGTAATATAGATAATCTTACAATCTTGCACAAGATTATTTATTGACAACAATCCTTCTCTTTTAGAAGAATGTCATGAGCAAGAAACAGAAAACAGAGGTAAGTTACTTTATATCTCTGATTTTTGCTAGATAGCAAACGTATTATTGTCTTGAAAGATTAATCAAGCGGAGGCCGTGGAAGATCCATTCGATAGTTGTCCAGTTGTATCATGTTCTAATCAGGTAAGGTAGATCAACTAGAAATACATCAGCCAAACGGACTGACATTAAATCATAGGTATCTTCGAGAAGCTTCTCTATTCTCAAGAAAGGGCAAGTATATGAATTCAGCGTCCCAGCAGCATACATTTCGTCTCCCCATAAACCATATGTTCAAGAAAACGACAAGCAAAAGCTGGAAAACCACTTTGAAATTCTCTTAAAATCAAGCCAGACAAAGGATTGCTCAACAGCCACAAAGAAAGAATTTCACCACTGCCAGCAAACTGCCAAAACCAATGCTTGTCTACGCCGGACAGAACATCATTTCACTTGGATCCAACAGTGCCTTGATCTCCCATATGAAGCATTTGACGAAAGCGTGATAGAAATTTCTCGTGCATTCAAAGAAGACAAGCTTATACAATTCATGAAATTTACCTTGTTGGATTTCTGGGCCAACACGTATCGCCCTATCCCTATCCCCAGCAACAACGAAAGGACTATTTTTGTTGAAGCATTTGTTCCCATTTTCAAATACTTTGGCAACTTTACGAAAACACTAGCCTTTGTTTGGTGTGAGAAACAACTCAACGCAAATGCTGTCTGGTACATGATGACTGATTATAAGAAAACCGGTCTGAACAAGAAGTTCGTGGATGGTGTTGGTCTTACCTATGACACCCTGATCAGCTCATTGATTATCGAAAGCTCTGGTTACAATGAAAAAGAAAACGTTGAACACATGCTGGGCGATACCCTCAAGAACCTGAAAAACGCCACAGATTGTTTGAAACACTTGATTTCAGAATACAAGGCTGCCTCATATACCACATTCAAAAAGGTCAAAATCTTCTCCGTGCATATCATACAAGATACAATGACGCTGATACAATACTCTGTTATGACCCCTCAAAAATGGCAAGCCATCGAGTGTCGCAGTGCTCTGGTTCCGCTCGTGTGGGAGAATCGTGATAACTTTGTCAAGGTATTTGAGCTGTTTTCGTTTCTTTTAGAAAAGCTGAAGGAGCAAAACAAAGTACTGCAATTGCTGAAAAGGGAGCATTTGGGACTTGTTGAGGTTGCTACAGGTGTTTCTGTGGAGGATGTTCTAATGCATCATGTCGAAGATTAGCTTGTCCTCCCCCCCCCCCCCTTCATTCTCCACTATTGTATATATTATCTTTAGCCAAGAACTGTGTTATGCCTCGTATATAATCTCTATGCAATAAAATTACCACGCTGTAACCATCGATTACGTGTATTCGATCTAGTCAAACAATGTGAATTGAGCTTCCTCTGGCAATGGAGTGTGTAGCAAGAGCGTTCCATCATAAATAGAGACTTTACATTGTTTCTTAAGGAAGGATGGCTCTTCGTGCAGTCTCCATGTTGCACCGACCCAAACTCTGAACTGACATAAACACAGCATGAATGCTTTCAGATCAAGTAAGTGTAGTATACTAGTAACACTCATTTGTTTGGGTTTTCGGTTGTTAAGAAAGGATCTAGTTCTCGATATCTATCTGTGTCCATCAGATGAAGATGTACGGGCATACAAGCTGATATATATTTTGACAAGAGATATGCTCCAACAAGTGTAAATGTAATTAATTAATTTACCCTACTGTGCTACTTTCTATTGATAGCCTCCTCCAAATGCTTCGGATGAGAGATTTTTACAGACGCGCATGATTTCAGAAGCCTTTGCTGATGAAATGCAGTGCTTTGTTAAGGCAGTGTAACATTAAAATTGCCATTCACATCAAATTGCAGCTTACCATGGACATCATCACTTTTTGCTATTTGTAGTTGTGATGCTATTAATAGAGATGCTTTATCAAAGGCATACGCTACATTTATGTATGTGTGTATCACATAACGTTCAATAAAGCTAATGATGATCAGCGAATGCTTACAACGACTTCACCCGACAAGAGCACTAGAAAAAATAGTTCACGGTGATCTATTCCGTTTCAAAGTATACGCTATCCTCAGTATACAGATTGATCTAGATGATGAGCTGAATGAATAAAAGATGAGCAGCATAATAGCATCCGATAAGAAAGCCTGTCCTAAAGTATGATTTGACATATGAATTACATACGTTGATTAGCAATGAAAGGCACATTTATTGAGGCACACTCATTGGCTCCATGATTATCATACAACAAAGTTTTAATACATTCGAGTAGCACAACAAGATACCTCATCAAATATTTGATACTGGGTGAATACATGTAGCATATACATTTGTCTTTATTCAACATCATGGCCGGGATAGATGTTCATTGGTAATATACAAAATGCTTTTTTTTTTATCAGTATTATGATCTTCCAGAGAGCACAACGTTCTAGACATCACAAAGGTCGGCCAACTTTCCTTCCCTATCTAATGCTGACAGACGATCATAGCCACCCAAGCTTTTACCATGTTTGAACAAATTGGGGAACGTACGCTGGCCTGTCAACTCAATCAAGGCATCCTGAATTTCATATCCATTTCTCTGACGATCCACTTCAATGACCTCAATGTGCTTGCAGTACTTGGAAATTAGTTGTTTGGCTGCCATACAGTAAGGACTAGAAAAAAATAAACGTAATAAACACAAAACAGAAATCAGATTCTTGTAAGACCATGACAAGCGTATCACAATCATATTTACCAGTAACTTTTGCTATAGAGCACAACGGGATATTTGCGCAACATGGTTTCCACCCATGTTTTTTGGGGATTAATCAGCCGAAGCGTGTATAACTTAGGTGACATTCTGAATTCAATGGGTGAGATGTCGTGGTTCTGGATCGATTTCTTGTATGCGTCTAACGATTTGAGCTGTACTCTGTCCAATCCATATGTTTCGTCAATGATCTCAAACAGTGCTGTATCGAACAAGTCTGGTTGTGATGTGATGATGTGGGTATAACGTGTCTCCAAGTAGTCGTCTTGACTCTTGTGCGTCTCGTTCTTGGAGTAGGACCAATTGGGGTTGGATTGGCCGTAGAGCGATGCGCCGGTCATGGCGGTATCAGCATCCATATGCACATAGACATAGGGCTTATTCTTTTCAATTTCATGCAATGCATACAGAGCCTCTCCTCCGGGATAGTTCAAGCGAGAGATTTGGAACATGGTGAGTGCAATAGCAAAGGAAACAGCAGCACCCGCCAGCATAGCCAAAAGCGCAATGCGATGTAACCAAGAACGAGGAGCGGCCCGAATGGATCTCGAGATGCAAGTAGCAGCAGCAGCAGTGAATACAGGGATTGTATAGATAATAAACCTCCATTCCTTGTGTGGCAAGAAGGAGAACACTGCAATGTAAATGATCATGGGCATCAACATGCGACGCACACGTTCATTTGTAACAAAACTCAAGCATGCTAATGGGTATGACACGAGCAGTAAACGAGGCAAGAATGAGGCAAAATACGCATGAAAAGGCAAGGTGCCCCACTCTGAACTCTTGTTGAGAATCGCATTAAAGTAAAAGACCATACCCTCGGGCCAAAGCCATCTATTCCACAGGTACGAATCAAGGGGCACGGTGATGAGCAAGCTGATGATGGCAGTAGTAACCATTTGCTTCAAGACGCTGGACAGAGAGATGGTCGCATGGAGATATTCACTTATCAACAAGATGATCAGCAAGATGCCAACTTCAAATCTGAACACAGCACCAGCAAATGTAAGGTACCGGATCATCCAGTTCAAATGATATGTACGACTACTGGATTGGGACAAGCTATACAGCCAATGAGACAGGCCCAACTCAACCCATGGCAAGGCTAACGTATTTGGCAAAGTACGAGACGACCAGAACACGAGGTGGAATTGACAAATTATAAGCATAATAGTGATGTTTGCTGTAGTTGAGCCGAACAGAGATTTGACACCAGAGGCAAATTGTCCCAATGAGAGAACAACACCTGCTGCCAGAATAACACGCACCAATACTTGTTGATCCATGGACGATAAGTGGGCGCATTGAATGACGGGCCATGCCATGACGCTCAGAAGAGAGGCGCCTGCAAATGTACGCGGCACGACACCGGGAAACTGGACATGGTCAAACTGACCTACTTGATGAATGATGTCGTAGGTCGCCTGCAGATTGAAGCTCTCCTCGACCTTTGTAAATGGAGCAAAATAAGCTTCTGAAACTATCAGTGCAAATAAGCAGGCTAACACGAGTTTCATTATGTGTTTTTGTATGAAGAATAAAAAAGAGGAATTAATGTTTTACAAGTTGGGTGCAACCATTAATACTCCACTTTTCGAGTAACATTATATAAACAGTAAGCAAATCTTTAGTCTCTTTGAGCTAACCCTCTTTTTTTTTTTTTTTTGCCCCAACTCTTTTTTTTGTTTTTGTTTTTTTTCTTATTTCACCATTATTTTGCAGCTACTCAAACAGAGAATTATCATCATGAAGGATGATTTCAAATCACTAGAAATTGAGCCCAAAGAAGGGTATCTGGATTTCATTGGCCCAGCAAAGCTACATTCAACAGCACAGTCCAAAGTTTTAAAAGGACATGTTCGATTCACGCTGATCAGACCCACCAAAATCCGCACCATGTCGGTCAAATTCAAGGGATTCAGCAACATTACATTGAAGCAGCCATACAACATCGAAATGACATGTCCTTTACTGCCAAAGCTGAAGGTGCCCTTGTTTGGAAAAGCCAATTTTCCGGCTGGAGATCATGTCATACCATGGGAGCTGGATATACCCAACATCTATCCTAGGAGCTTGCTGGCTAAACGAGCTACCATCCACTACAAAGTCATTGTGTCCATTTCCACCGGCATTGCAAGAACATTGACTGCAGAATATCCAGTCGTGCTAAAGAGACATTTACTGCCCTACAAGGAGCTCTCTCCATTGATTGAAACAAAGCTGTACCAGAGAACGGTGCCTGGAAAATTCCACTACGAAATCGATGCCCCGCAAATCGTCTGTATAGAACAAGAGTATATACCAATGGCTATCAAATATGTCAGCATTGCCAACCAAAAGCCAGTGCAGTCGATCCGAACTCGCGTTGTTCAGATTGAGCTCTACAGGTAAGCTTTGTCTTTATGTGCTTTTTTCTAGTTCATGTTTCTAATCAGCGCATACGCTTCGCTAGACGTCAATCCCTCTCAAAATCAGAATCAGACTTGACAACCAGCAACAGAGACTCTCACATATTCGATCTCGACAAGAAAATTGCTGATTTCGCACAATACAAAGATACCCACATAAAATACATAAAAAGAACAATACCTGCTCTCATTCACCTGCCGGATGCATCCACCTCAGCCTGGAAAAGACCTTGTTTGATCCGACACAACCTACATCCCTATCTCAGCTACACATTGGATTCGCCTCTTGTGTCCATCTACCACCAAATTGAGATTACCTTCCAATTCGGCATGAAGTATGAAGAAATCAAGACAAAGCTGCCTATCATTATTGCATCTATACCACGAAAAGATCCCACACAGACCCAGTTAGTAGACCAAAAGAGCAGTAATCTGATGATGAAGTATGCGTTTGAAGAGACGGCCAGATCCGAATTTCTACGCTACGAGCCGGAACTCAGGAAGTCAGCCAACCACATCACAGACGATGATCACAGCAACCTCAATGACGATAGCTTTAGTGTCCTTAGAGACACCAGCATGATGCCTATCACAAGCGATGAGGAGGACAGTGTGGTGAAAGAGCGTACCATGGGCGGCAGAACCACCCCTCTGATGTTTGTTACTGGAAATCCATCGAGAGCTCGCTCGCCTATGCCGGCTGTCAATACCTGCATGACTAATACAAGCAACATCATTCATCGACGCCTGCTGTCACCTACACCTGAATCATCGTCCATTTTGGATGTCAACAGCAACCAAAGACAACTCAAGAAATTTGCTTCAGCCTTTGATTTGAGCACTGCATCTGAAGAATCACCACAAATAGACGCAGAGAGAGAGCCAGAGGAGCGACCACGCACAACAACCCCTACCATGAAGCGATCGCACATGCATAGAAAGCAACTGCAGCCCATCAATGTCGATTTAGCAAATGGCAAAGAGACCAACCTGTTCAAATCCATGCCCTTTAACAGACTTCCACCACAAACAACACTGCCACCACCACCCGTGTCGCAGAAATCAGCCAGCTCAGATGTGCTACCCACTCTGGACCGTATGCAGCATCAGCAGCAGATTAGAAAAAACGCAAGACAGCAGCATCCACCCTTTGAGAGTGTTGCTGCAACGGCTATGGATGATGCCAGCAACGACGACTTGCAATCCATCTATTCTGAATCATCCCTATCCAGTAGTCATAATGCACCCAGCCTGAGCTCATCTGCCACTCTATCTACAAACAAAAGCCAGCCTACACTTCATTCTAGACCTCCCTCGCCGGTATTCAGCCCAGCTCCTGGACTACCTGCCACCATTGCACTGAGACCACATGGCGAAGGAGTGCAAGCAGTAGAAGAAATGTTCCCTCCTGACTCTGCTTCCATCATGTCTCCTGCCATGAACACAGTTGCTTCATCCACCCTCTTTTCACCTCGCACAACATACGCGTTGCAAAGACGTATTGCATTATCCACCATCTCATCATTGACCAATGACTCGCTACAGCTGGGCCCATCCATGCTATCTCCCAACAATATGAGAGGAAGAACATCATCTACTGTGGACCCAGACATACAGTCGCTGATGCACAGTAGTTTTTGTAGCAGCAGTTTCGGCAGCTTTGACTATCCACCTCCACCACCCAACAACAGATATGCCAACGCGCAACTGCCACCTATTCCAACCAATGCTGCCTCTCTTCCTCCTCTTCCTCCCCTTCCCACTACCACCACGAACGCAGACAATACTACTGTGAAAGCAAATAGACGCCTGACAAGATTGTACATAGACGATAGTGACGAAGAAGACTATATTGATAGGGGGGACGGCGTGCGCTCTCCATCACCACCTCCATTACCACAAATACCAACCAATATCAAATCTTACACTGCAGCGCATAGTAATTATAGCAATATGAGTGATGACAGTGAAATCAAGGATGAAAGTGCGATATCAGCACAGGATGATTGCGCCCCACCTAGGCTACCTCGATTATCATTTGGTAATGATTTTGGCATATCGCTTGGAATTTAATAAAACATACCATCATTTACATTGATGCGTGCGCTCCCTCTCTCTCTCTCTTTCTTTCTCTCTCTTCGCGTTGTCAGCGAATGCTTTGATCTTGGAATGCCCTAGTTCAGGGACCGAAAGCCTCGGCTCCATAGTTTGATTAATTTACTGCAATTAATTTAGGTTGAATAGGATATTAATGCATCTTTATGCATTGAATACTTTCAAATGCCATCTTTTTCGGATCGAATGGTTTGATTTAAGTCTGATTAAATTGGAGCTTGTGAATAACAGCTTGGAATATGCTTTCTCTTAGGGCCTCCGCCGTAATACAAAGGAGCATCTAAATATTTTTGGGCTGAACATATACTGTATAGCGCTTTATTATTTGAAGCAATTATATCAGCAAATAGTCAATGTTTATTGACTGAATCAAAGTTTGACCGCCTACATTCATACCACAAATGCGAATTGATATCGTATATTACACCACAGCGCAATATTACGAATGGGACTATTAGATATAGAGATCTTCTGAAAAAGGCTTAATACGGATCATCTTGAAAATTATTATAGTCTACCTACTGACCCCGTACTTATAGCGCTTGAACGCAATATTGGGTATATTGGTTCGTATAAGACCGAGTTGCAGAGTTACGCTTGTCTCTTTCTATGACGACGCACATGCTTGAGGCCCAGCCTGGCATTGCTTTACACTGTCTATATGTATAGTTGTAAATGCTGTCCTGCCAATATTAGGCAACGAGTTATTAAAGTTGCTTATTTATCATCTCTGATATGTATCATCTTTATACAAAGCTAGAATACAAAAGCGTCGTCGTAACCACTCAGAGATTAAAAGCCCCTTTCCCAAGAACATAAAGCATCAAATTCAAGTGATTTCTTGCCTGCTGTTTGGCTGTGGGTTGAATGATTTGTGGTTCCAAGGCAATGCTTGGTAGCATTGACCTTGAGAGGGTTTTACCGTAACGAAGCAATCGTGCAAAACCATAGTATTCAAGCAGTAAATTTGGCTTCTCATATCCATTATTAATTAGCTTACCAACATAGCGCGTCAAAATTTGCATGAATTAGCTTTACCAAAATCAATTTGCCTCCTATTCCAGCTAGAAGTTGCACAGGCTGCAGAACTGCCCTTCCAGAAGACTTCAGCTACCAAAGATGTGATTCATGCTGTGTAAATAAAAGCTATACAGCAAAAACACAGCCAAATTGGACAATTTTCAGGCCGTCATATCTTGACATGTAGGCCTTTATGAGCCACCGGAATGACGCCAAACAATTGCACTTGAGTAGTAGCAACTTTCTGACACCTTTGCTCAATTTTTTGGGGCCAAAAAAAATCATGGCCAAAAATCGACCAAAAAGCATGAGGTACCCCTCATGCTTTTCATCGGAAATCAAACGATCGCATTTTTCACCTTGAAAATGAAGACTTTTACTATGGTATATAATAAACCAAAATGTTTCTCTCGATCCAAAGTAGCCTCTAAAACCATTGTTATGAGGTTTTCTTATGCAGAGTATGGCTATTTTCGCTGAAAACCTCATTTCATATTTACCAAATTGCTCAGTACTTTTAGTCAAAACATCTATTACAACTAGCGCCATTGGAAGCGCCTTGAAAAGTACTCTGAGAATGTATTAGGAAGCGTAGGGTGATCATCACAGTTTATATAGTCGAATGTTATAGAATAGTTCAAAGAAGTCGAAAAAGGACAAAATCTGTCCAATCTTGAGCAGAAAAAAAAATAAACTGAGTTTGAATAAATTTTGGCGGTAGCGCTGCTGCTGGCTGACTCAAATGCCTTTCTGATGATGACAATAATGAAGGCAATGATGATTGCGATACTGATTAAATGGGGATCATGGAATTAAAAGGACAGTTGCTTAGTCCAAATACCTTTTTTTCTTGGAAGTTTTTCCTGTAAAGGTGTCTTTTGCAATGACAATATCTCAAAAAAGTTGCTGTAGATCGTACACAAGTCCTGTATTTATTTATGGCTAGCTTTATATCACCATCGCAAGAGCAGTGTCAGCGAATGAACATCTCCCTCTCCTGACTCTGATAAGTATTTTCTTTTGCTATTAATTAATTGTTTAAAATCTACTTGATATCTCTGATTTGAAATGTCTTTGGCGAGAGCCCGCAGGGCGACGCTGTCATCTAGCGCAGCGAGATAGATCGGCTAGTACTCAAATACTAGAAAAAAAAACGTCGTTAAAGGCATATAAAATTTAAAACATCGAGCACTGGACAAGGCCCAAAAAAACCTTTGTTCGCATGTACAAGTATGCTCATGAAATCTTGGTTAAAGAAGAAGAACAACAAATGTGAAATTACATTAACAAGAATGCTCGCATTTGACCCAACCCTCAAATGAGATTGGAGCTAGCCGTTGGTAAAGATAGGCACACTCAGAATCTGCCAACTGTCAACAATATTGCAGCCATCGTTACCAAAGAATATTCTGATACAAGTTTCAAGGATATTCTCCTTGCATACCGAAATAGCTTTTCAACCCGTGGTAGTGATCTTTTTAAAACGGATCAACGAAACACATAATGCTTACAAGCCATGCTGAAATGCTGCAATCATAATCAGGAATTTGCGATTACATATTCTTTGATAGTGAGTTGAGCTTCAAGTTTATGCTCCCCATTTAATCAGTATCGCAATCATCATTGCCTTCATTATTGTCATCATCAGAAAGGCATTTGAGTCAGCCAGCAGCAGCGCTACCGCCAAAATTTATTCAAACTCAGTTTATTTTTTTTTCTGCTCAAGATTGGACAGATTTTGTCCTTTTTCGACTTCTTTGAACTATTCTATAACATTCGACTATATAAACTGTGATGATCACCCTACGCTTCCTAATACATTCTCAGAGTACTTTTCAAGGCGCTTCCAATGGCGCTAGTTGTAATAGATGTTTTGACTAAAAGTACTGAGCAATTTGGTAAATATGAAATGAGGTTTTCAGCGAAAATAGCCATACTCTGCATAAGAAAACCTCATAACAATGGTTTTAGAGGCTACTTTGGATCGAGAGAAACATTTTGGTTTATTATATACCATAGTAAAAGTCTTCATTTTTCAAGGTGAAAAATGCGATCGTTTGATTTTCGATGAAAAGCATGAGGGGTACCTCATGCTTTTTGGTCGATTTTTGGCCATGATTTTTTTTGGCCCCAAAAAATTGAGCAAAGGTGTCAGAAAGTTGCAACTACTCAAGTGCAATTGTTTGGCGTCATTCCGGTGGCTCATAAAGGCCTACATGCCAAGATATGACGGCCTGAAAATTGTCCAATTTGGCTGTATTTTATACTTCTGCTTGTCAATCGGTGCGTTCTTGTTATGATGCAATGGCGTAAAGACATTGTAAGTATTTATCTAGATTCAGGGCTTGCTTTTACATCCAAATATTCAGCCAGAAATATTAGAATGAGTGGCAATGCACTATCCCAGTATCATAGTACAATGATACGGCATATTTGTGAGCCGATGACGGCTGTAGCGCACACTGGACATTTTAGACGTAGTAAATAGTCTCCATCTAGTAAATACTATCTATAAAATCAATCTTTAGCTTTATTTCAACACAACTCACCTGGGGTTTCCTATTTGTTTTCCGAAGGCTCGAGTTTGATTGAAATGGCTTTGTCCATTACCGAAACGCTCAAATATTGATTTCTATTGAAAATTTTGAATTGGTTGCAAAGTGATTTCGATTTTCCAAAGTATAAAGAGGTCCGACATCAATGAGTACCAGCCAAGCTAATACACCATGAGAAGTTACCCAGACTAATAACCACAAAGTCTGATAATAATATTGTACGTATTCTCACCGTAAATGTAATACAACAAGGAAAAATTGCCTGCCATGTCATTACCTCTGCAAACAATGCGCTGCTTCTCGACAGGAATCTTCAATTCATGCTTAATCTTTTGCTTCAATACGCTAAAATTTTCTGTTGGATCCATTACAAAAGAGCATATCTTACTTCAATGCGAATCTATATTCACTTGGCATGCTTGCGTATAGTTTCTATTAGAGCATATGCGCAGACGATTAAAGAACAAAGACACCGCGGTAGTGAATGAGCATAGGCTTGGTATAGAGATCAGGAACACCATAGTGCCAAATGAACAATGAGCTGCTGCCCTTGAATGACACCTGCAAATTTCCATCTCCATTTTTACCACTCTACTACACATGCCCAGCCCTTCTCTCTTCTCCCTGTAGCCTCTCTTGGCCCAAGCGCATGGATGCTCTGCAGGTGCACGGCAACTGGATTGCTCAGTGTGTATTACCATGCTTTAGATTTGAGTGGCCGCATAATCTCACCATTTACAATGGGTTGCCTTTTCCATGAGTATAGTATGATTATTTCTCCCGCCATTTCATAAAAAGAGAGTGTCTCTCTTTTTTATTTAAATGCTTTCTTTTCCTCTTGTTATTCTTCCAACAAACAGTTTTGTCTAATACACAGCAAAGAAAGAGGTCTTGGCTTGATATCATATTTACAGCATATATAAAAGCATGGCAGGTCAGCATCGACAAACACGTTCAAATTCTTCAACACACTCTGTGTCTTCGTCCAACGTTGTGGGTGTTCACTACAAGGTTGGGAGAAAAATAGGCGAAGGCAGTTTTGGTATCATTTACGAAGGTAAAAAAAAAAAAAAAAAGAAAAAAAAACTGGCTACTTTCCTATGTGTGCAGCCGTCAGATCACTCAAACTATCAGATCAGGTATCAACCTCATGAACAACCAGCAAGTCGCTATCAAATTTGAGTCCAGGAAAAGCGATGCCCCACAGGTAAAGAGCAACAACAGGACAATATATGGATCTGTATAAGTACTCAATACCATTATAGCTACGAGAGGAATTCAGAGCATACAAAACCTTGGCTGGCATCAGTAAGTACCTCGAACGACACTACTGCTAGCATGACGCAACCTAACCACTTTTTTTCTGTGTGAAATCAAGGTGGTATTCCTACTGCGTATTACTTTGGCCAGGAGGGCCTACACAGTATACTAGTGATTGATATCTTAGGCCCTAGTTTAGAAGACTTGTTCGACATGTGCTCTCGCAAATTTAGCATAAAAACAGTGGCTATGTTAGCAAAACAAATGGTACGTTTCATGTCGAGCTAAAAAAAAAAAAAAAAAAAAAATCACACAAACCCACAATTCACGTTTCTCTTTGAAGATTACTCGTGTGCAATCGATCCATGAGCGTAATCTTATCTATCGAGATATCAAGCCGGACAATTTTCTTATTGGGCGACCCAACACAAAGTATGCCAACACCATCTACCTAATTGACTTTGGCATGGCAAAACTATATCGTGATCCAAAGACAAAGCAGCATATCCCATACAGAGAAAAGAAGAGTTTATCTGGTACAGCTCGTTATATGAGCGTCAATACACATCTAGGCAGAGAACAGTCTAGACGTGATGATCTCGAGTCGCTAGGCCATGTGTTCATGTACTTTCTACGAGGTGCGCTTCCTTGGCAAGGATTGAAAGCTGCTACCAACAAGCAGAAATACGAACGAATTGGTGAAAAGAAACAAACAACAAGCGTTAAGGATCTATGCGAAGGATTTCCAGGTAAAAGCGGCGACTGTGAGCATAGCATACAAATACAGCGTGCTTATTCTTTTACTCTTAATAGAGGAATTTGGTCTCTATTTACAATATGCACGACGACTTGATTTTGAGGAAAATCCCAACTATGAGTACATGAAAAACCTATTCGACAAGGTTTTGAATACACTAGGGGAAGAAGATGATGGTGTCTATGATTGGATGTTGTTGAACGACGGTAAAGGATGGGAGGTAAGATACCTAGTGTTTTCGGTAAAGCGAATCTTGCATTAACTAGTGTCGCTAGTCTCGCTCCAACCTGTATCGTAGTGCCCACAGACACAGCGCCGTTGTTGCCCTGAATAATGCAGTATCCAGTGATCGTCCAGGCAGACAACAGCAACAAAATCAACAAAAACAGCAACGCCGATTATCCAACAAGAGATATAGCAACCAACACAACATGTATAGATCCACTCAACCCATGCTAAGCGATGCAGGTGTTGTCAGCTATCGTACTATGGATTCTACCCATCAATTATTACTGCAACAACAGCAGCAGAACGAGTTACTGGACGATCAAAAACGAGGATTTTTGTCGAAATGTTTTGGTAGTTTTTGTTCGTGCTTGTAAAGTCATTTCATCCCCATCACTCCCTCTCTCTCTCTCTCTCTTTTCTCTTTCATTCAAATATAATAGTATACCTTTTTATTTACCTTCATTCACACTTACTCTCTCTCTCTCTCCCGCTTACGTTTTACATTAAAGCTATTTATTCCATCTCAAATGTTGCATTGTCCCGAATGTCCACCATCCAATGTCTTATTTAACTGTCGGACTATGTATAATGTGGTCGAGCAGCAATTTTTTGTAGACACATTTTTTCTGTCTTTTGCATCAAACCATTCAAACCATCCATTATGGGTAAGTGAGCCCTTCAGTAGACCGATATCAACCCTGAATTCACATATACTATTATAGCCGAAAATCCAAATTATCATGAAGGGGCTTCGATTCATGGTCGCCATCCTCTTCATTTGATTGAAAAGATTATTCGTGAAAGAATCCAAAATTCACTGTATTGGAAGGAGAAATGCTACGGTTTATCAGGTAAGAAGGCATCAGGCTGAGGGTCGAACATTGAAAGCTAATGTCATACGTAGCTGCGACGCTAATGGACAGAGCTTTTGAACTCGAATACATTGGCGGCATGTACGGCAACCATCAACCCACAGAATTTCTCTGCTTGACCTTGAAGCTGTTGACATTACTACCAGAAAAAGACATTATCATCGAGTTGATCAAACAAGAAGATGTCAAGTGCGTATTTTTCAGTAGTACATCATCGACACAAAAACTAACAGATGATTTCACTAGATATTTGCGTGCACTGGGTGCATTTTATTTGCGATTGACTGGAAAATCAAAAGAAATATACCAATATCTGGAACCACTACTGAACGATTACAGAAAACTACGTGTGCGTGCAGGCGATGGCTACAGTCTAACGCACATGGACAGCTTTATAGACGATCTTTTACACAAGGACCGTGTATGCGACATCATTTTACCTCGACTCACCAGCCGATATGTGTTGGAACAGAACGATGAATTAGAGCCTAGAGAGAGTTTCTTGGAGGACGAGCTGGATGATGAATAAATCAGTTGTATATTAGCAAGGTTTTTATTATTAGAAAGAGTAGAGTCTACTGATGTGTGTATGCAAGAATGAGGAATGATCTATGAGTGTGTCCGTCGTATGCAATGTGTTGTATTTATGGGGCAGTAGGTGTTGTTGTGTTCCACTGAATGACATGCTCCTTCATCAGTAAGTAACCACGGGAAACGAGCTCGGTGCTAGATTCACCAGTGGAGCAAAATTCAATGCAAATTGCATCATCATGTCTATTTTCATACACAAAGACGTAGTCAAATGTCTGATTTCTTACTAGACAGCCTTTCTTGATGTTGGCTTGGAGGACGCAGTGCTGAAAAGTGTGCAGGAGACAAGGCCGCCAGCCAGAAGGTGTGCGAGGAATTAAATGGACTTGAGTGTTTGGCATCATTTTGCTACTGAAGGAACCAGATAGTGGCATGTCAACAGACGGCAGCACCATGTTGTTTGCTTGGCTTTGTTTGGCTTTGAAAATAGCGCTCCAGGACACATCAGATAGGATACCTTCATCTTTAAATTCCATTGTACCTCGATGAACCGTATATAAACTGTTGTCCACAAAAGCCACTACTTTGTCTAAATCGTAAAAGATACACTTGTACTTTTTGTCATCCACCGTAACATCGTAGTAGACTCGACGAGGTCCAGATTGTGTGATATGACGAGTGGCTTTTGAGATTGCAATACCTGCCAAATTGTCCTTTACCTCTTGACATTGAGATCGAAACACATCCAATATCTTCCCCTTGACTGCATTGCTTGGATAGTCATAAGCAACAAAATGGCTTGTCTTGATTTGCTGTTCCAAGACGTCCATGATGGAACTAGACGTGGGGCTGATTTTAGAGGCTTCGATAAAGTGGCATAGTTGGATAAACAGTTCATTGTCTTGTAAGAAAATTTTGTTTTGTTCCACACGGAACAGCCTTTTGAATAATTTACGACGCAAAGTGGTACCTTGAGAGATCAAGAACATGCGATGGCACGTAAACGATAGATTGGATAGATCTTGGTAGGATTCCAGTTGATCAAAGACTTGATACAGGAGCTCTGTGGGTAGTTGAGATAGCATGACGATGGAGTAAGAAAAAAGGTTGATGGTTGGGAAGAAAATTAATCTTTTCATATGTGCAAGATTGACATTATTTATACAGATTGTTCATTGTTTGCCACGATAAACCTGATTTGCGTTAATCAAATGTCCTTATCAGGAAATTAGATTGAACAACCTCAACTCGAATCCATCCCGAATAGAGATAAAGACCGTCTGTGTACATCTGAGTTGGCCTTTGATAAACTGCAAATCGATTCTTGCGATAAACTCATGGACACACCGCACGTTCTCAACGTGGTCCTTCCTTATACAATAATTGAGCCTTTTCTTTGATTTATGGTTTTTCACTAAAAGATAAGACGTATCTGCATTGTTCTGATGGGCGTTCTTCACACTGAAGCCGTTGGTCGAAGGCTGCAAAAAGGAAAAGTGGGTTGTCTTGGATATTATCACAGAAACGAAAGCTATGAGCAATATAACTTGAAGCATCTCATCATATTTAAGCCAAGCGAACAAAAAATTAGCTAAGGACACTGAAATATATCTGGCATCTTCATTGAACAGTGACAAGTAGCTTCATTACGTTATACGAGCCTTTCGATACTTTGGGTGGTTTCCTGACCTACGCTTTGCTTCGGTGGAAACCAACGTGCACAGCGGCAGCTCGCGCTATCGATTGCCCTTACGTATCTTATCAAAATACTGCTGCTTTTATGTTGACCCTCTACTTACACATGAAAGCCCTTCATATTCTCTGTGGATCTGATTCTTATGAGATGTTTTACATCTATATACATGCAACTAATTTATGTACGAGCAAGTATCATACAGATATTACCTCGTTTTAGTCAAGAGCGTTGCCTAATACAGCAAAATTTGAGTGCATTTCAGCTGCGTTTTCTCGCGTTCAAGGTTGTTTTAGATCGTCAGAATAACACCAAACAGTTGCTCTCATCTGGCAGTTACTGTCTGACACCTTTGCTCAACTTTTTGCGAACCTAAAAAAAATAGGCAAAATTCGACCAAAAAGCATGAGGTACCCTTCATGCTTTTCACCAAAAATCAAACGATCGCTTTTTTCATCTTGAAAATGAAGACTTTTACTATGGTGTATATTTAATCAAAATGTTTCTATCGATCCAATGCAACCGCCAAAGTCAGTTTTGTGGGACTTTAATATGTAAAATCTCGACTTTTTGGCCAGAAACCTCTTTTCATATTTTCACAAATTGCTCAGTAAGTTTATTCAGCACATTCATCTTATTTGGTACCATTGGATGCGCCTTGAAAAGCACTCCAAGAAAGCTTAAAGGACCATGGGTTGAGCATCATGTTTTTATAGTCGAATCTGAGGAAATAGTTCAATCAAGTCGAAGAGCCGTCAAAATTTGGCCAATCTGGAACAGACGATGAGCCTGAGCTGGAATTATTTTTGGCTGGTGGGGCAGACTGGCAAACTCATGCCCTTCTAATCATGAATGCAACAATAGATGCTTTGGAAGCCAATAGAAAGTAGGTGGCAAATTACATGATGTTATCTTTAATAACGCCAGTCCACGGGAGTACTCGTAAGATCAACTTCTTTCCTTTTTAAGGCTTCGAAAGTGTGTAGGGACGAAAAATTTATTATATCAGGATAGACATGAAAAGGCCCCTCCTTGTTCATTAAATAGGATCAAGCGCGAAAAGGTGGAGACCAAACTAAACCCAAAAAAAAAATATCGTTTCCCTAATGGCCAGAAATACACCACTGGCATATACGCCCCAAAGGACACCTAGGAATGCGCTGTGCAATGGAACATTCATAAAAAAGTGGCGTGCTAGTCATTGCAATTGTCTATTCAAGTAATATCTGGCTTATTTGACAATTGATAGATAATAAGATATGATGTCGACGCAAATTCATCTAATATAAAAGCCATAGAGCAATGTTTTCGTTATTAAAAGATCTTTTAACGAAGAGTTTCTAGTTTTCTTGAATCTATTTTATTTACAAGATGGATAAGGTCTAAATGTTACCACTACGAGATCTACCATAACGCAGCACCTCCATTGTCAGTTTTGTGGGCTGAATGCCGCTATTCCTCATTTCATCATATACACTTTTCACTTTTTCCCAGCGACCCGCTTTCGCCCATGCCCGCATTGTGATGGTATAGATGACTGCATTCAATTCCAATCCATTATTCCTCAGCTCTGTCAAGATGCGTTGGCACGACTCCGGGTCCGGAACATACGCATGTGCCAGCATGAGTGTTGCATAGGTTACGAGTGAAGGTTGAATGTGCTGAGCCATCATGTCCGCATATACTTGACTGACCATTGGTAAATTGTTGCGACGAAGAAAAGCTCGCATAAAGGTGGTATAGGTATATACATTGGCTCCAACAAAGAGTGCATCCTTGTGAATCTTGTCTGTTACGTTGGATTTGTAAAGATTATAGTACTGTGTGATGGCTTCGTTATCTGCTTTTCCAATGATGGCGTTTAACAACACATTGCGAGTATGGTGAGTTGCTTTCAGCTGGCTGTGATTTGGACTGAAGAATTTGTTGAATAGTTGGATGGCGTATTCATTGTCGTGTTGCTTGACATGCATCCCCATCAGCGTAGTTGCCACCACCTCATTGATATCGACTTTCTCGTCTTGCATCGTTTTATACACACGCCACGCTTCGTCCACCCGTCCCTCCTGTCCTAAGCCATGCAAAATAATGGCGAATGTGTACACATCTGATTTCAGTCCTGCTTCTAGCAAATTTCCCCAGAATTTCAGGGCTGATTCCATGTTAAGTTGTCGGGCTGAATGATGCATCAAGATGTTGTATGTCACGATGGTGGGTTTGACGTTTCTGCTCATCATGAGACGAAAAATGGATTCTGCTTGGTCTAAGTCTGTTTGGCGCATATAGCCGTCGATGAGAGTGGTATAAATATGAGCATCTGGTGTGATGCCGTTTCTCTGCATTCGGTTAAGCCATTTGTTTGCTCGATCCATGTCAGATTGTTTGCTAAATTCGTTGATAATGATGGTATATGTTTGGATGGTGGGGTTGAGACGCTTGTTCTCCATTTCTCGCATGAGATTGATGGCCTTGTTAAGTCGGTTCTCCTGAACGGCTTGGAATATAAAGCGGTTGTATTCCTCAACTGACAGGTTGTGTTCCTTTTTGCTCTTAAGAGTGTATCCTTTGACAGATTTCTTTGATCCTTTGGCATCTTTTGTCGTCAGGCGATGGTATTTCTCCTTCTTTTGCGGCTTCTTTCTGGTTGGGTGCGCATGGCTGGATTCAACATCTAAGGCGAGCATTTGCGTTGAGTAGAAACGTGATATATCGCGCTTTGTGAACAAGGACGAACTTTTTGCTGCCAGCAGGGGTTGCTTGATGTGATGCGTGGACATTGGCCTCGAAACAATCGCATGAAGAACATCGAAAATGACGGATCTTGATTGAAGAAAGTGTCTAGTTGACATGCTTTGTTGTAAGGACAAGAGAGAAAGATCCTGTTTGAGACGTAGAATGAAAGTGTCGCAACTGTTCAGTAGGTACCCTGCAAATAAAGGAGAAGGAAAAAAAATAATATGGCGCAAGGGAATTTCAAATATCAAGGTCTTTCGTTCTTGCGCTGAGAGTTAATTAATGATGACATGCAAAACCTAGACAATGGATTCAGCTGCTTGAACCTCAAAGCATCATCTCCTGAAGCAACTCGCTTCCATCATCAGAAAGTGGAGCATGCTTGGGTTGACAGTATGGCGCCTAATACATCAATTGCATTATGCAAGAATGAGACTGACTTCCAGGTCTACATTTATATTGAATATGTTGCATCTTGGTGGCAGGACTTGATAATGAATGCCTATAATAGGGAGCGAAATAAAAACGAGAGCTAATCAGCGTTATTTGTGTATTGAATAAAAGTAATCAGAATGAGTTAGGCATGTGATGATGAAAATAATCTGCAATTTAAAGTGCTAGGCTGATGTATAAGTGAGATGATGGAAAACTGTTTAATATGAAATAATAGAGGAACTGCACAGTATAAAAAGCGAGGCTATTAGTGAGTGTGCCTCTCTATTTGTCTAAAATATGTGCATTTGTGTGGGACAAGTAAAAAAAACTTTGATGTTTATACACAAAATTTGTGAGCAAATTCACAGAGCAATTGATTGTTGTCTTGGTGAACCGCAGAATGAGTTCCATTGATCATAAAATCAGGTTCTTTAGCAGAAGTTCCAATGACTTTACGATACTAACGGCAGAATCTCATTTCGTCGAGAGATTCAGAGGCTAACAGCTTACCAATGACAAATAAATTGAAGGGGTTGAACCCAATTGCCAGCTTTTCATGGTCAAACCACCATCAGATTCTCTATTGATACATATTTGGATACTTGCATACTTTCTTTGCTTAGCATCCCATCGCTCAAGAGATGAACCACCAGACAACTGTAGCTTGCTTTGTTCAACTGTAGTAAATATCCTCATCTGAGGCAGCATCGCGCTCATAGTCCTCACAAGAGAGCACCAGTGAAGTCTAGTCCTCTAAGAAAATCAGGCAGGCAGGCAGCAAGCAGCTCATCACCTTGACTGCTGCTCTTTATGTGAGTGGTTTCTGAAGAATGTCCTCTATTTCTTGATAAGAACCGGAAAGTTCTATCAAACTAGGAGGCTTACTGATCCTAATTGCACGGTTCATGCTTTGAGCAACGAATGATTTGTTCTGTTATAATAAAAGTTTTCACAAGTGCCTGTCCAACACAAATTGCCATCTCGTAATATTCACTGCCATACCTAGTTGATTTTATATTTCACTGCACCACATCAATAAGACCTTGATCTGGAATACGGGAAAATTGTATAAGCCTCGAACCAACTAATGAAGATGGTTTGCGTGAAAGCCCAAGAGCCACCAGTCAGGAACGAACAACAATGAAGATCCAGAATAGAATGTTCTTCATAGTAGATTTGATGGAAGAACATTTGTCAGAACTGAAACCCGCTTTCAGAGGCAAATAATCATAGGCTACCATACTTCAGGAATCAGGATATAGACTAGCCATTTAATGGCACCACTCCTGTTCCTTTGCACTCTCTGAAAACGAGATCTCAATATAATACCGCACATCTCTGCTCCTGTTCAATCCTTTTTATGTATTATACTACGTATAATACATTTGCCTTTTAGATATAATCTGTATCCCAAACAGAAGTGGCTTGAGAAGAAAGTGAATGTAGTCTAAGAGGGCATGCTTGTATGCAACATTTTCAGCAATTGATTTTGAACAATTTGGTTTGAGCTGACCTTTTCGGCCGTGTATTCAATAAAATCACTTAAACCTGATATCACTACAGCCTGTTGATGTCGACTCCTATATCACAAGATTGGTAGGTATCATGATTTTCTGTTCAGTCCATTTTGATATTATATGATTTCGTTGTTTGTCACCTTTCATTGTGCTGACACCGACTTAGCGTGTCCAATAACAGTCATTTCTCCGTAATAATAATTATGAGAGCTCAACACTGTGAATAGACTTTAAGTCTAGTTTTACGACTGGATATGGTATCTCTGTAGTGGAGGATTATCGAAAGTGTCCTGCTGACACAATGAACATCTCGTTCAGCCAGACGAACAGTTTATTAGATTCAAATTTGCGTAATATTATTAACAATAACGCTCAAGTCTTAAATTTACTACAATCACGCATTTTAAAAAGAAATATTTTAGCCTTAGAAGTAAAATAAAGCATTTATCACTTAGAGATTAAGTTCTGTACAATGCAGAACATCTGGGTCATCAGATAGAAGTGTAACTTACTCTTCTGGTAACGCAGCCCACTACGCCGTCGTTTTAGGTCGAATTCTGTGCAAATCTAGCCATTTTCAAGCACAAATAACTCATGCCAAAAAGCGTTTTGAACGATTGGAATAGCACCAAAGGGCTCCTCTTGGCCACGCTTTACTTGCTGATGTTTTATCTCAAATTTTTTTGGGTCATTGCAAATTCATGAAAATCACCGTTTTTCCATGAGTATTAGCAAGGGAAAATTCTTGAAAATCAAATGATCGCGTTTTTCACGTCAAAAGTGAAGACTTTTCCTATGGTACATATAAGATCAAATTGATCGTAAAGGTGAAATGCAACATTGGAAACTCTTTCTAGGAGACTTTTATATGCTGGATTTTGACATATTCACAGAAAACCTGTTTTAATATTTTTGGAAATTGCTCATTATTTTTGGTCTGAAAGCTGAAAGTAGTTAGCACCATTCGATGCGGCTTCTTTAGTCCTCTAAAGATGTATTAGAAAGTTGGGTGTGACAACGACAGTTTTCATAGCCAAATCCAGCAAACATGTTTAAAGGATGTGAGATCAAGTCAGGTTTGAACACGAAAATACCACTGCACAAATTCAAATTAAATTGCCGCAATTACCGCTGCTATGGTACAATACTGAGACTAAAACTACTGGTCGTGACGTCGGATAGGGTGCCCTCTCATTTTTCCATGCACCCGTTTTTTACCCATTTTGCAAAACGCGTTTTAGTATCAAACCATGGTGGTTTTGGACACCGTTTGATTGATAATAACACTCTAGCTTCCGATAACTCTGTCTTGTACTGTTGGAAGAAGTTGATACTGCTTCTTTGAAGTGGAATATATTAGGTACCATTCGGTAACGAGCACTGGAAGGCATAGAATTAACACTAATTCAGTTCGTTTATTAGGCTTTAATAATTTCTTGCTTGCTTGAGTGAGTGCTGCTGCCATCACTTCTCTGCCATCTCTGCTGCCTGCTCCTTTGGTTTATCATGTTTGGTGATTGCTTCTTTGGCCTTTGTCTGGTCTCTGCTAGTGGCGTTCGTTCCTCGGTTTGTCTATGGTACCGGTGTTGCTGCTACTGCTGCTAATATGGTCTTTCCTGGTCCACTGTGTTTGGTGCGTGCTCATTTTCTGGTCTATCTACGGTGGTGGTAAGTGGTAAGTATCTTTTTTCTTCTGGTCGCAATGATATAAAACTTCTTTGAACGTTTGTATTATTGCTTCCTTTCTCATGATAATGCATTCATGATGTTTTCCTTGTTGCATTTTTCTTATTCTTTTGTTGGTTGTGTTGCTTTACATCCGACTATTACCATGCATGTTGCTCATGTATGCATTTTTGTTGCAACAACAACGAGCTGTTTTGAACGTCTCTGATGTTGTACTTGTTATACTTTTCTTTTGAGTACTCACTTTGTGTGAGTATCCATTTTTTGCCTACATACTACTATACTCCTATAGTAGTATGTTTTTTTTCCTCTTTCTTTTATTATTATTATGTTTCTTTGAAGCATACCTTTTTTTACGTTGTGTGGATGTGCCTATCCCTGAAACTCAACAAGACTTTATCCGAGGCTAGGAGGTAGATAGGCTGCCTCCACTTGGTTGTCACTACTTACTTTAGTGATGATTGAGGGTCTCAATGCCAGAATTCAAAGCTAGGTGGTGTAAGTAAGGCATGCTCTAGCACCTGGGGGAAGTTTGATGATAGCAGCGGCTATACTGCTATTATAGCGGCGCTTAAAATTTTGCCTCACATCGAAACAGGGGGAAACCCTCGCAATTTTTTTTTCAGGTCAGCGGAGTTTTCAAGCAATTTGATTGGCTCAGAGGTTCAGGGACCGAAGGATTCTAGCTAGTTGATTTCCTATTGACCCCTTATTTATCTGACATTTGTCATGAATTTATGTTCTTAATAAAATGATATTATCGAAATTGATACAATTTGAACCTCTCTTTATTCTAAGTTATGACAAGATATAATTATTTGATCTAGCCTCCAGTAAACAATTTCATGTGAGCGATGTCTTTTAAATTCGATATGTGGTAATAAGATTATATGATCGATACGGCAACAATGCACTACTACTACTAGGTATTGCCAGGCCTTCCCGGCACCCAATGTTGAGGATATAGATCATCTCTGAGAGGCAAATGTATTAGGCGTCGTATATTACATAAGAGGATCTGAGAATGAGCTGAGATGCATAGTAGAAGTGAGAGGTCTTTATTCAAGCAGCACGAAGGAACATGAGTGGTGCCATCAAATGGCTAATCTATATCCTGGTTCCTAGAGAGTGGTAGCCTATGGCCTTTCGTCCCTGGAAGTGGGTTTCAATTCCGACAAATGTTCTTCCGTCAAAGCTATTAGGAAGAACATTCTATCCTGGATCATCTTTGTTGTTTATCCTTGACTGGCGGTTCATGAGTTCTGATGCAGCACATCCTCGTTACTGGTTCAAGGCTTATACAATTATCCCGCATTCAAGATCAAGGTCCTATTGCTGCGGCACTGTCAAATAACTATAAATACCTTTGATATCTACACTAGTTTTGATCCCTATTCAATCTTGGAATAACATAATAAATATATTCAGTTCTAATTGTATTTACTCTGTCTATATTTCGTTATTCTAAACACCCAATACCCGCCAAACATGTGTTGTTTATCATTGGTTTCCAATACGTTCCAATTTAATGGAGGCGTTAACGGAGATTTTCATATGCTATAGAGGTGAATCGACTGTAGATGAGACGGACATGATGTCCTATTTCAAATCTTCAAATTGAGGAGCCAGAAACGCTTGGTGGCCTTCCAAGATTTCAGGTAGAAATGGAGAAGTAGATATAGGACATGGCCTAGGAGAAGTGATGGGAGCTACGGCGACAGCGTCACTAGCTTTCTTGATGGATTTCGTCTTTTCAGGTGGGGCCATGGTATGTTGCTTCTTGGGCAGAGAAAAGGATCTGGGTGGTGGTGTTTGGGTGGATAGTCTACAAGCTTGTTGAGCAAGTTATCAAGGAAACTATCAGTACTGATTGTTTTGATGGTGTATTGGTTGATACGGTTGTGAATGGTTGTCATCAATAACTAGTAATTGGTAAAAATTCAAATATTGGGAAGAGATGAAATAGTTCAATCAAGTCGAAAAGCTATCAATATTTGGCTAATCTGGAGTAGACTAAGAATCTAATTTGAAATTAATTTTGGCGGCTGGTGGGGCCGGCTGGCAAACTCAATGTTCTTGTCATCATGGAGACAATACAATAATAGATGTTTTGAAGCGCATGGAAGGTAAGTGACAAATTACATAGCAATACCGTTAATCGTACTATTTTCTTTGGATTTTGGAGTACCATTACTCTGCATTTGACGTTGCAGCTGCGTTATGCCATCTTGAAATATTATACATGCAAGCCATGAAAGAAGAGTAAAAGCAATAGATAGATTGAGTTATGCTTAATTAAGTATATTCCGTGTATGTTTCTTGGTAGCAAATTTAGCAAAGTAGCAGTTTAAGAAATGATGGCTTACTTTCTCAACCAACATGAAGAAAACAGCTGTTATTCCTTTTGATCTGTATGAAATTCTCTACGTAAGCATAAAAACAATTGGACGTTGAGAATTGATTTATATCAATACTGCAAAGCTGTCTGTTGGTTTGGATGCTTGGCAAAGGATGCATTCGACAGTAATTTCAGTGGCATTGATTAGGTAATTTAATTAGAAGTTTTAATTAAGGCGCATGTATGCAAATAATCATAGCGATCATCCAAGTGCATGTTGTAAACATGCTGTACATACTTTATCACCATGTCTGTTTTGCTTGCTATATCAATCAAAGCTTATATGTAGATGTTGTGAGGGCATATAGTTATTACAAGTTGTAAAGCATGTCTCTTCATACGACAGTATGATACTGTGATCTCATCAAAATTGCCCCTCATGGTCATCTTCTTTCCGACATTTGTAAAAAAAAAATCAACTCAAATTTATGCGTACGATAGCTTGATGTTACAATAAGCATGACGTTGCTGTGGTACAAGAGACGATATCCAAATACAGTGGCTTTGGAACAAGGTCATCAAACATGTACATCTAGAATATGCTTGTCTCTTTTGGTCAAGTCCCCCTTTTTTGTTGTTATTGATTTTTCTCTTCCACATCGATTTTCAGCATATCTTTTTGTTTGATTTCTTGTCAATTTACAGCGCACATAGAACTTCATTGCCACCACCGTCATGCGCAAGCTATTTGGAGCTAATAAGAAGAAGAAATCCAGTACAAACCTCAAAGCTGGTACCTTAAAAATTCCAATTCCTATGATCAATGGCTCTGAATATGCTGATCTGACAGAATCTCAAATGTCAACACTCATAGGTGGAGGTAACAGAGACTATCACAAGAAGAAATTGACTTCTTCACTGTCGAGTCAGCGAACAAACAATACAACCCAAACTGAAAAAACGCCATCCAACATCCCCGTGCAGCAACAACCCGTTACCCCGAGCCGATCCATTAGTTCACCACCTATTTTAGTGATGCCCAAACCGATGCATAGTCTTCCACCTACTCGCTATCTGCTTCGAAATTACGATTATGAAAAGACTCAGGTGGAGAGTTCTAGTAGTAGCAGTAGTGGTGAAAGCAGCCAAGAGGAGGAAGAGGAACAGGGAAAAGAGCATCGTATCATGTCATCACCATTACCGTTAAAAACAGAAAGAGAAGGTAATTGATTAAGGTTTTCCCTCCTCTTACTATACAATTGCATCAACTGATGATAAACAATCATAGATGATGAGGGCCGAAATCACCAATCATACACATTTGTCACAAGAACAAGCGAGGACTCTATAAAACAGTATGTATCTGCTTCAGAGTCCCCTTTTCCTACGGCTTCCTCCATTGTTTCAAGTATGAATCAACCCAATGTTGCTACGCTGTCCCCCTCTTTTTCTTCTCCTTCTTCTCCAGTCAAAAACACATCCATTGGTAATGACATGATTCATGCCAATGAACCCAAGCGAGCTACTTCTTCTGTGCCTCTACCTGCCTCATCCACATTTGCCAATACCCCTGCTGCTGCTGATGATGATGATTCCAATGTCCATCACAAACAAGACACGCCCAAACCACTGTTTTCCAACTCAAATGACGCTGTCATTCAAGAATTCCCATTGCCACCGTCCAACCTCTACGCTGTCGCAGAAGACACACACAGCCGCAATTTGCCATCTGTCCATGAATACAACAACACGAAGAGTACCACACCACCCACCAAGAAGAGAGTCAGCCGCCCTCCAACGTCTTCTTCGGGATCTTCAGCCACGGTTGGACATGATGTAACACATTCCCAAAACAGACTTGTAAATAACAACAGTGATAAACCACCTGGGAGTCTATTACAAACCATTTCTTCCGAATCACCCGCTTTTCACCAAAACAATAGCAATAGCAGAATGGATTCACTCACAGAGATGCTTCAGTCTGAAATAAAAAAAATGGCACTGAATGCAGATTTGCTGGAGCTGAAACGTACTGTAGATCGAATGCAGCAGCAGCGTGTTACAGATCTGGAAGACCACCTAACAAGAGTAGCTGAACAGAAGCTGAGGGAAATGGAGATACTGGAGCAGATCAAGCAGACCAAGCAGAGGTTGGACATGGCTATTGCTGAAAATATGTTTACAAACAAGAACTCGGGGGAGCAGGAAGTGCCCAAGCAACCCACTGACGACCAGGCGCCTGTCATGAAATCATCCAGTTCAACCAACACTACCAGAAGCAATAAGCTAAGATCCAGCGGCTCTATGAACGCAGGTACCACAGCAAGCAATTCTCACATCCGCCATCAGCACCCACAACAGCCACCGGCCAACAGACAGAGACACAGAAGATCACTGCCGTCTGCTTATCAACGCTTGCCTGCTCAAAATGAGTACTTCCCAGACATGAACAACCCCAACTTTGAGTTTGACTACCCTCCTCCTCCTCAATTTGGCTACCCACAAGACTACGACCCCGAAATCAATATGATGATGATGATGAATGGTAATCAGAGTCAATTTGTGGACCCCTTTACTATGGACTCGCCCAGAGGACGCTACACTCATCGAAAATCTTCATTGCAGCGTCGTCCTCGGTCAAAATCCATGGAGTCTCAATGGCAAGATCAATTGGATCTGGATCAGCATTACATGCTGCAGCAGCAACAGCAGCATCCACTTCCCTCCTATCCAAACATGCACCCGGATGGCAATTTTTACTATGCTACACCTCGTACAAGATCTAGAAAGTCCTCACTACGCAGTGCCAAGAGCTCCTCTTCGGACTCTGACGATAACAACAATAGCAACAAAAACGACGATTTTGACCAAGCTCAAGCTAATTCAGCAAATAGAGAGGAAAGCGTCATGGACAAGCCTGAATCTGCAAGACAGCATGAGATGGGATCGGATGAAGACAGACATCATCCAACAAGACATCGTAGTGGCAGTGGTCGATTTCGACAAGGACATCCTCATCCTGGTGCTATGGGTAATATGCCTCCCAACATGTTTGCTTATCCCAACGGACTACCTCCATTGCCTCACCTTATGGATCGAGAGCGCATGAAGATGAGACCTCCTCCTCCTCCTCCTCCGCATTATGGCTATAACAACATGCCTCCTCCTCCACCCCCAGGCAATGAGTATTTTTCGTACATGCCTCCCTCGCAGAGGATATCTCCACGTATGATGGCTGCTCTAGCAGCAGATGAACAGAATCAACAGCAGCAACAGCAGCAACAGCAACCCTATGGTGGCTATCAATGGGGCGCTCCTCCTCCTCCTCCTCCTCAAGGTATGTATGGCATACCTCCACCTCCTCCACCGGATAATCTAGGAGCTGCTGCTAATTTACCTTGCGATCAACAAACAGATCAACAGGCATTTGGAAACAGAAGATTCCCTCCACCTCCTCCATCAGTATCAGGCGGTCAACAACAACCTAATACACTGCAACAAACACCTCAACCCCCTCCTCCTCAGGGCTATATTTCAATGTATGGGGAGAGGATGTACATGTAACTTTAGTCATTCTTACAGTAAATATTACAATAATAAACACACAAATGAGGCTTATTGAGAGTTTTTTTTTTTTTTCTCATTCGGTCAAGCAGTGCTATTATATGATGAAATATCATTGTAACCTTACAATATAAATATTTGTGGCTTCGGATGACACTTCCATTAGTATTAGAAAAACAAAAAAGCATTGTACAACAGATTTATTTCATGTCAAATTCAAGTTAATAATAGCCACCGCCTCCTCCTCGGCCTCTATTGTTTCCATAACCACCTCCACGATTTCCGCCATAGCCTTGCTGTTGATAACCACCACGGCCACGGTTTCCGCCATATTGATTATTGCTGCCACGATGATAACCGTTGCCACCGTAACCTTGTTGTTGTTGGCCATAGCCACCACCATTGTTATTTTGGTAGTATGCTTGTTGTTGGTTGTATCTGCCCTGCTGTTGGTTGCCATAGTAACCACTGCTGTTGCCATAGCCTTGTTGCTGTTGGTAACCAGTGTTGCTATTGTAGCCTCGTTGTTGATAGCCACCACCACTGTAGGATTGGGTGCCAGGGAATCTGGAGCCGTCATCGTAGCCATGATTATAACCACCACCATAACCTTGTGGTTGATAGCCACCACGTCCACCTCTATTTCTACCTCGCTGATTATTACTAGATACAAAAAATTCAGAACAGCAAAAAAATTAGTTACATCTACACACCGTGTTTACAGCAAACTTACTATTCACGATAGTCTTCCATATGGTTTACTTGAGCTGTCCAACCACGGTTACTCTGATATCTTTGACGAGTATCAATTTTTTCGAATGTTGCCAACTGCAAATCTTCATAGCCCAGGGTGTTGTCTAGTTTTAATCCCTTGAGAAGTTGTGTTGAAAAGGTGAAGCCTTCCGGGAATCGAGGCAGCGAGTATGTGACACTGATGGATTTATCGTTGGCAATATCAGGCAGATCAAAATCTGGAAGAGGTGTGCGCAATGTGCTGCGAGGAATGCATTCACTATCCTTGTCAATTTCACCAGTCAGCCCATCTGTCAGTCGAGCATCCAGAATCATCTTTTCATTGGTGGATCGTTTTGTATAGACGGTGCTGATGGAGTTGTAGGCTTTGTGGTTCTCGCTGACGTACAAGACGCTTGGTCCTTCAGAGTTACGGATCGTTTCTTCCTCGTCGAGTTGATCATACACTGTTCCCATGGCTTCCAAGAGTCGAGCTGTGTCAATGAACGGTAATTTGACAACACCTTGCCACTCCCATTTCTTGCCGTCCATGTCGACTTCGAATTCAGTGGGATAAAAGTCGATGATAGGAGAGTCGCCCTCTGTCATTAAGCTGTGGAAGGGCTTGGGAATGTGTGATTTACTATAAAAAATATGAGCACTTGTAATGAGATAGTAGATGTGAGCTTACCTTGCTGCTGGCAATACACCCATCAATTGTTCAAATGGCCTCAGCGGTGCACTCTTTTCAAACTGAATATCAAATTCATCGATATTAGTAAAATCAGAAGCCATAGGAGCATAATGATAAGGGTAATACCATGACCAAGATACGCAGCCAACGTAATAGTATTTGAATACCCAAATCAAACCCTCACAATATGATTTCACAATGCTAAAAAAAAACAAACAAAATGAGTAACTCGTCTACGCTGTATTTGCATAAAGCACTTACTGTCTGATTTCATCTCTATCCATCAATGTCAGACTGAATTTGGCCTTGTAGTACCTTTCCTTCCAGCCAGCTTCCCAAAGACTATGCAGCACAATATAAATTAGATAAAAGTCTTGTTGTAAACAAAATCTACACACTTACCGAACTTCATCATCAGGCTCACGTTGACGAGCAGCGTCTTCCTTTTCCTTCTTTTCGACTTGCACTCGTTTCAGGATAGCTTTGCCTTGTGCCTCAGCTTCAGCTTCAGAAAGTGGGGTTTCTGACTCCATGGTCTCGTCATCTTCAACATCATTGTCATCGTCCAGGCTTTGATCCTCTTCGTTTTCCTCCTCATCCTCGTCTTCTAATTTTCTCTTTGTGCCCTTTGACTGCATCTCTTCAGTAGCAGCTGTGGGTTCAGGAATTGGGTTGCCTGATAGTTCTGCTTTGAGTGCAGCAGCAGCATTGATGTTAGCCAGACGAATTTCAGCACGATTAGCGACGATATCTGCATTGGACATGCCAGCACTGGGGTTGTATACAGGAGCAGCTGTCATATCACCAAAGTTGGGTCCATTGGGATTGAACATTTTGGTTTCACGCGCACGTCTATCATTCTCCAATCTTCTTCTCTTGGCCCCTTGAGATCTTCTCTCCTCTGTCTGCTTTCTCTCAGAGAAAATGGTGTCTTCCATCTTGCCCAATTCTGTTACAAGCACTTGCACTCGCTTCAAATCCACATCGCCATTGTTGGTCATGAATCCGCCCATCATAGGCATTGTGCTCTTCCATAGCAAACTGAGTGTACTGATGGCACCTTCTCTGATCTCCAAGGACGGTAAGTGGGGCAAGAAATCGTTACCAACAAAGAAACACATAAACACCCAGTCATCGATCGCTCTTTCCAGATCCCAAGTGATGCCAGGGATATTAAACTTTAGCGCATGTTCCAGGTACTCTCTTAGTACATTGACGTGGAGCAGCACGTAGGGCTTTGGCGGCGCATTCTTGGCCGCTTCTTTCTTCATCTCTTCCAGCGCTTCAGGACTGACGGGACATTGGTGAGCTGCATGGCCCTGTTGTTTGCATTTGAAACAGGCGCCCTTGGTGCGTTTGTCTTCAAACACATCTTCTCGCAACACTTTGAAATGGGGCTCATGGGTGCCGAGAGCCAACATGATCAAATCTGCATCTAAACCATACATGACGTGCTTTGTGTTGGGATTGTGTTCGGGGCGAGAGCGTTCAACACGGATGAACTCCATGACTTTGTGTTCGCCTTCACCAGGAACAGTGGCATCCGATAAGATGACCTTCAACTAAAGAGAGAAACTATGAGCATGGAATATAAAAAAAAAACATAAAGACATCATAGACATTACATTTTTCCAGAGTGGATCTGAGTTTTGTTTGGCAGCAATATGATAACGCAAGCAGGTGGCTAGATGAGCCATGAAAGGAGTACCAGGTGTAATACAGTTGGAGTCAAAGTGCTCCTTCTTCTCGGGCAATTGATGTTGTTGACCGATAGCTATAATAGACATGTTAATGGCCTGCATAATTCGAATAGCCAACTGCGCCACTGTACCTGCCAATTCTTTGGCTACCCTGTCAGCAGCTTCATGTTCAATCTGTGCCAATTGCGAGGCACGGAAACGACGGGAACGTTGCTGATTCATCTTGGCACGAGGAGCAACACCATCTACATGGTAAAAACGATGAGACAAGCGTATACTAACAAGAAGATAGTTCAAACCTACCGATAGCCATGTAAAGAAGCTTTCTGGGACGAACCATGTCTACAATGCGATCCATGTACTCAAAAATCGCAATCATCATATCATCTTCTGTTGCAGGAGCAGGCTACATTTATGACCAGGTTTGTATCAATGCCACATCATCCACTCATTCAAACACGCATACCTTATTCTCAGGATGACAACAGGGATGAATAATACCATTCATATCCAGATACAAGTTGTCGTATTCCTCTCCATTTGGGTTAGGCTTGGTAGTGTCTACAGGCAAAGCAATTCCATTGACAATCTTGGGGTGCTCTTCAATAACTGTGGTAACCACTTTTGGGAATTTATCCGATAGCCATCTAGCATGCCATGTTATGAGTCAGTTTATACAACTCTTTGAGGCCTTTACTTACCTAAAGAAAGCGGGAACACCCATAGTTTACAAATTTATGTTTGGTAAAAGGGAGAAATGTGTTGTAATCGAACTAAAGTTATAGCCTCACTTTTAACTTTTTCCTGTATCTCCACATCGTCACAAAAGCAGTCGTTGTGGATCAAGCAACTATGCTCTCTCATGTGTCAAATCAAGCAGCATCCATGTCTTGGGTTCATTACAAATGGATGGAAATACAGTATAGAACCGCACCATCATGCGATGCAACTTCATGCTCATTATTAGTAATAAATTAGCCCTTCAAGATGGATTTCTGCTACAGCAATGACATTAAATGATTACTTTATTAATGCTAGATACTAGTTCATATGTGGATGATGAGAGTGAGTGGCAAGAATTGAATATTTGTTAAACTTGAGACTTGGCTTTGCGACCATTGTTACCATCAGAAACCGAAGCAATGACTTCAGCCATGCGAGATAGAACCTCATCTTGTTCTCCAATGGCATCTCGTAACTTGGAATTGGTATTCTCTTGATGAATGGCATTGATGCTCTCGCGAGAAGCGGGAGGCAAGCGTTCATTTTCAATATCAGATCTACGAGCTTCCTCAAAGGTAGTGATAGCTAAACGTGTGTAATTGCTTAGGATACTGATGCTAAGAAAGTTGAACAAGTGCGTCTTACCTTTTCGAATGCCTTCTGAACCAAGACCCAATGTACCTGTAGGCAACTTACCATCACCAGACAAGTTTTTGAGCTCCATAACCAACTCTGAATTCTCACGCAAGACAGAGAAAGTGCGAGACATCTTGCCAATAGCCATGATTTTGTTTCGAATGATTTGGCGTCTTTGCTCTGATGCCATGTCAGCATTGTCGGGAACAACACCGACAGGAGGTTCCGTGGCTTTCTGTTCAGGAGTAGCAGCCAGTTCTTCTTGAGAGCAAATGTTCAAAAGAGCCAGCAGCATGGAAGTAACTGTAGTGCTTTATGTAAGTACGATACACTCCATACAAGCCAGAAAAGAGGGCCTTACTTTTCTCGCCAACAAAAGGTAAACTCCAATTAAAGACGTTCATAAAGTTTGGCAACCAGTATGGGTGTGGACTCGAGTTGAACTGACGAATATTGAGCACACTTTTATCATAACGCAATACAGCAGCCTTGTTGTTGTATACATCGATATAGTTGGGTGCTGAGAAAATGGTCATGAGTGCTGGGAATCCAGTTGTCTTGCTCTTGCGATACATGCGATAACTACATTTGTACATGTTAGTATGGAAGAAACCCATGGTATCCCATTCTCTCGGTATCAAAGCAGAATTGCACACACACAAACACGCTTCTTTCTCTGCTGTCATGAACACCAAGATGATCACGTCAACCACCCGATTTTCGTGCTGGATAAGCTTACCCATTGGCTTGTGCTTCATGAGCACGAATGACTGATAGTAAATTGTTCTTGTCTAAGAAACTGCATGCGGCGCGGTAACTGTGTAATAGCCCGATCAGAGTCAGGATGGTATGTTTCATGTAGAGTTTAGTATGCAATGTTCAGACTGAACACCCACATCAAAGCTCTTGACTTACCTGTAAAAGTATGAGCATCCACGGATATGATTATGCTCAAATTTTGGTCCTATATCAGAATCAAATTCTTCATATGGATCAGACCAAAGCAAATCACACATCAATCCACTAGTCGGGATTTCTCTGAATCTGTCAATCTAACACCATGGAAAAGTTTTGTTGGTGTGCTCGTTGCGATATGAGATGGTTTGGCCTTACCTCTTCAATGTCTTTGAGTGTCTTTAGTTCAGGCGAAAGACCACCGTGAACACATAAAAACTGATCATTGACGACAGCAGCTAAAGGGAGGCTGTCGAAGCATTCCATGACAACATCATATACCTCGTCGGAATACTTTGTTTGACCTGTGTGAAATTTTGTTAGATTTTGCGAGCTGCATGCGTTTTATACTTACATTCTAATTTGAATGTGAAGTAGTCGGTCAAATGACGGCATTCATGGTTACCGCGCAGCAAGAAAAAGGTGTCTGGATACCATAGCTTATATGCCCAGAGATAAAGCACGCACTACAGTAAAGGGCTGTGTTAGATATGGTGATCCGATAGAGTGCTTAGTAATACCTTACTTCAATTGAGAAATAGCCTCTGTCTACATAATCACCCAAAAAGAGATACCGAGTATCTGCAGGATCACCGCCTACTTCCAGTAACTTGAGAAGATCGTAATACTGTCCGTGCACATCACCACAAATAGTAATGGGAGCAGGAATACGCAATAAGTTGGGCTCTTTACTCAACAGATTCTTTGTGCGATTCAAGATCTGAAGTGCTTGTTTGTCTGTTAGACGACCTTCTCTACGCAAATGCTCTCTCAAGAATGCTAAATCAGGCAATTCTGAACGCTCCTTGGACCACAATTCATCGTCTGTAGGTTTCTTAAAAGCAGGTGGATCTACCTCTATAGTGCAATGTTACACATGTTGCTCTGTTTGCAATGACAGTGAAGATACATTACTTGTGTAAATACGTTCTTTGGTACTGACGACAGTGCCATCCTCCATTGTGTGCATGGAAAAGTCAATGGCAGGCCCATCTTTTGTAATAGCAATATCAGACATGGTTTCTCTTGGTTTGTGAAAAAAAAAAAGCAAAGAAGAAGAAAGAACCGAGTTTTAAGACATCAAACACACACACATACAGACATGTAAAAGCCTTGACGAATCCCGCTTTGGATTTTAGCTTCTGGCCCAGTAAGCTTGATTTCGAGTCGAGTGAGACATTTTGGCATAAAACGATCATTGAGTTAAAGTACCGTTTCAAATAGAGTGTATTTCTGATTTGCACAACAGAATAGAAATCAAGCCACCATGTGCTTTTCATGTGAGAATTCCAAATATGAATTAGGTGTACCTGATTTGAATTCTCTCTTGTTTTTCTCTCTCTTCATACACTCATCAAGAATGTCTCAGCCATCGACCTCCATCACATACCTTACATTTCAAGGCGTGTTCAAAGCCATCTCTCACATCTTTTTTCGTGAGATAAAAACGACCGACATACAAAATGTGCCTGCTTCAGGACCATGCATCTTTATCGTTGGGCCTCATGCAAATCAGTTTGTCGACGGTGTCGTCTACATGAGTGTAAATCCTCGCCCTTCTTACGCACTGATGGCTGCCGTCTCCTATGACAAGCCATTGATTGGACATGTAGGCAAGATACTCAATGCGATTCCAGTAGTCAGGCCGCAAGACATTGTCAATGTCGGCACAGGCAAGATCAAATACGATCCTGTAAATCAGCCATTGCAACTGCAAGGACAAGATACCAAGTTCATGGAGGAAATAGGCACTCGCGATTTCATTGTATTTGGAAGAAACTACAAGGTGCATGTTTCCAAAGTGCTTTCCGATACATTACTTGAAATCACACATTCCATTCAAGTAGATCAGCAAGTGGTTGGGGACGACTATGTGCCGTTCAAGATTGCACCTCATGTGGATCAAACAGCTGTTTATGATGAAGTGTATAACTACCTCAATCGAAACGAATGTGTTACCATATTCCCTGAAGGTGGGAGTCACGATAGATCAGAAATGCTACCACTTAAAGGTGAGCTGCTCTACCATTGACATGTGTAAATGCTAACAAACACAAAAGCTGGCTTTGCCGTTATGGCGCTCGGTGCTGCTGCTGCGAACCCTGCGTTGGACATCAAAATCGTGCCAGTTGGTAAGTAGAGGCAGTGCGCATCCTGCAATAATATATACCAATCCACCTCTTTAGGTCTTAATTATTTCCATCCTGATCGCTTCAGGTCTCGTGCTGTCGTCTCGTTTGGACAGCCAATGACGATTGATAAAGCAGATGTTGCAAAGTACAAATTGGGCGGCAAAGACAAGCGTGAAGCAGTGACCAAATTACTGGATCAGAGCGATGAAGCGTTCAAAACGGTGACAGTCAATGCACCCGACTACGATACATTGATGGTGGTGCAAGCTGCCAGGCGTCTCTATGTACCTAAATCAAACGCAAAGCCATCCATTGAGCAGGTAGTGAAACTGAACAGACATTTTGTATCGTTATGGGCCAAGTTGAAGGGAGATCCTAGCTTGGAGGCGATTGTCAAGAAAGTCAAGTATTACAACAACATGCTGACCTTTTTCGGCATCAGAGACTATCAAGTGGATAAACTGAATATTACGCCTGTCAAAGCAGCATACCAATTGATCAAGCGGATTACAAAATTAGTCGCCATGGCTGGATTGGGTGCTCCTGCGTAAAGTATCTCGAATGGCATGTATTACACTTTATCTAATAGGCGGAACTATAGGTTGATATCAAACTTACCGTTGATCTGGATTACCAGCTACATCAGCAAAAAGAAACAAAAACGTAATAGAAAGAATGCGATTAACATACACTCAAAAAACTGACATCTTTCCTGTACATTTGTCAGAGGCATTGGCAGGATCTTCAGTCAAGATTGCTGGAAAAGACGTGCTTGCCACATGGAAGGTCATTGTAGCTGCCTTTGCTGCACCTGCTCTGTATGGTGTCTATGCCCTGTTTTATCTTGCGTACCTGTTGAAGCACAAGCCAAACCTGTCTCTCAACGCCAAACTCACGAGAGCTGGTCTCATCTGGGCCATTCAACCCATTTTACACTATTTATTGATGCGTTTAGGTGATACAGGCTTGGACATTTACAAGTAAGTGTACTTGAGGACACCAATGTGCAACGTTATTCACATGAGGTTGGGTAGATCTATCAAGCCTTTGTTTTTGGCTATTCGCAATCCAGAAGCAGGAGAGATCATTCGCTCCATGCGAAAGGACCTGTCAAAAGACATCACTGAATTTATCAACTTGCATGCACCAGAACTCGGCATCGATGGCAACGGCAGTAGCAGCAGCTCTGTTGCCCCTAGCACCACCAGCAGCAGCAGCAACCACAGCAGCGCCAACATCACACAAGTCAGTCGTTCGAACAGCGACACCAACCTGATGGACCAGAGAAACAGTACAAGCAGCTCAACCTCATTTTTGGAAGCATCCTTCAGCACAACAACAGACGACATGCCTGAATCCTATCTCGTGTCGTCCAGAGACGAAAGCTTCCTGGAATACTCTTCAACAGACGAACTAAATGAGTCAAAATACCATGTAGAAAGCATCGTTTTGAATGAAGAAGACGGCGGCGATGAACAATCATCCGCTTTATCTCAAATTTAACAACTTTTTATAATAACAATACATTTATTACACTCTATTTAGAGAGGAACATGTTTAATATTTACAATTTTCCACTCTTTCTAAACAGGATTTGCAAATCATCCAGCTTTCTGTTCTTGGCTTGCTCTCTTGACATATACAATTCATTAACCAGGACATGCTTTCGATTTTGAATCTCCAGGATGCGTTCTTCCACACTGTCTCGCATGACAAATCTAGTCACCACAACTTCATTCAATTGACCCAGACGATGCACTCGATCAATGGCTTGGGATTCAATCGCAAAGTTCCACCAGGGATCCATCATTACTACTCGACTGGCACATGTCAAGTTTAGCCCCACGCCACCCGCTCTCAAGCTAATCAACAAGACATCTGCTTGACCATCTTCTCGCGCAAAGTCGGCAAGCACCTTTTCTCTCTTTGACTGAGGCATTGATCCATCCAGTCGTGTAAAATGAATGCCTTCTCGATTGAGTGAGTCGCCTATCAGATCCAGGAAACTGGTGAATTGAGAAAAGACTACCGTTTTATGATTCTCTTTTTTGTTTTGTCGTAAATGTCGAATCAAGGCACTCATCTTGGTCGACGCCTTGTATCCACCCACTGCTTTTTGTATATCATATTTCACTGTGCTTTTGGAAGCAAGCGGTGTGGACATGTCGTTGTCGCCGGTGCCTTGGCTTTCAAACTCTGGCGAAGGAGTTTTTTGTTGCGCGAATTCTAGTAATTGGCTTTGCAGAATAGGACCATGTCTGCACACTGGACATTCGCCCGGTAGCCCTTCGTCTTCCTTTTTCTATCAGCGGTACATCAGCATGGCGTTTCTACTAAAGCAATAAAAGGATCTACCTGAAAGTAATCCATCACACAAGGTCTACAGGCAAAATGCATGCAGGGCAAGCAAATCATGGAGTCGACAGTTTCAAAGCAAATTTGACATTCATCTGACATGGGCGTATCGTCGCTCGGTGTCTCTACTGCAGACGATTCATTGTCGTTGGATGATGACGATACATTTGATTTTCGCTCCATGGCCAGCATATTTTGTAGCACGTTCAATCCATAATTGCTATTACCTTGCGATGACATTTGACTTAGACTATCGCTGCTTTTGGTTTCGATTAGCCTTTCCAACGATATTTTTCCGCCTTCTTGAGATGCCCTAATGCCTTCTTGCACAGCTTCCTTGCTTTGTAGTGCCAGATAGGGATGACAACAGGTCTGCCGTAATCGTGTCAATAACTGGAAAATAGAGGCATAATTGCTCCCCACTCGACCCGCTTCACAATAGTAGGAAAACTTTGTGTGAGAATCGTTGTAAATAGCATCATAAATGTCTTGTTCATGCGCATTGAATGAGAGGTACTCAATGTTGATTGTTTTTGGAGGCAACGGCACCATAGGCTGGCCTTTGTGATCACGCATTGCTTTGGTGCGACGCAGAACAATAGGTTCCAACACTGTTTGTACAGCGGATAGCGCACTGGGGTCTTGCTTTTCAAAAGGAATTGTGATAAATGTCTTCCAAAATGTGCTGTTGGCCCAAGGTTCATAATGGAGATATCGCACAAGTGCGAAAAGGTCATCCAGCTTGTTTTGGATAGGTGTGCCAGTGAGTGCCCAGCGTCGCTTTGCCCTGATATCGCGGCATGCTTGTGATGTTCGAGTGGCTTTGTTTTTGATCTGATGTGCTTCATCCAGGACAACTCGCCAATACGAGATACTGAAAATTACTGAATCATGCGATTTCTTTTCCTGTGTTTTGTTCCATTCGGACACAATGGTGCCATATGTTGTGATCAAGACATCAGGCGCAGTGCCATCCCAATTACAGAGTCGACTGATAGATGTACCCGTGCGCACATCGCCGTAGAATATCTCCACTGTAATCGTGTTTGGTTTAGATCCTCGTATAATCTCATCTCGCCATTGAGCTAGTAGCGACACAGGACAAACGATGAGCGTTGTAGGCGAAGAGTGTGCCTTTTTGCCAAATATGGTGGATTTTTGTGATTTGTCGGGTGTGTATCGATTGGAGTGGATCAAACTGAGCATCTCAATGGTCTTTCCAAGGCCCATTTCTGTACAGTGAATACACCTTGAGTAAGGTGAGCAAATTTCATTGTGAGATTCAACCTACCATCAGCTAAAATACCACCTCGTTCTTGCTTGTTGGATTCAGGAAACTCTAAACTAAGCTCGCCTATGTCAATTGCATTGTTGAGCATATTGAACTTGTAAAGCTCCTCGCAGCAAACAACCTACCACTGTATGGACTAAAGTAAAAGAATCTGTGCTCATCAACGAAATCTCCAGGCAAAGTGTATTCCTCCCATAGTGGATGCATTGCACGCATATCCAAATCTCCGTCATCATGCTCGTAGGATTCCTTGTTAAACATCCATGCAAGCGCCTACAATAGTCCCGTCAGAATTTTGTCTACACCGTACGCTGTATACATACTCTCTTTTGGTATTCCTTCAGTTCGAGCGCCATTGTGCTTGGTGTATCCGCAGGTTTAATTTGAGAATCAAACATCTGAGCCTTCTCGTAGATGGTATCCAGTTGATCGTCGGTGATGGCCTTCTTCTCCTCCCCATCATCGCCTTCCAACGCTTGGTCCTGCGAGGAGGGGTCAATCTTAGTTTCATTAACATCAGCCGCCGCCACTGACTGTATCAATGCATCCCAGGGCTCATCACTGCCTGCCACATTCATCTTTTGGATTGCTGATCTAACTGGTTTTAATCCGAGATTTCTAAACATTTGCAGCAAGGCCATCTTTCTTGCTGCGGGTATCTCATGTCGATGCATTGATTTGTCTTTTCTTTTCGCTTGCTGTATGCCGTTGGATATAAACGAAGCACTGTGCATACCCGTTGCAGTGATATAACAGCGAATGGTCAATAGTATGTCTTCGCCAATCTTGAGGATAGGTGAACAATACACGACGTCTCCCTCAAACTGACAAATATCTTGATCCAATAATACTGATACATAGTTAGCTACATCTCTCGGTAGTCGTCCAACTTCTCTTCCATCATGCGCAAATCGAACAATTCTGTTAGCATTGGACGCTGTTCCTACTCTGTCTCTCACAATCGTTATCGAATCACCTTCATTGACTGGGCTTCGTCCTTTGACCAACGACCAACCTAACTCCAGCTGTTTAGTATGCCCGTAGTCCAAAAGAACAGAAAACACTCACCAGTGATTACCATATCTCCAATATAGTACCTTAAGTTGGATGTATCCATGGATGAAGCTGTAGGTGTTATCAATGTTGCTCCTGATGAGGATGTTGCTGTTACTGAAGGTTGTGTTGGTGTTTGCTGCGGTTCAGTAAAGTACAAGTTTACAGCGACTTCCACATCGTTGTTGGAGCGATGCAATAAATTTTCAATCGTCTGTACTGGTATATCACCTAGAATTGTCTTCAGCGAGGCAATGGAAGCTTGGTCTCTGGGCCGTTTGTTGGACATGAGGATCAAGTTGCAAATGTATTTGTTTGACACAAACTTCCTCACTTTAACATTTTTTTGAATGAACGCGTGAGCTGTTGTACGCGATGTTTCGAGTTGCCTATTCTCCATGCATTGATTCTCAGATCAGAGCAAATGAAAAACAAGATAGAGACTCACAGCGGATAGTTGTCTTTGCATTCCATTCCAGTTACTATTCTTTACAGTTGAAAGTTTTTTTTTTTTTTACAAGTAGTTTTCCAAAGCAGGCTGCAATGAAAATGATACATAGTATTTGTATTTGCGCAACCATACTATCTCAAACAACATCAGCAATCATGTCGATCTCCACTTCGCATTTTTGTATAGGATACCTAAAGTTTTTGCACATTTGATGGCAATTATCAGCAGAAGTGACAACTTGAGGTCTCTACATGCGGACTTGGTTCACTTGTACTGCTGGTCTGGGGAGACCATACTGACATTGTTTTTTAATAGATTTAAGAATTCTGTAAGGTTTCATTCTAATAATCATAGTATTATTTTTGCTCAGCGATAAAGAACCGGCATTATTGTTACCAATATTTACCAAAAAGCTGTGGAAAGTCTTCTGCCAAGACCAACGGCACAAAAGACAACTACCTTATCTTACTGAATATGAGTAATAGAAGACACTCTATAGCTTTAATCTTCACAGTCGTATTTATGACAATAATGTATATGCAGACGGAATAAAATGCAAATATGCCTTAGAGCAACACTAGCTGTTTCTTTACAGCTAGTGTGTCTATGTGTGTGGAGGTATACGAAGAATTAAATCCAATGAGTTCACTACATGTATATATCGCATGCAGACCAAAAACTTATCAAACATGAGATGTCTCGCTCGCAATAGTGCGTGATTTCAACGTCAAGTAAACATATAAAAAGCTCTATAGTTAGCATGCTCGAGTAAGCGTAGATCACATAACATGTCAATCATCCATTCCACATTCTGTCGTGTATCTTGCATCAAATGTAAAAAAGCATGCACATGTATACTATATTATTGCAGAAGAGTCAACGAAGAAGAAAAAAGCGCATCGTTACAGACCATAGGACGCAATTTCTTGGTTGAAACGCACATATTGTGTTGTTAGGCTTTTGCACATAATACCTAACGTGTTGTTTGATCCGAAACTAACTCTTTCATAGTGGTATCCGTAATAGAAATAGGTATAAATTTTCCTTTCTTTCATCTGATACAACTTGTTGTGAAGACCATTCGATACAGAGCTTCGATAATAAGCAGCAAAATCATTGGATAAAATTTCGAACTTCGGTGACGGAGTTTTGGTTGATTTTAAACCCAGTCCTTGTCCTTTAAACGATGGTGCAATTGAAATTTGCGTAGGTAGCATGGTTGTTGAGAAAAGGGAGATTTTAGAAAATGGTTCATTTTGAATAGGTGCTGCTAGTAAAACTTTTTAAATTACTATATGAATGTTGGATGTATGTGTAGTGAAAGTTGTAGAGGGTACATTTTTTGACTAGGACATGTTTGATGTGAGGTTATGGAAAGTGATGCCAATGAGTAATGACGGAAAATGTTCCAAATTGCAGTGAAATCGGGTTTAATGGATTTCGCAAAAAAAAATAAAGCAAAGGTAAAATACAATAAAAGTCAACTGTATTTTATTTGTGTGAGAAATGAACTGAAGATCCTGGAATTGAGTTAAAAAAAGAAGAGTATTTATACATTTGCAACTAGCTTGTATGATTAGTGATGATAGAGGGCAATAGGTTCCGCTATTGCGATATCTGGCAAATGTTGTTGATGTTTGATTTAAAGTGGTAATCAATGCAAGAGCATTGGCCATAAGGGTCGATTTGAGTAACCTTGAGGGGCTTGGGTGAGCTATCGTCATAGCACGATTTAATGTAACCTTGATGGTTTAAAGTGTTATGTTTGTTATTGAAGTATGGAATCCTTTATCTGGGATATTGTGCAGCTATGGCAGCAGGGCATAGTTGTCATATTTGAATATGCTTGTTATTGGTCTGATTCTATTTGGATAAAGATAATATCTCTCTTATTACGACCATCATGGGTGTGATTGAATACACTGTGATCAGGAGTGATTCATTCACGCGATGTGCGATATAAGCATGCATCTTTATTTTAGTATTTTTAAATGGTTTTTTGATGTACATTTGAGCGCTTTCATTAATAGATCCAAATAGCATGAATTTGAATGAGTGCTATTTGATGAACTTTGGTTTTCAATTAAGTTGCGTTTGAGTGGCTATTTCATTACACAAATGACCGATTTTCAAAGGGCCATATCTCTGAATTTTACTAAGTGAACGAGAGCTTCAAACTTAGTAGCTTCTGTTTTTTTTCAATTCTCTATACGATGGCATGGTTATTATAGATAAATAAAAAAAAAGTTGAATATCCCCTGCTTGTAGCTCATAAAATATATGATTTTGAGCAAATTTATGAAGAGAACGTACAACCGGTACTTAAAACTTTTATATCATAATGGATATAACATAGAGCTATCGAATGGTCTTTGTTTTGTGCAAATCCAGTGAGTATTTGTCGAGATATGGTCAAAAAAAGAGTATCATGCAAAATCATGGATTTTTCTTCAAAATCTACGTGTGATAGCAAGCAAAAAAATTGGGTGACCTTTTTTTGGCCAGAACAATATTGTCAATACTTCATGATAAAGTTATGCCAGAGCTTCAAGCAATAGCTCATTCGATAGGAAATTTTTTTGTTTACAATGTTTAGTAATGCTTAACAAAATGTTTTGATGACAGATACTGATTAATCTTTTGAAAACAGTCAAAAAATGGCAAGATGTATCTCATTAAATATCAGGTGAACAATGTACACCAGAGAGTGGATATGGGTACCATTGTGTTCTCCTTTGAATTCTCTACAAGCTTCATATACGTTTGAAGAGATGGTTACTACCAAGAAACGCGTAATTTTAAGGTCGATAGATTTCGGAATCCCATGAATCATCATTCAGAACAATAGAAATTGAATCTCCGTTGAGCTTCCACATATGTACACCACACAAGTACGAATTTGGCCAAGCACTTTAAAAACCGGAGCGTACGAAAAGGGCCATATTAACCTGCTGGTTTCAAGTTATCAATAGATACTTGACATGATGGAGAATCTTGCTTTCAAGGTTAGATAGCTGTAGCTTGCTTTTTTCAATAATAATAAGATTTGCAATTTAAAGCATGCATATTCCCCTGCTTAAAAATAGCATCTCCAATGTTGATTATCTCATGAAGTATGCATTTCCAATATAATGTTCCCACTAAGAACTTGCTCCAATATCATTATTCTACAACATATTTAATTTTGACGAGATTCTAATTTTTTTTACCTATGAGGACCTGGATGTACAAAATGTTTTTTAATTTTGAGGTTTTCAACTTTTGGACGATCGAAAATCGATTTTCTAAATATTGATGTTAGAGCATTGAGACTAGCATGTCCCTATACCAGTTTTTTGCCCTCTAAACGATGGTGCAATTGAAATTTGCGTAAATAGCGTGGTTGTTGAGAAAAGGGAGATTCTAGAAAATAGTTAATTTTGAATAGATGCTGCTAGTAAAACTGTTGTGCCAGAAGGGCTACAACTGTCTATAAAGATTAAGGTATTCTTGATGGGTAGATATGTCTGTGTTGTGCAACAACATGGACAAGCTATGATAAGTGAAGTGCATCTCAGCTATCTAAATACTGAGGTTCACCAGATGTGATAAGCGTTGTACAAGATAAATTGCTACTTTGGCATTCAGAACTTAGTATAAATAGAATAACTCTTGTCTTCATCAATAAATCATTAGTTTTTGTGTCTGATCTTATTCAAATAAGTCTTTTCTTGTTTTTATAATATTGAACATTTTTTATAAGCTACAAATAATAATCCTTTTATTCTTTGTGCTTAACAAAAACTTTTTAAATTACTATATGAATGTTGGATGTATGTGTAGTGAAAGTTGTAGAGGGTACTTTGATTGAGTAGGCGCTGTTTCCAAGCTTAGAAAGATAAAAATATAGTAATAAAGAGGATTTCTACAGACACTTGAAAAGGGACGTATAGAAATGACTGTTTAAAATAACGAAATATAGACAGAGTAAATACAATTAGAACTGAATATATTTATTATTTTATTCCAAGATTGAATGGGGATAAAAGCTAGTGTAGATATCAAAGGTATTTATAGTTATTTGACAGTGCCGCAGCAATAGGACCTTGATCTTGAATGCGGGATAGTTGTATAAGCCTTGAACCAGTTAACGAGAATGTGCTGCATAAGAACTCATGAATCACCAGTCAAGGATAAACAACAAAGATGATTTAGGATAGAATGTTCTTCCTAATAGCTTTGACGGAAGAACATTTGTCGGAATTGAAACCCACTTCCAGGGACGAAAGGCCATAGGCTACCACTCTCCAGGAACCAGGATATAGACTAGCCATTTGATGGCACCACTCATGTTCCTTCGTGCTGCTTGAATACAGACCTCTCACTTCTACTATGCATCTCTGCTCATTCTCAGATCCTCTTATGTAATATACAACGCCTAATACATTTGCCTCTCAGAGATGATCTATATCCTAAACACAAGAGGATCATCAGTAAACAAAAGCTTTGAAGCAACACCAAGACACTCTAGCAGATGGTTGCGGCTAGCGTGAGGAGCACCACAGCGACATCGAACTGGCCTAGCAGGTAGCCATCCCATGCGCCAACGGAGAATACGACTACGGTCAAACACAGACATTGGAAGATACAGGATGGGATCAACCATGAGTGAAGGACGACAAGCAGAGAGGAGAACAGGAGGAGAAACCGGAGGAGCAGGATGTAACCGACGTTGGAGGGAATCAAGACGATACACCTTGATCTTGTCAGCAAGACCACGACGATCCAAAGCAAGAGAATTATCAGCACCACCACCAGCAAAAGTAGGATTCCAGATTGGATTTTTGACGGCCAACTTGTTCAAACGATGCTTGAAGGACACAAGAGAGGGAGCCAGAACCATAAGGAGAGTACCACCAGGCAATTGCGTATGCACCCGCCAGAGCATTTTACTAGTCAGAATATCAACACGTTCCTCCATAGTTGGAAGATTGGTTAAATGTCGAAAAACCACGACGGAAGAGGTACGATGGCCACCAAAGGCCAGACGAAGACACTGATTTTGAGCTTTTTCCAAAAGCTTTAAATGACGTTTCAAGAACCAGGAAATAGACAGACCAAACTCAAGTTTGGGCCGAATAAAGGCCGCATACAGTTTAGCAGATAGGAGCTTGGAGAAACCAGCAGAATGAAGGCCAAGAGATTGCAAACCACGCATAGCACCTAACGCTGATTGACTATTTCTAGTCAATAAGAGATCGGTGTCCAAGCTACCCTTCACATTGAACGGCAAACCAAGGTAGGTAAAAGAGTGAGCAGTAGGTATAGCTTGACCATAGAGAGACAGAGAAACACCAGCACCAAGACCAGGAGAGACACCAGTAGCACCACCACCAACACCAGCATTGAGGACGACAGATTTCAGAGGGTTCCACCGAAAACCCAGAGACACAGAATGAGCTTCCACACGAGCAAGTAACAAAGGCATAGACTCGGCAGTTCCAATTAGCACCACATCATCAGCATACATCAAACTATTGATCTAAAGACCGTTATACAAACGAGGAGGACGCTCCACCACCCGAGGGCTAAATGGAGCACGCAACACCGCAGGCAGAGAGTTGATGTACACGGAGTAAAGAAAAGGACTCAAAATGGAGCCCTGCAACACACCAGTACCAGGCCAGAAACCATCAGAAACAGCACCAGACACCAAGACCTGAACAGACACTTCATCAAACAAATGCTGAAGGAGACCAAGCATCGCATCTGATACATACGTTTCGAGAGCACGCCAAATGACAGCTCTGTCAACCGTATCGTATGCAGATTTGATATCCAGAAAAGCCAAAACAGGAGGAGAACCATAATCAAGAGTATGGTGAAGACAGAGTTCATGTAGACAGAGCGCCTGATCAGGAGCACCACGACGCTCACGAAAACCACCTTGCACCACATCCAACGCAGGAGCAGAAGACACCAAAGGATCATAGAGGCATCGTTCCAACAACTTTCGAAACACAGAAGTCAAAGAGATGGGTCTATGATTACCAGGATCAAGAGGATCACCCTTCTTGTAAATTGGCACCACCTGTGCTAATCGCCAAGAAGCAGGAGTACGAGACCAACGCCAGCACAGCTGAAACAACAGGTAAAGTACAGGCACCAGAGATTCACGGATGGGAAGGAGCATTTCCGCACGGATATGGTCCCCACCAGGAGCACGCCGCCTGGCCAAACGCTTTCTTAAGTAGTAGTCAACATCATCGGCATCAAACGGACATTCATCCACAGAATGAGGCACAGGAGGAGTAGGAGGAGCATTAGGCCGGTTTGGAAGCAGGGAATCACCAGCATAGATACCACGAAGGTGTTGGGCCATAGTAGAAGCAGCAGCAACAGGACCTTCAGGGTGGGAGAAAGGAGCACTGAGACTACGACCACGGATAATCCGCTTGAGCGTACCAGTAGTATCACCTAAAGGCTGTGTAGCCATCTTGGTACAAAACTGTTTCCAGCTTTGACGACGCCGACGACGAATAGCCTTTTGAAATGCCTTCTTAGCAGCAAGATATTCACCCCAGCGTTTACATTGTTCGAAGGGGTTAGGAGAACGAAGCCAGCGGGTATGGAGATGCTCACGAAGGTCAAAGGCAGCTTGCAAATCAGAGGTCCAAAACCAAGCATTACCAGGAGGCTTTGGTAAGCGACGACCCACAGACTCTGTCAAGGACGAATGAATACAATCAGTGAGAGTATTACCTAATGCATCAAAGTCAGGACAGGCAGTAGAGGGCAACAGAGACACCAGGTCATCGTGAAAGGGAGCAATACGATTTGCAAACAGAGGAGCATAGGAGCAACTTGGGTCCTCCAACTTTGATAGATTCCACATCCACCGCGGGTGATCCACACGAACAGGAGGGGGAGAATCAAAGGCAAAGGACAGCGACACAGGATGATGATCAGAGTTGATACTCATATTAGAGTGTACGATCAAGGAAGGATGCAAGAGGTCATGGGTACCAATGAACAAGTCAATGATTCTACCAGCAGCGTAGGAGATGTATGACATTGGATCATTCACAGGTTCACCATCATCCGTACAGTCACTATCATCACTAGAATCAGAGAGCAGATCAGAATTATCAGCCGTAACACCAGACACAGCACCACCATCGAGGGAGACACCAATACCAGGACCACGACCAGAGACACCAGAAGCACCAAGAACACCACTACCACCAGAGTCATCAAAAGAGCCACCACCAGAGACAACACCAGAGACGACACCAGAACCAGCAGCAGCACCATCAGGGACACCAACAGGAGCACCAACAACACCAGAAGCACTAGCACTTGACGACACATTCGCATCATCGTGATGGACAATACGACGACGACGTTGTTTGACAAGTGTAGGCTCACCAAAAGCAAAAGAAGCATTCCAACAATAGAGACCAGTATCAAGCAGCCACTCATATAGAAGAGTACCTCTAGTAGTAGTCTTAGTATCACCCAATAAACGAGCATGGCGAGCATTGAGATCACCACATATGATTGTGTTTGTTTGGGAGGGACTAGGATGGAGAGGCAGATCACGGAGTACAGCTAGTGCATCAGAGTCAGAAAAAGAAGCAGTAGGAGGCAAATAGACACAGTGAATCAAAGTGGATGCAACCTGACAGGATAATACTACATAAGGAGAGACAGAAGGAATATGTGTAACAGGGTAAGGAAAATCAGGATTGACCAGCAACGAGATTCCCATTTGACCACGACGCATGTTGGGGACAGGCAAACCATAGGTATGGAATTGCTGCCACGAAGTAGGGAGATGGAGAGGAGGAAGAAGCCATGTTTCGGTTATAAAGATGAGAGAGGACAAAGGAAGGGATTGGGTAACAGTATTAATTGTCATGCGATCAAGACAATTAGCATTCCAGATGGTTATAGTGATATCGCGAGAGTCACTCATTACTGAGGTGCCTCTGGTTTATCACCACCAGGAAGGGAAGCAGAAACAGTTGAACCAGTATCATTAGCAGCATCAGTCATGGTAACATTCTCATTATCCGTCTCAAAGACACCACCAGCACCAGAGTCACCACCAGAACCAGAGCCATCAGAACCAGAGCCAGAATCACCAGAAACAGAATCACCAGACACCACACCATTAATCGTAAAAGAACCATTAGACTTGAACTCACGCAATTGATCATTAGAGATCCATTTCTTGTGGAAAAAGTCAGTAGCAACAGCAATCGAAATAGGACGACGACCAGCATGCTGGTACAAGTATTGAAGACCACGCAGAAGACGACCCTGATGAACCTGGATAGCCTTCTCCACACGCTCAGCTTCAGTAAGGGAAACAAGACGAGGATCCTCCAGAATTGTTGGATCACGAGGATCAAAAGCATCAATGGGGAGAACCTTAGCCTTGGCAAGAGTATCAAGTAGCTCCTTGGCATATTCATGATGAACCAAAAGGGCAACAGCCTTGGGAGCAGGGTAGTGGATATCCAAAACACGCCAGTTTTGGACTTTCAAGGTATGCAATTGTTCACGAACAGCCTTGTAAGACTTACGATGACGACTACGAAAGTAGATGTATCGATAGCCTTGCTCATATTGCTCAGGATAGTCAGAAAAGAAGCGGGCGGCAGCCTCAACCTTTTGAGGGGAAGGCTTTGACTTGGATTTTTGCTTGCTTTTCTTACCTTTTTTAGCAGCTGCCAAAAAGTTATAGGTAGGAGTAGGAGTAGTGGAGGCAACACGAGTGGAAGAAGCAGCTGCTGTAGCAGGAAGAGAAGCATACTTGGAAACAGAAGAGTTACCAGCAAAGAATGAACCAGAAGAGACACCAAATGCAGCACCAGAGACACCAGGGACACCAGAGACACCAGAGACACCAGAAGCACCAGAGTTACCAGAGGCAGCAGCACCAGCAGCACCATCAGATACACCAGAGTCATTAGAGTCACCAGAATCACCAGAAATACCAGAGGCAGAGACACCAGACACATCAGACATAACGGCATCTACAGAGACGTTGTTAAGTCGCTTCACCTCCTCCTGAAGTGTTGCGATCAACTGATGTGCGTCAGACAGAGCAAATTTCAGCTGAGCATTCTCAGCTGTAAGACGTTCAACTTCATTCAACCGATTTTCATAAGCAGCAAATCGAGTATTCATAGCTCGCAATTGAACCTGAAAATCGATTGCCCAGTCAGCAAGAGAAGTAGTTGAAGAAGCAACGGTAGAGGTATCAGAAGGAAGATCAATAATAGTAGTAGTAGCAGTGTTAGAAGAGACAGCAGTAGTATTGATCAAAGGATCAGTAGTGGTATTAGTAGCAGGAATAGCAGCATTTGGTTGTGGCAAAGCTTTTTCGGCATTAATGGGAACCTTAGAACCCTTGGGAATCGGAATTCGAGTGATACGAGAAGCAGGGATCACCTCAGGGGGAGCATTGACATTGGCATTGACAACCGTGGGAGAAGAGATCACGCCCTTTTTGGTCAAAATCCGTTTTTGGGGCATTTCACCGAAAGAGGAAGTTGGGGAAGGCACAAATGGACGTTTCGATTGCGAAACCGTGGGGGTAGGACCAGGAGTAACAGAAGTGAGGTTAGAACTGGTAACGTTAGGCAAAGCAGTGGCACTTGGACACGAAGTAGTGGAACCAGAGGACAAAGTAGTGTTACTGTGCACAGAATTAATGAAAATTAATTGCTTAGCAGGTGTAACTGTAGTACGGGAAGCAATAGAAGGTTCAGAAGCCTTGGCACTGACACGAGATTTCTGTTTTGGGGGAATCTTGATGAGTAATTAAAGAGTTGATGGGAAAAACTGATTTTGCGAAAAAGTATAAAAAGGAATGATGAATATTGCGCGCTGTTCGACTAATGATACTCTGCGGTGCTGGTTTTGTGAAATGTGTAGCGAAATGTGTGGAAGATCTTGCAGTAATAGTTGATCCCGAGACAAAACCAAGTAATTAAAGCTGTTTAAGTTGCTGATGTGTTGCAATAACCTTGATGTAGACAGTATCTCAGCGATTAAATGTATATATAAAGTTATGTACCCAAAAGATTTAAACGTAAGAAAGTTCGATTTATTTCCAATGTGTTGTATAGATTCAAGTATATTTGTCAAAATAAAAAAATGTAAGAATAATCGATTTGAACACCAGTTCAGGAACAGCACTCTAATAGGCTCAGAGTTCAGATACCGCTTCTTGAAATCAGCACCACCACAAAATCCTTTTACCATCGTAACATGCCTCCCTCCTTAAAGTGCTGATATTCATTCAGGGCGTCTTGCTTCTTTTCTTTCCAACCATGATGAGAACAATCCTTCTAATCGTTTAGTCTGCACGTCAGGGACCATGCTTTTTCTTGACGCAAAAGGTATCAGTTGATCGCCATTTACAGCACCATCCAAACGTCTTGAATTAGGACCAGCCAAGTGATAAGTACCAGAGCCATTTATACGCACAACCGTCATGGGACCAATCCACTTATCCGCAAACTTGTTTTCAGGGTATTGATCTTTCATTAGGACTTGTTCCCCAACTCGGTATTGCTTTCGAAACTTCACTGTGTCATCGTATCTTGCTTTCATTCGCTTCTTTCCTTCATTGGAGACTTCTCTTGCTTTGATTCGGTATTCCTTGACAGCAGCATCGATTTCCTCCACCCTTCTATCAATCTCATCGTTGTATTCACCTTCCACATAGTCAATCCTTGGAGCAGACCAATTCCCTGGAGTCCTGATATCATAGCCAAAGAGTAACTTGCCTGGGGTAAAGCCTGTGCCTTCACTCTTCATTGTACGCAACGCCATCAACACCGCAGGCACCTTTTGATCCCAATTTTTGACATCTGGACAGTCATCACGCACGATCTTTGACAGTGCTTGCACCAATGTACCATTCATCTTCTCGCATAGACCATTAGTTTGAGGACGGAACGCAGATGTAGTCAAATGCCTACAATGAATTTGTTGAAGAAACGACTTGACAAACCGAGATGTGAAATTTGAGCCTCTATCCGTTAAAATAAATTGTGGAACACCATAGAACTGCACAACGCAATCGAAGAGAAATGTAGCCGTAGTCTCCTCTGTAATGTCTTTCACCGCCATTGCAACCGGCCAACGAGTAAGGTAATCAATAGCCACCAAAATGTACTTGCAACCTGAATTTGATTCCACCACAGGGCCCACTGCATCACAACCTATCATATAAAATGGTCTTGCTGGCGTAGTAATCGGCTTGGCAAGAACGACTCTCCTTGCTGGTTTCTTTTTTCTAAACTGACATGCCTCACAATGCTTCACTAAGTCTTGAACAGCTGCAAATAACTTGGGAGCAAAATACTGAATTTTGGCCTTGTACCAGGTATTGTTCACTCCAAAATGTCCTTCTTGATGTACTTGCGTCAACACTTCCTTGATATTACCCTCGTGTAGCACCTCTAATGGCTCTCCGTGCTTACTATTCCTTTTTCTGTAGAGCCTTCCTTGTATGATTTGATAGTTCTTGGCCATTGTATCCATCTTCTTGTTAAATTTAGCATTAGAATCCAAGGGGTAAGTCTTGTTCCTGAGTAGATTTGTAATAGCAATGTATGTTGGATAATCCATGGTAACGATAATGAGCTTGCTGTTGTTGTAATGGCTTGATTGTTCTGCTTTAGTTAGTGTAGTAAGTGTGTAGTGTAATGTTTGTTGTAGATAGATAAGTGTATATGTGTGTGTGAGTATGATGTAAGATGTAAATAAATAAATAGTTTCTTTTTTTTTTTTTTTTTTTTTTCTCTTTTTTTTTTGGTATCTTTTTGCTCTTTTCTTCTTTCATCCCAACCACCCTTCCTTTGTTATATCTTTTTCTATATTCTTTTGTTCTTTTTCTCTTTTTTTTTATCTTTTTTTTTTTGTCTGTTTTTTTCTCTTTTTTTTTTTGTATCCTTTTTTTTTGTATTTTGTCACATCCCACCCAACCAACCATTATGTGAATCAAATCTTTAAATCAAACGACTCAAAGTATCTGCTGGATTCTCTCTACCTGGCCTGTATTCAACTCTGTACCGATAACCCATCAAGCATGCTTTCCACCTTTGCAACTTGGGAGAAGGCTTGTCACTGTTGAAGATATACACCAAGGCTGCATGATCCGTCCTGATCACAAAATCCTCACGGCTTGATAGATAATGTCTGAACCGGTTTACCGCCCACACCACTGCTGTAGCCTCCAAATGATTGATTGCATAGTTCTTCTGTGTGCTGTTCAAAGTCTTGGATCCATATGCTATCACCGTTTCATCCTCTTGACCACCATCTGGAGACTGACTCAAAATGCAGGAGAGCCCCACCAACGAAGCATCACAGGTAATGATCTTGACATGAGTACGGATTGGATACGACAAAATCGGTGGAGATATTAACGAGCTTTGCAGGTAGTTGAATGCCTTCCGTTGCGCCTTGCCCCATTCAAACTTGCTTGCCTTCTTCAATAACTTGGTGATTGGCTCTGCCTTACCAGCAAAATTGTCAATGAATCGCCTATAATATCCAACACTGCCCAAGAATGATCTCACTTCGTCCTTGTCTCTTGGTTCCCGCATCTCCATCATCTTCTTGATATTGCTGTCCGTTGGTTGTAACCCCTCGCTGCCTACCTCATGACCCAGATACACCACTTTATCACGACTGAATTGACACTTGGCGAGCTTCAACTTCAAATTAGCCTTGTTACACGCATCAAATATCTTTTGCAAGTGCACCGCATGTTCAGAAGGGCTCCGACTATACACCACATAGTCATCGACGAAGGCATAGACGAATACACCCAAATACTCCTGCAGAATATTATTCATACAGCGCTGATAAGTGCTTGGACTTCCTTGCAAGCCCATGGCCATGACATTGAAGGAAAAAACACCCATTTTCGTAACAAATCCACTGCGTTCAATTGAATTTTCATGTAGAGGTATTTGCCAGAATCCGAAAGCAGCATCTAGGACTGTGTAACATTGATATCCTCCTATAGAATCCAGGATATCATCGATGTGGGGTAGAGGATAGCCATCCTTGACAGTTACAGCATTCAATTTCTGAAAATTTACCACCAGACGCAGTTTTCCATCCTTCTTGGGCACAAAGAACACCGGCGAAGTATACTTACCCGAGCTTGGACGAATGATATCAAGCTCCAACAATGTTTTCAACTCTTCCTTCAAGCATTCCTCCTCATCAACGGTTAAACGATACGGCTTGGATTGGATTGGCTCATCCGAAGTAGTGATAATTTCGTGATACACATTGTTCACTCGTCCCAGCCCAGCATACTCATAGAAAGTATTCAAGTTGCTCCTCACCACATCCTGCACCACACCTGGAACGTCCACAAGCACCTCCTCCAATGTAGCGTGATTCTTCTTGCTGGATTCCCCTTCACTATCCTGCAGAGACACGATGTCCTCATGGTATGAGTTCATCAGGCCTTGATTCCATTGATCACCACCACCAGTAATGTCAACACCATCACCAGAGAAGCCACCTTGATTTTGATCCATCCTGAGAGATACTGTGTACACCGGCACCGTAGATACGTTATCATTGTCAGGACCCTCTTGTAGTAGTTCATCACCATCCTTCATACATGCCACTTCAATAAAACGAGTACCATTACCTGTTGGTATTATGATCAAATTTTCCTTTAAATCAATTTTAATACAATGATTAGTAAACCATGTCCTGCCCAGAAGGCAAACGTCCTTGTCCCGAATGGAGTTGTCAACACAAAAGTGCTCCCTCCTAAGCTTGCCACCAATACGCAATGGGACATTCTTTGCTACCAACGATGTCTCACTCACAGCATCATTGAACCCAGTCAGAGCAAATCGCTTGTTCACCTTTTCCAACTGCAAACCCAATGTGTCAGCGAGTCGCCTACTCATCACAGATATAGCTGCTCCCGTATCAACAGTGGCAATCATCAAGGTGTTACTAATGGATACCATAGTGCGCATAGGCTGGCTACTCATCAGCTTCGTGAGATCAAACGGGTAATCAATCACCGTATCCAGGTCATCCTCCTCGTCAGATGAATAATCGTAGCTGCTATTCTCGATTCTCGATCCATCATTATCAGATAAATCCTCACTACTGTCACTGTAATAAGATGATCCATTATCACTACCATCCTCCTGTTGTTGCGTCAACTCATTGATGACCACTGTAGTTCCACCATTCCTTGGCTTGGCTCGATGAATAGCTACTAAGCTCTCTCTCAATCTACGGCTTGCATTCTTGTCCTTGGCCAAGTACTGCAAGATACTGACACCGGATTCCGAGGGTTGATTCAAAAGCTTCATAATGTCAGGTGGCATCACACGATTGGAGCTTAATGGCTTCTTCTCCCTAATTCGCTTAATCGCCTTGCTCAATGCTATGTTGTCCTCGTGGGTTGGTTGCTGTGAAGTCACTACTGCTGATGGTTGTTGCTGTTGAGATCGATGAGCCAGCGTTGATGGACCTGGATCGCCATTATCCTTGCCCCTCTTGCGTGGATTACCTTGAACACCCTCATCTGACATGGCGCCTCTTCCTCTCTTGACTGCATTCACATCTAGTTCAATTTCTCTATGATCCATAAAATTAGCAGAAAGAGATGTGTCTTTTTGTTTTTTGTGTTTTCTATTGTTTTTGTCTTTTTTCAAGTGTTTTCTTTCATTATCCATCCTCCTGATCTCTACCACATTGATCCCACTATTTGAGTTGTTTGTATTGTTATGGACATCAGCAGCAACTCCTTCTACTGACGGCCCAACTCTTTTCCCGAATTCTCCTTGTTACCATTGTTACCCTCATTGTTGTCCATTTGATTGATGCTTCCCAGCTGATTAGGACCAGCAATGCCACTACCACTGAAACCTGGTTGCTGTCTTCTTCTTGGTGGAGCTGGACACGCTCGAGCAATATGCCCATACTCGCCACAGTTGTAACATGAATCATTAAATGGTCTTGGTTGGTGCTGTTGCTGAAAGTTGCTACGTTGTTGATAATGATTGCCATTTCCTCCCCCACCTTGTTGTTGTATGACCAGGTTATGTTGTGCAATGATGTGTTGCTGTTGCTGAATCAATTCCTTCTGTTCCACACTACTGATCTTGAGTGCCCTCATCTCATTCACCAAGTCAGACAACACCGAGCTGATAGAGGACCCCTCACTGAGATAATCCTTGTTGCTGTTCATCATGCTGTTGTTATCCAATTCAAATGACACCACTTTCTTCTGTGCACCATTGTTGTTGTAAATCACCACTTCCTTTTTCTTGTCATACTTCAACACCAACGCCTCGTGCTCAGCAGCTTCATCCACCAAATCTTCAAATGTAATCTTTTTCCTAGTAGCCAAAACTTTTTCCATTTCATAGCCAATACTTGGAAGAACTGATGCCACAAAAATAGCCTTCTTTGTACCATCGTCGGTTACACCTGCAGCTCTGAACAATTGCCTGAGCCGATTGCTGATTCCCTCAACATCTTCACCCTCCTGTTGTTGCACAGCCTTCAACTCTCTCCACGCCTTCTCATAGATCACCTTCATGAATTTCTTCTTGAACAAATCCTCAAATTGCTGGAAAGACTTCACTTCTTCTTGGATAGAATACCACCAGTCCAAGGCTCTTCCCTTCAGATAACTTCCAGTTATGGCCATGATAGTTTCAATATCTTCCACCTTGTTCACCTTCAGGATCTGGTTCAACTTGATAAGCCAACGTTCAGCCTCATTAGAATCTCGACCATCGAAATCACTAGGACTTGCTATAAACCGCATCCCGTTGCTTGGAATAAGATTATTGATACTTGCACTTTTGCTTGATTCGCCCATGATTGCTTGCTTCTGATGATGATTTTTTGCTTCCCTTTCGAAATGAGTCGCTTTAAATAAAAAAAATTGTACCTTTCGATGTTTTTTCGAGTAGTACTATACAGATGAAATATAAAATGTGTAGCCTCGTGTATGCCACAAAATAACTGCAAAAATGTGTACCCTCGTGTATGCCACAAAGATAAGAAAGAAAAATAGAATAAGATTGCACCAATAACGCAATTTACAAAACGAATTTGATAATACCAACGAGAGTATCAGCTACTGCCAGTGATAGTATGCAAATTCCAAATAGAGATGATATGCTTTCGAGATCTTCGACAGTATCAACTGCTATCAAAATAAATCCAATAAAATGTATCAGCTCCTTTAGATACTCAAGACAAAATGCCTTCTATAAATGTTCCAACGGTGTGCAGAGATGTGGTCTCCTAAGAACAATGCCCAAAGCACGATAAAATATAACTAATCCAAATAACCAAAAATGTATCAAGTATGTTAGATACTCCAAAATCAACTGTATACTACGCTATTTCTATAGATTGGCACGGCAGTGTGTTGTTTTTCAGTAATCTCTATCAGTTATCGATTACAAACAAAAAGTGTCTCGGCGCGACCTCCAATTGATACTCTGCGGTGCTGGTTTTGTGAAATGTGTAGCGAAATGTGTGGAAGATCTTGCAGTAATAGTTGATCCCGAGACAAAACCAAGTAATTAAAGCTGTTTAAGTTGCTGATGTGTTGCAATAACCTTGATGTAGACAGTATCTCAGCGATTAAATGTATATATAAAGTTATGTACCCAAAAGATTTAAACGTAAGAAAGTTCGATTTATTTCCAATGTGTTGTATAGATTCAAGTATATTTGTCAAAATAAAAAAATGTAAGAATAATCGATTTGAACACCAGTTCAGGAACAGCACTCTAATAGGCTCAGAGTTCAGATACCGCTTCTTGAAATCAGCACCACCACAAAATCCTTTTACCATCGTAACACTAACGTCTCTCTTCGGTAGTATAGTGGTGAGTATCCCCGCCTGTCACGCGGGAGACCGGGGTTCAATTCCCCGCCGGAGAGTTTTTGCTCCCACCGTAGATGGTGGTGCGTGTAGACCTCTCAACTTCTGGCCGTATTTGTTTGCATTTCTTTCAGTTGGTATAAATTTGAATTCGATTTGCAAAATAATAGAAGCCATCGTTTATCCCACTGTTGCGAATCGACATCGCAACTACACCTCCTTTTTCTTTTACCACTACTTTTCTACAAATTATCATTAGCATCAATAGTAAATCATCATAATATATAGGTGTATGCTATCAAGCTTTAAATAGGCACTCTTCTAGATGCTGGCTTTTTTGCGATTGCAAGGTTGAGTTTTGCTTTGCCTAGTTTTAATAAGCTTCCTTGCGTTTCAGCCGGGCGTATGGTAAACACGATGTATAATGTTGAGTGTCCTAGTAGCCCAATACACTCATTGCAGGCATTCAAATAGAGGCTGGAAAATAAAATGTTGCCTGATGCTTGCTGTGATCTTTATTCAACAGGTTTGTAAAGTATTCAACAGTACACTATGGAAAACGACTAAAAGATGGGTTGAAACGATTTTGCTTTTGCAGCAGAGATAAATGCAGCGTGAGACCAAGTTAAATCTCTGGCACCAGCCATGTAGCCAATATAACGGTCAAACTGCTCTGACATGGATCCGTTTCTGTCTTGATGGTATTGAATAGTGGCTAGATATTTATCTGCGGCAATAGTAGCTCTATGTATTAGCTGATCTAGCTCTATACTTCCAGGAGCATAATATTGTGTATTTTGAAGATGCGTAGAGCTAGAAGATGTCGTACTGCTTTCAAGTAAGCGATGAAAAAAGAACCGATTGATGTCGTTTATGACCACACCCACTTGCTTCCACTCCTTGATAGCAAGGTAATACAACTCTGTATAGGCTGCAGTAGCAATAAACCATGGATTACCAACTGAAGTTCCCACACCGTCGTATATATCTTCTGGATAGCGTCCAATGGATGTACCTAGATGCTCATCTAATTGCTGGTTCAATGGATAGATGGATTTAAAAGCCTCTTCCAGTGCATAAGCAGTAGCTAGTACTTTGTCCGAACTAGGGGTAAAAAAGCCATCATTTCTACTAGACAGAAGGTTGGCAGCAAGCAAGGTAGACACATCTAATCCCGATGATTTTTGTACACCGTTACGTACGTCTTGTGTTGACATGATGTAGTTTTGATGGGATGACCAAAATGATTCTATTCTCTTCTCAATTTGATATGCTGTTGATCTGTAGTTATGATCACTCTTGAATACTGTGCCACTATGAGAATCAAAGAAATCAACAGCATCTAGTAATGCGCGACGCATGACCATGAGTGTGTAGAAATGCACGCCCTCGATTTCTTCCCACAAGTCGAAGCATGGTTCTTGCCATATGCTTGCCACATAGTCCAAATCCTTGGTAATAGCAGGAATCAACGTATCTGTAATGTATATTGGATCATAGCCTTCCAATTGCCAACGATTAGCAATAGCAATAAATGCAATAGCTCTTTCGGCAGGTCCATCATTTTGTGGTCTACAGTACCCAAATTGAGTGTTACATCCTAGCAAGTGCTCTCCATTACTCACCTTCCCCATGAGCCAGTGTAGCCAGAGCCATCTGTGTTGAACTTTGGCTCGCCAAGACAATTGCAGACAGTTGGAGTCATCTGTGTACTGATTTGAAAATCCACGTAATCTGTTAATACTGTCAAATTTGTCTCTGGAATAGATGTAATGACACGAGCCACAAGAGCAGCATCTCTTGTCCAGGTATAGAAATAATCAGGCTTGTAAGTAGATAGGGAGGCAGCAAAAAACCCTTTGGACGTGCCTGGAGGGTTGATATTCGTCATAATTGTCTTGAAGCTTGTCGCTTGCTGCGTGGCAACCCACCTATCCAACGGCAAATCAGTGGCTACAACATCTGATCCCGTACTACTATAGTAGTATAGAAGACTTGTTGTCAATAGTATCAGCAAGTAGCTAGTAAACATGCGAAAGTTGCTTTTTATTGAATGAAATAGAGGGGAAAGGGAGGAAGAAGGTGAAAAACATGTAAATAGAAAAGCATTGGGAACTGCTGATGTCAATCTGATTCAACCAAGGTTTTCATCATCTGAGCGCATCATGAATTGAATGATCTCTCTCTCCCCCTTTTTTTTCTCCCAAAATACGCTTTGTATGATCATATGTCAATTTGTTTATCAAATTCGTAAGGACTTATTTTGACAATCCAATTGCATAAATCATCACTGCTTTTGTCGCTGTGGGATAACAACAGCCTCTACTTTTAATACTCCCCCTCCACCAATTCACTCTACCGGCAAAAAAAAAGCAAGTAGGAAAAAAGCCACTCGATAAACTTTAGGATTTTCAGAGACAATATTGCTTCACTTCTCTCTTTAATCACAAGAAACTAGACAATGGCTAAAGGCGGTAAGAAATCAACCAAGCCTGTACCTTCTTCCAACTGGAAGAAACTTTTGCCCGTAAGTTGAATAATTGCAATCAACATGAATTCACCCACTCATGCAATAAAGCCATCCTCAGACAATTGCTCCCACTGCTTCAGCAGAATCCAAAAAGAAGAGAAAGACAGATGAATTCGAGATTAGTCCCAACTTTAAATGTTTCAACAAGAGACAACGAGTAGAGTAAGTAAATATATTTAGAAAGAGAGAGAGAGAGAGAGAGATTAGAATGGCTAAAAGTGTCAAATAGGAAAATGAAGGCATCCTTTGAAGCTAAATCCCAAAAGACACAAACCTCCACAACAACCATCAGCACAACAAAAAGCTCGATACCCGATAAAGATGAATTATGGTTTGCTGAAGATGTCGACGAGGAAACTTTGAAGACTGTTTATACACCCAAGGAGACTCCACAAGAACAGAAATTGAAAAAGAAGAGCATAGTAGCAAAGATGAATGCCGTTTCTGGAGATGCCGCAAAATTGGGTAAATATGTTGCCATTGATTGTGAGATGGTGGGTGTTGGACCAGACGGCACAGATTCAGCCTTGGCCCGTGTGTCCATCGTCAATTACAATGGTGCTGTATTGCTGGATTGCTATGTGAAGCCTCAGGAAAAGGTGACGGATTACCGTACGCATGTCAGTGGCATCGAACCTCATCACTTGGAATCTGATGAGGCATTGACCTTCAAAGAAGCACAATACAAAACAGAGGCTATTATTCGCAACCGTATCTTGGTGGGACATGCTGTATACAATGATTTGCAAGCCCTCATTCTCTCTCATCCTTCATTGCTGATCCGTGATACATCTCGTTACAAACCTTTCCGTAAATTAGCCAAGGGTAGAACACCTGGTCTCAAAATGCTGGTCAAAGAAGTGCTGGGTATCACTATCCAGTCTGGAAGCCATTCATCTATAGAAGATGCTCGATTCACAATTCAGCTATACAAGAGTGTCAAAATGGAATGGGAAAAATCATTTGGTGCTCGTTCTGGACTGATTATCAAGAAGTTCTTGGCCAAAGAGAGCCAAATTGAAGAGAAGAAGAAGGCTAGAAAATCAGTGACAATTCAGGAACATGTAGATAGCGATGAGGAGGAAGAGGATAAGGAGGGTCATAGCGATAGTGATAGTGATGATGATTCGGATGAAGACGACTACTCTGATTGATCAATAAAGAGCGGTCTTTTTCCCTTTCCCTCCCTGAAATAAAACTTGGTATCACACAAAGCCATTGAAATTTTTTCAACTCTCTTCTTGTTTCATTTCACATTATAAGTTTTGGGTGAGCGAGGACAAAAATGAGTGCCTCAGTAGCTGATATCTACGAAGACTACTTGGAAAGTAAGATCTGTGGCCTATGTGTGCAAATGATGGCAAAAGCTCATCCATCATCTGATGTTAGGTCTGCAAAATTTACCATCAGAAATTGATCAAAACATGCACGAACTTCGTCGTATGGATGATGATTTACAGAGTAAGCAGGGTGTAACATGCATTAGAACACATATTCAATTGAAATCCAGAGTTTAGAGAGACCTATACAAAGCACAAGAGGTCGTACGTAAAGCAATTCAAGTCAAGTGCCAGTTCAACCAGTCTAGCGGCCACCCGATCACAGCTTGAAAAGGATTACAAAACTGCTATGCAAAAACAGGACCAGAAAATTGAACTTGCGATGCGAATGTATGATCTTGTGTCACGACATATCGAACGACTCGATACGCAGGTAGCAAAGAGTGGCCTCAGTGAATCAGATTGGATCAGTCATAGATCAAATAGAAAGGACCCCACTTGGCACGATGGAGGTGAGTAGCTGCAATGTAGCTTATTAGACAGAGACAGAGAGAGAGAGAGAGAGAGAGAGCGGATGATATTGATATATGAGCAACAAGGGCATCATCGAAAAAGAGCGTTAGGATCCATTGACGGTCCTACAAGAAAAAGGATCCACCATTCATCTCGCCCAATGCCATCAAACGGCAGCACAACAGCAGGTGATCCAGATATTGACAGTAATGAGCCCACTTATTGTTACTGCAAGCAAGTGTCATTTGGTGATATGATTGCCTGTGATGGTGATAACGTGAGATGCGGCAGTTTTATATGTAGAGATGACACTTTTCTAACATTTATTTTAGTGTGAACGAGAATGGTTTCACTACAACTGTGTTGGACTGGTGGAGCCTCCTGCTGGTAAATGGTTTTGCGAAGAGTGCAAAGTGGAGGAAGAATATCGAAACCAGTCGAGTGAGGATGATGGCGAAGACGATAGCACACCTTGATAAAACTACACAGAACGATACCCCCCAAAAAAAAACGCAATCTATTGCTATCATATATTATTTTTCTCGACGTTTATTAATTAATTTGGTAATAAATCATCTCCAAACCAATTTGCTCCCTCTGGGCGCCTACGCTCAATGCCAGGTACACGCTCACAGGTTTTGGCTATTCTACACAACAGAGCCTCATTCCACCAACGCGACATGAACTGCAATCCGATAGGCATCCCCTCGTTGAAACCAGCAGGCACAGACACAGCAGGGATGCCGGTCAAGTTGGCCAGCATAGCAAAGGTCATGGATCGAACTGTCATTTTAGCGTTAGACATGCCATAAGAGTGAGCCTTTTCGGGAATCTCAGGCGCAGTGATAGCAGTAGAAGGACACAGGATAAGGTCAATCTTCTGGTCCTCGAAAATGCGTCGCAAATGGTTCATCATGCGTCCGCGTACTTGTTGAGCACGAACATAATCTCTGCCCTCCAAAGCGCTGGCGGTGCCTGCCATCAAACGCGTGTGAGGTAGAAAGTTGCGATGATTTAGTTCATGACGAGAAGCAAAATTGAGCATCTCGCTGCAAATGGTGATAGTATGAGCTAGGTATAGATGAAATTAGTGGCGAATACACGCAAACACATAGCGAGCTTACCTGTAGCCGTAAGGTCAAGATCAGGAATCTCAATTTCAACAATGCGGGCTCCTAGTTGCTGTAAGTAATTCTGGAAGAAATCAAGCTTCTCCAGAATAGCAGAATCTACCATACCGCGTGCCCATTCAGGATAGACAGCAATTGTGAGATCAGAAAGATCGAATATTTGGTCGTAGTCCTTGAGTGACACTGGTGGCTGCAACAACGTGGTAGGATCCTTCGTGTCAGGGCCCGCAATGATAGCATAAGTCAAAGCCATGTCATCTGCTGTAGCAGCTAGAGGACCATAACTCCCCAGGCTAGGATCAACGGTAGCGCCGCCTTTTGCTGATACGCGAGCATACGTTGTCTTGAGGCCGTACAGACCACAAAAGGTAGATGGGATTCTCACAGATCCTCCACCGTCAGCGCCAATACTGACAGGGAACAGACCACCAGCAACACAGCCACCACACCCACCACTGGAGCCACCGCATGAATGCAAGGTACCGTAAGGATTCTTGGGCATACCTGTATTCGGATTCACCGAGAAGGTATCCCACCCCAGCTCATTCATAACAGTAGATCCTACAATGATGGCACCTGCCTGTCTCAGCTTGCCTACCAGAGTCGCATCTTCCACGGCTGGTTGACCACTATTGATAAAGTTCGTACCTACTTTGGTCTCCAAGCCCTGAATATCCATCTCCTCCTTGATAGAGACAAAGACACCGTCCAATTGACTGAGTGGATGTTGCTGCTTGTATCGCTCTGTAGATGCCTCTGCTTGCTGGACAATGTCTTGCACGGAGAACCGCATCCAATTCATGCTTCTACTCTTTTTCAATGCCGTTAGCATCTTGTGAGCTACCTCGGTTGGTGTCGTCTTGAACTGCGTGTAGGCTTCATGATAATCCCAGAAAGAGAGAAAGGGCGATACACTCTTGAGCTCCGCATCCAATTTAGGTATATCCTTAATATAGTGAAAATCCATGTTAGGTCAGCATAAATACGTTGCCAGTGTGAGAATTTTTAAAACTGCTACTTTACTTGGTCAAACTTGGCATCCTTTGGCGATGAGATGTATTCAAATGGAATGGGCAATGTGATGGGATGGTCCTCAATGTCGTTGCGTTCTCTCAATTTGAACAAGAGTGCGTCAGAAGCTACTTTCAGCTTGACAAATGGAATGTAGTCAATGGCATTGGCTGCCAATAAGAGAGGCAGTCCGTACATCTCGGGTGCTTCGAATGCCTGTGGAGGAGCAGCAGGTTGCTCTGAAGCGAGTGGTGTTGTCTGCTACAGTCATTCGATTGGATAAGCATGCTCAATAAACGTACTGGCAGTATACTTACATTGGCCTGCTCCATGGTGTCTGCTTGTTTGTTCGTATTCATGAGAAATGTAAAAAGGAAGAAGATAGAGACAAAGTGAATTTAGCTTGAAAAATTTAGGTTTCATTACAACAGAGGTTTCTGTTCAATAATCAAAAATAGCCGACTGTGTTGCAAATAATTTGAACATCGATGCAACCTTATTCATGCCTGATTCAGGATTAAGGTACGAACACCCGAGTCAAACTTGAGGGCGTATAAGTTGTATATCAGGAAGTTGCCTCTTGTAACCAGAGTAACTGTTGGTAGCTAGCACTTGAATGGTAGACATGCCAGTCTTGGAATCAAATGCAATCCGTATTGCTGTTCAACAATCACCCTGATGAGTCATCGCAAGGCAACAAGAGGGCTCTTCTCTAGAGAGAGCAAGCAAATGAATGAGGTATTTAAGGGGCATTCCCGGTCTATTTCAATACAAAGGCCTGAGTCCATCTAGGGGCTCAATATCAGGTTGCTGGAATGGAGTTACACAGCCTGAATAGAATAGCTCAAGCTGCTTCATGAAGCTCAAAATACCGTTTTCAGTGATTTCACTCATTTTTCATACAGGGCTTGTCTTTCAAGCGCAACCAGCACCCCATATCTCTCGAATCCAGAAAACAAACGTCTACACTGATCAGCCATCATGTCTGTTTTTTTTTTGGTTCCATCCCAAACTTGAGTAAACACCTTAGGTGCGTCACTCAAATCAAGATACAAAGTCCTATGAATCCTCCTGTACATCACCAAAACCTGCCCTTGATTCGCTGCAAATGTCAAGCGAGCCTCTCATTCAAACCATCACACGAGCTCGATCTCATCCTGACAAGGTTTCTTTATTCATTGAAATCCAAAGTTAACTGGCTCTCAACTTCTGGTATAGATGCGAGGTATCCGATGTGTGTTGGTTGTGGCGGCAGTGATAGTTTCCGTTGTCTAGGTTGCGCTGGAGGCGGTGATGGTTCCTGCTCCTGGAATGAGATGTTGTTAGTGAGAGGTGCATTTCCGTATGACCATCTCTTGATACTAGAATGAGTGCTCGTTGGATTCACATAGAGTGCGGTTTCTATACACTGTGTCAGTAGGTCCTGCTGCTGCTGTTGTTGCTGTTGATCCAGCACTATATTGCTATGGCTCATTGGTTTGGATGTGGATCGCCAATGACGTAGACTAGAGAATCGCCTGATAGAACCATGCCGATAACCTATTATTGAAGACGAGGTAGACGACGATGTTGAATTGGAGTCTGCTGATTTGATGCTATTGTCGTTCTGCGTCCTTTGTTGGTGTTTCTTGATCTTGAACAGTCGGTCAAACAACTGCATATTTTCTGCGAGAAGAGATGAAGAAGAGGAAAAAAAAAAAAGAACCAACAGAGCAGGACTTGAATAAAAGGTGTCAATAAAGATGCAGGAGAAATACATTTAGTTTGAAAAAAAAAACAAGCCACGCAGCATGTTAGCCCCTTGCCCGCACGTCAATGCCATAGTATCTCCCTTTGCATTTCATGCGGTGGCTACATAATGCGCAGAGCATGGCCCGATGCCATCTGTTGCTTCTCGGGCGCACGTGTCTCTTGGTGTTGGAAATGCACTGGATTTGAGCCGTTTACAGTAGTTTGGTAGAGCCGGAACGAGGGCATTGGTGGTTGTCAAGTGAAAAGAAAAGCTTAGTAATGACAGTGGCCTTTGTCAAATGTCGCTTCAAGATGCTCGGGGCAAATGTTGCGCTAACGTGCGGCATATGCAGAGCAGACATTCATTTCCCAAAAATGTGCGTTCATAGGTATCGCAATTCAACATTGCCAATGTGATTTTGTTTACCAAAGAGAAACAAGGTAGATGGCAAATGCTTGTCTTTTGAATCAAATGATGGCATGCGTCATCAATGATCCAAGGAATGGAACAGCTTACTCTTAAACTACATTTGTAATCTGCCAATGATTTGACCGTATTTGCTTGGATATTTAATAATCTGGGGGAGAGAAAGAGAGAGAGAGAGCTTTCAAACTTGCTTTTTGCTTCAATACAACCTTTTTTAACTCATCATGAATTCTCTGCGTACTGCCGCTATTAGACCTGCTAAACAATGTAAGCGGATAAACGCATGTGATGATTGCATGTCATGGCGGCTAATCTACAGATGGACAGTTGCTCGCTCTTTCCATGCTGCTCAACCTCGTTTGACAGGCCAAACTGTTGAAGCAGACTCTGCTACCTTTGCAAAGCTTGTCACCTCAGCCGACCATCCTGTCATTGTAGACTTTTATGCCGAGTATGCTGATTACTGTGAAGGATGATTTGAAAAACCAACAGACTAACCCTGATGTATAGCTGGTGTGGTCCTTGTAAGATGTTGGGTCCTTTATTGACCAAATCTGTCGCTGCTAATCCCAAGGTCACTTTGGTCAAGGTCAATGTGGACAATAACCAAGACATTGCTTCCCAATTCAAGGTGGCTGCTTTGCCCACTGTCTCTGCCTTCAAAGATGGCAAGGTGGTTGATTCATTTGTGGGCATGCGTAACGCTGCTATGATCGACCAATTCGTCAAGAAACATGCTGATCTTGCTTAGGCACTTGCCATGCATGCCTGCTTGTTAAGATAATAAAATACACCTTGAGTTGTGGTGATTTTACATGTCAATCCATGCGTTAAGTAGCAATGAGTGATGGCATTCAATAGCCGCAGAGGACGCGATAAATTTTTCCTGTTGTTTGACGGGCCCATTTTACACCTTTTTTTTTTCTTTCTTCTTTATACTACAATCCACACATCATGTCCAATATATTCAAGCAATTGCTTCAGGACGCCAAAGAGCTTCCCTCACTGTCATCCAAATACGATTCTCCCAAGCTGCATCACAATCTCAATCAGCTGGATAAAGAAACCAGCTTGATCACTGCAAAGATTGACACTGCCTCCAAGGACAATCATGCCTTAGGGTAAACTACAACATCTTGTCGTCATGATCCATCGCTAATCCACATGATAGGCACTATTTCCTAGCTCAAGGTGGGGCCAACACCCATAAGAATAGCCAGTTTTTGGAGAAAGTGGATACCAAGTTCACCTTCCAGCCCACTCAGATGATCAAGGAGACCAATGTTGAGGTAAGGCGCTTTATCTGCGGATGGCAAATCAACTCGATATCTCGCTGACAATGACGAGATAGGCTCACTTGAATCAAGTACAAGAGACGTACATCAAAGATACCATCGACGAGTCCAACCGTAAAACTCGCCAGACCGTCTCCAATGCAATGATTGACAAGAGAAATATGTACTGGCGTTCCAAGAAAAACATCATCTTGGAAGAATGGGATCTCGAAGAGAACAACAAGACATTTGGTTACTTGGGCACAAAGGATGACACCAAGGTACACAATCAGTTTGATTCGTTGAAAGACAGTCTGTTGACAGGAGTGGCATTTCTATAGGCTACCATTGCGTTCAAGGATCAAAAGAAGCATTTCTCGATGGCTGTTACTGACATCAACAATCAACGTATCATGGAGTCGCCCGTACCTATTGTCAAAACCTTTGCCAATCTGTCACAATCAGCTACATGTACAAACAGTCAGAAATCATCCATGAATGTGTCATGGGACATTATTTCTCATTTGACAGGCGAGAGCACCGATCGTATCTTTGGAGCTTACTTGTTCAGCAACCCTGATCAGATCAGAATAGCCAGTATGAAGTTGCGTTTGATCAAGTCAGCACGATCCTATCTGGAGCATCAGTAACTATATGCATGGATAGCATTGGAGGTCAATGATTAATCTTTGTATATACATAGATTCAGATCAGTGGTAAATGAGACCCTCAGAGAGAACGCTGCTGCTGCCAATGTAGGCGGCTCCTTGTCAGAGAAACACCGCTTGAATGCATACATGAAATTCCAGTACAAGGACCGAGGCAGCTCATGGAACCCCACGTTTGAAGTATACGATGACATGCCCATCTGGTTGTTCACTTATCTCTTGGTGCGCTGTGGCTACTACAATTTGGCATTAAATTATGTGGAGGAAAAGACTCAAGACTTTAGTGGTGCTCCAGAATTTCACAAGGCGTTCAAAGAATTCTGCACTGATGCTGATTTCAAGTAAGTGCACATAAACTTGTGGCTGCGTGTGTGAAACCGTATTGATTTGATGTGCTTTATCAGCATTTCTGAACAAAGTAGAATCCAAGTGGAACGCCAATACCAAACCATGAAATACAGCGACAGAGCCCCTGATCCTTTCAAGGTGTTGTTATACAAGATTATTGGCCGTTGTGAGCTGCAAAGCAAGAGCGAGGATACAATTCACATTCTGGAAGACGCTTTGTGGCTGCAACTCATGCTTATTCGAGAAACACCCGAGGCACTGAGATCAGACCGTGCAGAGTACCGTCTCGCAGACCTACAGCAGATGGTCAACCAAGCGAACCACTCTGAATATGACAAGAATGGTACAAATCCTTGGACTTATTTCAACATGCTTCTCTTGTCTTTGCAGTTTGAAAAGGTGAGTGCACACTGCACGAGTTGGATGAGAGTTATGATGTTGACTAGTAGCTTATAGGCAATCAACTATCTGTACAAATTCGAGCGTTGGAGAGTACAAGCTGTCCATATTGCTATTGTCTTTGTTTATTATGGACTTGTTTGCGTGATACCGCAGCCAGGCAACATCTATGACATTGGTAAGTTTTGCAAAAAAAAAAAGCCAAAGGGTTGATCGCAAGTAATATTGACAATCTCGCTTCCTAGTGTCCCATGCGGATGGCACTCCCTGTCTCAACCTAATTGGTATGATCACCCAGTACATACAAATTGCTCTCGATAATTGTCGTGAGGCCCTCCAATATCTGTTCCTGTTGACCCTATATCCTGATCAAGCCATGTATGCCTCTATCTACGATATGGTGGTGGAGCAAATCGTGCGCTGCCCAGACTTCAAGGAAATCTTGGGAAACAAGGTGACATGTCGTGCTGGTTTGATTGACAAGTACAAGCCTTTGTTGGGTTTCCGTGCTCACAACATGAAGACCTATGAAGATCGCATTGCCACTCCCGTTGCGGAGGCATTTCAAAGCCGAGGTAGATACAAGGATGCGGTGTATGTGTTGGAGACACTGGGCAAATACGAGCAAGTCTTTGGTGTATTGAATCAAGAGACCTACAGAGCTGTCAACAGATACAACACTTCAGGTCAGAAAGATGCATTGATTCCTGCCATGCAAGATATCATTGACTTTTGTAGCCGTATCAAGATGAGCTATGACAAGTCTCCAGTTCCCATCTACGATTCGAGTAATCTCGCCACCTTTAACATGTTGCTTACATTTATCAAAGCGACGATTGAAAATCACTATGGCCGTACCCAGAATGCCGTTGAGCTCATCCAGCAAACTGACCTTCTCCCTCGATCACCACAATTCAGCATAGTTCAGCGATATGTACAGCAGCTCATGTTACAACAAGACTACGTTCGAAATCTGCTACCCTACATGATTGTGATTGCACTGAATGACAAGTCTCAAAGCAGATCCATTTCATACTTTCTGACATTTAGCAAGCTCCAAATGTCAGTTAATATTCATCAGCAAATTGACCAGTAAGTAACTTTGCTAGACAGAGAATGCCAGCATGTACTAACGCTATTGTATTAGAAAACTTATGCAATTTAATATTTAAATGAATAAATAGTATGATGCTTGACGTTTTTGTTTATCTGGCAGATCACTTATTGCCATCTTCCCACGGGTAGGATCCAACTCAGATTTCAATGTTGGTCTCAGTGAGGTTGAGTCTTGGAGATCCGTTGAATACTGCTGTGATTAAGAGATACCATACAAAAAGCAAAATCCCACTGGCTTGCTGTTATGATAGAGAGTGTATTTTACATGACGGATATATTCTATACGTTTCAGCAAAGCAAATGCTTGAATGATCCCACTATGCTCGACTTTTTTTTTTTTTATCGACTGAGAACATGTTCTATATTTACACATCGATCGGAAGACTATTTATCCAATCTAAAAACGTTGTATTAGAGATTTCATATGATAGGCCAAGCTAATTGACTACATGTAAACCGGGAATGGCCGTTGTATTGTTTCGAAAGAAGCTTGTATATATATACGGGAAGCCATGAAAATTACAAACAGGTAGCCTTCTTTCTTTCTTTTCTTCTCATTTCAGCTACAAAATGTCTCATTTCATTCAATACAACCATAGTTCCAATCATATGCCCTGCATGAGAGAACCTGTTCATCATACAGACTCCATCTACAGCAATTGCTCATCAACAAGCACTCTGTCAAATCATTTGGATGCCTCCTCAAATCACAAAACGGATACGCTGAAATGGTTCTTCAAGGCTGTCTCTGCAGTTGATAATTCCTACAAAGCAACTACTGAAAATCTCAATAAGCTAGTGTCGTTTTATCTCTAACAAGATCACACCATACATCTATACCAAACAGCCAACCCCCTGCGCTCCATCATCTTTTGCCGTCTTTTTTTGTCCAGAACCTTTTCTTCTAGTTTTTTTCTGCATGGATTGTTGTATTATTTTTAGCACCTTAGCATATTCTCATCTTATTCATTTCATACATACACACTAACACCTAATAAAGCTGTAGTACAAACAGTCATTTTTTATGAGGTTATTCATGTACAACTGTTCTATTGAATAATAGATCTCTTTTTTTTTTTTATCTCTTTTCCATTTTATTCTATATGATGAAACTAGTCAACATACTGTTACTTTGTACTAGCATCTCTTTAGTGCAAGCTGTTCTTCCAACACCACGATACAATGGAGGTAAACGTTGATGTAGCCTTCTTCTCAAGATCACATCCCTCTAACACACGAGCAGGTTGTGCAGTAATAAATCAACATATTTACTGCTATGGTGGCACTGCAAATCGAGTGCCTACCTCAGATCATTATTCACTAGATCTAACAAGAGACTTTAGCGTAGCAAACTCGATTGAGTCCTGGAATAATGTCGTGCCTGTTGGTGGTTTCACCGTTGAGCCCAATAGCTTATTTTCGATCGTACCTTTAAATGATAGTTATTTGATCCATGGTGGATTGGGATATGGTTCCTCTACTCAGCATTTGAAGAACACAACTGTCATCTACCATGCAAGCAACAACTCTTGGAGCGCACTGCAAGCTCAAAATCAAACACTGATGATGCCAAGGTAAACAAGTTTTTTTTTTTTTTTTTTTTTTTTTTTTTTTGTGTACGTCAGAGTTGATTTAGAAAAATCTAACTTTGTTGTGTATTTATAGTCGCGAGGAAACTTGTACGCTTGATCCGTCATATCGGATGTGGACTTGGGGCGGCATCAGGTAAATTGGTTCATTTAGTATTATTTGACTGGTATTCACATGATGGATTCTTGTAGTGACAACACAACCGCCATCAACATCAACAAGACAACCTATCACGACGAATTTCAAGTATTGGATTTGAAGGTAAAATGTACATCTAAAAGGTAGAAAATGTAATATTCATCTTTTTCTGAAATCTGCTCATGAACATGCAGGCACTAGCTTGGTCTTTCCCAGATAATGATACAAAAACGTCATTTCAACACACTAGTGTTCCTAATCCGCGCTTAGCACACACTGCAACACTGAGTGCTTCAGGCCAATCTATTTATTATATCGGTGGTTTGGAAATGAATGACAGTGGCACTAGCTTGTCTGGTGCTCCTATGAATGAAATTCTCGAATACAACATTACGAGTGGTAATTGGACAACACACACATCTCCTAAGAATACGACGATTCCAGCACCAAGAAGACTTCACACTGCGACACTGAGTAAATGTTGTATATGCAAACTGCTTACCGGATCTACTGACATTGTGCTTGTATATATACATATAGTTCCCAACTCTGACCTTATTTTTGTATACGGCGGATCGGTAACAGGTAAAGATTCAACAAGAAAACATGGCGATTTTGACAGCTTTACTTATACACATTGGCATTAGATGCTTCCAATGCGGTTGCCGACTACAGCTACCTATTAAACACAACATCCTTCATTTGGACGCCTATCAACATTGCAAACGCAAATCTCGGAGCTGGGCCACGTTTTGGCCATTCAGGTAGGCAAACCAAGATCTGTTATCAACAGCTTGATATTGATGCTTAGGATAGCTGTCCTACACAATGATCGATCTCTATTCATCATTTTCGGAGCAGATGATCTTGGCATATTGAGAAATGATTTCGCTGTCATCGACGTTGGTCATTATCAATGGGTTTCCGATTTCAAATCAAATGGCAATTATGAAAGCGCTATTACAGCTACTCCCTCATCGTCTGCAAGCCCAACTGCTTCAACATCCATCATCAACACAAACTCAAACAGCGAGAAATCATCCAGCACACAAACCAACGAGTTTCCATTTATATCATTGAATTACATGAAGACTGTATATTTGATGATTGGTACTATGATCTTATTCACATTTTTATAGGATCTAATATCATTATCTAATCGATAGCCACATGAACAGTTCACTTAAAACATATATATATATATTACATGTCTATAAAGACGCCGCCTATTGCCTTAATAAACCTAATCATTATATACTACGAATGTATCTACGCTTCGGATGACTCTCTTCTTTCGCTTCGGTGAGAACCAACCTGCGCAGCGGCAACTCGCGCTACCGATTGCCCTTGCGTACCTTATCAGGATACTGCTGCTTTCATTTAAGCCCGCCCCTCCCCCTACTTACACACGAAACCCCTTCATATTATCTGTGGATCTGAGTCTTAGGTGATGCTCTACATCCATATATACGTAGCTACTTTATATACGGACAGGCAGCATACTGGTATAAAGCTTTTCTCATCAATAGTGTGCCCTATACAGCAAAATTTGGGTGCATTTGAGCTGCGTTTTCTCGTGTTAGAAGCCGTTTTAGACCGTCAGGATAGCACCAAACAATTGCTCCCATCTGGTAGCTACTTACTGACACCTATACTCAACTTTTTGGAGACCAAAAAAACATGGCCAAAAATCGACCAAAAAGCATGAGGTACCCCTCATGGTTTTCATCGAAAATCAAACGATCACGTTTTTGACCTCCAAAATGAAGACTTCTACTATGGTATACATTGAATCAAAATGTTTCTATCGATCTAACATAATACCTGAAATTATCTTTTTGAGATTTAATATGTAAAATCGCAACTTTTTGGCTAAAAACCTCTTTTCATATTTTTATAGATTACTCAATACGTTTATCCAAAACATCTACCTTACTTGGTGCCAGTGGATGCGCCTCGAAAAGCGCTCCAAGAAAACTTAAGGAAGCATAGGATGATCATCATATTTTACTTAGTCGAATCTGCAAAAATAGTTTAATCGAGTCAAAAATTCCAATCTTGAACAGACTAAGAGTCTGAGTTAGAATTATCTTTTGGCTGGTGGGCCGGCTGGCAAACTCAATGCCCTGTAATCATGAAGGGAAACAGTAATAGATGCTTTTGAAGTTTATGGAAAGTAGGCGGCAAATTACATTGTACTATCTTTAGCCATGCTATTTTCCTTTGAAGTCTTATATTTAACAGCGCTAACCCACCAAAATACTTGTAAGATCAACTTCTTTTCTTTCTGAGGCTTTGAAAGTATCTAGGAACCACAAATTTATTATGCTATGATTTGTTGCGTGTGCACATCACATTTGTATCGCTACTGTATCAATGAAACTATGAATAAAGTGGTTCACTGTGGCATATACAAATTAAAGTCACACATTATCTTATATAAGCGAACAGGCGGGAAGAATAGAAATGGATGCCATCAAAGCAATCAATTACTCAGGGCAGACACCAGGCATATAGATTGCATGCGCTTTGTTTGGCTGCAGCTGTGATCCCAGGGTGTTTTCATTTATACTGGGAGATCCAAGTAAATGCGGGAATTTGTCCCAATAGAAATTGCACATTACTTGACACGCTGGTAAGCGATGCTGTCAGCATCAGTGTTAGCATTTATGACATTGGACAGCCATGTATGATATACACTACAGTGCTTACAAGAATTTCTTTCCATAATTTCAATTGCTATAAATGATGATTTAAAGGCTTTTACAGATCAACTTGTATGTAATACGGCTAAAATAGGATTGTCTCTACTGTATATTCATTCTTTGGAACCAATGTCAAAAAGCCACATAGATTTTGCCCTCATAATGAAAAAAAAAAAGGATTACGCTTTGGGGGTGCTTTTTATCAGCATGTCAATGCTATAGCTGTTATGGTTTTAGAATTTACAATGTGTCGATTTAATATGTCAAAATTCATCCAGATACAGTTCATTTATTTTTTTTTTATCTCGTAATCTTCCCCAGATCAACGTCTGATAAGAAAGATAATGGCTAGACAAGACTGAATTTATAGATCAGCATTCAATAAGCTAAATTGAGCGGGTTTCATTTCATTATACAATGTAGTTTATGGATGTGTCAGTCGATTACAGCAGCCAAAATGAAGACATGGTGACACTAAACTCATGTTTTCTAATTCGTGTCGAATGATTTACATATATGGCCTCCTGTGCTACATTGAGATAACATCTTTTTCAAATGTGTCAATAGGAATTCAGGCTGTCCTAATGATCGGGTGTCGACGTATAGATGTCAAGATGATTGATTTGGGTCACGATACGTTTCTATCACTACTTGGATCGCAGCACGTGTATTACGCAGTAAATAATTGGATCAATTCACATCGAGATCCTTAGAGTATAGAGAAGAAAATTCAACAATTATATATGGACAAATCGTCTATTTTCAAGACCAGTTGGTGAACAATCAACATGAACGAGATTATAGTATAGTTATGGTTTTGGATATGAATCTAATGACAGGATGACTCCTCATACCGTCTAAATCCTTCTTTTGATGGCGCCAATTTATTTTTAGCCGCTTTGACACCAAAATCCAGTGCAGTAAAAACTCGCAAATGATAGAGCAGAAAAGTCATACCACTTTTTGTTACGCATGTCCAAATGCGCCTGTTTGTTTGACGCAATCAAACCCAATCTATTCGCTTTGTCTATCTAACAAATCCTTTCAGTTTGTCAGGTAATAGCTCTATATTTTAGATGAAATCTCCAAAATGCGACCAGTTTGCACACGCCTGAATGTGAAATGAAATCTCTTAAAGCAAGGGATTTGAAGCAATTTTTTGACGGATCTGGTTTGGATACTATAATTATTGGATGAGATTCAGTCTCTCTCCTTTCGTTTGTAATGCTCTGCGCACATTTTGAAAGTACATCTTGTTCCCCATTTCCGATAACATCCATTTCAATAGGAGTCTTTTGGCACGTTTCTTCATTCCAATGTCTCAAAGAATATCTGTTTTATCGTCCTGTTTTTTTAGGGAGGTGCTTTAGTATGCAGTGATAGTTGAAAATACATCCGGAAAGCAAAAATCTTTTATCATTCAAAATCAAGAAGGGTAAGGTTGGATTGAATGACATAAAGGTTTTGTAACAGAGCTTCATTGTCGTACACATCATGCGTATGTGTTGTGTTTGTGTCTGACTATTAAAATAAACCACATTATCTATGGTAAATAGCATGGAATCCCATCTTAAATGGATCATTGCAGGCATTTCTGATCTGTCTAAAGTCTACAAGATGGAAGGATTTTGTTTCCATGGCTTCTATCACAGAAAGAAATTAAAGGTGATCACTATCGTAAATCTTGAGCGGGTGCGCAATCAGATTAACATCATTATTCTCGGACTTCTTGCTTGTCAACAGACCCTTTTTCGGTCAATGAATATGATAAAATCAATGTCTTTGAGTTATTATCAATAAGAAACATAGCGAAAACAAATAGTCATCTTGATGTCTGCCTTTCATCATTGATTCGACATGTTGCAGCTTATCCATTACTGCCAGGCACCGAAAGCTCCTGAAGTTTATTATGATGGCGATGATGTTTGACCATAACGTTCGTGTGTACATGAAATCTTTTGTAAGACATCCATGTTTCATTTATACACAAGAGAAAAAAAAAACAGACTAAAGTTTAATAGATAAAAAAGATTACCTTAATGATTGAACAAGCGCATTGGTCGGGCACGGTCGTAGGCATTTGTGCTGGATGGCCCTTTGCCCTAGTTTTTTTACACGGTAAAAAAAAAAAAAAAATTATGAGACACATCAACTGTCGCCGGTTCGATTTTGATGATACGATAATCATCACCACATTATTACTTTTATCCTAATGAAAAAAAAAAAAAAGATATAAAAGAAGCAAGATTCATCCCAACAATCATTTCTTCTCATCAAGTTTTTTAAACTATTAAATCTAAAAATGCCTTCTATCACCATTGGTCAACATCTTATCAACCGTCTCAAGGAAATCAACATTGATGTTGTTTTCGGTGTTCCCGGTGATTTCAACATGGTAAGTTTATGCAAAATGTCCCTTTCATGGTACGTTGTAACTCACATTATACCGTTTATCATAGCCTTTGTTGGATATCATTGAAGATGATAAGGATATGACCTGGGGTAACAATGCTAACGAATTGAACGCTTCTTATGCTGCCGATGGTTATGCTCGTATTCGTGGTGCTGGTGCCATTGTCACCACTTTCGGTGTCGGTGAACTTTCCGCTGTTAACGGTCTTGCTGGCTCTTACTCTGAGATGCTTCCCGTTATCCACATTGCTGGTACTCCTTCCACCAAGTCTCAAGCTGCTGGTGCTATGCTCCATCACTCTCTCGGTGATGGTAACTTTGACGTTTTCTACAACATGTCTTCCATGATCTCTTGTGCCTCTACTCATTTGAAGAAGCAAAACGCCATTGCTGAGATTGATCGTGTCATCACTCAAGCCGTTCTCTCCAAGCGTACTGGTTACATTGGTCTCCCTATCGATCTCATCCACTACGAGGTTGAGGTTCCCGAGATTGCTCCTCTTGTTGTCTCTCTCCCCAAGAATCCTGAACAAACTCAAGAAATTGCCCTCAAGGTTGTCTCTGAGGCTATTTCCAAGGCTTCTCACCCCGTCATTGTTGTTGATGGTTGTGTTCTCCGTCACCACATTGAAAAGGATGTTGAGGCTTTCGTCAAGCGCTCTGGTTTCCCCACCTACGTTGCACCTATGGGTAAGGGTGCTGTTGATGAGTCTCTCCCTGAATACCGTGGTTGTTACTCTGGTAACATCACTCTTGAGTCCATTGATGAAGAAATCAAGAAGGCCGATTTGATCATTGAGATTGGTTCCATCAAGTCTGATTTCAACACTGGTAACTTCTCTTACTCTCTTGACCGTACCAAGACCATCACTCTCCACTCTTTCGCCACCATCGTTTTCTGTGCCGAATACCAAAAGGTCTCCATGGTTGAATTCCTTCCTCTCTTGACCGCCTCTCTCCCCAAGGAACCTCGTACCTTCAACCTCGGTCCCCGTGGTAAGCCTCTTCCTATCGAAGCCGGTACTGAGATCACCCACAACTACCTCTGGAACAAGGTTCCCGAATACATTGATGAGAACGCTATCATCTGTGGTGAAACTGGTACTTCTGAATTTGCTTGTTTGAACTTGGATGCTCCCAAGGGCGCTACCTTCATAACTCAATTCCTCTGGGGTTCCATTGGTTTCTCTGTTGGTGCCGCTGTTGGTGCTGCTATTGCCAACCGTCAACGTCGTGTCTACCTCTTCGTTGGTGATGGTTCCTTCCAATTGACTGCTCAAGAACTTTCTGTCATGCTTCACCACGGTCTCACTCCCGTCATCATCCTCTTGAACAACGACGGTTACTGTATTGAGAAGCTCATTCACGGTCCCGATAGAGATTACAACAACTTCCAAATGTGGCAATACAGCAAGACCCTCGATTACTTCGGTGCTCATCTCGAGCGTAATGCTGGTTGTTCCAAGGTTGGTTTCGAAGGTAAGGTCGCTACTCGTGACGAATTCGAAGCTGCTATGAAGGATATTCAAGCCCAACCCGACAAGATGCACTTCATCGAAGTCATCATGCCTCGTTTCGATGCTCCTCGTGAACTTAAGCTTCTCGTCGCTACCTCCGAGAACCGTTAAATCTATGATGGATTACCTCTTCATTTATATACACATTAATTCATGCATTTCAATTTCTCATTTCCAATAAATACATTTCAATTTTACTAGAAACAAAACATTCTATGTTTACGTTAATTATTACCATGCTTACAATTAAGTATTTTATCTACAAGATTCAATTGAGGCAGGAAGCCATATACATTTTAGTGCCTCTCGTAACTTTACAATACACGCGGGAATCCATTGGAAACAATTTTTAATTGTGGATCTGTCTCTTCTCGAATGCTTTGCATATGTATCAATGGAAGTAGCTCATATACAGGTGGACAACGTACTTGCATTACCTCCTACTATTCAAGGATTTTTGCAAATCACAGCAAAATCTGGTCATATTCAAGCTTGTTTTCTCGTGTTAGAAGCTGTTTTAGACCACCAGAGTAACACCAAACAGTTTCTCTCATCCAACAGTTACTTCTTGATACCTTTGTTCAACTTTTTTCAGATCATCGAAAATTGACCAAAAACACATGAGGGAATACTTCATGATTTTTACCAAACATCAAACAATCGCGTTTTTGACCTCCAAAATGAAGACTTCTACTATGGTATATATTGAATCAAAATGTTTCTATCGATCCAACGTAGCCTCTGAAATCAATTTTGTAAGACTCTGATATGTAAAATTTGTACATTTTGGCCGGAATAGCTATTTCTTATCTTTGAAGATTGCTCAAAAAATGTGTTCAAAAAAACCCTTATAACTAGCACCATTGGATGCGCCTTGAAAGGTACTTCAAGAATGCATCAGAAAGTATGGAATGATTATGACAACGTATATAGTCTAACTTTACAAAATAGATTGCCTAAATCGATTGAAGACAAAAAATTGCCATTTCGAGGGAGAAAAAAAAAATCTGGGCTTTAAATAATTATGACAGAAGAAATGGATGCCTCTCTTATAACATGATGATAAATGATGCTTCTTTAAATAATATAAAGAAAATAACGAATCGTATCGAATAGTGGCTTTGCCTGACTACCTTTTGAGCAATACCAGGTATATATTTTGATGGATTTCAATAGTTACTTTATTCACTCTTCTATTCATTCAAGAAGCCATCTCCAGACCTTCCGCATGTTCTCTGTTTGTCTATGGGCTGCATGCTCATGTGTATTCTTATCTGGTATGGCACAAGTGCCTTATATGCTTCAAGCTCTTTGCTCATTGTTGTCTCATAGGATTGTCATTTTACACGCTCTCTTTGGCTCCATGAATGCTGGAACATGTCTCTGTTCTCTTGAACCATACTTGTACTTACTGATGGAGGTAATGATGCTTCCATCTTACTCTAATCTTCTACTTGCTTTGTTGTAGTCAAAGCTTATTCACTGGATGTCCAATGGTCTATTAAATAGTGTCTGGCATCCTCATTTCCCACAGAGGTTTTCCCTGGTGTTTCTTTTTTTTTTTTTAAAAAAAACACAATCAGTGGTGTTCACCATGGTCCTCAAGCGGCTAGACACTCCTTAGATTATGGATTCATTATTGGATTGATCCCACGTTTCTGCAAACGACCTGCGGAGAGGTATTCAGGTACGTAATTAGTACTTTGCTATTGACTAAAAGTTGCTCCTTCTTCTTTTTATCAAACAAATCTTCTCTGTATTTGTCTGCTTGGCTTTTCAATATCAACAATTTCAAATTGCATTTTTACAGATTAAAATGAATAAACTTTATTAATGATATTTTACAAAAAGTTCAACCCAATACCCAGTTGCAGTCCTCTCTTGATTTGGTCACCTCTGGCAGCTGTCAAGGGAACACAATAATTCAACTCGATACGAGCAATGCTATGACGGTAGATCAAACCAAGACCAGCCGAGATGCTAGGTGATTGTGTCAAAGCTTGCTTTGTATCTTGCAGTGAGGTGCCTGATTTCCATGGAATATTGGTTCCTGCATTCACAAAGGCGTGTGCTCTCAAAGCCTTGGTCTCTAATTTAGGCAGAGGAGCAATGGCACTGACACCTGCAGCCCAATACATATTGCCGCCCAAAGCATCCTTGTAGTCTCTAGGGCCAATGCCTGCGTTTCTAAAGCCACGAACAGAAAGTGGACCACCCAGCAAGAAACGATCAGATACAGTGGACGCCTTGTCAATCTCACTCAGGTCTGCCAAACAACCAGCTCTGAAGGTGGTGCTGATGACAAGGCCAGGATGCACGCCCAAAAACTCCTTGTTTTCCTTATCCAAAATGATGTGTCCTCCTCCAAACTGCTTGCAGTACTGAGACTCGAGCTCGGTCTTAAAAAAGTGAGCATTACCTACACCAAATAAACCAGACAACTCTTGTGCAATGCGAACATAATGACCGTTTGAGGGTAATAAGATATCATCACGACGCTCACGTACAAAGACATGGTTGATGGAGGATTTGAGGGAATCGCCTACTTGTTGACGGATGCTGAGCGAGGCGTTGGGAGACACTCTATCGATGGTGCGCCATGTCATATCATAACTCAGTTCATGATAGCCGAATTTCGAAACTGTCTTGTAACGCAATCCTGCGCCTCGGGCCAATTCTTCGTAGGATGAGGCCAATGTGTTGTTGCAAAGTACTCGGTGTGCGTTGATGTCCAGTCTAGAGTCGGGAGATGCATTCACAGGTTTGGACAGAGAGAACTTGTGGTATCATGTTAGCTCGACTTGTGTCTCACTCATAATGGGTGTCTATCATCTACCTGAAATGCTGAGCTGTTTCTTGTACCAAATGATGCTACGGTCTCCAGCAATTCAGCACCACCAAAGACATTGCGCACAGTGATGGATCCATTCTATCAGATGCTAAATCAGCCAACATGTACCAAATCAACTCGAGCTATATGCGAATTACCATATTGCCTTCGTTATTGCCAATCTCGGTGCCTGTCTTGATAAAGACACGGCTCTTTTCCTTGACTTGATAGACAACATTGATTGACTCGGGTGCGGCAAGAGGATCACTGTCAGTAGCATTGTCTAACAAAACCTGCACGCCATCAAAGATATCGAATCGTTGTAGCTTTTCAGCAACCTGTTGAGCGCTGTTGATAACATCTGCGTAGGTGCTTGCTTCTAATACATCTTTGGTTGCCTTTTCTAAGAAGCCGGGCCTGGTTTGTTTAGTGCCGAGGATAGTGATGGCATTGACATGTGTTTTGGAGCCTGCTGATTGTTCCAGCTATATGGACAGATTGTGTTAGTGGATGTAGGCTCAAGCAAGGATAGGGACATGTCCATTACCAACGCAAATAAGCGTCTGGATGCTTCAGCTTGATATTCACGTTGACGTTGCTCCTCTTCAGTGGGTAACTATAAATGTGGTTAATGTAATGCTTGCCAACATGTGATGGATCTTTTGTTTTACCTTGGGCTCTTCCATAATTTAAATCTGTAAAGGAGAAAACAGACAGAAGCTAGGGCAAATGCCTATTGTCATTCCTGCCCCAGATACCATTACCTGGATGTGCGCTTGATACAGTCACAGTGGATCATTCATGTACACTCCAATGCCATCATCATGGACCAAGATAGAGCCATCTACTGGCTATCAGGATGATGGATTTCATGGATCTTTAGTTGACTCTACCGATCTACACCCCTTTGCATTGCTATCAAATCACATGGTGGGGCCAATTCATTGCTGATCTAATGGATACTGCATTCATGGAAACAATGTAATCAGTGACGTGATATTGAAATTTTTTTTTTTTTTTTTTTACCAAAAGCAAAAAAAAAAAAAAAAAAACTGTCAATGAACAAAAAAAAGAAGATTTTGAAAAATAAGCCTTCTCCTTTTGTCTCATAAACATCACAAACATCATGGTGGCAGTAAATCAACAGCCTAAAGCAAGTGGCGGATCAGCCCTGAAGAGACTCAAAAAATCATTGCAAGTTGCCGGTGTCGTTGGTCAGACATCCAAAGCTAGTCGATCCAAGAAGGATCGCAAGAGAGGTGCTCCTACTGAAGCAGGAAAGAATGACGCTGACAAGAAGCTCTCGCTCATCCGTGGTGAATTCAATCCCTTTGAACAAAAGCACCAAAAAACAAAGTTTGAAATCCTCGGCAGAAAGATGAAGGGTACATCTGGAAAGCCTACATTGAGCAAGCAAATTGGCGAAGAGAACGTATGTATATATGGCATGTTGGAACGAAGAGTAGACATCTCATCCTTCTTTTTTTTTGAATGGTAGCGTAAGAAAACTCTCTTGGTTGAAATGAAGAACAAGCATCGCCGTGGCGGTATTATCGATAAGCGTTTTGGCGAGAACAACCCCAACATGACACCTGAAGAGAAGATGTTGGAGAGATTCACTAGAGAAAAGCAAAGGTCCACTCGCACAACTGGTGGCTCTATGTTCAACTTGGAAGACGATGATGAAGATTTATCACTGACCCATTATGGCCAATCACTGTCTAACATGGATGATTTTGATGATGCTGGTCTTGGACTCAGTGACGACGAGGATGACAGAAAGCAAATGGATGGCAAGATTGTGTCTCGTTTGCATTTCGGTGGTTTCGAAGACGATGTGCCTGAAGGAGAGAACGAGAGACACAAGTCAAAGAACGAAGTTATGAAGGAGATAATTGCAAAGAGCAAGATGCATAAACTCGAGCGTCAGACTGCAAAGCAAGAGGATGATGACATGCGTGAGGAATTGGATGATGAGCTCAATGATATTCGTGGTCTCTTGAACACCAAGCCTGCTCGTAAGCCATTGCCTTCCCAAAATGCTCTTTTCAAAAGAAATGAAAACGAGAACCCTACCAGCAAATTGGATGAAACTTTGGACGATTACTCTGATTATGATAAAGCGATCCGTGAGCTAGCCAACGACCAACGTGCTCAAGCTACTGATCGTACAAAGACTGAAGAAGAGCTCGCTCTGGAAGAGAAGGAACAACTTGAAAAGGCTGAACGTGCAAGAAAAAGACGTATGGAAGGTCTTGATTCGGACAGCGAAGATGAAGGCTCCAAGAAGAGATCTCACAAGAAGAGAAAGGGTGTCCCTCAGGGTGATGAACTTGATGATGATTACCTTGCTGAATTAGAAGAGGATGTGAATCAGCTTGGTCAGGGTCTGACATTGGAGGACATTCAGAACGGATTAGTCGATGAAGACGAGGATGATGAAGAAGAGGGCAGCGAGGACAATGAAGATCGAGAAGAGGATGACGACGAAGAAGGCAGTGATGACGAAGAAGAAGAAACAGACAATGAAGACATTGAGGATATCGAAGAGGACGATGACCAGGTTCCAGTGTTTGGCGAAGACAATGGCGAGGATGACATGAATGAATTTGGCAAGTCAGGTGTTGTTCAGCCCAAAAAAAAGATATCCGCAGCTAAATCAGAGAAGCGAGAGATCCCTTTCACCTTTGAATGCCCCACCACACACGATGAATTCTTGGAGATCCTTCAAGGCTTGAGCGTCGAGGATTCCGTTATTGTTACCAAGCGTATCCGAGTCTTATATCACATCAAGTTGGCACAAGAAAACAAGGCAAAGTTAGCGCAGTTTTTGGGTGTGCTTGTCGATCACATGGCCTATGTTGCTTCTACAGAGTCACCTTTACCAACTCAAGTGCTTGAACATCTTGGAAACCACGTATTCGAACTCGCCAAGCAATTACCAGAACCAGCAGCAGAAGTGTTCAATGTTAAACTCAAGAAGATGCAGTCTGAAATGGCTAAAAAGATGAAACACAGTGGATCCGCATGGCCCGATGTTGAAGATCTAACCTTATTACGCTCTATTGGTCAAATATTCTCCACATCTGATTTGAGCCACCCCATCGCCACTCCAGCATTGTTGTTTATGTGTCATGCTTTGGCCCAGTGTCGCATTCAATCTGAGGTCGATATTGGCCGCGGTCTATTCCTCACTTTATTGGCCTACGAGGTAAGTGATTAGTAATGCAAAACAAGCTTTTCTAGAAAAACTAACTTACCCGATGTGCAGTATCAAAAAGTTTCCAAGCGATTCATACCAGAATGTCTTAGTTTCTTAAACAGATGCTTTGTCATTTTGGCACCCAAATCCGCGTTCAAAGACAAGCAGCAAATCCCAGGGTCTTTCCCCATTCCCGATGAAAAAACTGGAGGTCTTTCCATCAAGAACCCTAGCGGACAAAACATAGAGTCTATATCTTCTGTGCAATTAGAAACGTTAGCAACAGAGGCTGAAGCCAGTGGAGATGACAATGTGAAACTCTCGTTGTTGCAAGGCTCTCTCCGTATGTTTGAGCGCTATCTTCAATTGTATGCTGCTACACCAGCATTTTTGGAAGTCTTCCAAGATACCTTAGATTTGTTACAACTGCTGGATCTTGAAGAATACAGTTGGCACTCAGATATTAAGGTAAGACAGTAAAAAAATCTTGTTGGTTCATCATCAGCTAATTACAGAAATTCCATAGAATTTGATGAGCACTGTCAAGAGTCGTTTGGAACGACAAATCAAGTTCTGTATAGAGAAGCGTACCAAAACACCACTCAGAATGCAACAGCATCGACCCATACCCATTGCCCAGCATTTGCCCAAGTTCGAGAAGGCCTACTCCATGGATAAACATTACGATCCTGATCATGAGCGTTCTCAAATGCACAAGCTTGAGTCTCAAATCAAGAAGGAAAAGAAGGGCGCTTTGCGCGAACTTCGTAAGGACAATCAATTCATTGCTAGAGAGAAGGCCAAGGAGCGCAAACATAAGGACGATGAATACAATAAGATGGTGAAGGGTGTGATGAACATCTTGGAGGGCGAACAGTCGGAAATGAAACGTCTAGAACGAGAAAAGGGCAAGAAATAACGGTTCCACAGCCTTCGTTACTATATTTAGAGATGGCATAGTAGCTGATAGAAGGAAATGTATTTCAATAAATTAGTTTTATTTTGTAAAAATCGAATTTCCACCTGAAATAAGTGAAACAATGATCGATTTTACTGGGTTGGCAAAATCCACGTCGAACAACAAGCAGCATTTTGCAAAGGCATCTGAATTATCTTATAGCAGGGATGTATATTACAGGTTTAGCCTTTGATTTTATTATCGGAGCCCATGGGTGCTTTCATTTATGCAAATGATGTGGGGGGGGGGGGTATGGAAAAGAGATCAAGAGGTGTGGGTAGGGCTCAGAAAGGCGTAGATAAGCGCTTAGGAAGAAAACAGAAAAATACAGGCTAACTGAACAGGTGATTCTTGGTCATTGCAGCAAGGACGATTAACGTTTGTAAAGATTAGTATCGCCGCGCCCATGTGGATTGGATAAATATTTCATCGACGCTTAGACGCCTAATATGAAACATCTACATGTTGACCATTGGGTGTTCTTCTTTCCAGAATTCGATTCCACCAGCAACCCCGGTGTCGATAATTTCTTGACCATAAGATCGCCATTCTAAGCAATCGTACTCTAGCTGCCAATATACGATACCATTATCTACCACTTTGGAAAAGATGCTGCAGTTTTCGAGACATAACTCAATATCCTATAATCATAGCATGGATGCATATAACGATAGAATATCTTAGATCAATTTCAAAATGTCTAGTATGGATTGCCAAATTAAGCCGCTATTACCTTAGTTTTGGTTTTAGTTTTAACATGTTTGCGAAACCATTTGTTGATTTCATCGAGCGTAAGTTTCTTTGAAGCTATACTGGATATAGCTTGGCACAGAAAAGGGTTTAATTCATTGGCCTGAGGTACAAGTATATCGTGGTAGTAATCATTCTGATTTGCCAGGAAAAAATTGAGTGTTTTGCAGCTAGTGTTCACTTTTGAAACTTGTGAATGTGGCATATGCTTGGTCTTTGCTTTTTGCCAAATGTCTGGTAATTGGATAGCCGCTGATGTTTTTGTCGATTTTCTGCCGTCCTCGCATGCATTGTGAGTCTTTTTCTTGGTAGCTATGAGTTTATTAAGAAGACCAGGTGATGTTAATCTCATTAGACAAAATCTCGATAACCGATGCGATTTTTCTTGACAAATATTATCTTGTGTATGGCGTGTACTCCCAAAGTGTAACTTGCTAATAATAGTAGTATTTTGTGATACAGAGAATTTCAATTATAAAAAAAAAAAAAGGTCGAGAATAATGTATTGGAATCTAAATGTTGTAGATAAAGATATGAAACTCTGACTAATACAAATAAACTTACAGTTAAAATACCAATCCAAACATAAAATACGGGTATTTTCAAATACATGGTAGTCTTTGAGAGAATCTTTCAATGAGAAATTTTAGTGGAAATCGCCATCATCTGTAGTTCTTTAATGAGGCCCCCCCTATAGAACAAAATAGATTTTTTCACAGTGTGTACAATTGTCGATAAATTGTTACACGGGAGCGGAAAGTGATATAATTCAATTGGGTCTAAGGCAACTATAACAGAAAAATCTCTAGGAGATCTAGCTCCCCTCGAAAGAACACTGGAGAATATGATGTCATTTGAATTACCCTTTTGAAGCTTCAGCACCCAACATCATGACAAGCATTGACCTTTTGATGATCCCCCGATTTCCCTGAGGGTCTCACAAGGGAGAAACAGTGCCCATCAGAAAAATGTGTATATAAATGGAGCCTTATTCTATCAGTTTCCACTTTTTTCATTTCTGGTTTCACACTTTTAAACATTTGAAAGCTTCGCAATCATATAAAAGCCCTCTCACTTTACACATACTACTCTATATTACATAACATGATGGCAGAAGGTACGAGCTGCTTTATTGGATAAGCATTTGATTATGATATTAATTGAAATGATAGATAATTCAATGATTGGACTTGCAACACCCACTCGTTTTCTCATCGAAAATGGCGAATGGAATCTCACACCTAGCTTATCTGGTTCCATCCAACATGAGATCAATCCATTTGACGACTGCAACTACCAACAACACCATGCCTCTATGAAACCTATAGAAGCACCCACAGTGAAATGGATGGCTGCTCCTGTTCCTGCTCCCACTATTCCTGCTTCCGTTGCGGCTAATACTGAATACAACACAAACGTCATGTTTAAGTCACCCGAACCTGAAGCTGCATTGATGAAATCCCCTCCAACTCCTCCAATGTCCCTTAGCCAAAGCCCCAGTAGTTCTACTGTGTCCTTCACCATGAACGATCTTTTGGTCGATACACCCCCACAAGCACCCGTTGCTCCTCGCAATAATACCGAATTTGCTGCTTCGAATGTACATAATTTATCACCTTCGACCTCCTTTGATGAACCAGTCCAACGCCGTCGCAGCAGCTCCTCTGCAAGAAATGCCAAATCTAGAACTTCATCATATAAAGAAATGGACGATTACTACCAACCTACTGAAACTACGAATTCCAAATCTGTGCAAAGCGGTCGTAAGCGACGCATTGTTTTTGAAGGAGACGATGCAGAAGACCGCAGAAAGAAATTTTTAGAGCGCAATCGTGTTGCTGGTAAGTCTTGTATAAAATTCTTTCCTGAATTGATATTAACCTTTTTAATTATAGCCTACAAATGCCGTCAAAAGAAGAAGAATTGGATGCAAGAGCTTGAACAAAAGGCTGAAATCCAAAACAACCAAAATGAAGAGCTTCGTAACTTGGTAGCGTTACTCAAAGAAGAGAGCATGTATCTTCGCAATTTACTCTTGACTCATGGTAACTGCGATTGCGACTCTGTCCAAGCCTATCTTCGCAAGCAATCCGCTGAAATCACAAACAACACAATGGCCTCTAGAAGAAGCTCAATGGCAAGCAATTACCCCACTATGCCTTCCTTTACAAATTCCTTTAGTTCCGCATCCACCATGCCTCCTTTCAATGAACAACCTACTGGCTTGACACCCTTTCTCGACACAGTGATTAACAAATTACCTCAGGATTCTCCAGATTACTTTTCAACATCCCACACTGAAGCTTAAATCTACCACTATGATTGATATCCCCTCCTTGCTTTATTTAATTATTCATTGTAACTAGTCTCTACCTTCTCTTTATTATTTATATCTTATATGCCTTCGCTGTCTCTCTATCTTTCTCTCTTGCTCACACAAACATGAACCATTTTCTTTTAATGGCTATTTTTTTTTTTTTTTTTTTACCTTTCATGCTATGAATTTTCATTTTCTCTCATTTCTTATTATGTACATACTTTACTTTGATTACAACATCAATAATGCAATAAAACCAGACATTTTTCGCACCAAATTACCCATGTTTTTAGCTTTGTGCAACTGAAAACCATAGATGAATGCAAGGATGAAATCGAGATTGAAGCATCTGGATAGTCTAATTAGTCCAATAGAAAATAAATTGTATTTTCTAATGTCTTCCAAAATGTTCTTTGTTAATGTATACTAGATCCGATCTCACCTGCTTGAATTTTACACAATTATGTCAATGGAATCATGAAGAAATCCAGTTATAGCGATATGACACTATAAACTAATCTTTGGTGCAACATTTAAGCATGATTTATACTTTACGAAAATGGGTATTGAATAAATCGAAAATGACGTTTAATATTTACAACCCCATTGTGCCACTCTTTTGTGGAGAACGACAGGCCATTGTGTAGTGCCATGTAAACAATAGCAAGTAGTGTCGCTTGAGGAATGTTGCCATGGTGATGATGAGTATATGCTCCACTTGTGGGGCCAATCATTGCTCCATGATGGTGTCGATCATATGCTCATTGTATTTAATGCACGACTGTATCTTGAAAAAGAAAATTTTCGTTCCTTTTTCCACTTTTCAGAAAACAGACGTATGAGAATAACAAACAAGGCATCTCTCTGTATATTGCTAGATGTATTGGCCGTCATAAACACAGCCAATGGTTTGTATATAGACAAGAGGCAGCAAAAGGACGCCGTGAAAACGCCCTCCCTCCCCAATTTACGCCCACTCGTCTGGGGTGATGTGAATTTTATCCATACGACGGATACGCATGGTAACTGATTTATAATCAAGATGAGTCTGTTTAAAATGTATATTGAATCCGTCTTTTATTTTAGGCTGGTTAGAGGTAAACATTATTGTTGATTCAAATAAACATCTATTCACAATCTTGTATATATATATATATATCCATATTTTCAAAGGGTCATGTGTTGGAAGGCACATTTAATGGAGATTTGGGTGATTTCTACTCTTTTACGGTAACCTATCCTCAAACCTTTTGTGCTCATTCTACAGTAAACTCATTCTAAGCTAACTAAATAGGCTAAAATGAAGCAAAAGGCTCGTTTGTTGAAAAAGGATCTGTTTATTGTAGACACTGGAGATACACATGACGGCAATGGCTTGAGCGATATCACCGATCCGAGAGGTTTGCTGTCGCAGCCACTTTTGACAAACATTCCCTACGATCTCTTGACAATCGGTAATAGGACAGCAGCACAAGACAGAGATATATAGACTAAAAACTCTATATTATATTCATAATTAGGTAACCACGAACTTTACGGTAAGATGTATGCTCATATGCCATATAAAGTAGTGATTAAACATCTGTTTCCTCATTATGGCTGCCGTTTAGTAAATGATGTCACTGTAGATACAGTGTACAACTTCATCCCACACTGGAAGGACAGATATTTAGCCGCCAATGTCTATTTTAAAGACATCAACAACAACAAGACAGTTCCAATTGGGTTAGTGATGTACTCTATATTGACGCAACTTCAAACGTTAAATGCAATGCAATTGTAGCTCCAAATTCACCTACTTTGAAGGAGAGTTTGGCACCCGAGTTTTGGCGTACGGTTTCTTATTTAATTTTCAAAAGAATGGAGATAGATCTGTCGTACGAAATGTGAAAGACGAGATACAAGAGGCTTGGTTTAAACAATCATTAGAAACTCATCTGCCAGATATCATTGTGTTGATTGGACATATTGGTTTAAGGTTCGAAGAGTTTTATATTCTCATCGATGCCATCCGCGAATACTACCCAACGATCCCCATTGCGGTATTGGGAGGACACACGTAAGCATGCAGTTTTCATCATTTGAAGCAGGACACTAAGCATCATCGTTTAGCCACATTAGAGATGCTGTCAAATACGATCCTTGGGCGGCAGGAATCGAATCGGGCAGATATTTGGAAACAATAGGCTTTTTTTCAGTTGAGGTAACCACCACTGTGTTCTTGTGCTCTCATTCTTGAATTCTTAATTGAAATTACGTATACAGGGAGTCTCTAAGAATGCCGACTCTAGAACACCTGCTAATGTTACATTTCATCGACGCTATCTTGATCAGAATCGGCCAACCTATCAATTTCATTCCTCCTTAGATGAGAATCATGTAGCAACAGACAGCGAATTCGATACCCCATTGGGGATCCAAATGACGAACGTCATCTCCGAGCTTCGCAGCACATATGACCTCTCCAAGAAGTTGGGATGTGCCCCTCAAGATTACAAGCTGCAGACTGCTCATCCGAATCAAAACACCAGTGTGTTCCATTTGTTGACGCAAGGTATGTGGCCTATATGGCTAGTGAAAGTGTATACTCAGGATGTAAATATAGAGGTTCTTCCGTGGGTGGTTGCTGATAAGAATCGACCCAATCCTGTGTACTTTCTGATCAATACAGGCGGTGTTCGATATGACATTTTCAAGGGGCCGTTTCTACTTGATAACATGTATCAACTATCTCCTTTTGAAGATGCCTTCTATGCGATCGAAGATGTTCCATACAGCATTGTGCGGCAACTCCTTCCAAAACTGAATCATGAAGGAGAGCAAGCGTTTAGAAAAAGACGGGAAATTTGGCCCTACATGGCAGAAAAATCAGAGTTTGCAAAGAGAGACGGTTTTGTTCAATTAAGAGACCAAAGCAGCATTCAGGACAGTGGCGATAGGCATAACCTTGTTCCTGGGTATGTCACCACGGATGACTTTGGTATTGATGGTTAGTATCTAAAGATGGCTTATCAAGTTGCTCAAGGCTTACGCATCCGTTATTGTTATTCTATGTAGGCGATGACACTGCTCACATCCCTGTCCCCGACTTTCCATTACCCGCATTTGTAGGGTCAAGCCTCCCCAAGGATACTGCCGATGGTGATTTGATCGATGTCGTCTATCTGGATTTTTTTGATAAACAACTGAGGGCTTTGCTTTTCGATTTATCTGGGAAAAGCTGGGCTGCCAATATGGAATATGGTGATACTAATGTCACCAGCAGCACAATGTGGGTCTATTTTGCTCAAACTTACTGGAATACTACTTTGGCGTGCTGATCTAAACATATATGAAACTTGAGACATATACTAAATTTAAATTAAATTTACAAAGATTTCGTCATTCCATAGCTATGTTTAGAAATATGTACACTTTAAGATGCAATGGTTATCAATTACAGGCACTTATAAATCGCTCACTAGCGTATCTTTGCCTTGCCATATTTCTTCACAAAAGCGTGGTTACCGGGCCCATCATCTCCAGATTATATCGACTGGATGATTTCGTCATCGATGATTTCGCGTCTCATTAGTAGCTTCGATGGCAATCACATACTGTCATCATTTCGAGCTCGTATCCATGTGCTGCTTCCTGATCTACATGTGGTCATATACAACGTAAATCGTTGGCCTTCAAAGTCGACTTTAAACAAACACATCTGGTTGTCTACTAATAAGTTCAACAATACTTGTAAGAAATGCCGATTTTTGCTAAGTCTGGCAAAACAAAATAAGTCTGGCATTCAGAATTTTCTAGAAATCAATGATCAGTTCATGCAAGAACACAAGGTAACCAAGATCAGTTTACGCCGATGCTTGGTTTAAATGTTGTGATGGCACAAGATAAACTCTTGCTACACGGGCGAAATATGAATTCTAGTAACAGTGGATCAATATTATATATAATCTCTAAGCTCTAATATCACAACATAATAAATTTATGGATCCTAGACTCTTTCAAAGCCTCAAAAAGAAACAAAATTGATTTAACAAATATTTTGATAAACTGGCGTTATTAAATATAGAATACAAGCAAAATAGCATAGTTAGCAATAACGCTTTGTAATTTACCGCCTACTTTCCACACGATTCAAAGGCATCTATTACAGTATTGCCTTCATGATTAAAAGGGCATTGAGTTGGCCAGCCGGCCCCACCAGCCAAACCCAATTCAATCCCAGATTCATAGTCTGTTCCGGATTGGCCAAATCTGGATAGTCTTCGACTCGATTGGTCTATTTTGCAGGATTGGACTATACAAGTCGTCATGTTCATCCCATACTTTCTAATGCATTCTTGAAGTACTTTTCAAGGCGCATCCAATGGTGTTATTTATAACAATTCTTTTGAACAAACTTGCTGAGCAATATTCAAAGATAAGAAATAGCTATTCTGGCCAAAATGTACAGATTTTTACATATCAAAGTCTTACAAAATCGATTTCAGAGGTTACGTTGGATCGATAGAAACATTTTGATTCAATATATACCATAGTGAAAGTCGTCGTTTTAGAGGTCAAAAACGCGATCGTTTGATTTTTGATGAAAACCATGAGGGGGTACCTCATGGTTTTTGGTCGAATTTTGCCCATATTTTTTTGGTCCCTAAAAAGTTGAGCAATAGTGGCAATAAGTAACTGCCATATGAGAGCATTTGTTTGGTGCTATTTTGTCCATCTTAAACGGCCTTGAACGCAAGGAAATGCAGCTCAAAGACACTCAATTTTTGCTGTATTAGGCACACTCTTGATTGAAAAGGGATAATATCTGTATGATACTTGCCCATATAAAAAGTAGCTACATGTATATGAATGTAGAGCATCACATGAGAATCAGGTCCACAGATAATGTAAAGGGTTTTCATGTGAAAGTGGAGAGTCAACAAGAAAGTAGCAGTATTTTAAAAGGATACGCAAGAGCAATTGGTAGCGCGAGCTGCCGCTGCACAGTTTGGTTCTCACCGAAGCGAAGCGAAGTTAGAGAGCCATCCGAAGCGTAAACACTCGTAGTATATACCAAAGAACTGTGAAAAAACGTCGAAGTAACTAATCAGACATCAGAGGCACAAAAATTTTAAAGCATTGAGTGCAGCACAAGGCACGGAAAAACTATCAGCAAAGCTGGCATTAGAGAGGGCGTTTGAGGAAGGGACTTAGTCCCTCCATCAAGAGCATAACGCATCCAATTCAGCCTTTGATAACGTTGATTTATATAAGGTTTTTACCGCAGCGAAGCGAAGATGCAAATGCTCTCATCTGGCAGTTACTTATTGCCACTATTGCTCAACTTTTTAGGGACCAAAAAAATATGGGCAAAATTCGACCAAAAACCATGAGGTACCCCCTCATGGTTTTCATCAAAAATCAAACGATCGCGTTTTTGACCTCTAAAACGACGACTTTCACTATGGTATATATTGAATCAAAATGTTTCTATCGATCCAACGTAACCTCTGAAATCGATTTTGTAAGACTTTGATATGTAAAATCTGTACATTTTGGCCAGAATAGCTATTTCTTATCTTTGAATATTGCTCAGCAAGTTTGTTCAAAAGAATTGTTATAAATAACACCATTGGATGCGCCTTGAAAAGTACTTCAAGAATGCATTAGAAAGTATGGGATGAACATGACGACTTGTATAGTCCAATCCTGCAAAATAGACCAATCGAGTCGAAGACTATCCAGATTTGGCCAATCCGGAACAGACTATGAATCTGGGATTGAATTGGGTTTGGCTGGTGGCAAAACCAATGCCATGCTCATTAATTATGATGGTAATCGATGCTCATAAAAGCTCAAATCAGCAAGAGAGGGATTGTGAATTCAAGGTACTAACGCTTAGTATGGTTACTCTTTTTGCGTGCGCAACCTATTTCATTTCAGTTTTATAAATTTAACTGTTGTGATAGCCCATCTAAATGTGTAGCTTGATGCGAAATGTTAAACCGACCTTTATCCAAGACTCCATATTTCGAGTGTGGACCTTGTTCACAACATTTGAATGTATAAATCCCTTTCAGTATGATCAATGCATTATAATTTATTCTATGTCCTTGAGGGAATTATCACCCAAAATAGCGATTGCAGCGCCCAAGCACCAGCCTGTTTCCACACCATTGATCTTCTTTGCAACTGTCAGTTCTCTATCATCGGGAATTTCATAGCCAAAAGACAATAAACGGTAAATGAATGATAGATCCAGGCACCACTCAGGACGATCAAGCAGCTCATCTTTAAGTGACACATCTGTCACATTTTCAATAAAAGCACCACTACACACTGATTCTGTCAAAGAAGCAAGCTGAGGCAAACGGAATGATGCAGGTAATCCAAGAGGTTGAGTGCGGTCATAAAAGTATGAGAAAATATAAATGGGACCCTTGGTGAAGGTATCAGCAATAGGAGGCTGGTAGATACCATCAAAGGAACATGGAGAAAAGTCGCATGATTTGCGCTTGTTCAACATTAGATCAGCAACACCGAGGCAATCCGCATATGAACCAGCACCCATGAATTTGATGGGATCACTTGCGGTTTTTGTGTATTCCCAGCTGAGGCCCTGAGGCAAACAAGCGTGCACCAGATCAGAGGATGATGGTATCAAATCAGTGTTAATAGAATCCACTACTTGCTTATGGATGCGCTTACGAGCTTCCATCAAGCCGTAACCCAGATATGAATGCTGGTACAACAGATACTCTTTACCCTCGTGTTTCAGCAAGTACTTGAAGTCGTTGTCTGGGAGTTCAGGCAAACTACCATCCTCTAATACATCAGGCTCGAATACAATCTGTGTAGATCCACCGCCCAAGTCCAAAATAGCTGCTGTGTGAGGTTTGACTGACCGAGTTGAATCGAAATTTCCCAAGAGGAAATTGACAGTAATCCAAGCATACACTCCTTCGTCTCTACCGTCCATAATAGACACACCGTCTTCGCCGCCGACAATTGGGAATGGGTATCTTGTTTCTAAATGATGGCGAACAGCTTTCAAAATATCATCACCCTTGGATTGACCGAGGAGGCGCAAACCTGCAGTTGCTTTGACAGCAATTGGCGTTTTTTTCTGCAACTGTTTGGGAACCAACTTGACAGCACCCTCTAGTAAAACATCGAGTGATTCAGCTGCTTGTTGAGGGTTATCAGGATAGGCAGATAAACCGGGTATCGTTTGCGCGAAAAGCTCCTCTTCTTCCAACTTTACTGGCTCATGGTCGCTACATTGGTGGAAGCGATAAACGTGGATACGAGAGCCTGTTGAGCCAGCATCAACCATGAGTGCATATCTTTTACATGCACCTATACTTTCACAGAATTATTAGCCTCGTTTACTATAGAGCAAGCGTACAGAGCATTCACTTTACCTGATTCATTAGTAGAGCCTATGGATGTTAATACATCGGGAAAGAAATAGAATACGGAGGCTAGCAGGATGCCAAATGCCATCACACCAAGACGAATCTGGACACCACTTGTTGTCTGTTTAGCTTTTGCATTTTGTTTTGCTGCGTCTTTGAAACTTGAATAAGGTGTTTTGATGCTTGCTCGACCATTCTTGGCTCTACTATCTCCAGAAACGCTTTTTGCCATGTTATATGTATCTGTATAATTGAAAAAGAGTATGGCTAGCTTGGCTTATCTGTAATTTGTTTTTAGAATTGGAATAGAAAAGGGGCACAAGGAAGAGAGACTACGCTGCCAATCTGAGGTCCTTTTCATAAATCATACTTCGGGGAAGAGACGGGTCCATAGCACTAGTCACTTCGGGCCGACTACAGAGGATCTATCTAACAGGTAAATTTTGCCGTAATCCGAAGTTCTTTGCTTCAACGGATGAAATGGATATAAACTTGCCGATCCAACGGTTTACTGATCATCTCTATGCATATTTGTTCATTCAAAGGCATATATAATGAGATTCGCAATAGATCTTTGATTTTGTCGTGATGATTTAGAGTGTATTTCAATAAAAGAGATTGTGTTTCTCATAGTAATCCTCATAGTAATCCTCATTCAGCATCATTGCATGAATTTCATCTTTCGCTTTGGCTTGTTCATAGTTTCGGGTAAAGAGCTTTACCAAGGCTTTAAAAAAAAATACGCTCTGTACCCATCGATTGAATTGACAGTATATCAGAATTGGCACTTGGACCTCATAGTATCTCTTTTGGGTATAACGGCTGTCCAGAAACACCATCATAGTTACTATAGATTATTGCCATATGAACATTTTCAATCAATGCTTGATGCTGTCCATCTCGCAATGAATTAGAAATTGCAATCAAGATGCTCGCTCGTATGTTATTGCATGTAGCCAAAAGTGCACTATCAGCAGGCATGCGAGGACAGGCGGACACTCATGAAACTGAAGTTCGTTATTGTATTGACGCACATGAGCAAATTACTTGGGATCAACCGTTTGAGTATAATAGGGCCTTCCGTTTCGCTGTCTTTTGCAATTTATGCTTGCTAACATCCCTTGTCTCCATTGGATGAGCAACCCGTGAGAGTTGAGCGTACACATTCTGGCGCCACAAAGCCAGTAAAGATCTCCCAAGAAGGAAACATAAAAGTTACAGGATCATATGCTCTAAAATCATCATTGTCATAAGATACATGTATGCTCGGAGAAACCTCACTGTTTGAGTTGGCAAGAGCAAGTTGGTCATTGCCTTTAGTATGTACAGCATGGCATCCACATCAAACCTGGCACACAGCCCTTGTTTACAGTAGATGCTTCTGATATTTTTACAATACAACGTTGGCATGTTTGCTCGCGTGTTGACAGAAAGTAACAGCTGAAATAGCGTTTTTCCAGAACCCCTTCTCATGAAACATGATATCATTCTATCGCATCTTTTGCTATACGTTTTCGCATTTGCAGGTCTACTTGAAAAGGAACGCAGATCATGGGTCTTTGCAAAGTTACACTGAAATAATGCGCAACTTTTTCTCAAAGATAGAACAGATTATGATCATCCGGATTACCAAAGTTGAAAAAAGTCTCTTGTTGAGTAGGTAAAAAAAAAAAATTGCAATGATTCAGGCAATGGAGAGCTAGCAGCTATACATGAAAAACTCCTGTTGGCTTCCATCCAATCCACATCATTGACTTGAGTTTCTACTACACAGTAAGACTAAATTTCAGATGATTTGCAGCACATGTGGTAATACAATCTATTGATGATGTTGATTGCAAGTCGTTGCATGTTAAGCTACATACTACAGCTGCAAGGTTTTACATGCAAATGTATACCTCGAGAGCTCACCGATAGCAACTGAATGCCAGGCTCTTCAATCTCCTAGGCAGGCAAGGAGTAGATGTCTGCTGTCAGGCAAAGACGGTGCCCCTGGTTGCTAATGATCGGAATACAAATGTCTTACGGTTGGTTGTTGAGGAAACCAAGCTAAAGAGCTATCTTTCAGACACGACCCATTTAAAAGCTGGTGCTTTCAAGTGTAGCAGACTTGAGAGATCACACAGCATTCTAATATCAGGCTTCAGATACAGCCGTCTGATATGATGCTTCAATGAATGCTCATGAAATGTTGGCATGTATCAAATGCAAGGCGAGTTTTGCTGAGTTGCCTATATCGTTTATCCCGCAAGCACAGACTAAGCCTGTTTCTCTGATAACAGAAAGGGTAATGATAGCCAGTTGATATTATTGAATCGCATCTACAAACGCCCTTTATTGAGTTTATTGCCATTTTATTAGTCGAAATGAGTGCTGATTAAATATTGAGCCTAATTAATTGAGAATGATACATTTCGATGCGAGATGACTTTTTGATGGAGGATGGTGTTTGGTACAAGGAATCCGATGCACCCTGGACAACATGATTTCTCGATATGCTGGCGGTATATCCATCATTTGGATTATTACTTCATAATTATTATGCTCACTAAATTTAAGGTTTGAAACTTCCCTAAGGCAGGAAAGATTTGTAGTTCTTTTTCTAATCAAAGATGCAAAGGTGTACATCAAAAAATAATCAAGCACACAAAGAGATTCGCCACAGGACTAGCCTCATATACGAGACATTCGCTTTAGCACAGAAAAAGAGAACAGTAACATAGCATTATTTGAACTTTATATATATATATATATATATATGCAATCTCATTTTCTGAGTGACCCGACTCTTGCTCATCTTTCAAGCTGGATTTAGCTATTCTTTAGTCTCACCAGGTACAACATTTGAGCAGGAAAAACATGGAAAGTTAGAGAAAACGAAATGCGGATGTTCAATCATTCCACAGAACAGACATCAGCCAACGGCCATGAGCAGGATGAAAAAAAAAAAAAAAAAAAAAAAAAAAAAAAGAAAAGAAAAGGTTTGTGAACCATCATTTTGCATTTTCTTTTGTTTTCTTTTTCTTTCGGTTTTTTTTTTTTTTTTTTTTTTTTTTATTCTCTTCATTTTTACGAAACCAAATACATCTGATATGGCAGTGTTTAGTCAAATTAAGAATTTCATAAAAAGCGGAAAGAGCTATTCCTCTCATGGCTCCAACCTTTCCAGACAATCCACAGCGCAGAAATACGAAACTGCACAGCGCATGGTTGAAGAAGAAAAGATAGCAAAACAGACAATGCCAAGCTATCAAGGATTGGAAGACTATCAATTGAGAACAAAGCTTGGCGAGTGAGTATGCTTGATCTCTTCATGCTGATTCAGTGCTAACATGACTATAGTGGTGCATTTTCCAAGGTTTATGAAGCCATCCAGTTATCTACCAACGAAAGAGTAGCCATCAAGATAGTCCGTAAGCATGAACTGAACAACCAGCAAGTAAGTTCTGTTGTCTGTGTAGTGAGCATGTCAAGGTGCTGATGATACTTATAGAAATCAAGCGTCTTGAAAGAAGCCCAGATCATGCGAACGTTGGATCATCCTTCCATCATCAAGATGCTTGATTTTATCGAGACAAAAGAGGTAACCAGCGCATGAAAAGAGAGATCAATCAAATCGTAATTGTATTAGAGATTAACTTTATCCATATTAGCATTATTTCCTTGTACTAGAATTATGTGAAGGCGGAGAAATTTTCCATCAGATTGTTCGTCTTACTTACTTTAGCGAGGAGCTCTCTCGTCATTGTATCAGACAAGTCGCTGAGGGTATTCGCTATTTGCATGAAGAAAAGGGCGTGGTTCATAGGTAAAACACACGGCCATACAGAAAGCAAGATCGAGCGTATTCTAACATGACCATTCGCAACAGAGATATCAAGCCAGAGAATCTACTGTTTGTGCCTATCGATTTCCATGAAAGAGATGTTCCTTTGCCCCCACCCGACTTTGACGAACCCAAAGAAGATGAAGGCAAGTTTATTCCCGGCATTGGCGGCGGCGGCATTGGTGCAGTCAAGATTGCAGATTTCGGTCTTTCCAAAGTAGTGTGGGATCAACAGACCATGACACCTTGTGGTACAGTTGGCTATACAGCACCGGAAATTGTGAAAGATTTGAGAGTAAGAAGTCGCAAATGCCATGTAGAATACCAACTAATCGCCTTCTGTAGTATTCCAAATCTGTAGACATGTGGGCATTGGGCTGTGTTTTGTATACTCTTCTATGTGGATTTCCTCCATTTTACGATGAATCAATCAAAATTTTGACTGAGAAGGTTGCAAAGGGGCAGTATACATTCTTAAGCCCCTGGTGGGACACAATATCAGACGAGGCCAAGGACTTGATTGAACATTTGCTTGAGATTGATCCAGAGAAGCGATATACAATCATGGAGTTCCTTGAACACCCATGGATGCAAAATGAGGTAAGCGCGATGCTTTATAAAAAAAGAGCTCTCTTCTAAAGAATGCAATCTCATAGAAAATGACAAAGATTGATACAGATGCCATCAAAGCCAGAACAGCAACTAGTGACATCAACCTGGATCTTGCATCCGTGCCTATGTTTACATCACTTGAAAACACAGGTGTGCCTGCTAATGGACCTCGTCCTGAGACCGAGGCCGAGGCATTCAAGCGCATGATCCAAGAACGCAACAGAGACGAAGAAGAATTAGAAGCGGCTGTGCCTATGCCAGTGCCATCTGGTGTCTCATCTGTGATTAACTCCCGTGCCAACTCACGCGGAAATTCACGTGCACCGTCTATTGTCGCTTCTGGAGCAACGACACCTCGTAGAGATTTGTTCTCTGGAGTATCGTCCATGAAGGAGATGTTTGATATCTCATACGCTGTGCACCGCATGTCAGAAGAGAAGGCTCGCCGAAAAGTCATCAAACAACAGCCAAATCAAGAAAACCGTCGTTCGCTATTCATGAGTGCGATCAATGGTGATGACGATGATGTGACAGAAGATGAGGCAGATATGATTACCGATGAGACATCTACTACCGAGGAAGAGGAAGAAGAAGAAGAGCAAGCACAGAAAGAGCAGCCAATGAACGAGCTAAAAGACAAGCTAAAAGTGCTTCATATTGACGAATCGGTGCCAACATCTATAGAGCACAAACCAAGCACTGTTCAGCACAAAAAGATCAATAGATCAAACAAGAATGGCGGCCTGTTTGAACTGAATATGAATAATGCCACTCTGTTGGGAAGAAGGAAGATTCCAAGCGCAACTCAGCCTATTGATGAACCATAAAGAAAGCATAGTAATGGGCTGGTTTCCACTTGCTTATGTTGTCCTCTCGATTTCCCCGTATATTCTTCATTTAGTTTTGCATTCATATATATCACTTTTTCACTTGAATTTTGTCTTTTGTATTTACACACACACACACACTCCATCACACTCGCACATTTTCACAACGATATAAAAATCTAATATATTTATACATTTCCAGCCAGGCATTGGCATGAAATTGATCTGGTGTCTGAATGTTGCAAACAGGTCTGGAGCGTCTCACGCATCCCAAATAGCATTCAATCAGATTTGTAACACTTTTAAACTATAAAATCGGAACTGCTGTGTGCTACTTTGGTTGCCTTTCTTTCACCTATACATTTATCATTGTCGCCGTGTATGAATAAGATACCTACGATGGCCTTAGCCATTGGCATCCCAGTTGGTTTACTGGTAACTACTCACCTAAAGTCATTGCCATTTGCTTATACTGTCAGATCCTGGTTCCTGTTGAGAGCTCTCATTAAAAAAGCGAAACAAAACAACCTGCAACCAGATGGTAAGCTGATGCTGCTGGTTAGTGTATCTATTGCCACGAATATTAAACTGTTATGTATGAATACATAGCATTGTTTGCAGTTGTTAGCCAGGACCATCGTTGCTATTTGGATGATATTGATTATAATCAGCATATGGTAAAACATTCTTGTGGTAATTGGCATTATTCATTCTAATTGAAAATTTCTCTAGAACAATAGGTAACGTGAGAACCGCCCAACATGACGCATAACAGAGGGCTAATAGAAGTTATCAATTAGCACCTACAACAAGATCCTGGATTTCAGCAGAATCCACATTTTATATTCTGCATTTGCTCGAGTCATGATGGAACCACATCACCATATATTTGGACATAACGGCGGCGTTGTTACGCTGTTTAGAAAGGAAATTCCACCTCTTGCAAAATACAAGGTACAAAGTCGCATCTGGACATGGAATGACAAGTGGTTGTTCCTTCAACATCGATTCTTGCTAGAGGACAGCACGGTTGCATGCTTAGCTATCAGCAAGATTGTGTTCAAAAAGGTGTCTGGCAAAACAGTTCCGCCAAAAGAAGTCTTGGAGTTATGTGGACATAACTTTGATGATCCTACAATAGAAGAAAGACGCTTACATAACTGGGATATAGCTCAACATGTATTGAGTTTGGATAAGATCAGAGATGATCCGTATTCATGGTCGAGCTTATAAGCGGGGTGCTTGTATATGGCTATAATATAAACCAGCAACTTGCCCTTCCTTTTTCATCTTTTCTTTTTGATGAAATAAAAACTACTATGTCTTCCACAACCAGACCTTTATCCTTGTTCATACCCACCACTTGGTCACAGCAACAACAACAACAACAACAACAGCAGCAGCAGTCATCTTCAAATACGAGACCTTCATCTATACAATCAACATCTTCATCCATTGCACTCGACTCACCGTCTTGGACTAACTTATCATTTGATCAATTGTCTCTTTATGCAAGACGAGCATCCAACTCTAGCATAAGTATACTCACCACATATCAAAGCGAGCAAGAGGAAAAGAGAAGAAAAAGACAAAAAGATAAAGTGCAGCAAGGTAAAGCCAATCATGTAAACTACATGTTGCCATGGTGATTGATTTTTTTGTCAGTGCAGTGGTCAATGGTTTCACGCATATTCTTTTACTGTCCTTGAACGATTGCTCACTTGGATTCTACAGAATATCAGACCACATCCACCGCAAAGTGCCCCGCATTGTCGATACTAAAAAGCAGCTACAGCAAAGCAAAAACAAAGTGGAGATTGCCATTTCCGATATACAAGATGTGCGAAAGAACGTGTGCGATATTGAAAGGATTGAATCATTTTATAATATAAACAAGATGATTGAATTAAGTATTAACATATTAAAGAATTCAAAGAAATGAGTTTTTCATTTCTCTGATGGTATGGAGTACTTCAACGGGATCATTTTTACCAACGACATGCTGCAATGCCTGTTCATTCACTCTCAAGAACGGATTATACAGCTTTTCTTGTCCAATCGTACTAGGCACTGTGATGGATTTATCTTGACACCAGGCCCATTTTGCTTGCAAATTTTCATTGTGGGGATCAATGGACAAAGCAAACTTTAGGTTGTTCTTTGTGTATTCATGGCCACAATAGACCCAAGTGTCATCCGGTAATTTGGTAATAATGTGAAATAAAATTCTGTACATATCTCGAGCATCTCCCTCGAAAAACTTTCCAATACCTCCAATGAACAATGTGCTAATGGGTTCATATCAATCAGCATGTGCCTCCGGTGCAAATTTCATTCAACTTACTCTCCAGAAAAGACAGCTCGTTCACCTGTATTAGGATCAACAACATAATAGCAGACATGTCCTTTTGTATGGCATGGTGTATGGAGCGGTGTGATGTCTAATGATCCCAGTTTGAATTCTTCTCGATCTTTGCAGACGTAATTGATTTCTGGAATTCTCGCATCTGCACCGTAAACAGCCAATCCAGGCTTTTTTGCTAGTAAAAAAAAAAAAAAAAAAAAAAAACTGCATAAGCGTCAAGATGATCTAATAACCATGTTGGCCAATGCTTACCGACTAGTTCGATATTGCCTCCAGAGTGATCCCAATGGTGATGGGTGGCAAATACACTATGCAAGATGTCAGTTTATGAGCATTGTATGCACGCCACGAATCTTGTAGCTGTACCTGGAAAGTTTTGCGCCCGTTTGACTAATCACATTTAGAATTTTGATTGGCTCTACTGGATCAATGACAGCAGCTTCTTTGGTCTTTTCGTCGATGAGAATGTAAGAGTAATTGTCTTCGAGAGCAGGGATTGGAATGATCTTCATCTTCGAGCCACAGTAGAGAGGAGAAAAAAAAAGAAGAAAAAAAAAAGGGGGAAATCGCTTTGTTGGAAAAAAGATTAGTAGAAGCAAGAGAAAATTGGGTATTTATATATGAAAAAATTAGGATGTTTCCAAAAGAACCTTCTGTTCAACATTGGATATATGAGAGACGCTCTATTTCAAATTCCGGGTTCACTTCATGTGTATGCTCGTCCGCAAATCTTGTGATATTGTACAGCGATGTCAACCTCGCAAAAGATCCAATCTGATGTGGATCTGTTCAAACCACAGTCCACTGTATGGTAATGCAACTGGTGTATCATCATTTATTATATCATTGTAAAGGGCAATCATGGAAATCAGAGAAGACAAATCCCAAATTGACGTCAAATGTAAAGCAGAACATTCCGAAGATTCAATCAATCATCGTCTAAAAAATATGCTTTGGCTTTTTCGACATCTGGCACAATAGTCTTGCTTCCCTTGTTCCAATTGGCTGGGCAGACTTCTCCATGCTTATCACTGAATTGGAATGCTTCGACTAATCTGATGGTTTCTGTAGTAGATCTTCCTACTGGCAAATCGTTACAGGAAATTTGTCGAACAATGCCTTTGGGATCAATGATAAACAGCCCACGCAATGGGACGCCTTGCTCAAGGTAGACTCCGTAGCTTTTGGCAATGGCGTGTGTTTTATCAGAGATAATGGGGATCTTGATTTGCCCACCGAGACCACCAGATTGACGTGATGTGTTAATCCAAGCGTGATGAACGTATTCTGCATGTTGCCACACGCTTGTTAATCACACTTTTTACGGTGATAGATTAATAACTTACCAGAATCGCAGGAAGCAGCAATCAATTGACAATCTAAAGATTGAAATTCTTCATAGGCATCATTGAAGGCGATGATCTCAGTTGGACAAACAAAAGTGAAGTCCATCGGATACCAGAAAAGCACGACGTACTTTCCTCTATAATCAGAGAGTTTGATGTGCTCAACAATTTGGCCATCAATGACGCCAGGAGCATCGAACTCGGGCGCTAGTTTTTGGACTTGTGCAACTACTATCACAAAAATCAGAGTTCTGGTTAGACACTAGCGAGGATTTAATTGTTTACCCATATTAAAGAAGCTTGGAAATGTAGAAAGTAAGTGAATGGATGAAAGCAAGCAACACAGAACATCCAGATGTGCTTTTCATGTTGGCGAAGAGTGACGTTTTTTTAGCTGACATTGTGGTGAATAAGCTGCATGAGTGTCGTATCGTCATAATGGTGTTGACAATTGTGGATATATTTAAGAACACATCCAGTGCGTTGTGCAAGCTACTGACAAACTGTTTTATCCAAAGTGAGAGCTAATGCATTAGTGCTGTATGTGTTTGCTTCATATGATGTTCTATCCTCAGAATACGTGTTGTCAAGATGCTTATTGATAATGCGCTGCCTTGAATTTGCTGGAACAAAACGAGAGGAGCTGGAGCTTGAAATCATAATTTTCATATAATCAAAAGCACAAAAAACTCATTCAAAATATTTGATTTTGGGGGTTTCAACTTTTGGACGATCGAAAATCGATCTTCTAAATATTGATGCTAAAGCTTTAAGGCTAGCATGTTCCTATACTAGTTTTTTGCCCTCTAAACGATGGTGCAATTGAAATTTGCGTAGGTAGTCTGGCTGTTGAGAAAAAAATTAGTTAATTTTGAATAGATGCTGCTAGTAAACCTTTTTAAATTACTATATGAATGTTGGTTGTATGTCTAGTAAAAGCTGTAGAGGGTACCTTGGTTGATTAGGAAATGTTGTATTTGGGCTTGCTGAGGACGATGTCGATGAGTAATGAGGAAAAAGAGAGAAAATGAACAAATTTTAAAGTGTCGTACAGCTTGATTTTACTAAGTGAACGAGAGTTTCAAACTTAATAGCTTCTGTTTCTTTTTCAACTCTCTATACGATGGCATGGTTATTATAGATAAATAAAAAAAAAGTTGAAATCCCCTGCTTGTAGCTCATAAAATATATGATTTTGAGCAAACTTATGAAGAAAACGTACAACTGGTACTTAAAACTTTTATATCATAATGGATATAACATAGAGTTATCGAATGGTCTTTGTTTTGTGCGAATCCAGTGAGTATTTGTCGAGATATGGTCAAAAAAGAGTCTCATGCAAAATCATGGATTTTTCTTCAAAATCTACGTGTGATAGCAAGCAAAAAATTGGGTGACCTTTTTTTGGTCAGGACAATATTGTCAATATTTCATGATAGAGTCATACCAGAGCTTCAAGCAATAGCTCATCCGATAGGAAATTTTTTGGTCTACAATGTTTAGTAATGCTTAACAAAATGTTTTGATGGCAGATACTAATTAATCTTTAGAAAACAGTCAAAAAATGGCAAGATGTATCTCATTAAATATCAGGTGAACAATGTACACCAGAGATCTGAAATAAATACCATTGTATTCTCCTTGCAATTCTCTACAAGCTTCATATAAGTTTGAAGGGGTAGTTACTATCAAGAAACGCGTGATTTTAAGGTCGATAGATTTCGGAATCCCATGGATCATCATTCAGAACAATAGAAATTGAAGCTCCGTTGAGCTTCCACATATGTACACGACACATATATGAATTTGACTGAGTATTTTAAGAATCGGAGCGTACGAAAAGGGCCATATTAACTTGCTGGTTTCAAGTTATCAATAGATACTTGACATGATGGAGAATCTTGCTTTTAAGGTTAGATAGCTGTAACTTGCTCTGTTCAATAATAATAAGATTTGCAATTTAAAGCATGCATATTCCCCTGCTTAAAAATAGCATCTCCAATGTTGATTATCTCATGAAGTATGCATTTCCAATATAATGTTCCCAATAAGAACTTGCTCCAATATCATTACTCTACAACATAGTTAAGTTTGACGAGATTCTAATTTTTTTTACCTATGAGGACCTGGATGTACAAAATGTTTTTTAATTTTGAGGTTTTCAACTTTTGGACGATCGAAAATCGATCTTCTAAATATTGATGCTAAAGCTTTAAGGCTAGCATGTTCCTATACTAGTTTTTTGCCCTCTAAACGATGGTGCAATTGAAATATGCGTAGGTAGCGTGGTTGTTGAGAAAAGGGAGATTTTAGAAAATAGTTCATTTTGAATAGGTGCTGCTAGTAAAACTTTTTAAATTACTATATGAATGCTGGATTGTTGTGCCAGAAGGGCTACAACTGTCTATAAAGATTAAGGTATTCTTGATGGGTAGATATGTCTGTGTTGTGCAACAACATGGACAAGCTATGATAAGTGAAGTGCATCTCAGCTATCTAAATACTGAGGTTCACCAGATGTGATAAGCGTTGTACAAGATAAATTGCTACTTTGGCATTCAGAACTTAGTATAAATAGAATAACTCTTGTCTTCATCAATAAATCTTTAGTTTTTGTGTCTGATCTTATTCAAATAAGTCTTTTCTTGTTTTTATAATATCGAACATTTTTTATAAGCTACAAATAATAATCCTTTTATTCTTTGTGCTTAACATTTTTTAAGATCGTGTAAATCAGAATCTTCCAGATTTTAGCCTACCTATCTAATTTAAACCGAAAATATGACTATGAATGATTCTACTGTGTCTCCTGCAGAACAGAACAAGAGTTCAGATGTTCAAGCTGTTGGAAGCGAGCTTTCATACGGAGGAGCTGTAGAGCGACTTCGTCAGGAGGTTCATGGGTTGATCGCTGAAGTTGCGAACAGTGGGGACAAGTCGGACGAAGAGGTCGACGCTTTGAAGGCTGCCCTGTCGAAGAAGTGCTCTAACTTGGAGGCTATAGAGAAAGCTCTCTCTATGGTCACACCTAACCAGAGTCCTTCCCAAGTAACAGTGGTTAGTCAAGGTGCGGCTAATAGTTCAACTGTACCTGATGATCTTCCTTTGTTCCAATGGTTTGGACGTGTCAAAGATGAAAAAAAGGAAGTTTTTGCCAACATTGAGGAGTGTTGTCGCCGGTTTTCCGATAAGTTGAGCAGTTGCACGCTTGATCTTGACGAACACTGGTATCGTTTGCTTCCTCCTTGTCTTCCCGGCGATCTTCGCAATTGGCTTGATGAGTTTGTGAAAGCATCTGGCTCCACTGTGTCTTGGGCTACCTTGAAGGGAGCTATCATCGGTCGTTTTGGTACACCAAAAGAACAGCTCAGATTCGAAAGAATTAGGGAGTTTCTTCGTTGAACTAAAGGAAACGAAGAATCCGTTGATGGTTTCGTAGAGCGGTTTAAGACGTTGAGAAATAGAGCTGACATCAGTGATAAGGGTGTCGTTGCGATGGTGTTTTTTGACGCTTTCCCCAAGGTTACCGCTAGGTTGCTAATGGTTGCTATGAGTCAGGCACCAGAATCGTCATTTTATGACATTGATTATGTGTCCTCTCTCGTGCGCAAGATGGATATGATGGCTATTGAGACGGGTCAAGAATCTTTGGGCTCTGTTTTTGATGGAAGAAAACGCGCTGCTGACATACCTGTTTCGAACGAAGCAAAGAAGTCTCGGTACGCACCTTCTTCTAGTGGAAACGCTCTGCAAAGTAGCTCTTCGTCGAGATCCAATGGTCCCTCGTCCAACTCTCCACGTTCTGGTGCTAATCGTTTTGGCAAAACATTTGCTGAACATGTTGCTGAAGGGACTTGCTCCAAATGTAACGGTCCTCGACTAAAGGGGCAGATGCATCACTGCAACACTGCTATTCGTACTGGTGGTGGTAACACCCATCAGGGCAATGGTGGTAAAAAAGTTTTGCGTGCCATGACTAAGAAACGTGGTGGCAAACATTCGATGGATGCTGCAATCCAAGCTGCTTTTCTCTCTGCTCGTGTCGATCGTGCGTTAGCTGAGAAAGGTGCTTTTTCCCCTGCTGTCTCCTCTGCTGAACAATCGGTGGATGATGTTGTCCTTGCTCCTTCTTCTGGTGGTAGTGACAATGTTGATGTTGACCAAGATGCTGTGATGAGTGAAGCTCATGGTATCTTTGAGGATACTGACCTGGTGAATCGTGCCCAGTCTATTCTTCTTGAAAAAGAGATGAGTAGCATGTCTGTGGACGACGATACGCTACAAAATATATTTGCTCAGCAATGTAAGTTCGATGCTAGATTTAGTGCTCCACCTACTATGACCACCAATGCTATTTGTGTTCCTATTGTGGTTCAAAATGTCATTTGCTTTGGCTTAGTGGATACGGGTGCTACGTTTTCGTGCGTCACTGACAAGTTCTTTCAATTCTTAGGAGGAACCTCTCTTGCTGGATTTGAGGCTAATGATGATGATGAGAGCTTTGTTCAAATGGCTCATGAAGTAACGACTGTGCCTAGAATAGGTGCGGTACGTTTGCACATTAGCTACAATAAATCAAATAAAAACCATTTGTTTGAAGTATTTCCATTCTATTCTGAGGAAAACGTACCTGTATTGCTTGGTATGGATATTTTGTCCAAGCTTGGCATTGGTCTTACGGGCTTGGTGAGTCAACATGGCTTTCAATCAGGTCCTCGTGTACCAGACCCTATTGATGATGGTATTACTCCAAACGCACATCCTTTTGGTAGTGAGGAAGAGAGACAACCGTTTCTACTTGCACTAAAGGGGTTATTAGAAGAGAATTCGCGCATTGATATGAAGAATACTCAGTGTAATCTGCCGGATTCGATTATTAAGCTTGATACTAAACCAGGTGCTGTCGCTTGGCGAGCTCAATATCCTTTGCCTGAAGCTTATCGTGATGCTGTTGCCAAACAAATTCAGATATGGCTTGATGAGGGTGTTGTTGAAAGATCTGCTAGTCATACACGTTTCAATCATCCATTGTTGGTTGTAAAGAAAAAGGACGCTGATGGTAATTACACAATGTCTAAGCCTAGAGTGGTGTGTGACGTTCGTAAGTTGAATGCTATCTTGGAAGTGGATGACAAACAACAGTTACCTTTGATCTCTCATATCCATCAGAGCATTGGTACGAAAATGATTCATACTTGTCTCGATATCCATGCTTGCTTTACTAGCTTTGGCTTGGATCCAGAGCAAGCTCATAAAGTTTCATTTACTTGTCCCTTCACGAATATCCAA